GGGTCCATGGGTAGTAGTCAAGTCACGGGGGGACTTAGATTCCTGAACATTCTTGCATTATGCCATGCAGGACACCCGAAGAGTAGCTACCGTCGATTATCCCTAAGTATTACGTAGATCTGAATGCCTCTATCGAACATCTCGCCCCATACTTGTATCGGAGTCGATACCGGATTTAGTTTTCCCCAGACCCAGACACACGTTCCGGTTGGTCGCAACGATGCGGACGTTATCTAATATAAGATCAGTGCTGACTATAAGGAAGCTCTTGTAAGGCCGTACCAAGTCCAATCATCTGCATTCGGTCCTTGTCTCTGCAAGACACCTAGCACGGGGTAGTAAAGCCTAATGTTACCAAAGTCTTCCTAGGCTCGGAGATTCAATAGGCCTAAAGGAAGGCTACCGACTCGTCAGATTTGAGTTATACGCCTAGGGCCTCAGCGTATTTTCTATGGTGCGTGGCTTTTAGTACTCTTGGCTAGTACCTACGTATTTCGAGAAGTGCTAAAATACGCTCGCTCCGTTCAACCACATACTTCGCATATGCTCCTACCTCACATTTTGAAGCATCTCGAATAGGTAACTGAATCTGCCTAATGGGATTAGTGTGATATCCTAGGTAGGTTATGAAACGCACTTTTTGCCTCAAAGTACCCGGTGTGAGCTCCTCGGCCGTTTTTGCTACATGCAGCGACAGAATTTGTTCCAATTATAACAACTGAGGTTTGGAATAGGTATCTAAATAACTCACAGTGGCTAGCCATGCGGGTAAATACGTCGTACGATACTTAATATAATAGATACTCTGCGTTGCTTATTATGTGAAATGAGACTACTGGACCGGATGGGGTTGGTGGGGGTTGAATACAAAGGAAACGAGCTGTGAGGGGGCTTATACCTAGTCCACCTTCAGCCAATGGTAAGAAATAATTAATCTATCTGAAGCATCATATGGCGAATTAGAGTGGCTGAGGGGACTTAATGCTCTGATAAGAGCCTCAGAAGTACACGAAGATGGTGACTAAGTACCTAAGTAGCTCAAAGCCCATGTCTACATAGTACCAATCAATGCTCACTGAGGTAGATTACTTCATGTAAATATAAATAAATACGAATATTTCGCGTGGACAGACATTGGTTCTTCTTATGAGACTTTCAAGAATAGTTGTTAATGTATTACGATCTTTGGCAACTGCTTAGAAAGGGTTTATCTATTAGGCTAAGTTGTTCGAAGGGGGCATATTACGAATTCTAACATGATAAAAATATTTCCAAAGCCCCAGCAGGAAGTTAATGAGCAGAACTAACAGATACCTAAATAGAAAGCTCTGCATGACCTTAAGTTGATAAGAAGAAGAATCTATGGTCAGACAATGATATCCCTAGTTTCGAGTCTCTAGCCCCTTTTCATGTTTCCTAAGTCTATGACTTTCAAAAGTCCCCGGTGTTTATCTCTTGTGTAGATTTATCAGCCTTTAAACTTCAAAAGTTTTGTGATGAAGGGACTATAATGTTAAATGGAGAGTTGTGGGGTTGGTTGGCGAGTGAAGGAAGACACAACAATATGCACCTAGGTATATACAACACTCGAATAACATGGCAGGTATAGACGACTTGATGATAGCCGATAACTACTCTTTCTTGAGACTAGCTGTTCTTCGCCACGAAGATAGGAATCACACGACTACATTATTTGGTTTGTCATGGCTTATTGATATCTCTAATTCTCTACGTTTTGCTTCTCCGGTGATTTGGAATCTAGGTCTCGTAATTCGTAATTCAAATTTGATGGTTTCGCATCGGAAACGGATTAGCTTGAAGTTGGAGGACGTCAATATACTCTTAATCACGATGCTGATTACACGTTGAGCTAAGTTATAGATTACTTGAGTATTATCAATCTAGTCAAACGACATTCGTATATGTAGAATATATTAATTACATGGCGGCTAAGCGCCAAGAATGGTATTATTGACGATGCTCTTGAGGAGTAGGAAAGGCTAAAGTAACATGACGATCATGCATGTATATATGAGAAGGGACTCTAAGCTGTGGGGAGCCGAAAGAGAGTGCAATGGAGGTGTTGAGGGTGGCTGAGAGACTTGGCGGTGTATGAATAGAAGATACAGAAAGTACCTAATCTAGAAATCGAAGTACTGCCTCGTACGTAGGATATACTCATACATGTATGATATGAATCCCGCCTATATTCTTGTAGTTGAGCTGTACGATACCGAGCAGAATAGGTAGTTAGTCAACGGTTGAGGATACGAGACCGAGAGAGGAAGAGAGAGAGAAAGAGTAAGAGAAGAAAATCCATGTCTTCAATTTCTAAGCTCGGCTCTCTCAGTTAGGACTAATGACATCAATGTATCCAATGTTTACATATGTAACCTGTGTAGTTAATTTATCTTATGCATGATGGTAGATGGGGAAGATGAGAAAAAAAAAATATGATGATCGACTGGGGAAAGCAGATCATGAGAATCAGATGTTGTGCAGGGCTTAGCGATGCATTGGGCGTTTATTAAAAGGAGAAAAAAAGTGATGAACAAGGTTGAACTATCAGATGATTCGACGGTGGCTTCCCGTCAAAAGGGTAGATATAATCTAGATCGGAGGAAGTTTAAGGAAATAGATTTTCATAGGATGGGAATAAATATACATGATTACTTAGCTGATATACATGACGATACAGTAATCCAGGAAGTAATCTCAAGAAGTATATACTTAAGTATACAAGTACCTTAATAAGATTACCGTTTCTTACCTGTTTTAGATAGTACAAAACTTAAAGTGGCCTTTTATCTTACTTTACTTTCGAGGTACTGTACTGTAGCACGGATGTGTGTCTCGTCACCTTGTCACTTTGAATGTTCCTGTCATTTTTATCTTGTCACTCGCAGTTTTCGTCGCTCGGTGCCATTGCAATGTGTGACGCGTCAATCGGTTCCTTCCCCTTCCCTCACACTTTTTTTTTCTTTCTTTCCTCTTTTAATAACTCCTGAACCAGTCATCCGGGGAAAATCAATCCATGTACGTCAAACCCATTTGATTTTTTGGAGGTTCGGGACTTAAAATAATGTACCTTGATACATTACGGAAGTTTCCATCAATCCTATTGAATTGAATGTTGAATGTTTGCAGTCTGTAGTGCCTTCGATGTTACCTTATTACCATTATTTGTAAAACCAGAACCACTATAGGATCGCTTGTGGTTCTTGGGTCCCTGCCGAACCGCGAAGCTGCTTTGCCAAGCCCAACTAAAACCAGAAGATACTTGAATGTACCAAGATACTACCCGATGTACCCTTGTATTTTAAGGAACTCCTAGTCAGATCATCCACTAAAATGCTCCTACTTGCCGGGTGCTCGGCCCCAAATCTGGCTTTAGCTTTCTACTCACGTGATGGAGACTTGCCTAGCTTAGTTTATGTTGATTCCACACTTCCCACTTGGGTTACACACATGCATGATAAGTAATGTACCCGTCCAGGTGGGGAGGTATTTCCCAACCGGTTTTAACCCAGCTGGGTACTCCGCCCATATATGCATCTCAGATAAACCTTGGAGGGGTTAGATGTGCAATATAAAACAAGGCTATTCCATATACAACCCAATACATCTATACATCTATACATTTATACATCCACACAAAGTATGTACGTAGTTGTATCGATGATGTTACGGCTCCGACAGAGTAATTGCCCAATGCTTTTCTCTTTTTTTTTTTTTTTTTTTTACTCCTAAGCTTTTAGGTACATGACCCTGTATACAAGACTACGTACCCCTGTTGTTTCCGCGAAACGCAAAAAAATTAAAGTGCATGTACATACCAATGAACGTCAACAACCTTGGAAGGGAATTAAAAAAAAAAGAAAGAGCATAGAAAATAGAAACCTTACTGGGTTACAAAGTTTTAAAATATTCAACTAAAAAAATAAATCATCGTCACCAACCAACGGCTACTATTTTTTATTTTACCTTAGTATCAATTATTATTATTATTATTATCTTACCTTACCTCACATTACATTACACTCAACTCTTTTTCTCACGCACAACATGTCACCAACACGTTGACAACCGAACACACCGCAGGTGACCTCGTCTTCTGGCGACACAAACCGGGACAACACACATTGCATTACATATGTAGACGACAGGAATGCCAGCCTGGGTTTCCGGTGAATGTTCGCCGCATCTCCCGCATGGTAAATACTAAAAAATCGATATTCATCGACAAGATAATGTTCGATGTGGATGCCGATGCCGATAATGAACCCATGCTGATACTACTACGATACAACTACAACAACAACAATTGTTATTATTGCTACTACAACTACTACCACTGTCACTGCCACCACCATTACCACTATTGTTGCTGCTGCGGATGTTGCCACTGATGCTACCGACGCCGAAACCGACGAAGCATATGTTGATGTTGTTGCTTGTTGCTACTCCTGCTGCGGTTGAACTATTCTTGTTGCTATGTTGATGTAGATAGATAGATGCCGACATATTTCGTGTAGTCGCGTCTCATCTATCTATCATCGTCATCATATCTCTGTCTACCTTCACCGCACACGCGCATATACGCAAATATAATATCTACTTACACATTATACACTCGCATTCGTAACACTCATCCGCTCAAATACATACATTACCATTACATTGCCTATCTAACCTACATATATTCATACATATATACACTTACACATTATCTATCCCGTCCATCTTCTATCCTATATCCTCTCTCTATCTCTTACCTTCGGGCATTGTCCCTGTTAACTCTTACCCCTTGTCCTTGTCATTCACCCCTCATTGACATTGGCATTGGCATTTGGCTTTGACATTGACTATCATCTATCATCTCCCTCTTCCTCTAACTTATTCCTACTTATTATTGTCCTTCCTTCTTATTTACCGTACTTACTCAACTTTTATTACTCTTACTTAAGGTACACTTACTAGTTTTACCTATCTACCTTGTTATTTCTTACCTGGTTCCTTCTTTACTTCGAACGAAGGACAGCAGACCCCGGCTAGCCCGGACGTCCGTCTGATCATCTCGAAGTTTCTTTCTTTTACTTCCCTACATTTATTTTATTTTATTTTTATTTTTATTCATCGTCTACTTCTCTTTCCCTTCTTGAACATAACGGTGCTGCGGATTACTTTAGTCTTATTTTTAATTTATTGTTTATATTATTTTATTTTATTTTTATTTTATTCATTTTATCTATTTTATTCTTTTTCTTTTTTCTTTACTTTTCTTTTTTTGTCTTCCTTCCCAACTACAACAACACGCATACAATACAAAACCCATACGCACACCCCCTAACATAACCCCCCACCCATAAAACCCGAGCTACCTACTCTTTTATAACCCCATTCTCTACTGATTGTCTCTTTTGCTTGCTTGCTTGGGAGGTCTTGGACGAGTTTACTGGTTAAAAGGGGTCCGTCATGCTGTCTTCGCCGTCGACCGGCCTTAGTAACATACCGCCCCCATCGACGGCCGCGGCCACGGGCCCAACCATTGCCACTAGCACCACTACCTCAGCTCCTCCCGTACCTGGTCCTGGCCCTGCAGCGACAGGGGCTTCTCTCAAGCGACCTGCTGCAGCCGACCTGCAGCGCAGTGCCGGCACAAGCGCCACTCCTTCTAAAAGACAAGCTACTTCCGGTTCCAGGACGAATCCGATCCCGAACCCAAGTCCCTTGGCCTCCGCTGCTACTAATCCTATTACTGCTGTTACTACTGCTGCTGCTGCTGCTGCTTCTGGTTCCGCTGCTGGTCTATCGTTGTCTTCAGCTTCGGCCCCTCCGACTGCTACCGCACCTCATACCTATCTTCAACCTCAAGCTGTCATGTCATTACCGCCTGTCGTCACCGAGGAACAACTTCTAGGAAGGACACCCGAACAATTGATCGCCACGATCCTTCAGATCCAGATGCAACATCAACAATATGTCGCCCACATTTCGGCGCAATTTGATACTATTAGCCAACAACTAAACGACCTCCGTGGTAGCTTAGTAGCTTCTCACCAAGCTGCTGCATCTGTATGTTAACCGCCAAGAAAGAAAGCATCGGTTTTAATTTTCCTACTTCGTATTCATACGAAGTTTTATTTATCACAATTTACTGACAATTGTGATATTTAGGCACTCAGTTCCCGCGACACCTCTTCTGTACGGCCCATCGTACCCCCACCACCCCAACCGCAACAACCAGTCGCTACGTTTTCTCGGGGGCCACCGATTCCTATGCAAACGCCAAGCCGCCCTGCTAGACCTCCGGCTTCTCCATCCACTTCTCAACCCCAACCTAGACCGAGCGTGCAAACACCTTTATCCGGCCCACCACAATACAAATATGGAACTGTCGGCACAGTGGAAGATGTTTGGAAAGAATATCGTGAGGGTATGGATGGCCAACCTGCAGTTGAAGAATTAGACGCTACGTGGGGTTCGCGCTGGCGGCCCGAACCACGAGGTCGCACGTGGTATTCGAGACGAAAGGTCATTTGGGACAAAATCAAGGAATACATGGCGGAGGGTCTGGATGAAGAAGACGCGGTGCGAGAAGTAGAGAAGTTGCGCGATGGAAACACCATCAACAAGTTGATTCGGATGCTCCAAGATGAACGAAAGGAGAAGGGAATTGGAGATGATAGTATGGCTGGTTAGGACGGCCTTTGTGTCCCTTTTTTTTTTTTTTTGCTTCGGAACTGGCGTTACTGGGGAGCGGCATTGATACCACTTATCATATATGAGAGGCTGCATTTACGGGGCTAGTTACAAGAGGATCACGACTGCGAATTCGGCATGTCATCATTGTCATCAAGAGGGTTTCTTAACGGGACCTACGGCGGCGTGCTTTATTGTTCGCTGGCAGAACGAAAAAAGAAAGCTGGTCGAGGTCGGCGTCTAGGCGAAGATACGTGGTAATGAGTAACCATTACGATGCCATTTTTTTTTTTTTAAGGTGGTGGACAGGAACATGACATTACTTGATCATATAGGCACTTAACCTACCTAGTCTACCAAGCAATTGCAAAAAGGACATGCCTTCTTAACCACCTGCTTGCAGGTTGCGCCACATCGACGACACGTATTCAGTTCTCCGTACTCGGTACAATCGGATATGGGCGTAGTTACGGGAGATTCCGGCCGAGGCTTCTAAGTACCTACATCTACATCTACATCTACATCTATACTTACACCTACACCTGCACCTAGTAGAACTTCTGTATGGTCACGCGCCTATTTTCCTAAGATACCCTCCCTTTTGATAGACGGTGCATTAGGGTATATCGAAATCTCGGTATTTCGGTATACCCACATGAAAAGTCTCGATCGCGGATCTTATCTATGGAGTTGATTTTTTTTTATAATTGGTAGAGCAAATAAGTCCGTTCGAGGCGGTATAGATCGGGGCACCATCGGTCACACGAAAGTACGCTCGAGTTCCAATATGCAGAGCCGTGTAGGTGGCTTGATTGGCGTTGCTGGTCATCACAGTAAGCCCATGGATTCCAAGCCCAGCCCCCCTAAGCGGACTCAAAGTTCCCGCGGATCCGAACACGTCATAAAATATATTGCCGGTGCCCTTGACGTGGTAGAAAGGAGTGGAAGACGACGATAATGCCAGCCTAATTTACTTGCTCAATGTCGGAATCGGTCAGCAGTGCGTGCGCTGCGGTCTTAGATTTTTTGTTCTTTTTATTTCCTCTCCTACCCGGCTGGCCACTCTCACACCCTTGCGCCAATCCCAATGTAAGCTAACTCAGCCGCATTATTGCGACGTTGCTTGTCTTGTCCGTTTTAAAAATTTCCGGGTTGTTGACTTCAGGTTTACCGAGCTACGTCTTTGTCGTCTTGCATCCCGATGATTGGAATTGACTCCTTGTTTTTTTCTTTCTTCCGTAAGGATTTCTTGGCGCGATGCTCAATTTAGGAAAACCAGGGAAAGATCCCATTAAACTCCAACCTCCTCTTCGGCCGACCATATCAATGCCAAGTCAGGTCGAGAGTCGGATAGAAAACCCGGCGTCGGTAGTTGTGTTGGATTATTGTCTAAGTGAAGAAAGGGGGAATGAGCGAGGAGGTTTTGTTACTCAAACAACGGAAACGAATCCTAGAACTATGAGTACAAAGCCTTACATAAGATTAAATAATTCAGTGACACCAAGACGGCCAAGACGGTGTTATCAAACACAATATGTTGTAAATTAAAGAAGACAGACAAAGGCTTGATTAAGCTTATTGTACTTATTGTTAATTGTCGGCATTGATGATTCAAAACGATTGTTGATGTTTATACTAAGATAAAGCAGTATATGATATAAATCTATAAGGTATAGGCGCTACCTTGGGTGATATGAGGGATCACCTGAGAAAACGTGATAATCTATCGTGGCGAGGAAAGAAGAAACTCATCACACCGAATCTTCTTCGATTTTCTTCTCCTGCCCCGACTAACTTGTCCAATCCATTCATTTGATAGTACTCATCATGTGTTTCGATCTATACGTCCATTACACTACTACTGACCATGATACCCGCTGTCCGAGCATAGTCAACCTAGGTACTGGATATGTAGTCCGCAGCCCTTTTCAAGACCTCAATGTCTACAATGTTCCACCGACGATCGCGGGGCGTTGTATGTATCCCCACATAATGGATACTATCTCTCCTCATCAGTTTTGCCCCGACCATCCAGGATGTTGCCGTCTTGAGCGGTGCCTAGTGTGTCGCTTCAGTGTAGATACATGCAAGACTCGAGTTAAGTATCATCACTTCGTTTTCAGCGACACAATTGATGAAGAGACCGACATCTCATTCCTAAAGAGGTGGCTGGGGGATAACCCATCTCTGCTTTATCTGGTCGCGTTTTTCTTCAAAGCTGGTGTTGAATACCAGCTCGCTGACTTGGCTCTAGAGGATGTTTTGCGCCGGATCGAGATGACATGGCGCCAGGGCTACGATCCCGCCGCTGCCGAACTGATAAGACTCGAGGCGGAGCGTACGCGTTACGTTGCAATGAAGGAATACGCTGCTGAATGTTTAGGCCAGCTAGCTCTTCTCTGGGACTTTAACACAGGAGAGAAGCGGCTGCCTCGTCGCCCAGGCAGTTGGGACAACGATTCGCATGACGCGAAATATAGTAGACGCTTGAGATTAACTGTTATGAACTTTTGGAAAAAGGAGGAGAAAAGTTCCATACAATGGCCATTCATAATCGATTTAATACCCTTCTTTCGAGACACGGGACGGCTCGTGGTGTACGAAGATCCCTCCAATGTATCCCAGGGACTAAGACCAGAGAGCAACAAGGATATTTATTACCCCATTTTTGGGCTCGAGTGCTTTAATTTTCTACGGCTTGGTCCACTAGCCCAGGGATACCCGATGGTTATGGTCAGAACAACGCCACAAACTTCACGATCTCCACCTCCCCAACCAGAACCTCAACCTCGATATCGCCCTAGCCGCCCGACCCGCCCAGCTCGTCCCGTATCTCCCTCCAATCCCACCCGTCCAACTCGTGCAGCTCGTGCTAAACGACCGGCTTCTTCACATACCGCTTTGCCGCCCCCATCTTCCCTTCCCTTACACGAATCTAGACGTATTGTTGACCAGGATAAGAAGGGAAAAGAAAAACAAGACGAGCAGCACGAGGTTGAGCACGTCATCACCCACCACCCTCCTACCGCAACTCGGACTCGGGCTACTTGGTACAAGGTACGTTGGAAAGGCGACTGGCCTAAGGGAGAGGAGGAAACATGGGTGACTGCTGACAGCATCGATACAACCATCGTGGATGGGTATTGGGTCTTGCATTACGATAAGTTGAACAGGAGGCGCCGGGTGCAGACGCGAAGACAGAGACAGCAACGGAAGGGAAAATATTAAGGAAAGGTAAGGTAAATTGCATGGTTTGTTGGACGATTGATGCGTATACTACATAACGTAACATATTAGCTGGTAAGTCTTGCTTCTTGTTTCGAGGGTATCATTCATGGAAGATGTAATAAACGCCAATCTTCTGCTCACTGTCGATATGAAATCCATACGATAGTTCTATAGATAGGTACTCAGCGACGAAGTTTGCTTAGGTAGAAACAACGATAACCAATAATATACTATAACCACGCATTCACCGATTTGTCTTATAAAAATTTCAGTATGTCTATTCCATGAAACGTGACTAAGTTGGTAAGATAAATATGCCTTTTAGTCGCTTCGAAATAATTCCCTGCGAAGAGCTTGAATCTAGAGAAGGGAAGTCAATCTAATGTAAGTTAGCAATGTTTACACCGAATGACAGCGTGAAAGTTGACAATGACACTTTGGTTCCTTTTGGTGGTGATAGAGAAAACCTAACAGTGTTGCTCCTATAATATTTCTCTACTAACCGTATCCGCAAGACATCGTGACTATTCCTTGGTCGGCTATACTGAGGTTTTGAGAAACTAAGTATGGGAATCTTCTTTTTATACTAGTCAAAGTGCTAGTAACCAACCCGTGCCAAGTTGTGTCTTTGTAGTTCAGTTTAGCCTGTCCGCTTAATATCGACAAGGGAACATCCAATCTCGGAGCGCGTACTTAGTTCCGTGGCCAGACCTCAGTACAACTTGGGTATCTGGCCATAAAATAATGACGATCGTCGCTCCGAAATGTTCCTCCGGGTTTAAGCTTCACATACGCATTGCATGTAAGGCGGAACTCATCATCAGGAGCTATGAAAGGATTCGGCTTGATTGTCATCCCGCTATGGTGGGCCATTAGGGCCACCGCAGCTCCATCACGGGTACTGGCGACACCACCGGCTGAATTCACGCCGAATACGAAGGTCGGCCCGGGAGGAAAGAAATACAAGGACTCACCACATTTCCGCGTCTATGATGCTACGACTGACGCAGTCGCTAACACTGTGCTTCAGACCCTTGAGTCAGCTTATGATTGCTTCATAAATGGCCAAGGATGGCGTTCGACGGGCCTGTCATTTAACCAGGACAATGATAACGGCCCCTGGTATAAGATGAACGTCTATGATGTTGCGAATCTTGGAGCCAACACGGCCGCCAACACCGGAACGGACAGCGCTACCGGCCTGAGCTTCTTGAATGTCGTAACTGAATGGATGAATACGCCTTCGATTACTGTCCACGAATTCGGACATGCCATGACTTACGCCGAGAGGTATTGGATCAATCAGGGTCGGACCGGAGCTTGGTGGGAGACTGTGGCTAATTTCGTTGCGGATACCTTCATCACTTCTTCAATCTGCGCGGACTCTAGAACGAAGTATAACCAAGCTAGTGGTGACACGCTTATCAACTTGAAGAAGGTCATCGGTGATTCGTTCCAAGTTATCGTAGACGGATCAAGTGGAACCGGCAATTATTATGAAGCGTGGCCCTTCCTGACGTATATCACCAACAACCCGGACAATTACGCCGGACTTGGAATGGCGAATTTCCCGAACGTGTGGAGGAAGTATAAGCGGGACAGCAACGAGACGCCGCTGCATATCCTGGATCAACTCGCATCGCCAACGAAAATTCAAACAGTTGTCGGTCGATATTGGGCTCGCATGGCGTACGTCGATATCGGACACGAAAAGGCTCGGGCTCTATTCGAGAAGCAGAGGAAGGATATAAACTATGCCAATTTGGACTCGCAGGGTGGGGGGAAGTATAAGGTCAAGGCAGCTCGACAACCTCGTTATATGGGGGCGAACATCATACCATTGAAGGCAACTGGGGCATCTATTAGCGTTACTGTGACGGCTACGGCGCCTTACACTGCTAGTCTAGCGATAAAGGCGTCGAATGGTGCGGTTAGGTATGTCGAGGTTGCGGACAACAAGGCTCAAGCAACGTTGGCTAGCGGGGAGGAGGCAAGTTTGGTGGTTGTCAACACGCCGAACACACTTTATTTGTATGACCCCTTTTCGCTTACCAGTGATGTGAGTCGTGGATTGGATTATTCGATTCAACTTACTGGTGCGAGCGCATAGATGTATATTTTCGATACTGATGTGGAGGGAAGTTGAATATAATATGTTTTCTTGGCCGAAAAAGAGAATGAAAAGAGAAGTGAGATTGAACGTTTTAGCTGTTGTGAGAAGGATAAAAAAAAAAGGCAAAAGGAAAAAGCAAAGGGAAGACGTAGAGAGGGTGGCGGAATGGAGGGGAAAAAAAGAAAAAACAAGATTATGCATCGGCTGGGACTCGAACCCTCGTTGTATCGTGACACAAAAAAATCAAGCCCCCAGATCCCTCCTACAGGCCCAGCTTCCCTCATTCTATATTTATTATCCCATATACTTGTAACCGGAACCGGAAACTACTGCGCCCCCCCTACTTTCGATTCTCGGGGTATTTCTTCGTGACCAATTTCATCCTCGCTATCCATGCACGGGGTGAGACGCGGGAGTCCACGCAGGGGATGTGATCATGTCTGGTGTAGACTAAAGGCAATGGTGGGCTCCTGGATATTAATATGCTCACCCACCAACCAGGCCATTTAACCTTAGCTACCACACGGTTGGAGAACAACTGATCTATTATCTATTATAAGATCTATTCAAAAAATTTGTACGGGCCATTCATTGGTTGATCTGCGCATTGGTCACGTTGGTGGTGGTGCACCTACCTAGATACCTAGGTTACGAGGCAAGCAGTCTGGTTGGCCAACAAGGAAGCAGTTTCTGGACGGCTGTTTACGTACGTACCTTCAAATTTGGCCACTTGAATAATAAAGTGTACTCATGTTTTGTATAATACCTCGTCACGATGAAGCACTAGTCACATCTGGACGGTTCTGACCTCTTTAGCTAACTACCTCAGAGATCTTGACATGACCCCTGGTGATGAACTCAAGCAGCTACTACTGCTAGACCTGAGCCCCTTAAGCTGATAAAACATCCTGGCTGCACTTTGGACGTACCAGATCATGGAAGTAGAAGTCTTAATTAATTATACAAGGTATGCAGACAATTGATTGACATGCGAATCGCTAATACTACAAAATTGTCCTAATAATGACCCAAGCTACAATAACAGATCCATCCGTGGTCACTTCATACCCTTAATAGGAAACATCTTAACAGCCTTATTCGCGTGTATGATAGCTTCTCTCGCCCCTGGCCATGCCTTTCGCTTCCCCGTCTCAAAGAATCGAAACGCGTATGCAGTCTCAACTCCGTTATTCATCAGATTATACATCTCTCGATCCTGAAACCAAAACTTCCAACCTTTCCAACCCCAACCCAAATTCTCCAATCCTGTACCCGCGGCTTCGTGAAGCCAACCTTGGAACTCCCACTGCTTAACCATCGAAGGGTCTATACTATTCTCAAGCCTCCATCTCGACGCTACCCATTGTTGATGCTTATCCACTTGTTTCTCCATCTCTTCTTGTGATGGGACTGGATGTGCACCCCGCCATACGTTGCTCACTGCTAGCGAGATCACATCCGAGAACGAGAAACCATTATTCTTCCCATACGCTGAGTAACAAAGGAAACATATGGAGTCGGCATATTTCGGGGGGAATAAATTCATCCATAGTCTTGCAATTGGTGGTCCACCATAATTCGGCGGGCGACTTGTCTCGATAAACGGAGCGACGGTAAAATCTGCGGTATAACCTGTGGCGCATATAACGGCGTCGATATCGTCAATGATAGTACCATCTTCAAATTCAATCGATCGAGGCCCCACGAATCGCTTCAATCCATGGAGTGACGTCAAAGTCCCGTCCTTAAATGACGGAATGATATTCTCGGCAGCGGCAGCTATTGATAAGGTAACGGAAGGGAATGGTGTAACGCGCCAGGATGGATCGAGTTTACCGTATGTCGAGTATAATACGTATCGACATCCTAGATCTGCAAGAACTCTCATGGCGCTGGGGAAATTACGTTGTAAGAACATGGCAACTTGTCTTCTTCGTCGGGTAGCTAGGAGATCGGCGGGTGTTCCATTTCTCCACTTCTGTATGGCCATCATTCCTCGGCGATGGGAAGCGTATACTTTCTCTGCTGCCGGGATCAACTCCCTTATGATATCCCCCGCGGTGGCCCCGACACCAACGACGACAACCCTCTTCCCTTTAAAATCATCGACCCTATAAAACTAGTCAATTATATAGGTAGTTGACATTTATGCGTTGCGACTTACTTCCGATAAACCTGGGAGTGAATTACGATGCCCTCAAACTTCTCACGACCCTCAAAATCTGGTATTTTTGCCCTCGTTTGGTATCCATGGCAGAACGCGACTTTGTCGTATTCTATTATCTGGAGTTTACCGTCAATAACGACTTCAATCAGCCACTTCGTGTCTTGTTCGTTCCTAACGACTCGCTTTAATAATGCGTTGAACACGATATCCTTCATCATGTCAAAATGCGTGGCATATAGCTCCATGTACTCTTGGAACTGGGCCTGTGTTAGGTGATATGGGTATTCTGCAGGACTGTTAATTGAATGATGTCGCAGACATGGTATAAATGGATGGAAACGAACTGTCAGGCATGGGGAAGTCTGTCATCCCACAAGTGTACTTGCTAATGTTCGCCGTCGTAGCTACGAGGCATTGTGAGTGATGCGCGCGTCTTCACAGCTTGGGGTATCCTTGTATTCTTACATTTTAGAGCTGAAGTCATAGTTGGGTCGTCGGAATAAGCCCAAAGACCACCCACTTGGCTCCGCCTCTCATATAACGTCGCTTTGAAGCCATTTTCGCGCAGGGTCTTGAGCATAGAAAGCCCGCTCGAGCCTGGTATTGATGTTAGCGTGGGGTGTCGATCATGACCTAGAGCGTATATGGCTTTACCTGCGCCGATCACTGCCACCGTAGATTGTTCTTTCATCGCGACGGGAACCTCAACGTCGTACATGAAAAAAATCCAAGTCAAGCTTCGCTTACCTAGATGATTGAGGTGTCATTGTCAACTTTGTAGAGTCGGAAGCTCAGCTCATATGTCAGCAATTAGGCTGGCAATCGAACTACAACACCCTTGTAACGTGGTACGAGACTGAAGTGATGATTGGTTGGATCGCGGAACTACCGGATGGATCATGTATGGTATTGCTTATCAAAGACAGGGGGGATATCGAAGCCTTCACATTCGATATTGAAATGTTGACCAGTAATAAATACCTAGGTAGGTATCTTACGCGTGGATTGATGCGCGCTCTTTCTTTCTTTTATGATGCCGCGATTCGGATAAGGGATATCTTAAGATATTAGTTAAGTGTTGGTGGGATCTGCAGGGTGAGATTTGTAAGTTGACCGAATACTAATAATAACAATAAAGAAGTAAATCTGACCAATCAGATACAAGGAAATCCGAATGCAACTCTGACCCATGTGGCCCACATATCTTAAACAATTTCCACTTCGGACTTTAAGAGGCATTTATCTCCACCATCGCCGTTGCTTGGGAAGTTGACATTTTCAATTATTAGGGAGCGGTCTTTATGACTTGAGCATTTAATACCCAACTGCCAAACGCGTATGATCGCGCCGCACCATATATCCTTACTTCGATAATTATATTTCCTGGTAAGAAACTTCAATATGATGCAGAAATTCGAAACTCTTACGGCCTACCCCCGGCCCAGTTTGGGTGCCTGGAATATTAGGCGACAATTCCTTCAGGAATCCCTCATTGCTCTTCAGCTGAAATCATCACCATAATATGAAACATCACCCAAAACTACATCAAAATGGACCCATGTGCTACGTGTCGTGATTTAGAGCCTCTACCAGGTTTCTCTGGTGGTTTCATTACCGGCGGGACAGGACAGGACTTGAAAGACTCAGGATCTACTTGTCAATTATGTTCGATTCTTTGGGAGGGACTGGAAGTCTTCTGCTTGAATAGTCCAGCCACGGTTCAATGGATGGCGCTTCGCCAGGCAGAAGACTCATTTCGGCTTCAGTATAAAAGATCCTCAGCCGAGAGAGCATGGATGGGCCTTCATTTCTACACAAAATACTGTGGGTTACACCAATCTCGTATTGGGCTCTCCCAGTTAACATTTTACGCAAGCACAAGACCGGTTCTCTGATGTTTTCAAGCCCACCAACGACCTCGAGCCAGATACTGCATGTATCAAGTATCTTTCGCAAATGAAGGGTTGGATTAAGACTTGCGATGAAAAGCACCAGGTCTGCAAGAGTCGTCAGAATAATTATCTCCCTACTAGAGTGTTAGATGTCTCGCGCGACCCGGACAGAATCTTTCTTTACGAGCCAGCGAAAGCGGATAAAGGACCCTATACTGCGTTGAGCCATTGCTGGGGTGGTGTTGTTCCCATTATAACCACAGAGAATACCTTAGATAAGTTCAAGGCGGGGATTTCGATTGAGGCGTTCCCTAAAACGTTTCGCGATGCGATTCTAGTAACGCGGGAGCTTGAGTGTCGGTATATTTGGATTGACTCCCTCTGTATCGTTCAAGATAGCAAGGACGATTGGAGGCATGAAGCTTCGCGCATGGCAGACGTGTACGGTAATTCCTACGTCACTATTTCAGCCACTGCGTCAGAAAATAGTAGTGGTGGCCTTTTCCGTCGGCACGACCCTCTAGACCTTAAACATACGGTCCAGCGTCCTGCCGAAAATGGCGTTTGTGCTACGGTGCATGTGCGTCCAGCATTGGAACACGCACCTTACTTTGCTAGTAGCCCTTACGGACTAGAATCTTCGACACCTGGGCCACTCCTCGAGCGATCTTGGTGTTTTCAAGGTTAGTTAATCGAACTCCCTTCAGGCGCAATCGATTGTAACAGAAAATACAGAATATCTTCTGGCTCCTCGCGTACTATCTTTCACGGAATGGGAGATACTTTGGTTATGTTTATCTAAACGATCCTGCAATTGCGGGGAGTATAATGAGGACATGCGCGATATCGTTGCTGCGAGCGATTTGAAGGCTAGATTTGATACGCAGCTCCGCGATTCTTCACCGAAAGATTTACGTCGACTCTGGCAAGACGTCGTCGAAGCGTATTTGTTAAAGGGTTTAACTTACGACACCGATAGACTACCTGCATTGGCTGGAATTGCGCATTTATTTTCGCAGAGGAGCTTAGGTCGTTATGTGAACGGTCTCTGGGAGCCAACTCTTGTCGCCGATCTTTTCTGGGGTCTTGATTCGTCATTTGCGCAAAACTACGATATCGTTGCGAAACGCACTTTACATCAAGCAATGCCGTCATGGTCGTGGGCGTCTGTTTCCGGATCTTTTCGCTATGCTCCTAGTACTTATGTTTTTGAGGGCATTAAGATCATTAGTATTTCATGGGAACCGATGATATCCAACCCTTTGGCACAGGTTTCTACTAAGACCATAACTATTCGCGGGGTACTCGTCCAGGCTCTCGCTTGGGGCGGAGCAGATTACGAGAAAAATCCCAGCAACCATTATCGACGAGTTCAAATCCACAATGAAAAGGATCACAGTTGGTTGGTAGATGTCACGTCGGAACTTTATTGCGACCCTGACAATCCAGCGGACGTTTACATTTTCAGTGGTACCAAGGGTCCGGGACTCGTTCTTCGCAATGTAAAGGGATCTTCGTCTACATACCAGAGGATAGGCTTCATTGAGGGTTATCCACCTAAGCGGGATGAACGCGGTTCAGAAACCATTCAGATGATATAAGAAGTGTCGCATCAATGAGGCGTGGGCCTCCCGCCATGCGATACCGATCTTGGATGATGAATTGTGAACCCAGAATACGGGTACAATTTTTCTACTTCAGTAAGAAACCGGGAACAAGCGACGAGGACACGATGCCATACTCATGTCTAAAGAATACTGATATACCTATATGGAAGCGGTTATGATGTAATTACTGCAGATTGATCGAAGATTTATAGTTCCTACAGGATACCATTTCAAGTAAGCATGGCCAACGAGTTCTTCGCAGCTGCCTATCATTTAAATTATGAATAAATGAATGTTTTCGCAGAAATGCTTGATGCTGATTGGTGCATGGGGTAGTACTTACCCGGCCGGCAATATAGACTAGAGTGAAGATATATTAAGCAGTTCTAGTGAGGCGGCATTTAAAATGAGAAGCATCATGCTAAAAATAAAGATAGACTCCCATTTCCCCTCTATATACCGATATCGACTTTCTGGATCCGCAGAATACCTAGCCAAACATTATAGCCAAGGCCTGAAGTACGCTCAACTTCGCAACTCTCCTTAACTGACGATCAGTTACTGTTTAGTCATACTTCGAGAAGCTCTTACGATGAGGTCACATTGGAGTTCCGTACTGGCGGGCGCCGGATTCCTTATGCCGGTTTCTGCCCTGCTACGCTTTTCATGCTCCCAGCTCGTCGTCGAACGTCTTGACCCTCTGGTCAACCCAGGCGTGGTCGGGTCTCCTCATCTTCACCAAGTCATCGGAGGGGTACGCACATGTGTCTAACATAGAACTACTAGAGTGTACACTTAACTAACCATTACCTGTCGCAGAATTCTTTCAACGCATCGATGGACCCAAAGACCCTAGACATCCCCGGTGAAGCTACCTGCACGACTTGTACCTTTGCTGAAGACTTCTCCAACTACTGGACTGCTGTCATGTTCTTCCGCGCACGGAATGGAACGTATAAGCGTGTTCCGCAGAAGGGAAATGTATACTTCGAAGAGTCAAATGGTGGCATGACCATTTACTACATACCAAGCTACAATAACACCAAAGTGACCGCGTTCAAACCTGTAAGTTCTCGTTATTCCTCTCGGAACTTTATTACACAGCATGCTTATAATCACCCGAGGGCTTCCGAATGATTACCGGCGATCCTACTATACGCACTAAAGAGGAGGCAGAGAGATACCGTCAACTCACATAGTAAGTACAAGCTGATGGAGCTCAGGTAGTAAACTCGAATTGCGAGAGGACGTATCTTCCACCAATTTACGGCTCTCAACCTCCATATATACCCACTATAGGGTTGTCAGATGTGGTCACTTACATATATCTTCATAGTACCTGTCTTCAAGATCCCATGACACGAACGGGCGAAACACTTGATATGCCTAAAAAGCCATGCCCCGCTGGTATCATGGCTAACCTACGTTTCCCAACGTGAGTTCCTCGTCTTTTACCCCAAAGAATCGCCTGCTAAGCTGCTTAGTTGCTGGGATGGTGTCAACTTGGACTCCCCGGACCACTCAAGCCACGTCTCGTATCCTGAGAGTGGCACATTCGAACAAGGAGGGCCATGTCCTGCAAGTCATCCTGTGAAGGTACAATATTTTAACGCTCTATTTACTCTCATTACTAAATATTTTCAAGATTCCCCAATTGTTCTACGAAATCGTATGGGACACTACTCCATTCAACGATAAGTCCGAATGGCCGGAAGACGGTTCCCAACCGTTCGTTTGGAGCTATGGTGACGCCACGGGGTTCGGAAACCACGGTGATTACATGTTCGGTTGGAAAGGCAACGCGCTGCAAATCGCTATGGATACGAACTGTAACGGTTTTCAGTGCCCAGAGTTGAAGTATCAGAATATTGCCGAGGGGAACAAGTGTACGAAGAAGAGAGATGTAAACGAAGATGTTGATGGCTGTAAGTATTTTGATCTACTACCATATTCACATGCTAACAAGGAGACTTAGGGCTTACTGAACTGCCGGGTGGTATGCCAGTCACTGATGCGAGCGGAAAATCGATTTTCTAAAGCCATCTATTGGTCGTTAATGTAGAATTACATATTTCGCTCCCTCTTCTGCTATAACCGCAATATCATAAAATCTTTATGACTCAAAAAGCTCGGAGAAAAATCGCAATATGGTTTGCATCTCTTTGTTGTCTACTATGGTGCCCCGGAGATGTTTCCGGATGTGTTCAATCATTATCATTCGACAATTAACTTGTAACAGTCCAATTGTCTTATACGTTCGGGTGCCAACAAAGGAATTCATGTTACTCGTGAAAGAATCTGTTTAATAATTTCTATTTTCCAGAGTATTAAATAGTTCGGTTTGGGCCGTGGTATGGCCAGAGGTAACCAAATGCGTCACTTTTAGCGTAGGTAGCTTATGGCACTTCCCGCGAAAACCAAAGACATAGCAATCATACGTAAAGCTCCACCCCGTAACTACGTTAGGATAGCCATGGCGCCCAGACCGGACACCGACACCGACACTCGCGAAGGTATTCTCAACGGTGAATGGAACCAAGACCCTTCATGGCTCTGGCCTGCGTCGCTGTATCAGCCGTACTGTTTGTTCCATTTCCTTAAAGAATGCTCTCTCTATCATATTTACCAGTCAGAATGGTTCAAACTCACGACACGAACAACTAAAAATCCCAGGATATTCGACAGGCCACGGATGTATGGAAGGGGGCGAGTACCGAAAAAGTATTCGAGGAGTAACGTGAAAAGACCAACTAGAAGTCGAGATAGTTCTCCATGCAGTGATACGTCCGACAATTCGTCCCCCCATTTCAACCAGCTTCAGCTTTCTCTACCCTGGCCAGTTCACAAGACACGATTGGAAAACCTGATCAACGGTATCTATTTCAAGCTCTTAGATGAAAGGACAGCAAACGAAGAGAACATTTACGAGTCTAGCTTAGTATGTCGATACTGTAGATTCAATGCTAATGCTGAGGACACTGATGAATCTGGGACTAGAAAAGTAACACCCCCGGCGCCAATGCATCACATCCGACCAGAGGACATCAAAAAAGAACATGTCGGTAAATTTGGAGGTATTACATTTGCCATCGATCCATCTGGTGACGATATAGTCGTTATTCTCCTAGGTATGGAGCAACTCGATCATCCTGTTCGCGAAGTACCAATAGGGCCGAGAAGGGAGTCTTTCCGGGTCGTTGATCGGCTCGGACGTAGAAATGAGCAATACTTAAACAAATAGTAGTAACCTAAATGATATAAATTTCAAGTAAAATGAAGTTTGTAACCAACCTAGATGGGGATTCTATAATTGTGTTGTATTGCCTTTACATAAACTTATAGGTGTAAATGCTGTAAGTTCAACTTCTTATAATAGTTTCTGCTGAATTCAAATCCACGCCACGATTCCCTTGTGTAACATCCAACTAACAGATTGGGTTAGCATTGATGCGGGTAACGTCGGCATCACCATCCCGGAGCCCACGAAGAGCTGGACCGAAGAAGAAAAAAAAACGCAATTTCAATTTTCGATTTCCGATCCAGATAGAGGGTCTTAAATGACTTGCTTATCCAATAGGGTGTTTCCGAAGGAGATTACGGGAGGGACCAGGTTTAAAAGTTAAGCATATGAGAAATCGCGTGCCTCTTGTGGCGACATCAGGGGGAAAGAGAGATGAAGAATTCTTTTTTATACGAGTTGTGAAATGTATAAATAAACATCTAGGTGAATGATGAGATTGGTTGGACCTAATGATGTTATTAGAAGTAACTTGGCATATCTTGGATATTAAAGCACCTTCCATATTGATCGTGAAAGTCTAATTGTGTGATTTTCCAGCTGCTTTTCGAAATCACAGTTCGTAGTGGCTTATGGGCTGAACTTTGTTTAATGTTACATCGTGAAACTCCGAAGAAGTGGTAAACTTGTAAACTTACTCTGCTTAGCTGCTTAGCCACCCCTTTTTAGTGGGAGATCACAAGGTTTCGTTTGCGTGCGATGGCGTGCGACCGCCAAGCATCCACAAGAACCTCACAAAACTTAGAGACCCGCGCATTACTTATACCGTTATACGTAATGGACATCTCCTGATCCAGAATCCTACAACATCCAAGAGGCTCTGGACTTAGGACCTTGTCCTTCCACTTGCCTATGTTGACATCAATAACATGCATAACATATGATTATCGCTGAATTAAATAGGAAGTATTTTCCATCTTGGATTTTTATTTGAATTATTTTATCTCATTCATTTGCGATCGTATCGTACCAGGATGGTGTCAACAGAAGCGACGAAAGACTCGGACCGCGACACGAGGGAACTCACCGTCCCTACGGACGAGGAGTACGCGTCTTCGACGAATGATGGAGTTCAACAATTCGCCTACTCCGACTCGCGGAAGATTGGTATCACTGGAGCTGTGTTCTTAATTCTCAACAAGATGATTGGAACAGGAAGTAAGCTCTGTCGCATTCCTACGACTACCTACCTAGGTACTCAAGTAGAAATCAACTCACCAACTGTTTCTAGTTTTCTCAACTCCGTCGGCCATCTTCGCAGCAACCGGTTCAGTTGGCATATCCATTATACTATGGATCGTTGGGGGTATCATCACGTTCTGTGGTCTTAGTGTGTTCCTCGAGTTTGGGTTGGCCATCCCGCTATCTGGTGGTGAGAAGAACTATCTCGAACGAGTTTACCGCCATCCACGTTACCTGGCTTCATGCGTTCTAGCAGCGCAGATGATTTTACTTGGTTTCTCATCTGGAAATTCCCTTGCGTTCGGCCGATATGTCTTGGCTGCGTCTGGAAGCACGGAAGGAGATGGTTGGACCGCCCGTGGTATAGCGATCGCTTGTATTACTTTTGCCGTTGGACTTCACTCGACTCTGCCGAAATGGGGATTGAGATTGGTAAACATTCTGGGAGTGTTCAAGGTCGTAATTCTGGTTTTCATCGTCTTCTCGGGATTTGCCGCCATTTCTGGTCGACTTCTTGTCCCACCACCAGGGAATTTCAAGAACGCGTTTGCCATCGAGGTAACTGAGAACTACGGCGGCCAAGGCGCTTACGGTTATGCGACTGCGCTGCTCCAGATTATATACAGTTACAAGGGCTGGGAAAACGCCAACTACGTGCTTGGAGAACTGAAGAATCCCCGCAAGACACTTGCGATCGCGGCGCCCATTGCGATTGGCGGCGTCACGATCTTATACGTTCTCGCCAACGTGGCATATTTCGCGGCGATAAACAAAGACGACCTGGCTACGTCTGAGGTCTTGGTGGCGGGTCTATTCTTCCGAAATGTGTTTGGTGATAGCGCAGCCGCTCGAGCCCTCCCCGCGTTCGTGGCATTGAGTAACTTGGGGAACGTCTTGGCTGTGAGTTTCGCGCATGCCCGACTCAACCAGGAATTTGGAAAAGAAGCTCTCCTTCCATACGGTAAATTCTGGGCATCTATCAAGCCATTTGATGCCCCGGCAGCTGCAGTAAGTAAACCGAAGCTCTTTAAGTATATCATCTCGTACTGATTAAACACAGCTTTTCCTCCATTGGCTTATTACGGTGATCGTACTCGTAGCTCCGCCCGCTGGACCTGCGTACAACTTCCTCGTCAATCTGTACACCTATCCTGGTGCGTGGATCAACGGCTTCGTCTCTGCTGGTCTCATCTATCTTCATTACAAGAAATCCGAAAATTGGACCTCGCCGTGGCATACCTACCTTCCTATCGTCGCATTATACTTATTGGCCAATATTTTCCTCGCTATCGTCCCATTCATCCCACCAAACGGGGACTGGAACGCCGAGGGCTACCCCTATTTCGTGTTCCCTGTTGTCGGAGTCGGTGTGTTGATTCTTGGTGGGATATACTGGACTTGCTGGTCCAAGATTTGGCCTGCTATTGGTGGATACCGAATCGAAGCACACCGAATTGTGGAAGACGATGGTAAAGAAGTGGTTCGGTATCGGAAGATCAAGACGAGGTAGAGATGATAAATAGATGTGGTCGGTGGGGTAGAAGAAGAGTGTCCTGATAATGATATCCCAACTTAGAGATACCTACCTAGGTATTGATTGGAGGCAATATTCTGTATCGGCATAGAGTAAGGTCAAAATATCATCAATGATTGCCTTTGGTGTTTTGTAGCCACCCCCGTCGTATAAGTAGTCCCCCGCCACAGTATTCTCTATCAAGCCAAGCTCTCCTCTTTTTTTTTTTTTTTTTTTTTTTTTTCATAAAAAAGCCACCAACCCCCACTCTATTGATTCTTCGTCAAGCCCTCCTGGAAATGGTTAATAACATGGAATTTTACTGTTTGCTGCCTGACCGAAACCTACGCCTAAGATGAAATTTTCAGCCTGTGCGACCAAACGCTCCAAGGTTCAATCAGAGTCCGAACGCCTCTCCCCTTCTTCTCTTCTCTGACACCCAACCCTCTCTGCCGTTCTCGTATTACCCGCCTCTGATACATTTCTTTAGCGAATTTTCCCGAGCTTCTGGTCTTATAGCGTCAATTGATGACAACTCATGGTTAACTCTGATTGGTTCTACTCTGGTAGGGGAGGTACGGCTCTTAGCGGTTAAGAACAATGCTTGTATTGTAACACAAATCGTAAAACGGGTAGCAACTCCACAAACTTAAATATTTAGGATACTACCTTCGAAGGCGCAATCAAATTATTTGCATGTATCTCCAGGCAGGTAGGAAGGTAAAGAAGGTTAGATGTATACACCAGGGGAGGCGCTAACTGCATGATAATCCATGTTCATGCACGTCTTTCCCGTCACACAAGCAGCGGGGAAGCTGCATCTAGATTGATCATCGGACAGGCAAGTTCGAACCAGATACGGCAATCGCGCCTATCTTTCTGTACGTACCGACGTATCTTTTTCCTTTCTCGCTGCTAAGCTTTTGCTAAGGTCCTGCTATCTTTCCTTTTTTTACCTCAGATTTTTCAACTTCGTGACAATTCGCTCGCTTTCTATTCCCCCATCACCTACATCCCAGCACATCAATTGTATGTGGATATGTATATGTAGGAAGTCGGTACATGTAAGAGCCTCGATTGGTATGGTATACCCTGGCACTCGTTTTTTTTTCAATTCAATAATTTTTTCCTCTCGTCTCTATTTTTCTTTTTCTCGTCGGTTCTGACACCGGAGAACGAGGAGCAATCCCAATCCCAATTCCTTTTCATCCACCCCAACTCACATTTCCACTCTTCATTTACTCCGGTTTCATTCAAGCCATGGCGCCATTGATATCCGGTTAGACTATCGCCTCTTCATATTTCCAATCCGTGATTGGTCACAACTCCCCGTCACACCGCTGCTAAGCGTACGTACGGGGTATCAAAGTTAAGCCCTGGTATTCGGGGTACGGCCCGGTGCGCGTTGTGTCTCTTCTGTGTTGAGGTGGGTAACTCTGCGTCTTCGGCGAATTTGTTCTGTGGCGTTCTACGGTGCTTTCTGGTGCGGAGAAGCAGCTGAGAGCTTGCATATCTCGTTTATAATCTGGTTCAAACGGGAGCCACAACAAGTCAATTTTTCCGCTTACTCGTCTATTTTTTTTCCTTTTTTTTATCTTTTTTTTAATCCCATTTATTCGTTTTGCTGCCGTCCCTTTGATCGATCGACACTTAGTTCTCTCAGTTGGATTTGGGTCGCGGACCTCGAAATGTCTAGATAAGGTAGTCGGGGGTTGGCAATTGGAACAAGCACAATTCCATCTCGACTTACCTACCTAATACTTTAACTTATACCTCCGTAGTTGTCCCATAACCGTTCAATATCTGAACTAGATATGGCCGACGAAACGCCACCGGGCGATCATAGAAGTCCTGTCGGCAAACTGAACAACGCCATCTCCGACTTCGCTACATCCTATGTGAAGAATGAACTACAGCAATTAACTCGAGAAAGTGACGATGCTTTGGCGCGCAGCCACGTGCCTAAACTGCGAGCCCTCCTTAGAGAGGTCGATAGGGAGCGCCACGCCTTCGAACAGGGCAAGGAGAAGTTAATTTATGATCTGCGCAAAAAGTTGGAGCTTCTCGAGGTCGATGCTCAAACTATCGAGGCCACTCTCGCCGAACTTAGTCCCTTCATCCCCAAATACCTAAGAATCATCCCCAGCGCTTCGACCCTGACCGTACGGCCTCCAACGCCTCCAGTTCGAGATAATTATTTCAATACCGTCCTCAGTGCCGATCTCATATCCAGTGCGCCTCCTCCTCCAGACACGCCAGTTATTGAACAAGGGATGCCCTCGACTCCATCGAAGGCTCATCGTCCGAGCCCATCAACAATTAATGTTTCCCCTGGCGCAGTACCCAATATTGACTACCAAGTTCAGAATCAGATCCTGTCTGAGAACTCTACAGCCCACCAACACTCCAAGAGAGCTAGCTTAGATGAAGATGGCAGCGCAAGTGCGAAGAGACGAAAAGTAGATAAAAAGGTATGAATTAGAGGAGTTCCTTATAAATTTGCCCTATGATGGACTCACATACGACTAGGCTCTGAGTCGGAGCCAATCAGATATTTTTCGCAAAATCGCCTTTCCGAATTTGGAGACAAAAGAACGTATTTTCCGCCACTCGGAGCGTCCAGGCTTCTTCGTCATTCGATGTAATCGACCGAATTGCCCAACGGGATTCTTTACGGATCCACCATTAGCATATAATAGAGCTGTGAAGCACTTCCAAAGCCACGGGGAGGTGGGAGAGGATGACGAGGAGCTTACGAATGAATACATCTTTGAGCATTTCGCGTGCGAAAGTAGGTGATGTCTTTTATGACATATTCTTGTAGGTACACGGGGCTAATTTCGATTCGCAGTCGAAGGTTCTAGCCTGGTTAGTAAGTACTGGATTAAGGAACACCTTGGTCCGGTGCCGCATACCTGTAGGTTTTTCTCGTTTAGTCACCCTCTGTAGTAGTCATATTGATTTGAATTGGTCGCCATTGGAGATGAGTTACTAACGCCGATAGTTATCCCCGGGAAGTCAAGACCAAGAAATAGCCAAGGCGATTCCCCTACTTCTCGCAAGCGACAAGACGACGATAAAAACTATACTCCATCTAATAGACCGGAAATTCATACCGTGGATGACTCGGATGGAGATGAGGACGAAGAAGACGTAGAAGTTGAAAAGCCGCGCCGCACACCTCGAAGTGTACCTCGTCCAGACTACGCAGAACTGGTTGCTAATAAAGACCCTTGGAGTACCGTGGACCTAGACAGCGACGTACGCTACCTCATAAACCCGCCCCTTACGGTGTAATTATTGACGTGCGATTATAGAGGTCTATCCCCCGTATTATGAAGGAGCACCGCCTGCCTACTAATGGCATTTCCAAGTCCTCGAGGTCTGGAAGTAGCAGATCGTCAAGTATTTCGAAAAGATCCACTCCGGGCCCATCATCGACGAGAGCGAAGACAACGGAACCGAGTAAGTACGTTCAATGTCTACTCCATCACGAATAAGTGGCCATAGTCTAACAAGTCCTAGACCGTTTGGGTATACCTCAGAACAATGGCCGAGGCGATCCGCGCCCAGCTAGAGATAATCGTCATTTCCGTACACCACGTGTCTCGCTTATTGATGGTCACCTATTGAAGATCACGTTAGATCTAATGCGCGGATGAAGAAATGGAGATTTGCTGTTTATTTGCTCGTTTGCATTGCATTGCTACTTGATGGGGATCTGTTATACCCCATGTTATGGCCTTTGGGAGATGGAGGGACTTTGCATGAAAGGGGCATACATGTTTGCAGTGTTAGGTCGGTGTCTGTTAGTATCGCTTACATAACGTAGACCAGAGGTACGCCTGCTGGACGTAGATAATGTTCATACGATTTAAACTGGCTATAATTGCCGTATAAATCAAGAGATATATACGTTACGCTCGGTATGTATATATATTTCGTCAAATGTCTAGTGCGATGCAATTTCGATGCGGCCCCCTACTATCTCTGCTATATAAACGTATCTAGATTATCCTCGTGTATACGTCGCCTTCTATGAGATTTCTGTATATCCTAGCCAATATCTATTTTGTATATGCGGGCTAAAACATATCCAAAATATAATCTCTAAATTCTCGATCTATTTCGCATGATCTATATGTAAGGACGCATACCTCCATAGACTGATAATCATTAATCACAACTTAGCCCGTCCACCACTAAGCGCATCCCAATCGCGCGGTCCGAACGGTACGTAGGAGTCGCCTTTAGCAAAATTATCGACCCAGAAAACGGGATCGGGCGCGGTGCGAGATGGGTCAGCGCCAGCGCGTTTTAGAGGTACTTTATCCTGCTTGTTGTTGTGGGTGGCAGAGCGCGCGGGGATGCGGCGGATGAAGATGGGGACGGCATATTTGGGGAGGTGGGCGCGGGCGTGTCTATTTCTTTTGTTAATATGATCTGATCGTGAGTAGAGGGGGGATCGAAAAATAGGATAGAATTAATGAAGAAGAGGGGTGAGTGAGGTCAGTGGCGCTTTTAAAAGGGGGCGTGTATTTATATTGTGTATCGTATTCGGTACTCCGTAGTATTGGTGGCGTTTCTGTGCGGAGACCGGTGTGAAGCAAGAGGGGGAGGGAACGAAAAATGAGACAAACGGGAGGTTGTTCAGAAAACACTGACTTTAGTAGACCGTTGTAATCGAATGACTTTACAGCCGGATCTACGAATATAGCCGCCATACCAGCCTTACCATCGTGATTCGGCAACGACACGCCATACACGGTTGCTTCGCTCACGCCTGGGTATCGGCCTAGCACCTCGGATACTTCCGCTGTCGAAACGTTTTCGCCCTTCCATCGGAACGTGTCACCTAGACGATCTAGGAAAAACCAACGTCCATCGTCATCGCGTCGTAAAGCGTCACCCGTTCGGTAGTAAAGATCGCCCTTACGGAATACATCGCGTACGTATTTCTTCGATGTTGCCTCCTCATTGCCATAGTAACCTGGGAATGCAGGAGTTATGGTTGGTGGTTGTGCGACCAGAATTTCTCCGCCTATCGAGTACGGCACACGTCGCGCGAACCCCGTCTTCGGATCCCTTGCGATATCTCCCGTATCTACGTCTATCTCGACCGGAACAAACACATTATGGAATCGCCATCGCTGTAGAAAGCCATGGTGGCCAACAGCATGAGCGCGGAAATCACCACGTGCGGGGTTATCGAGGGGCATGATGCCCTCGGTTGAATTGAAGAATTCGAAAATCATCTCGATGCCGAAGCGATCGCGGAATGGCTTCCAGACATCTGGACGCAGACCGTTGCCGTATATGGAATGCACGTTATGCTCCTTATCCCGCGGCGACGGCGGTGCAGCGAGCAAATATCGGAGTGTTTCGCCGACATATACGAACCACGTAGCGCGACTCTCACGGATATCATCCCAGAACCCGGATGCGCTGAACTTGGGTGCGAGACATAGCGTCTGGCCTGTTAATAACTGCGTCATACCGCTGATACCGCCGGTGCCATGGTACAACGGCATACAATCGTAATATCGCTGGTCTTCGCCCTTGACGTAGGAGAATCCGCAATCTTTACTTGCGCCGTACCCAAAACCCGCTGCGATTGGTAGGATGCACGCTTTGGGTAGACCCGTCGTGCCGCTCGTGTAGAACAGCCCAAATGCTGAGTTGGCGCGCACGTTCTCGTCGCGTAAGGGGTCTGCGGGTCGCTCGCCTTTCGTCGCATTAATGGTTGCGCGCGCATCGGCGAGTTTAATGATGCGGACTCCCTTGGAATTTAGCTCATCCTTGACGGCGTCGAGACGCTCGAGAAGTTGCGGTGCACCGTCAGCGAGGACGAGTTTTGTCTTGGCGATACCGAGGCAGTGGAGTAGCGCTTGTTTGGTTAGATTATGGTTAATGAGTGCAGGAGCCGCACCGATAGCTAGCAGGCCCATCCATGCGAACACGAAGTCGGGACTGTTAGCCATGAATAGAGCGACGAGATCGCCGGGTTGAACGCCTTCGCGAAGAAACCATTGCGCGTATTGGTTCACGCGGTAGTACGTCTCGGCGTATGTGAAGCTACCTTGGCGCGACCAGATGCATTCTTTACCGGGTTGGGTTTGCGCGTGCTTTTCGAAGAAGTAGTATGGTGACAGACGCTTTTCTTGGACTGGATGGTGGGTGTGAGTGAGATATGTTCGTTGTCTAGGTGCCATTGAGGGTTTGGTTGGTTGGTTGGTCAGACTTACTCGCTTTTTGGAGTTGTTTTGTACCCCTGGCCTTCGAGCGGATGGCTTGCCAATCCTGTCGCAAATTGTATTTACCATCGAGATACGTGAAGCCGGCCGCGGTGGCAGCTACCGATGCTGCTGCTGCGATGATCCGTTAGTTCATGTTGTTGCGATGCGATGCTGTGGGGTATGAAGCGTGTGAAAAGACGGCAGCATGTCTCGGAACCCAGACCGAAGCTATGTTGCGTCGGTTATGGAGGGGTCGGGAAGCTCACCGATTGCCGCCATCCTCTTCTCGAAACTTTTTGGTTCAATGTCTCACCAAAAAAACGTGGCCGGAGACAACAAACATGGAACAGTAAGCTCGGGGTTTACTACTATCGCAAGAAATCTAGCACCAAAACTTAAGGTCGCATTCTAGATCCAATCGTTCTTACTACCAGAGATCAACCATCGAAATTCCAATGGAAACATGATTTTAAAAAACAGCTCAGGGGTATAAAAGAAACAAAAAGGAAAAAAGTCAAGACGCGCCATCAGTACAGCCGAAGGGTGACCTCGGGATTTTAGCTCGATTTCTCCGTTGGACGAGGGTTAGAGAGACGGCAGTTTGTGGGGGACAGGGGGGTCTGACAAAGAAGCTAAAGAGAGAGCAAACAGACACTCATATGTAGTTCGGGTTTATTCGAGGTCCCTCTCTCCCTTCGCTATTTCAGGGGTAGTAGTACTAAGGCACAGTGGTGGTTGGCTGTTAGCGAGGAAAAGAAAAGATGTGGGGGAAAACAAGGGGGCCAAGCTGAGCTACACGATGATAGTGTAGGTGCGCATACACTAAACAGCTCACGTACCGTATAGGTATTAGCCGTTGGAGATTCGCCCCGCATTTTCCGGATCTGTTGTTCGGCAATATTAAGAGGTATGTTTTCTAGTAGAGACAAACTGCTTGATAGATGGGAATTTTACTTGGTAGTTGCGTAGCTCCTATTTCTATCACTGGCAAATAAGGATATTGTGGCGATTACAATGCTAGATAATCATACGCGTAGGTATAAGGTAAAAATAGCAATTAAAATTAATACGTATACGACGAGATGCCTCTAAATCGCCAGTTCGCTCATTACTGACGGTGCCCGGGCCCACCTGCTCTTCCGGATTTCGTTCATCCCAATTGCCTTCGGTGCTACGTAATCCCGACTCTTATCTTACGGTGGGGCCGGATGACGGTTTCCTTCGAAATAAAGTTAACAAGGACGCCGACTGCTCCGAGTAACGTTCTCCACTCCGGACTTTCCTCGCTCGTGGCTCCCTTTCCGTCGTCCGAGCCACTCAGGTATCTAAGACAGCCAACAATACCAGCCATGCTATAATACCAGTACAGTAATAAGAGCATCAAAGACAACCATAGGGACTGTCATCGGTGTTGATTTAGGATCAATGAATTGTTTAGCCTTACTGAAATGGTGTCGGGACAACCGGAGTATAGGTTGACTAAGGAGAAGTAGACTGAAAATATGAACCAAGGACACAACGGGCACCGCAGGACGGGAGGAAAGACGAGAAGTATTAACGACTTCCTCCTTTCCCCTGCTAGATACGCACGCATGAATACCTCCCCAAGTACTTTCCTAAGTAAATACCGAATCGAACACCTCTTCTTGATTACAAATTGGGTTTGACTTCCCTATCAATGGTCGTGACAGGGTGAATGTGTTCGAATCACGTATTGGGTAGGCACACTTAGAAAGAGATACTACAGGTATGCTATGAACCGTAGTGATGCCTACTATATACTTACATTTCCAGCTACCCAACGAAATACTATGGTCATTGTTCTTTCCATATCTCTCCCTATTTGCAAGAGTTCCCAGGATAGCTAAAGAGATAGGAGCCATCCAATGCGTCTCCCCCTTCCCGTTCATAGCGAGCACGTAGGAGATCTTAGCTATAAATAGCCACCGATTATTTCCAAGGTCGTCCTCAAGCACAACCCGTTTTTAGATACTTTGTGAACCTCCCCAACCAAACGAAGCATGAAATCTATAAGCTTCTCTTGTTCGTTGGCCACTTTTACATGCCCGGAGAGGATTGGGACCCGCGTTCTACCAGCAAAAAAGGCGATTACTACACCCAGATCTTCAGACCTTACCATTTTGCGGAGCCAAATACTCAGCGATACAAGCACTACCGCCCTGCTTTGTACGGTGTAAGTTCCTGGCATCTATATTAGGCTTCATTGTATTATAAATATTGTGACTGATGATTTCCAGGATCGACTTACTCTAGCCGAAAATTATACCCCTGGCCTTCTTCAGGCCGTCAGCTAGGAGATGCAAAGACAAGCTGAAGCAGTATTCTTCAGCTACAATACGTTTGTCGTCCCGGTCGGCCAGATCAACAGCCACCAGTTCTTGAGCCTATACTAGGCAACGAGCGGACAGGATTTTCTCTTCTATGTGAAGGATTTAAGCCTGGCATTCGACTTTCGAGATTCCACATTTAAGCCAGCTTCTTACGACTACGCAGCACTGCCCTCCAACGAAGACGACTTGCTTGAAGGACAGTACCAAAGATCCCTGGGTACATTGGAAAATGTTTGGCGGCATCGCATCCAGTGTCTACGCCAATGGACTAAACTACGTCGACTGCAAGTTGATTTCTGGGGCTGTCATAGGGGTCCAGATCTATACAATGCCATTCGTATGACCTCATGGGTGTGCGTAGAACTTGGCCAAGGATGGACTAGAGGCGCGCCAGAGGTCGCTGAGGTTATGGGTCGGAAGAGTGAAGAAGAGAAGTTAATGATTTGGAATCATTTGCTTGGTGCCGGCGTCTATGCGGAAAATATTAAGTTCATACCAGCTCAACCGAACCCGCCTATAGAAAAAATTCTGAGAAGGTGTACCGATGCTGTCCTTCGTGTCTTGCAGGACACAACTTAGAGGGAATGGACATGAGGATACCTAAATGAGTATACGCTCATTGGTTTGGACTTGAGGGGCTGGAACTCGAAGGATATGGGTGTTATGACACCTGTAGCATCCTGATAGGAAGACATCACCAACACATGTATGGACGAAGGTTGATAGGTCCGCTGGAAACGCTGGAAGCGCTTTACTGCATATAAGGCACCAACACAGCTCTTGGCAGTCTCGTATCCAAAAAAGGAAGCTGTACTGAATATGTACTGAATATCATGCACTGCCGTCAGGCAGCATAAAAGGAGTAGCTTCTCCCGAAGGGACTTGAGGGAGGAAGATGGGGCAAGCAGATCCTAAAAAGATTATAGCTACTCAATATATTGCCTTATCCCCATTTTGACAATGGGCCCCTAGACTTCTATGACTGCGATGATTTTATTTTCAGCAAAAATAAAAAAAATGCAAATGATTTTCATGCCATTCTTGTCATGGATGTGACTAGGAATATGTAACCATGATGCCACCACCATAGCAATACAGCCCATATTTGGATCACCCTAACATTTACTTGTCCTCTTCGATTTCTGCTCCTTCGGGAGCTGTGAAAGGGGTATCCTGTGCTTTCCAAGCTTGCGTTACATATTTCGTATGACTTCCCCTTGCTGCAAGTTCACCTTTCGCATTCTTGAAAGTGACAGAAGTGTATGCTAGTGTCTTGCCCACTGGATGTCACGTTAATTATTTTGCTCCCAGGATAAATGGGGGCATATGCTCACTCTTGTCACAAATTGCTGTAGCACTAATCTTGTCGCCAACCTTGCCGCCGCCGCTCAGGTATGTAACTGAAGACAGTAAATAACATTGAAATGTGGTATGGATATCCGAAGATGTGTCATTGGGGAGTCTCGGACTCATAACATACCATTTAGATCTGTTGATACACCAGTAGCGTAAAGGCCCATTGATGCAACGGCAAGTGAACCTCCTAAGTCAACCATGCTAGCAATTGTACCACCGTGTATGATCTTCAACCGATTCTACATAACAATTGATGAATATCGACCTTGTATTGCAATCAATGGCATCTTACTGTATGATCCTTGGTGATATCCAGCTCGAAGTCCACCTTACCAGCGGCAGCATTGGTAACTCTAAACTAGTATTATTAGTAGATTAAAATCATTGGTATATTCGTCGGTACCTTACGTGAGGTCCTAGGAGTCTTTATGAATGCGGTTAGCGAAAAGGGGTAGTGGTGGTTTGGAGCCTCTTATCGAATTACCTCGGCTCCAGGCCAGATTCGGCCATGAACGATTTTAGGACCTAAAATGAAAAGTGATTAGTAATAAATCGTATCTCTTAATGATATCACATAACTGACCGATCTAACAAATCTAAGTGGAGGCAGTTTTTGCGCCATTGTAACTACATGTAATCTTTAATGGGAGAGAAGGTAGAGATGGAAGTTCGGATTGAAGGAATACATAAATCCCTTATCGGTACATGCACATGTACGTAGCCGTCATTAAGTGGGACACTGTGTTCACCATCACTCACCTTACCTGACCTAAGCTCACCGAGAACTCCACTCATCGGAGGAAATAAAGTGGAGACCGGCGCGACTGGACATTTCTTGCGACTTTTCGTCTTTTTTAACCGCCCAACTTAAGCTTCAACACCAATTATTTATTTTGCGCCGACCTGATAAATACGGCATTTCTACTTGCACAACATGGAATAATCTTAGTTATTACATCATGGCTGCAATTCTAATACCATCCGAACCTCCGAATACCTCCACAATTAATTCTATCCCATACACGCGGCTACATATTACACCTTTGGACGAATCGCTACTCGGCGTGGTTGTCCCCTCCTCTGTCTTACCTCGAGCACGAAATATTTCATACCATACCATAGAAACATTCCCCGAAAAGCGATACGGTTTCGTTGAGCTTCCTACCGCGGACGCTGATAAGCTAAAAACGAAGCTCAACGGAGCTGTATTAAGAGGAGCCAAGATGCGCATCGAGAAGGCTAGACCGGAATCCATTCCGGAACCCAGAGGCGATGCGGATGCCACAGAAACTAGGAAAGAGAAGAAGAAATCAAAGAAGAGGAAGCGCGAGATTGATGTCACGCCTGGTGTTGAACTCGAGGGTCGCAAGGTCAAGCGCGGATGGACAACATCGGAACGCGAGATGATTGATGAGAAACGAAAGAAGTCCAAGAAGGATAAGAAATCGAAAGATAAAGATGCAAAGAAGAAGAAAAAGGAGAAAAAGAGGGAAGTAAAATCAAAGTATACGGATGGTCCTGAATGTTTATTCAAGACTAAGCTCCCTGATGTTGGCTCATCATCGAAAGACAATGAGGAGGCCACAGAACACAAGAAAAAGAAGCGAAAGAGTGATCGCGAGGTGGTTGTACATGAGTTTGAGAAAACGACGAAGCACCCCTCGTTTCTTAAAGCGAATGTTGAGAAGGTCAACTCGGGAGCTACAACTTATGAGGATGGTGTTGGTTGGGTGGATGAGAATGGAACTATTGTCGAACCCATAGTCAGCAAGCGACCGCGTAACGTCACTTCGAAACTGACCAAGACGACTAAGACGAAGTCAAAAGTAGCCGAGCCTGCACCCCCAGCAGAGGAAGACGACGATACAAGCAGTAGTGGTTCTTCGTCCGAAGATTCAGAAGATGATAGCGTTTCTGACGGGAATGCTGACAGTTCGGATGAAGAAGAGACGAAAATGAAACCACCCCCCAAAGAACTCAAGCTAGAAACCCAAGTATTAACAAGTCCTGTGTCAATCATGAAGCCAGACTCCGCAAGACCGAAATCATCCAGTTCAATCACCAGTCTCACTATCAAGATACCACCCGTTACACCTTCTGCGACAAAAGTGCACCCTCTTGAAGCATTATATAAGAAACCTAAAGGAGACACAAGTACGCCCGGCGGAACTACGAAAGAAGCTGAACCGTTTAGTTTCTTCGACGAAGAGGATGATGATATCGAGGAAGATGACAATACTACTATGGGACCACCAAGCCAACCTCCCATGACTCCTTTCACTAAGCAGGACTTCGAGTTTAGGAACTTACGTAGTGCTGCCCCGACGCCGGATACGGCACATCCCGGTCGGACTTTCAATCTCTGGCCTAGACATGGTTCGGCAGATGATAGAACGGATGGTGAAGATGACGATGACGAAGAAGAGAACGGGAATGATGGAGATACCACTATGACTGGTACTAATAACGAGGTGGTAACCGATGGCGATAAGCAAACTCCTATCAGTGATTTCCAGAAGCAATTCTGGGAAAGCCGAGGCGATTTAAATCGTTCGTGGAGGAAACGAAGAAAGGCTGCTTCGAAGGAGAAACGATATAGGGAAAACCGTTCTCGCGCAGAACGAGCTATTTAGAATCAAGCAATTCTCAACAAGTCACAACATTTGTTCAGTGCACTAATTAGCTACCTGGGTACTGAGGCATTTAAGACTTTACAGATATCACTAATTACAGTTAAAGAACATCGAAGCACCAAAGCATCTGAGATATCAATTAAAACTAATTTAAGGCAAACTATCAACTGCGTATTCGCCGTCTATCTCGCAAGCTTCGGTGATGAATCGAGGCAGACTAATGTGACAATTTAGTATATATAGAGCGCCAATGAAACAGACCACGCGTAGGACTGGGAGTGAAAGGCGGTAATGGGCTCGACAACCAGATAAACAGTCTTTGTCAAAGGCGGGCAGAGCCACTACACGAATGGCGCCTAAGGTTCGCGTTGGGCTCGAAGGGCCAATTAAGCCGGCGCCCTGGTACGTCATGATGGGGGCAAGGGTCGGCCCACGGACTCCCGTAGAGGCGCAGTGGTGGGCTCCGCACCTTGTCGCGCAGCCACATGAGCGCGGGGAGGTGTTCGGATACCATCGTTGGTGTTACCCAGCTCGTACCACTCATTATAAATCATTCCTTCGGACTCTGCGATTTGGCTCGATCGGTGGCTATTAATAATCAGGATGACGATTAAGACCCCAACGCTGGCACCCATCCAGACTACGACGACGGCTTCATCATCCCAAGTGTTGAGGGTGGCCACGTTCCAGACGACGATGCTTGCGGCGACGTCTAACAAGCTAAGAATTACTATGGCGTAGAGGATGGTTTGGGTTCCGAATTTTTCCCAGCGGATGACGAAGAGGTCGGATATCTAGGCGCGACCGCCTTCGAAAAATCTGTGGAAGCGCGCGTTGCGCGGTACTCGTTGGGCAGCGGAGGCACCCAGCGCAGGGTTTTCGGGGTGCTGCACGTGCTGGGCGAGGGGGACATTTATGAGAGGCGGGTAGCCCATTGGAGTGCTGGGAGCTTGTGTTGCTCGGGTTTGAGCTTGACGAGTAGAAGCGGCTTCTTCGCTGACGATTGGGATGTTGTTAGGCATTGTGGTGGTTGGCTTTGGACGAGGGGCTGAGGGATTGAAATCAAAACATTTGGTTTTTCCTTCGTGAACCTGATGGGAATTAGTTTGATTGAATTCCGCACGAAATGCATAGAAGCATTTGTTACATCTTACGGTAGTGGTAATGTTGCTTTTGGTATGAGCACTTATGAATCCGTGATGCTCAATAGCTTGATGGGGGTGGCATAAGTTGAAGGTGGGGGTTTGTGGGAAGGAAGTTTGGAATTGGCACAAACCATTTTTGGCTGATTATTATCATAATAGTGAGATTCTAGGGCAAACCCCCGAGACCCGCGCGAGCCCCTCCGAGTTCGTGTGTCGTGTTTGCGGAACCATGGGCGGAGAATCGTCAATGTTGGTGTCGTTACCTAGGTACCCCAGACGAGACACAGATCCACGGGTAACCAAAGAAAACCAGTCGTGATTATGTGAGCTCAGTGCCTACTGAGGTACCTAGGTACATATCCTATCTTTGGCGAGTTGCAAAAGTACGATTGAATCCGCGATGGTTACTTTCAATAGCACCAACGACGGCACAAAAGAGATGCCCAAAAATTTTCACAATCAGAAGTGAAGGACACAGGAAGAGAATTTGTTGTGTTGAGCGACAATCCGCAGCCCGCCCAGAAGGCAGGAAAGAACGAGGACAGGGGTCTTGCACATTATGACATGTGTTAGTCCACCACTTAACTGAGTCTTAACACAATATCTACACATTCCACAAGCATAAAACCGAAAACGAAGAAGGGAATACAGAAGTGAGATAAAGCTAGTCGTCGTTTTGGCCAACTCCCTCAGACTTGTGCTGTTCACCTCTATACAAACTGAAGACAGGCGATATTCTACTAGAAATCACGTCTGCACTCAATTGATCACATTATGCCAAAGAAATTATCCCATGTTGTTACGGGATAAGACAAGTGAGAGGAAAATGGTATAAATGTTGCCCCTCGAGAATGTGATTTATCCTCTACCTCTTGAATTGGGGGTTTCCTCTTTGTGTTGAGGTCTAGTGGCAGAAGCGATCACGTACGTCTGGTGGTGGCTTCTAAGAAAGTGGTCGGCGAAGGGCGTCGTCAGCAGTCATGGTAGACTACCTAGGTACCTAGGCACAGTACAGGTTCCCAGTGGCGGTGATCTACGATTCAGCATTTGAGACCAAGTCAAGAAAAGGGGCATACTTAGATAAGTTGGCGTTACCTGTTGTCCGAACGAAGCTATATATATTTATGGACCAATAGATAGGAATTCTCTATCAGAAGAGCCTAATTTCAACATCGGGAAGGAAAGACCTAATGAGTACCCCGAAGTGTCCCGCCCCGTCGATTAAATAAAGTTTGTGTAACCGGTGTTCGGTACCTTATTCCGGCTATCGTTCGCTCCGATTCCGTATTCCGGCACGGAAGGAGCTAACTGGCAACCTAAGTAGGGATGTCATGTACTCGGGTAGGTACCTAGGTATATACCTAGGTATTCATGATCAAGTGTCGTCGTAGTACATGCCCTTACCCGATTGGATTGGAAGGTTTTACGATAGCATCCTGTCCTTACCTTTGGGCACGATAATTTTCCGATGATGTAATGCGCAAGTACGAGCATTTTAGGTAGATATGTGCGCATTTGCCTAACTAGTGCCATGTACATGTACGCCTCTTATCATGTGGTTTGCTTCATCATTCGATGTTGTGGTCACACATAAGCTCTGCTAATAAGCAAGTTCCCGCGTAATACCAAGAATAAGGCTCTGGTGGTTGAACAGTAGAACTGCAAGTGATCGACTGATATTAAAATATTAGACGCATTACATTGATGTCATTGGACTTGGATTGCAGAAATCCACTCCGGACGCTACGCAAGGGAGCTAGGCTTGGCAAGGTATCGTGCTAGGGTTTGTCGGCGTCACAAGAGTGGAAGTGATTCCACCGCAGAAATTTCATCGATCTCACAGTAGTAACGGATCGTAAAAAGATGTGGGAATTGTATGTTGATTCATGCCATACATAAGAGAATGTATGTTATGTAAAGGAGTGGCTAGCGATTAGCTACAACACGCTCCCCCCTTGATCCCTCAAAAGTCCAGTTTCTCTCAAACACCCCCAAAATCCTCCGAGACATATGACCATGTGTTATGTGTGTACCGTCATGGTGAAAGGTTCCAAAGACCCGAGAGATTGAAGGTAGTATCGATAAGATATCGTTGTCGATTGTTGTTTAAGGTAGAAGAATTGAAAACCGGCGCGAGGTAGCAGACTCATTCATGGGAGAATGATCGCTTATTTGCCGCAGGCGCAGCTGGAGCCGCACTCGCCTATTGTCAAATAGTTAGTATAGATCAATATGATGTGTAGTTATAAATAATAAGTCATATTCCAGACCTGATCAAGTCTTGTAGTACAAGTATGAAGGGGTGATGGAAGAAGAGAGGGGGAGGGGTAAGTTAATAACATAACGTGGATATGACTTACAGTTGTCAGCGCAGGAGCAGTCACCCTTCATTTTGAATGATAGTTTTGGTATTGGATAGTTGTTGAGTTGGTTTGTTTGGATTGTTTCTTCGTAGATGATCTGATCTGATCTAATCGTGGATGTGTCTGTGGGAAAGTTGATAAAAGGAAGGGTCCTGAGCCGACCTTTATATGCTGATAGATACTTGGAGGGTGGGTCTATGAAAATTCCGGATCGGGGCACCCACATTGCTATTTGACCAATCAGAGACTCAAATGATAATGCGCGGTTTGTGCGGGGTTTGCGCCTTTTCAGCGCGATGTCGCCCTGTCTCACCACACACACCCCCCCAACACCCGATACAGAAGCTGACTTGGCCACCGACCCAACCTTTGAGCTTTTGGTTAGCCTTGAAAAAGGATCTCAAATTTGCCAATCAGCTAACACATGTGTACCGCCTAACCCGCACAAGTCGCGCAAAAAGAAGTTGTCAGGTTGTTTTAGTATGGGATGGAATAATGTCAAAGAGTTTCGGTGACAAACGGTTGGTCCCGGACTAATTCCAGTACGGTTTAGTATCTTACCAACCCCTGATGTATAATGGTTTCTTATCTTATGACCTTTGTCATTTGGTGGCAAGCAAGCAACCTGCCAGCCTGCTTCTCCTTAATTAGGTATTCTGCATTCAATACCTGCGACGTTTGTGCGTTATTGCCAACCAGTCGATTAGGTACGCCTTTATTTCTACGTTTCTACTTTCTTCTTATAGTAGCGGCAACGCACAAATGACGCTATGGCAAGACATTTGCTTTTGGGATGCCCGCGGAAGTCCCATTTGTTGACACACCACATAATGTGTGTATGATGCAGGGAATAGTAACTACTAAGTCCATTGGTACTTAGCGCAATACGTAACGGAATGGATGAGACACTATGGGCCTCTTAACGTTAGTGCGGCATCGTACAGAAATCGCGTATCGTATCACTTTCCTCTCCGTGCAGTTAGAATCCTGTAGCTATCCGGCGTGGCGTCCCTAACTCTCGTCGACTTGGATACGGCTTCTCAAAGCCGACGAACCAATCATACAGCTTAGCACCTCAAGCTTCTGCCCCCATATGAGCTAGTTTTGATTCGAGCGCACAGTCCCTAGGTCCCCAGTTTTGGACGTGAGCTTGTAACTCTGCGTGTAATGTGCCTGTTCACTGGGTGGGCTGCACGACAGCCAGCTGCATGCGCTGGGGTTACATTGCAGATCCTACCCCCAAACCATCAACCATTCGCCATCCGCGGCTCGCTGTTCCTTGGAAACCTCCTTCGCCACTGACGAACTCTCGTTCTTTCCACGGTGTGATTTCTAGAATCTCAATCACCTATCCTTCAAGGCTTAGGTAGGCTATATGATTGACGTAGCATTCGTAAGACGGATTTCGTCGGCCACTATATACTATCTCTATGCTGGTGTTGTTGCCTTCATCTATTATTGCTTTTTTGTCTGAGACATCTACACCACCCTGTCTTATCGGAGTTAGTTGTGGGAAATTAAAACGCGGCAGTTTCATATTCCCGGCCTGTTTTTCAGCTATTAAACATGGGGGATCCTGTGTACTCATCCGTTAGCCGGCAGGCAGATACGATGATACGAAGAGAAACTCCGAAGGATCCAGCACTCAGCAGTGCTCCCGCACTACTATCTGAACCCCTAGGAACGGATCGTAATATATTGTCAGACCATTTGATAACGTTTACGTGTATTTTTCGAACTGTGCTGTGGGAGGGTACATGCATAGATACGCAAAGGGATAAGACGGGTCGGATCTGGCCGTGTGATGTAGTAGGGAGAGGAAGTATGGCTTACATCATACAGTGACATACATGGGGGTTTTCGATCAGCAGGTCTGGCGTTGTTACCTATTACAGCCCTAACCCAAGGCCAACCAGTCGTAATGTTATGGAATCAAATCGGGGTCCTCTTCGGATTATTTTTCTATTTGACTCTGAATCTCCGGAACCGCAGCTGCCTGCTTCTTCAAGACTTAAGCTGACTAGGGGATGAAAGCGAGGCGATAAGAAATTGGTTCGGCAAATGAATGAAGAACCAAACACCGACGAACGATTCGAGATGCCTCAAAGATGTTACGTTTCATAACAAGGCTGTATGTCCCATAAGATAGAGAACCATTTGGTGTAGGATAAGCTGCGTTTGCGCACTTGGCCCGTAGGATACTTGGTCCCAAAGCCTTGTTAAATCGAACACGACTACTCAGGTACCTACCCATCGTGACTGACCGCGATCATACAGGACACCTGCGAATACACGTCGAGGCGGCATGAAAATACAATAAATTTCCAACGGAGTGTGCCTTTTCAGTGCCTCGAAGCATTGGGTTCGCTCTACAGAGCTCATGGATGGCGAAAGTGAGAGCTTCGTGCAACGCTTTCGGCCTCCCCCACGTACTGTAAGATGAATGATAGCCCGGCATTCTCTAATTTCCAGGCAGCGAGGTAACATAATCCGGGGAAAAGTAGTAGAACCATTCTTCTGTGATTAATGGTTGTCACCTTGAATCCTTCCTCCCCCACAAACGAGAAACGCTCGAGACGTACCTATAGACTACCTAAGTAGATAAAGCAAGTCGCGTAACACCTTGTCTCATCCATAGGACTTTGCTTGTTATGACAACTGGAGCCTAGGTATGAGGACTTGGTTTTTGCACTTTTGTCTAGTATCCGGGGAACCTTCCTCAATAACTTTAGCGACTAGCCGACACCAACTATATTGAAATACGAGTTCAACAAAATAACATATCTGGTATTATTATGACGAAGTGGAATCCAATACGGCTTCGTCAAATCTAGATTACAAGATGATAATTGTCTAATGTACGTCCCATCCAAGTGGCTGAACCAATCTGAAGTACCTAGGTAGGCAACCAATTCGCGCTTTAGCCTACCCTTTCCTTTTCCCTTATTCCCAACAATTTTCATATAGTACAACCGGAGAGAAAGGAATGAGTAACACGGGAGCCGAGATCCGATCCTGCCACGTCAAATTCCTTCACGAACTAGAAACTTCGAGTCACGAGGGGGGATTACTCCTAAGACCCCCGTCCAAGAACTCTTAGCCAAGACTCGAGGTCTGCAGCCACCCCGTACCCCACAGCCAAGTCCATGGTAAGATCCTGCCAACTAGTGCCCACGTACAGCTCCTTGCCCTTTACAGACATAGGGCTCACGATGAGCGCGGCGGTAGGCGACTCAGCACTAAGGGAGAATATCGCCCGCTCGATGGTCCACTTACCACTTTCTTCTGTCGCAGCGACGCCATTCCCGTCGCTAGGAGGGGAGTCGCCGCCATCGATGACGCCTAGATTCGTAACGAGCAACGACTCGGTCCTGGGTTTCTTCATCTTATCCTTAACAAGGGTACGATAATTCGACAACAGACTCATCAGACCTAGCTCGTCGTTCTCGACCTTCTCGTCTAACCTTTCCTGTATGACCGCGCGGACGCGCTCTGCTGAAGGCCATATGAGTGGTTCGAGGGCGTTCCATTGATTTCTCTCATTCTCCTCTCCGGTCCCATTTTCATCCTTCTTCGCGGTGACTTCCCTAACTTTCTTAACCCACTCCACGCCGTACTCGTGATGTAGCTGCGTAAGGTAATTCGCCATCGTACGATTCGGATCCAAATCCCACGATTTCACCTTTAACTTCGGCCCGCGCATAAGCGGGCGTAAATTGATAATTGTGGTTCCGAGGAATGCGCGCGCCTTCTCGGCAGGCAGTCGTATCGCGAGACTAGCATGTCCAAGGACGTTGAGTAACCCCGTTAGACTGGTCTTGTGTTGTCGACATACACTTAATATGTTCTGCAGCGCGGCGTTATCGATGCTGAATTGTCGGTAGTGCATCGCGTAGCTTGTGCTTATAATCGGCGACCAGCGAGCTTGTAGATCGCGATTGAGTCCGCCCGATGGCCTGAATAGTGCGAAAAACTCGGATGCTACGAAACCTGGTGTGAGGGGGAACTTGTATAACGCGTGTTGATGTAGCGGAAGTTCCCTTCGTTTTGAGGATGGTGTCGTGAGTATGCGATTTACGAGCTCTGCCGGTGTCGAATGATTACTGTCGCTATCATTTAGATGTCGAAGTAGGTCCTCGTGGAATATCTTGAGACTCATGCCATCCATGTGCGCATGCCCTGCTGCCAACATAACATCGACGAAGCTTCGACTGTCCTTCTCGAATTCAATTACCAGAATCCTCCACGACGGCGCATCCTCAGGCTGATCAATCTTGATATCAAGTTGGCTCGTGATAAGACTCAGTAAGTCGGCTTCAAAGGCAATTGTTTCTGTCTCGTCGAGGTGTCGCCACTTGATATGGCGGCGGAAATCGACGGTCTCAAGCTCGACGAAAGCAGGCTTGGTACTGTGCTCACCGCGTAGACCGACGCGCATGAAGGGGTGCTCTAGGACGATTTTAGCAATCGCTGATTCGACCCTATGTTCCAGTTTTGCTTGCGACTTTGGATCGCGTCCCGAAGCAAGTGTCAGTGGTATGGCAAATCGACATGTTACCATCGTACTGCGGTACAAGTCCAATGAATGTAAGGCGGCCTCATATCGTTCCCTTGAACGCGTATTAGCGTTGTTATTAGATGTGAATTGTGGATTGTTGAACCTACAGGTATCCAAGTGGTCTAATGACCTTCGACTTGACCTTCTTGCCCGATGGCTTTCCATTCTTTTTGGTGTTGACCATTATTAATTATACAATTGCGATAAGTTGAGATTCGACCTGCGATGAACAATGATTTAAATTCGAGGCAACAAAATAATATCCCTTGCGGAATTAGTGAAATCCGATCTATAACATTTAAATATTTAATCAAGGCGGCACGGACCTAGATCCTGGGCAACAATTTAAAGAGATCTATAGGTACTTTCGAGACTCGGCTTTCTCGGCGACCCAGAGGGTAGGGTATATAATTATTGAAGCAGGACAAGCCCAAAAGAATGAATAAGTAATAAGTCATAAGTCAGTCCATCGTACCATACAAGAGAGGCGCAGCAACGACTGTGCCCTTAGTTGTTAGGAAGAATAATTATTACCAATATCCACTGACCTTCTAGTAATTTACCTACCTAGATACCAGGTATGTCCCTACCCTACAAGAGAAATCTTGGAAATAGAACAATGGCCCGTACGAAGCAAATTAGTAGATTTCCAAGGCTTATAGCTTCTGAATTATACGTCGAGGTTTCCACAATAGTCTTCAGCTTTTACTGGTTCGTAATCACTCAAGAGGGGGGGGTGGGGGGGATGGTCACGTTAGGATCAACGCCTTTTTCATGTTCATCTAGATACTCGGGTTGAATAACGAGCTGAACCCATCTCAACATCAACCGTGCCTATTATTGACCTAACTCAACGCGCCGTAATCAACGCCTAACGCGGGGAAATCTCGACCAAAAATGCCTTTTTTTCCTTATCAAGCACCCTAGATGCTCTACCTAGAGCTCAATAACTGATCGCAGACTCCCTTAACTCCTTCCTGACACCGTGATTGATGCAGCATCAAAACCTTCGCAAGACTCCCGTAGCGATGACTTCAAAAACGAGCATGGCAACGAGCAAAAAATTGCTATGTACATGTAAGCTTCGTAGGCAGGCAAGTAGACCAGCTATGCGTTTTCGGCAAAAGGACTCTCCTATTCGGTCCTAAGGTGCTTGTTGCGGCCACGTTTCGCCAGGAATTTGTCGCGACCACCCTTATTCGCCCAGTACTTATCCAGAAGAGCTGGCGCGATTTTCCTCAGTTTCGATTCGGCCTCCATCGATGTCTCACCAGGCGTGGTCGAGTGGCCAACCCATTGAACTTCGAATTCGAACCCACCTCGCATTCTCTTTTTATGATTTAGAATGTTGAAAACGTGATACGTCTCCGGGGGAGGATCCTTAGGCCTAAAGAAAAGTGCTGCGCTGCGACCACTTTGTGATTTCCAATATGCGTATAATATCTCGTCGGCACCTTTTTGTATCTCCTCCTCGAGCTCCCATGTGGCCTCTTCCTCTGTTTCCCCTTCCCAGTGAATAAGTAGTTCGACTCTACCGCTACCATCTCGGGTCATTCGATGCTGGAGGATAGCATGGACTTCGTGCTCTTCGCGGGGATCAGGATCGCCTTGATTCGTGTTCGCTTGGTCTAAATTTGTTGTAGTCGTAGTCGTAGTCGTAGTTGCAGTCGTAGTGGCCTTCTCTTTGCCTTTCGCTTTCGATTTCGTGGAGGTATCGTTGTATGGCTTGAAGCCATTGCTGACAGGGATATCGGGGGCCGTAGCGGCGTTATCTTCTTTGGAAAAGTCTATGTGGTACAGAAATGTTAGTCATTATGTTATTGTGCAACGCAAAACGGAAAAGTGGGATATTTACCAGGAACACCCATATCGGCTTCTGGGACGAGCGGGTTCTGAGGGGTCTCTTCCTGAGGTTGTGGTTGTAATCGTGCGGCTTCGGGTTCTTGTGCGCGAGCAAGATTCGCGGTTGCATCAACATGATCATCTTTTCGCACTCCCAACGAACGACTACGGCGCTCTGTTTCATATATTAGCCACTACAAACAAAGAACCATGGGCTTGTCCAACGTACTGCTGCTGTTTGCTACTGACGTCGGTCGTCCCTTACTATTGGAACTAGGCGTTTCGGAAGAGATGCGCGTTCTGTTGCGATGCGTTAAGGGTGTCTTCTGGATCGGTTCGTCTGGGAAATCGAATTAGCCGATATATGTTTACTAGGTAGCTCTTGGAGTTATCGTGGCCTTCTCACCTTCTTCTATTTCATCGTACGGGTTTGCCTTCGCTTTGCGCTTAGTACCGCGCGACTCCTTATCACCGCTCACAGATCTTGAATTAGGCGACGGAACCCATGCGACGGTTCCAGACATGATGGAAGCTATCGACGGATGTGAGGGGAGGAGAAGCTAGGGAGCTATACAAACCAATTGATTTGATGATAAAACAACATTGATGGTGATGATAATAAGAAGAATTCGAAGCAATCAGTAGGAACGACGTGATAATGTAACAGTAAGCTCTTCTTTTTCCCCAAGAGACTGAGAGAAGAAGTGGCGCGGCAAGGGTGGAACCGCGACTTTGGGACTTTGGACTGGAATGACGAAGAAGATGCCGGTCTTAGGAAGTTGGCCTGAGAGCTGTTTGAAGTTGTTTTGTTAGTAGATACCTGACTTATACACTAGACCAACTTAATAAAAGAAGTATACTTAAACCTGCAGCAACCCTTGCCGGGACTACCCTGGCAAGGGACAGATCAGGGTTATTGAGCTTTACTACATTGAGTAATGACCTGTGCAACTCGCCGTCATTTGTCACCTCGGGTACCCGTTTCATGTACCTAGGTAGTTATGTACTTTTACCATTTATGTAGAATCCCCAAATATTTATATCGGTTTACTTACGTCTTTTACGTTCTCAATACCAGGACGATAAAGTGTCAATTATCTATAAGCCCATATTAGAGGCTACAATTTTAATAGAGTTCTACTTGGACCTTCGAGATACCTATCCTGATACATAGGAGGTAACACCTTATCACGTACTGTCGTCACATCTTGATGTCTTTCTAGCCTATCAACTACATGTATTCTCGCGCTTCGAAATGGTGTGGCCGCCGAAAATATACCCGTTAGTTGTACTACCCATATCGTAAGATTATAGTCGGTCCTCTCACAATTCCTGCCGACTCCCTAAAGTTGGGACTGTTTACCTACATATGTATTGAGGCGCAGTCAATTCTAGATGCCGTCCACTCCGCACAAACTACAAGATGGGTTGCGAAAGTAGTCCTTATATTCTGAAACCGCAGAACCCAATAGTAACCTACCTTTTGGATATATCGAAAAGTCATCCAGTAACACGACAGTTACGAAATTTCGCCTCGATGAAGCTGAAGAAACAATCTATTTCTGTATATTGTCAACTGTCAGCGAATTCATGTGACCGACAGGGGATAAGTACGGGGGCTTATGCAGCAATCCTAGCAATAATCAAATAAAACTCCATTCGAAAACACCGAAGCTCTTCAAGGTTGTACATTTTCAAATGCAAACCCCTGCGAAGGGAGCAATAGGAAACAAAGTCTCTTTAGACCTTTTACCATGGCCGCGAGCTCTTATCGGCCATGAAGTTGATTAATTGCCTCACATTGGAGGTCGAGGAATTCGTTCAAGATGTGCCGCCTTACGCGATCCTGTCCCACACATGGACAAAACACGAAGTGACGTATCGCGATATGAACAATCGGAAGGTCGCATCGCGCAAGGAAGGATATCCCAAAATTGTGGACACCTGTCGGGTGGCTTCGGAATACGGCCTCGAATATGTTTGGATAGATACGTGCTGCATTGATAAGTCGAGCAGTGCGGAGTTATCTGAAGCTATCAACTCCATGTTTGCGTGGTATAAGGAGTCCAAAATTTGTATCGTTTTCCTTACCGATTTCACTTGCTTTTCGGAAGAGACGTTGGTGGAAATCATTGCTTCTTTCGACGCGCGGCAAGCTTTGGAAGACCAAGAGGACAAGTTCTACAAAGATCCCCCACCTCTAACAACTGATGATATCAACTTGCGCGACAAGGTTCGAAAAGAACTTGGGAGCTGCAAATGGTTCTCTCGTGGATGGACATTGCAAGAGCTGATAGCGCCGTACCATATCCAATTTTATGATAAAGATTGGAACTGCTTTGGATCAAAGCTTCAGCTAGCATCCGTCTTATCAGTAAGTGATATGGGCTGTTCTATCCATATGTACTGGGCCTCCTAATCGACCTAGTCGAAGAGTTATAACCTTCAATCTTCCTAAAGAAGTAACGGCTAACCCTCGCGATTATAGTGGATTACGGGGGTCGATACGAGGGTCTTGTCAGGGAAGCCACTAGAATCAGTTCTAGTCGGCCGGCGCATGTCTTGGGCATCGAATCGCACGACGACAAGAGTTGAAGACATGGCATATTGCCTCCTCGGTATCTTTGATATCAATATGCCGTTATTGTATGGTGAAGGCAAGAAAGCCTTCATACGTCTCCAAGAGGAAATTATCAAGTCTACCCACGACCTCTCGATTTTCGCCTGGAAGTCTGACATTGAAGATCGCCGTCTCTTTCGCGGTCTGATGGCGAGTTCCCCGTCCGAGTTCAAGGGATGCCATAGACTCACAATGCCGGCATTTATATGGAATGATGGCGGCGAGTACGGCATTACTAGTAAAGGCCTTCGGACGGAGGGGCTTATTAGAATTGGCCGAGGAGAACCTGGGGTCGGCAGCTATTATCTACCATTGCATTGCGTCGACGAGCGGCAGAAGAAACATATCTTAGCTGTGAAGTTACGACAATACGGACCGGGCCTTTTCGCTCGATTGCAACCCTGGCCAAGAGTGACAGTTGTTGATCTAAACGTGTACTCGGCAGCGAGGATTGTCCAACCACAGTATATACAGTTGAAGGATAGTCCATGGTTGGATGTGATCGTGTTGTCCAGTCGTACCAATGCGATTCAGATTGATGTCCCCGCCCACATCTTCGATGTCAATAGCGTCACGGCCTACCCACAAGCTGACTGGGACCTTAGGAATTCTATCCTGCTTAGTTTCCATCGCCCATACTTTTGGGGAATGTGGAAGGCAAAGCTTAAAGATAAGGACGATGGTATTGCCATTGTCTGCGTCCGATCATCGGGGTGGCTTCTTTACGGAATCTTCGCTTTGAATAAGTTTCCCCCTGGCCTCGATCGTCACAATATCTTCCCATCGCAAGTCGAAGAAATCCTACAAAGAATCCCAGATCGAGCGGTGACTAGATGTTCGACCTATATTCATACCATCAAGGATTCCCAAATTAATTTAGGCGAGGATGCTCGTGAGATCCCAGCGACACTGCTTCAAGTGAGTTGTAGTAAACTAACACAGTTGAGGAACAGTCGTTCTGGGATTACACGCGTACAAAATCTTTTTAAAAAGGTTGATTTGAACGGCAATTCTTCCCAATGAATATATTAAATCGGTCTGGCGAAAATGTTGGATTATTTCCGTCCTGCATGGTAGGGCGTATTGGGTACACTGTAATGTCTATTGGGGTACATTTGTATATTGGTGTAAGATGGAAAAGTTGGTCGTGATTGTTGCGGCAGGATATGATTCAAAATTTATGGTCTAACATTGGAGCTTATTTATGTATATTTATATCTATGGATCCATGTATTATTCATTCTGTATAAAGAATGGTACAATTTCTAAGTTTAAGTTCAGGACGTTCCTAACGTAAAATCTTAACGGAAGCAGGACAAACACTCAAACATGTAACTGCCCAGGTACTTATTTTACGCCTGGGCAGATAGGGCAGGCACTAATGCGACAGCAGGTCCGGGATGCGCCAATGAAAATTAGCGTCGGTCGCGTGGGGGAGGGGAAAAATTCCAGAGCCCAAAAAAACCAAATTATTTTTTATTCTAATCATGAGTCAGAGGACGCCGTCAACCTTTAGAACATAATAAAATAAATACATCAATCCTGGACCTTCATGATTGTTGGTCGCTGTATACGACCTAGAACTATTATTGTTCATACAACCCGGTCAATTAGTCCTCGTCAATACCATATACTCAATTACACTACCATCGCCGTTCCTCGTCGCAATCGCAATAATAAAAATAACCACCAAAATAACCCCGCCATCGTCTTTCACAGGCGCACATTCGGCAACATGGCGACAGCTAGTGGGATAAATCAACTTCTCTTGAAGCTTGACAACCTCACTCTAGAATCTATTTCCGACAAATATCCCAACACATACCCTCAAACCAACCCCTTCGATCTATACAGAGTACATCTTGCCGAAATTCTCGCTCCTATCACCGGTGTCGCCGCCGAAAAAATCCACCCCGTCATTCAATGGACAAACACCCTTGACAAGGGCGACTTCACTTTACCTATTCCTGCCCTTCGAATAAAAGGCGCAAAACCAGATGCGCTAGGTGCGGAATGGGCACCGAAGGCAAGAATTACCCCTCCCTCGAGCGCAAAAGGCTGAGCACAATGATCACGAGTAGCTGACTATACATGTTTCTTAATAGTTCCCCGAAGATGACCCCCTCTTCGACAAACCCGTCGCCGCCGGTCCCTTCCTATCCTTCTTTGCGAAAGGTGGTCCCCTCGCTCAGTCGCTCATCCCTATGATCAGGGCGCTAGGTGCCGATTATGGCCGGAATAGCTTCATCGGCCTTAAGGACCCTAAAGATCCCAGCAAAGGCAAGAAGCGACTCGTCGTCGAATTTAGTTCTCCCAATATTGCCAAGCCTTTCCACGCCGGACATCTTCGTTCTACAATTATCGGAAGTTTCCTTGCGAACTTATACGAGGGCGCCGGCTGGGATGTCGTGAGGGTCAACTATCTTGGTGACTGGGGAAAACAATACGGTCTCTTGGCTCTTGCCTATGAGAGATATGGTGATGAGGAAGCACTCAAGAAGGACCCTATCGACCACCTATTCCGACTCTATGTGCGCATAAACGCCGAGAAGGACGATGAATTGGCGACTATTGAAGAGAAGAAGAAAGAAGGACAGGACGTCACTGAACTCCTAGCCAACAGCTTAGATGAGCAGGCTCGGGGTTATTTCAGGAAGATGACAGACCGAGATGAATCTGCTCTGGCGTTATGGCAACGATTCAGGGATTTGAGTATCGTTCGCTACAGGGCTACATACGCCAGACTCAACATCAAATTCGACGAGTATAGTGGTGAAAGCCAGGTTAGCGAGGAGGCAATGGCTAAGGTGGCTAAGGAGATGGCTGAAAAGGGTATCACCAGAGAAGACCAAGGCGCCGTACTCGTCGACTTTACCCAACTTCTACCAGGCAAGGAAGGCAAGCGTCTAGGAAAGGCTGTGCTCCGAAAGAGGGATGGCACAGCTCTATATCTCACTCGAGATATTGCCGAACTTCTTGGTCGATATGAGAAGTATGGGTTCGACCACATGATCTACGTTGTCGCTAGTCAGCAAGATCTCCATCTTCAGCAACTCTTCAAGATCATCGAACTCCTTGGCTACAAGGATATTGCATCCCGATGTCAACACATCAACTTCGGTTTGGTAATGGGCATGAGCACCCGAAGGGGCACCGTGAAATTGTATGTTTACTCACCCCTTTGTCAAAATAAAGCTAATTTTTCACAGCCTTGATGATATCCTGAGGGATTGTGCCGATCACATGCACGAAGTCATGCGGAAAAACGAATCCAAATACGCTCAGGTCGAAGACCCTGTGGGTACTGCAGACACTCTCGGAATTAGCAGTGTGATGACGCAAGATATGAGCGGGAAGAGGTTAGTATTTCACTTGATCCAGCAAGATAAGAACTAATTTTATTAATAATATAGGGGTAACAACTACACCTTCGACCTGGCAGTAATGACGTCGTTCGAAGGAGATACTGGTCCTTACCTACAATACGCCCACACTCGTCTATCGTCAATCAAGCGCCGAGCAAACGTAACGGAGGAAGAATTGGCCGACGCCGACTTATCGCTTCTCACTGAACCCCACGCAGTGAATGTCGTCCGATTATTAGCTCAATGGCCGGACGTAGCCCAAAACACATTACGAACACTCGAGCCAACCACTGTCGTCACGTACCTCTTCAGGCTGACGCACGTAATAAGCAGTAGTTATGACCATTTACAAGTGGTTGGCAGCGAACCCGCTCTTAAGGCATCCCGAATGGCTCTTTACGATGCCGCTCGGATAGTCGTCGCGAACTGCATGAGATTACTTGGGTTGAGTCCACTTGAAAGGATGTGAGCGATGACCACGATACTCCTAGGCGAATGCTGTTAAGTCGAAAGCCTTTACGACCAAACACGCCCATATATATGGGTGCCTGCCAGGTTACGTGTTAGGTGAGCTCGTCGGGCGCTTTTCACTTAACGTGCTGTTGCGATGTCCTCCACACTCCACGGAGAAGTGGATCGCAGCTCGTTTGATGGGCTAAATTAAAATGTGGATCGATTCTTAGGGATACCTATAGCCAACTACGGCTCCTGAAATCTTGAAATGACGTAGCTAAGTTAGAATAATAAAAAAAATCTGTTGCATCGAACTGATCACCTATGTGTTTCGTAGCTTACCTAATAAATCGTCTTCTCTGTTACATAAGCATCGAAGCTGAAGTAAGCAAAAAATAAGCCTAAGCTACTATTAGGTAAGCCAAGCTACGATGACTAATCGAGTGATTTGGATACGTTGCGCCGGCGACGATTAGGTCGATTCTAAGTAAGCAATAGCTTCATTGCCATTTTTATATGAGTTACTCGCCCTCTTCTACCTTTGAAAGCTTGTATCATACCTCCACCTCAGCGGGAAATCATAGGCGACACATCTAACGAAATCATGATTATGTAATCATTTGCCCCTTGACCCCTATTCTGGTCAGGCAGTCAACTCATCAAGCCATGAGACTATTTTCAAACATAATACGCTTTACTCATAAAACTACCTAAGAGTTATGTACAATATCCTGCAAGACATGCCGCTATATATGTATCTCAAAAGAGACACCACTCCAAAAGTTTCAAACGCTTTGTTGATCTTTAATTACAAGAACCAACCTACCTTATCGCCAACACGATATCCGACGCGGAAATCAACCACCAATTTCCCTTTTTCCGGAGTATTCGTCCCCAATCTACAGAACTCAAATCAAGGTTATGTCTGGAACCGAAATGAATGTCGTAGGTCATGGAACTGATACTCTAATGTTCGACTTCCATTATTGTGTGGTGTTCCAGGGATCTCTTTATAGTGCATCCACCAGTTGGCTTGGTGGAGTAGCTGTTTGAGGTAAAATCCGAAGATAACTGACCCTAAACCACAAAGGATTAATATACCGATCGGTATTGAATTGAGGCCCCCTTCTCCATATTCAAGGCTCATCGGTGGGCCGTCGTCGGCACTGCGATAAAGGAGGTTAGTGACTGCTTTTGGAGGGGGCTAGACCAAGGTTCCTATATAACGTACTAAAAGGTCCCGAAAGACATGACAGTGGTGATGATTCCGATGGACACTGCTCTTTTCTGCTGGTACCATGGCAGGCAGCTAATCGCCCAAGATAAGACGAGTGGTAGGCTGAAGTAAGCGCATAGAAGGTTTGGAAATATAGCAAACCAAATTGGCTGAGGATAATCCATAGTTCCGATTCGTGGCATTAAGATCATAGACAAGGTGATGACGGAAGCGACCGAGGCGATTAGTTGAGATAGTGTGATCCAAAAGTACTTCCTTCTGTATGAGTCCGCGGCGAAACCGCCATAAGTAACCATACCGCAGCAGACGTTCTATCATTCCATTGATTAATTTCATTATGCAGCAGCTATTTCGGCACGACTCACCAAAATTATCCATACAGACCATTTTGGTGCGGGCCCCTCCGTAAATGACCGAATGGCTAGACACAATAGGCGGGTATCGCTTAAGGATAGAATCGGGAATCCGATAAAAAAGCACGTCGGAATCTTTTGGTAGTTAGATACTACTCGATAAAGCTATTCAACTTTAATGGGAACCGATACAACGTACCAAAAACCAGACCTTCATGTCTCGGAAAGCCAGAAACGAACCCTCCAAGGGGCTGCTCCAGTTATATGTTGGCTTTTCGAAATTCGCTCGCATAGGCCATCCCCAATCTTCCGCTAGTCGCGATACGGCACGTAGTCGCTCAGCGGCCTCAAGGCACTCGGTTGACCGAGGAAGATTAGGCACCCTGGGATAACAAAAAACTGCCGCACCTAAGACAAGGACCGGTGATATTTTTAGATAGTATTGATACGTGATGGTACTATTGGTTGGCTGCTGGAAGTCGAGGCTGCAGGGACTTAGGCCCAAGGCGAACAGAGCACGAACCAACGGACATATGGAAACCAGCATGGAAATCCTGGCACCCAATTCCCTGCGCCTATACTAACAGGATAGGATGTGCAGGCTAGCAGGCTATGTCAAATGGTCAATATATAGTGAACGCATTAAGGGGATGAGGTACTTACGAAGAAAGCTGATTCTAAAACTCCTAGTAACCCAGAACAGATTTGAATACCAACGTAGGTGGACGTGTTACCAAGGCCCGTTTTCACCAGACCCCAGGAAAACCACAGAATGCATAGGAACATCGATGGTTTTTCGAAGGTACTGAAAACCATAATGAGGGGAACTATAAGTTAAGATATCAGCTCAGGTACCATGATTGCCGTTAATGAGGGTTATCCGCCTCTCTGAAGACTCACTTTGGCCGATTATATAACCGAAATCCCTCGATATGAAGGCAGCCTAGCAATAAATAAGTCAAATCCTTATTCTTTAACGAAGTTCGCCTCGCTCTCGACTCATACGTACTTTATGCTGATCTTCGGACATCCCTATATCATTCACAAAGTATTGTTGATTGATCGTATAGAGCCATCGGTCTAGTTCGACAGAAAACACTGAGAATAATACTAGTGTAAGCACAATTGTAAAGTATAAAGATAAAGGTAGGAGGTAGTAGACTAACCTATGAAGAACAGAAACGGTAAAAGCCTCCAATCGACTTTGCGACAGAGTTTCTTGTCAAACTTCTCAATGTCTTGGGGTGTAAGTAAATGAGGTCCCGGCGGGGTCGGAACGCGGGGAGGCGGTCCATGAAGCCTTGCGGGAGGTGGTTGGGGGATCGCTGGGACATTGGGAATGTTGAAAGAAAGCTGAGGTGGGCCATTTACGACAAGAGCATCGGCCACAGCTTCTGCCAGTTCAATGGCGTCGTTGGCATTATTTTGAGCATTATTCGCGGTTGCAGCAACTTCGGGTTCTACGACAGTTGTTTCGCTATTGAAGCTTGCAAGTTCAATCTCGCCCGGATCCTCATCCGATTCGTCTCCTGTTCTATAAAGCGATCGAATAAGGCTGCGGAGGGCAGCGAAAGGCTGTCTAATATTCATGGTTATTATTCCGGTTGGATAGAGTTATGTTGGGAATAGATGATGGTATTATAACCGAATAATATCTAGGTGATCATTTAACTCATGCGACGGGGTCATTAACGAATGTATTTTGGATTGGTGTCGTAAGTTGAGAAGATGAAGCGATGGGAGGAATAAAAAATAGAGTAAACCGTAAGTGAGTGGTAGATGTTCTAGTCAATTGTATGTTACACGACCGCCCCCTATTCTTCTTTCCTCTCTTCTAATTGGTGGCTAGACCCTTGTGATTTCCATTTTGGGGTATGAGTATGCGCCTGGGCCGTACCCGCGACGTACTTCCCTCTTATTATAGTTCATAGGTATGTTGATTTGGGGGTGACTTCCTATGTGCAGTGGTCAAGTATAAACTGGTGAACCATGATTATAAGTATAGTCAGGAGGAACTATCTGTTCATATCAGTATCAAGGTACCTTAAACAAGCACGTTTAATAGGGGCGAATGATAAAACACTAAATTTCAAGCATCATCACTCCGCAGCACCGTCTAACATCACGCACAATTATAAGCTGTAGTCTGGTTAAAGACATATAGATGAAATTAAATAGATTCCTGTACATGACATATACATATTTAGTAACTAACCAATTCGAAATATATCGCAACTCTTCTCATCACTATCAATTTATTTCGTCGGGTATTGCGTTACGGATCGCAAACTATGTGAGAGGCACCTTAGCTTACGAATGAGAACCAACCACCGTTGATGCATTTTCAAGACGTGGCAACCCAACAGAAAGAGAGAAAAAAAACCTATGACGAAACTTGGTCGTCAGAAGAAGCGACACATAAGAAAAATCCTACTTTATGGCAACTAGAAGGATTCTAGTACCTTAACTAGTCTTTTTCGATATTAGACCTGCATGAACTACGTGGGCATCAGTTCCCCCACGTCAGATGGATTTTACAATGGAGACTTCTTCCACATACCGGGACGTACAACTCAACGCTAATACCTCCTTCTCTTAACTACCTATGTAAAAAGGTACCATGTCCACCATTTCCCCGCTCGAAACCTCAGCAAGTGGTCATGTCATGTCAGGTCATGAGGAGAAAAAATACCAACCTGGAGTTTTGACTCCACCACTCCACAGAGCTACACGATATATGGGGTAACTTAAGGGGGAAGTTCGCGCTATTTGTAGTTTGAATAGGTTTAATGGCAGCGGAACGACTCCGGATGACTCCACATCCAAGGCTAATCTCCATGTCTATGGATCCCATTTAGTGTCAAACTCGCCGGAAATTCTCTTCTAATTTTCAAAGGTACCTAAGAATACCCCACATAGAGCTATTCCAGTAGTAGTTTTAGTCGTGGGGGTTTGTTTTTTTCTTGTTACCCCAATACCCGAGAAGCTTCGCCGACTGCCGCATACTTGTTGTAACAAGGGGGGAATACAGCTCTATATGAAGAGATGTCTGTCTATGAATTGGTAGTTATGACTGCTGTTTAATACTCATCTCTAGAGTTGAGAACCGTCTCATGATATCAAGGAAAGCTAGGTAGGTAACACAAAAGGTAACGTTTCATAATTGGAAATATCTCGAAGCTGACTAGCTAGGAAAACAGGAAGCATGTAGGTGGCGTGAACCTCTAACAAGGATACCCAAAATGCACCGAGTTCGGTTGACCAAGATCCAAGTAGCTACCTAATGCTTACATAGTCAAAATTAGGGCTCCATCAACTAAGGTAATCTGCGAATAGCTACCAAATTTTTGCTGGCACTTGACCGAGGACACAATGCATTACCCTAAAGAGCTCCAGTTTTTATCATCGGCGTCATTAATATGTCGGGCTTGCCCTGTCGCTTGTTTTCTTTCTCGTTTCACTTCCTCGTCAGATACCTAAACACTTACTTACCTCGATACTCACTATGGCTTATGAAAGATACCTTGCTCGTATGACACTTCGCGGCCCTGATGCCGACGACACATTTCCAGAACGACATGCTGTTGATTCACCACCTGGACTTCGAGAACATCCTGACCCCCACGATGAAGATTCTGAAACCGTTGCAAGACCTATACGAAGGCGACGAAGACGTCGATCGGAGAGTACCGAGGGATATGAGATGAGGGATCGTTACTGGGAAGCAATGGATATCATTGACCGAGATCTGAAAGAGGCAGCCAAAGCGCCGGCGGTCTGGGATTATGTGTACGACCCGGTTTGCTTACCCCCGCCCAAAGCAGAAAAAACCCCAGCCATCCGTCGACTTGGAAATTTACCAATTAAAAGAGCTTGGAGGCGTCGGAATAGTAGGGAGGGACCAGATCTAACCTCGACGAGCACCATTGAAGCTATCATGTTATACGAACGAGGCATGATGATACCTAGGCAATCTCAATGTACACATTGCCAACAAGGCCGAGGAATATCTCCTGGGTGTGTTATTATGGAGCTCGACGGGGAGGTGCAAGAAGGTACGACTGATACGGGTGGGCTAGGATCATCGTGTAGTAATTGCTTGTATGATGGAAGGCCTGATCAATGTGATGCGCGAGCACCGTCACCTAGCTCAAGCCAACCTTCGAGGACGCAAACTCCTAGCCAAATCAAACGCTCGTTCGCTTCGAACCCGACTCATCTCGAAGTATTAGATATGGTGGATAAGACGATAAAATCAAAAAAGGGCGACGGAAAGGACGACGTGATCGTGAGAGCCAAGCAGATTGAGACGGCGGCTTTGGAGATCGCCCAAGCGGCGCATGAGTGGGGACTCGCTGTTATGGATAAGCGTCGAAAGAATGTAGACCCGAAAGATCGTGCAAATTGAAGTCTTGTTCTATCTAGAGTAGAAATCTGCTGTGACGGAACCCTAATCGTCCATGTGCGAATTAGCGATGATACTGGAAATCGCACTTACTAATCCGAACCATTCACGATTTGTTGGTGTCGCAAGACTTGATGGACCAAAGGGTTGGGAATCAGAAGAAGTCCTGCAAGCGGATGACTCGGCGATCTTATCTCGTAGAATACGACCTCAATATCTAGGTTAAACTGTCTCAGTATTATTTTAAGAACAGTTCCTGATGTTCTAGATACCCTCCCCTCCTCCTTTATCATATAATGTGGGATCTTGGATTTGGAGAGGCTGTTTGACCTAACGTTACAATGCTCCTGTCTTTTAAAAAAGCATGTAACGTCAATATAAAAAATTCGCATGTTTGAGGGGATGCGAGAGATAAAGAGATAGACCGATATGTTGGGAATCGCATGTCCGGGGGACAACTAGCCCTACCACAATGGTCAGTTCATCCAATAGTAACTTGCGAGATTTCCAAAAATAACCGATAAATTTATAAAAAGTTCTTCAGATTGAGTAGATAATATTTCCAATTACATAACACAGCACTGTACCGATATGATTTATCGAATAGTTCGCTGAATCTGCGTTTCGCGTTACCTAATTGCGTTCTGCCTAAGTGCATCAATACGGCGTCCGGATACGACGTTGACGGGGACTTCGAGTCCCTGGCCCTCGGAAGATGGCGTGATCCATATTGACCCAAGACTCCGGCAATACCATGAGAAATATTAATTACAGATAGGGAGCCGCACCGATCGTGGCTAACGGGCACTTGCCGGACGTTCTAGGTGCCCTAATTGGTTACACTCCGAGGTAGCCAGAATTAAGGGGGTTCGGCTAAATCGCATAGAAAGCACTCACATTTCTATTAGGGGAATCGACCTGAAGATCTACATCGCCCCCCAGACTGCCGAGGCGGATGACAATCTTGACGACCAAATTTCCCATCCACTTGGATCTCTCTGTAGGGCCATGCGTACGCGCGTTCGTCGTCCAACTTGGTATGCGGAGATCGTACCGAGCGAAACTATCTCCATAGGGAAGATAAGCAGCTGGATCGGCGTTCAAGAGCTGAACAAGACCTTCGCTTATAACGTGGAGCTTCCGCTGGTTTTGAGTCGTTGAGAAAGAACATCAAACAAAAAAGACCCAAGAAATCCACCTAAGAACTCAGAACTTTGCCGCCAAAATGATCGGCCCCAAGTCAGCTATCGCTATCGTACTTATTCTCGCCACGGCCGTCTGGTCGGAGGTTTCGCCGGATGAGACTTGTGGTGTAGACAAGGCCGGTAACAAGAAGGGATACACATGTCCCGGAACCATCAAGTGCTGTTCTGCGAGCGGCTACTGTGGCGCCACCGATGAGTACTGCTTGACGACGGCCGGTTGTCAAGACAAGTATTCGAATGCGACTGGTAGCTGCATCAAGCCGGTTGACGGTGTATCCATCTCACCCGACGGCACATGCGGATCCGAGGGTGCCGGCAAATACGGTTACCACTGCCCTACCGAGGGAGGTACTTGCTGCTCTGTTGCGTAAGTGAACCGTACTCCTTTACCCAGGTAGCCTTGTGTTTTTGTACTTACTAACGGGACGCCTTCCAGTGGTTACTGCGGTAACACAACAGCGCATTGTACCGCCGCGGAAGGCTGCCAAACGAAGTATGGAAAGTGCCAGTAATTCAATCGACAGGCTATCGGTGCATTGTATAGCCTCGGAATAGAGAACAGGGGAAGTTATTTGATTATCTCGGGATCTGCATGTCATTAAAATCAGGGGCAAGGAAAAGGAGAGAAGAAAAGCATGAAATTGGGAGGATTAAAATAGGCCTGATCGGAAACTCCGAATACTGAGGATATGACGATAGAATGTTTTATGAGATTATATGAGATTGATATGATTCGCCTTCGTGCGGGTTTCCTTTCCATGTTTCCAATGCTATAATCTACCTAGGTAGCACCACCACGATTGTAGAAAGGCATGTGCTAGCGCCGATGGCTATCTTGGCCCTTATAGGGGACGCCGATCGCGGCCTGGGGGAGTTGGGGGAAGAAGTGGGGATTTATTCCCGTCACCTTCTAAACGAGTAGCTGGTCACCGATGTGATAAATTGATAGCGACTGAGTTGGTAATTGAGTAACCTAAATTTCGATTTCTCTGGATGTTAGTATACTATGACGACTTTATTCCATAATGGACGTTTCTTCCAATCTGCGCCTGGGGGCAAGGATCCTTCATTTGCGGATTCTCTGCTCATCGATGAGTCTGGTAGGATCACCCATATCGGCAGTATAAGTGATGAACAAATCAAAACGGCCGAGTCTTCTGGGGGAGGGGTGGTTAAGCACGACATGCGAAGCCGCATAATTTTACCAGGATTTATCGACGGACATATGCATCTTTTGATGTTGGGACAATCCTTACAGAAGGCAGGGCTAGAGGCGTGCAAAAATCTGCAAGATATCCGGCAAACCATAAAAGAATTTGCGGCATCGCATCCATCCGTAGTTAGGATAATGTGCAAAGGATGGATGCATTCCATGACCAACGGAGAAGCCTTAGCTAGCATGATAGACGACTTGGACCCGAGACCTATTTTCATCGATTCCAAGGACTTACACTCGACGTGGTGCAATACGGCTGCATTGGATGAGATGGGAGTGCAGGACATGCCGGATCCAGAGGGAGGAAAAATTCATCGTGATGAGAATGGCAAGGCCTCTGGGCTTTTATCAGAAGCCGCGGCTGTTACGATTGTCTGGCCGCATATTGCGAAAGTTGCGCCGATGGAAGAGAAGCTGGCAGCGTTGAGAGGAGCAGTTAAAGCGTATAACGCCTCCGGTTATACTGGACTCGTGGAAATGGCTATGGATGAAAACGCCTGGGAAGCTTTGCAAGTACTTCGGCAAACAGAGGACCTGTCGATTAGGATCGCGGTCCACTGGCTCATTACACCTCGAAAAACCGAAGCAGAAAATCTCGCCCAAGTCGATCGCGCAATTGAACTTAACCGACAGTTCAATGCGGATACTAGTCCAGACTGCCGCATTGTGGGTATCAAGGTCATTGGGGATGGTATCATTGACGGTTGTACTGCTGGACTTTCTGAGCCTTACTCTTTGAACGGGGTATCATGCGAGCCTATCTGGTCGCTTGCGGAACTGGGTCCTGTCGTCCGGAAAGCTGACGCGGCAGGGCTGCAGTGCGCCCTACATGCGATTGGTGATAAAACCATAAGAGTAGCTATTGATGCTCTTGAACAAAACGCCACACCGGGCCGTAGACACCGGATCGAGCACCTCGAGCTTGCATCCCCGGAAGATGCTATAAGGTTGGGTAAGTTGGGCATCACCGCCTCCATTCAACCAGTACATGCTGATCCGGCAATCCTCCGGGTCTGGCCGTCACTGCTCGGACCATCCCGTTGTGAACGCGCATTTGCATATAAGGAGTTTGCCGATGGAGGCGCGGTACTGGCTTTGGGTTCGGATGCGCCTACGGCACCACACGCACCACTTAGAAATGCTTACACGGCAACAACTCGGCGATCAGCTAGAGAGCCGGAACTGACGGACCGCATGAACCCGCATTTTGCCCTGGAGTTAGCGGCGGCTATCGCGGCAGGTACGGAGGGATCTGCGTATAGTTGCTTTGCTGATCAATGGGCTGGAAAGCTGGAAACTGGACGGGAGGCAGATTTTGTGGTGGTTGATATGGATTGGGATGCGAACAAGTTGCTAGAAGCAAAGGTTGTACAGACTTGGTTTAAGGGAATGAAAATATTTGACGTTGGAGCATAACGGCTATAGCTACCTGGTGACACAGATATCCCGCTGTAGCCAGCGACTGTTAGCACTTCAGCACCTGAGAAGGCACCTATTCAGATGCCTGTAGGTATCTTAGGGGGTATCCAATAGGGCTGCTGAAATAATTACCGGCTTAGATTAGTGGCGTAAAGACAGCCTATCACTGTACCGATGCCCACTATGCTCACCGCCGTAAGCAAAGTGAACCATTGATTTAGTATAACCCGTCGTAATATTGATGGTGTTAACCCGGAATGCGGATATGGCATCAATCGCGATATGTATATATCGCGTCGGGTAGTTGGATTCGAGGAGACTCTTCAGATTGAGATCTCTGTATGTAGGTCCGATCTATCCAAGCCTAAAGTTGAAAGGTTCATCCTCAACATGTGACCAAGATTCGACCATCATCCGGGGTTCGTTGGTGGGTTTAGTGCAGTTTCAACCGAGAATGTTATGACGTCGTTTGGGTGAAGAAATCGAGCCTTTCACACCGGTCTTCATCTAAAATTGAGATCTTTCATTTCAAGTGACCCAAACAGCTAAGGAAGGAAGATAGATACGCGATGCAATACCTATGCTGTGATGGTTGTTCAGGTGTTTGTTTTCCGGAAAAGGCCGGTAAGATAAAAAACGCCACCAAATTACTGAATGCTTAAGGGTTGGTGATACGATCGATTGGCCTAGTCTGATTCGCTACCTTGTGCACGTACTGTATGTTCTATACCAATATTGTCGACCGAGATTTCAATGTGTACTTTGGAGCGCTCATTGGCAATGTCCAAAAAGAAAAGTGAGGGGAGTTAATATGAAGTTTATCGAAATTATTCCATTTGTTTAATCTCATAGTCGTCCCACATAAGGTTCAGAGCATCACACGGGAAGTAGTGACCTACATCCCCCTTCTGATTGGGTCGTCGTGCTGTACCTACCCCCCAAAGTTAAACTATTAGGTGGCTTTTAGGGACTCTTGGTACCCCCATAGCCTTCCCCAAAGAGTAAAGCGTCGCCTCATTTTGCTTACCTGCCGAGGAACCTACGACAAGGGTTACGCAAAGCCGCGAATGGTAAGTACCCCTTGCCCCAATAAACCCCTGTAATTTTGGGGACTTTGGAAGGTTCCAAGATTTATTCTATTCCTCTTCTATATTTTCTACCGTTTCTATAATTCACCTGACCTTCCAACTGCTGCAACTTATCAACCTCTTGCAGATATTCCCATCCTTTGCAGCTTTGCGGGCGCCTATTTTCTACCGAGTACCTATTAGATGTCTTGATATGTTTTCATAGTTTCATCAATTATCACTCCGCTCGCTTGGCATCCAATTGTCATTATTTCTTGTCCGCTATTCCCTGCTCTCTTTTCTCCCTATGTATCGCTCCCTATGACGAGGCCTAGAAGCCCGATCAATGCCTCCAATACGATGACTATGCCCAATCCGTATCGCTTCCCTCGCTTGCGTCGAGGTTATCCCTTGGCGCATATTGGGCATTATACCACGTAATGATGAATGAGTTCCGCGGGGTTGACGAGGGTTCGTAGGTCGTATTATATCTACCCTCGTCCTCCCCACGATCTGTTCTTGGCTTCAAGCTCTAAGATTCTCTACACGGGTTTATTATCTATACTAGCATAATAACTACTTACTAACACGTGAATGGGTATAGAAGATCAACTTTCTGTCGAGGAGTCGACTGAACCCCCTATATGTGGCTACACCAATGCCGCAACGGGAACTCCACCTGGTCACAGAAACCAGGACACAACAATTACTAGTATTGACATAGTTGACATTCCAAACCAACTACCCCGCGAGAAACCCGCCTCCCCTTCCGCAGGTGAGAATCATCCCGAGCCCCACACTCTAGCAGTTGAGGATCTAGAACAGCTTCTCAAGACCAACATCAAGAATGGCCTCGACAGCAGTGAAGCAAATCGTCTGTTGGCGCACTATGGGCCAAACAAGGTGGAGGGAGCTAAAGGGCTATCCATGTGGAAGATTCTCTTGAGACAGGTATCCAACAGCTTAACTATGGTCCTCATTCTCGTCATGGCACTGTCTTTTGCCATCAGTGATTTTGTTGAAGGTGGCGTTATCGCCGCTGTCATTCTACTCAATATTATTGTAGGGTAAGTCTCAATCTCATAATAATAGCCCTTATCGCACTATAATGAGCATGATACAGCGTGCACCATGCTAATACCTAGTAGATTTATTCAGGATTATCGCGCCGAGCAGACTATCCAGTCTTTATACGCACTATCCGCACCGACATGCAAGGTTATTCGCTCCGAACAAATCATTACCATCAAAGCCGAAACACTTGTCAAGGGTGACATCATCTTACTAAACGTTGGCGACATCATTCCGGCGGATCTCCGATATATCGAAGGCTTAAATTTGTCCACTGATGAGGCATTATTGACTGGGGAATCTCTACCAATCAGCAAACACCCTGAAGTGGTCTTGAATGATGCCAGCATACCCCTTGGAGATCGCGTAAATATGTTATATTCAGCAAGCACTATAACGCGTGGGAGAGGGAAAGGTATCGTCGTCGCCACGGGTATGAGTACTGAGGTGGGGAAAATCGCCCAATTACTCCGAGCAAATCCGAATCCGAACAACGATGTTACCTATATGGGCGCATATTGGATACGCGTAAAGGCTACTACGCGAAACATTCTTGGTTTAGACGGAACACCACTCCAAGTAAAGCTAAGCAAGTTTGCTTTGCTTCTTTTCGCCTTCGCAATCCTCCTTGCTGTTATCGTCTTTTCTGCTAGTCTCTGGAATATCGATGACGAGGTTCTTATCTACGGTATCTGTGTTGGTGTTGCAGTCATCCCCGAATCTCTCATTGCCGTCTTGACCATTAGTATGGCTGTCGGGACAAAGGCAATGGCAAAGGGCAATGTCATTGTGCGGAAACTATCCGCTCTCGAAGCTGTTGGAGGAGTGACCAATATCTGTTCAGACAAGACGGGTACTCTAACACAAGGCAAGATGATTACGAAAAGGATTTGGCTTTGCGACGGCTCCACTGCTTCCGTTGAAGACTGTACTAACCCACTTGACCCCTCCAGTGGGAACGTTATCTGGGGAAGTGACAAATCCAAGTCTACATACGAAGTGGAGAAAAATTCAAAATTGCCTTTTGGCGCGAGGAAATTTATAGAATGCCTTTACTTATGCAATAACGCTACTGTGACGGATGGGAAGCCAGCATCTACCGATGACGCTACCGATGATGTTACCGATGATGCCGCCGAAACCTCAACTACTTCGACTGTCGAGGTCTCGAACTGGACGGCGGTAGGTGAGCCTACGGAAATCGCCCTTCATGTTTTCGCGATGCGGTTCGGCATAAGCAAAGCCACCGTCTCCGACATCAAGGGTACATACCTAGTTGCGGAGCACCCATTTGATTCCTCCTGCAAGCGCATGACTGTTATATACTCGTCACCAGAATCTACGCTAGTCGATGTCTATACCAAAGGTGCAGTTGAAGTCATGCTGCCACTACTAGATGCATCAGACAACCTCAAAGCCGAATTCACTGCTAAAGCAGAAACGCTTGCTGCAGAAGGCCTTCGGGTCCTTTGTATCGCCCATAAGACTATGGAGTATAGTACCGCCGTCAAAGATGCGCGCGAAGCTGCTGAGAGCAACCTGATACCGCTAGGCCTTGCTGGTCTATATGACCCTCCCCGGCTAGAAACGGCCAGCGCAGTGAAGCGGTGCAAAGTCGCAGGTATTTCGGTTCACATGCTTACCGGCGATCATATTAAGACAGCAACTGCTATCGCACATGAGGTCGGTATCTTAAGTAATCTAAGTACCACCGAAGCAGCCAACGCTACTGTGCCCGCCTCTACCTTCGACGCCATGACCGATACTCAAATTGACCAGTTGGAGAAACTACCGCTCGTGATAGCCCGTTGTAGTCCATCAACGAAAGTTCGGATGGTTGAAGCAATGCATCGCCGCGGTGCGTTTTGTGTTATGACTGGCGACGGAGTCAATGATTCTCCTGCTTTGAAAAAGGCGGATGTTGGTATTGCGATGGGTCTGAACGGTAGCGATGTAGCCAAAGAAGCTGCAGACATGGTTCTGACTGACGACAACTTTGCTTCCATCGTAACAGCTGTTGAAGAGGGAAGACGTCTCTTCGACAATATTCAAAAGGTATAAGTTATTCCACCGTTACTTCAACAATTCACGGCTAATATTTCTTATATAGTTCCTCCTTCATCTCTTAGTCTCGAATATTGCTCAAGTCATCTTACTTCTCATCGGTCTCGCGTTTAAGGACGAAGCCGGCAAATCGGTATTCCCGCTCTCACCCATCGAGATCCTATGGGCGAATTTGATTACTTCATCCTTTCTAGCCCTTGGACTTGGCCTCGAGGAAGCTCAACCAGATATAATGTTACGACCACCACGCAGTCTACGTGTGGGCATCTTTACGTGGGAGATAATCCGCGATAAGATGGCATATGGCCTATTCATGGGTTCTCTATGCGTTGCGGCCTTTACGTCAGTCATTTACTCGCCTATAGAGGATACGTATAACAGGCCACCGTGGCATCCCTCACTAGGACTCGACTGCAATGCGGTTTATACATCATCCTGTGATAATGTTTATCGGGCCCGTGCTACGACATATGCCACGCTTAGTTTCCTCCTACTTCTTACAGCTTGGGAAGTCAAACACTTCACTCGATCCTTGTTCAATATGTATCCGGAATTATATCATGGGCCATTCTCTATTTTCAAGACAGTTTGGAAAAACAAGTTTCTTTTCGCTGCTGTTCTCGCAGGGTTCGTCGTCACATTCCCAGTCATATATATACCCGGCCTCAACACCACAGTGTTCAAACACCAAGGAATTGGAATCGAATGGGCCATCGTGGCCGGTTGTGTTGTGATGTATATCATATTGGTGGAACTGTGGAAGGCGGGGAAACGTCGATTTTTCAAGACCACCGTCGCTTACGACCAATCTGCTACTCGAGGGGTCTAGGCATCTAAAGGTCGTCCAAGCTAGCTCGTACGAGACCTTTCCGACAATTTGTATGCCATATGGCAGGATTCATTTCACTCGACCCGAGCGGTGGTACCTGGACGAAGGGGTTTGACTAGCTAGCTACATTTATGGTGCGGTCCTAAGTTTTAAGCCTTGCACATCCACAATGTAGGAATTGATCGAGCCCGTCTCTCATTGGCCAAAATAACCCGCACATTCATTCATCATTCGGATAGGAGGATATCATATTGTCAAGTGGACAGTCAATAATGACAGCATAGAGCATAACAGGGAACACGATCATTATCACGAATAAGTATTATCGCTACATAAATAATAGCTACATCTATTCGCTACTACTATAGAAGCAAGCTTACATAGGAACAGGCCTTCGTAGGTCTATTTCGCGAATGTTGTCACTGAAAAGTCTTGGAGAAAAGGGGACGCTATATGATTACATAAGCGTATCATTATATAATCATATCATTCACGAGAGTGGTATTACATAGTTGATTACGTAAATATGCTGCGTATGTAATACCTCTTTACTCAGCAAGTCATTACAGAACTAACAATTACAGAACTAACAATTACATAACTAGCGATTACATAACTAGCGATTACATAACTAGCGATTACATAAGAACTCCTTTGCATTACATAAGCCTACACGAGGATATAGGGGTGATGCCCATCGCCTCAAACCCCTAAATAGAGTCTCATTAAGACTATTTGAGGGTCAAACACTAGCCCAAAGAGTCTCAAATGCGTCATTCTGAGTTAGCAGGTTCATAGAAGCAAACCAAACAACGGGAATGATTACATCACAAAAGATATGATAGGAGAGGCCCCCAGTCTAACACATGAGAAAGAGACTACCCATGTATACGTGTACGCATTCCCATTTCTCTCAATTTCTTCCAAACTCTTCGTGCAGCAGAAAATCCTCTCACTCGTTAGCTTGGTCAGGCTTATGATGGGCTATTCAGCTTTCCGCCCTCATGAACTTCTCCGCCGCCATCTGATCAGGGTAAGATCCTGTCGCACGTTTGAAGTCATCATTGAAAGACTCCTTATTCTTGAGAGCCCTTTCGAGCTGCTCCGCTGTCACCTTAATCACTTTCGGTGGCTTTCCATTGCTCGAGCTTCGGGCACTCTCGTGCCGTGCCAGACTAATGGCACTTAGAAGAACTATTAAATCATCGTAAATAAACCACTACTCAAAAAGGACCTTGTACAGCGTATCCACTTACTGTTTCTTATATCTCTTCCATTCAACTGAAGGTTCAAGGCGTATTGATTCCTGCTCAGGGCAACATCCCTTGTAGTCCCCGGAATGATGATTTCTGGCTTCACTTGTTCCTTAGGTTGACCTTCGATTGCTGAAGCGGCTTGATTTCGCTCTTTTACTATCGTTCGGTCCTCTTCCAATTTATCGAAGAGACTCCTCTAAATCTGTTTACGTTGTTCATCTGTTGGGCGCTCGTACCGTACAGCGAGATGGATTCGTGACATTACGGCCTCATCAAAGAGACCAATGCCGTTAGAGATCTAATATGTTACTATTAGAAAGAATTCGGTGGCAACAAACACCTGCCCGAGAGACTTACTAGAAACAGGAGGCCCGGAAAATATTCCATTGTGCGGAGGAAGGCTGAAAATTGTTAGGAGTTATTTCTTTATCTATATTACTTGAGCAAGACACCACTCACCTGTAACTAGTGCATTTCTGTTGATATGCCCAGACTGACGTTGTTCAAGATAAACTTCGGCTTCGTCGATGAGCACTATAGCTCCCCAGGTGGTAGCTCGGCCGAGCCATCTCGTTAAACATCTTTCCATTTTGCTTTCTTCAGTCCCTAGATCCGCTGCAGATAGCCGCAGTAGGCCGCCTGGTCTTTTTCGCGATACATTCTACTGTCATGGTCTTTCCAGTCCCGGGGGTCCTATTCAGTGGCCAATTAGTCGAGCTTCGCGCAGTTGTTTAACAATTAAGAACTACACCCTACCATGTAGAAAAACGACCCTGCCTTTGCCTTTTCCCTCTATGTAGTCGGCATCCCAGTCAGTCTCCCAAGACTTTAGGGCCGTCCCTTCTCGGGGAATTCCAACCATTGCTTCCACTAGTTGGCATTTTTCGCGGTCCATAATCAGGTACTTCATTGGGTCTTCTTCATTAACTTCAAGGTCTTCGACAAAGCTCATATCAAATACCACTATAAATGATTAGCTTCAGCTGTATCCCTGAAATGTATCAACTGGGCAGGGTCAGGCCTACCCTATTCTCTCTTCCCAACTGCGAACCCCAACACGTAGGTGGGTAAAAGGAGATATTGTGCGGGCTCTAATTCGATTTCTGGCGAGCATTTCATATCATTAAACTTGGAGAATAGAGGCTCTCCACCCAGGTCTTCCGGTTCGCAATAAGTAGAAGCTTCGACGGGAACTTCATGCTGAAAACCCTGATGGTCCACGATAATTTCACCTTCATACTACGCTTCAAGTTAGTTCATAAGTCTCTTTATCGAGTAGGAAACTGGACCCTTACGTGATGCGGGTTTTCCCCAACAACCATGCCATCATAGCGCATGTGGCTTTGCTCACTACAGATAAGAGAGTAATACCGCTTCCCACGTTCGATTAGTTGGCCCTTTAGCGTCTCATAGCTTGGCGTGGATTTTATAGGGAAAACTATTAAATCCGATATTAACTTCTCGCCGTAGAAACGGTTGATTGCAGTGTAAAAGCTTTGGCGCCTGAGCATCTTATTTTTATACCCCAGGTTCCACAATGTAATTTTCCATCTATCCGAGGGATCTTGGTTCGAAAGAGGCGAAACTGACTCGCCATCTTTAGGTTCATAGGTGATATTCATAACCACAAACCCAGAGAGCTTGTTCATAATGCGCATGAAGACTATCTCGCCGGGCTTAAATAATAGCCAGAGCAAATCGTAAGTAGCTAGGTCCTTACTGTGAAGGTTTAATTCGGGACCGACGATATTTCCGTAGACGTTCTGGATAGGTGGAGCATCAAGTAAAGTGCATAAATGCTCACAGAGAAGCGGGCTGTTTTTTATAATAACTTCTGATCCAATGTCGGGGTTCCTAACATTTACCTCGCCACAACCACCCAATAAGTCACCCTTTACCCGCTGCAAATCGCTCCAGTAATGGAATATTTCTGCAAAAGGATAAATGCAGAATATCTCATTTTCTTGGACGTTGAATCCAGGATAGTAACGGATGAGTGTCCGTAACACATATTGGACATGGGGGGAGTGAATTCGAAGACAGGTTCTATAGATCTTCCTAACGCGAAAGTCGACGTCAAGGATGAATTCGTTTGGATCGTCCTGCAGAAAGTTGTCCCGGAGTTGATTCTTCCTTGGAGGATTGGTTATGTGATCACCGTCGACTGTGTCTATGATGTCTAATACGGCGAGATTCCTTCGCTCTTGGAGTTCGTGGTCATCTTGCTCTAATCCTTTGAATCTATTCCAAGAATAAAGATGAATGGGTACAAAATTAGCGCTACTTCTTAATTCGTTAGCCGTATTCATTTATGATAGGTAAGTACTTACTGGCATGTTAGGCGATAGAGAATATGTGGATGGCGCTGAGGAACTGGTGCCGTTGTCGAAGTCGATCCTGTCAACCTGAGAGGAGGCGAGTAGTCCCGTTTTCTCTTCCTGTTAATTTCTTGAATTTGTGGGCCAGCACTATTGGGGTGAATATCAAGACCGGGATTTGTCGCTGGAACAGCAGACGATTCTGCGATGCGAGAAATCTCAGTAGACCTAATTTACATATAATATTTAGAGAAGCGGCCAATATGGACAACGTATGATCGTGAATTAGTAAGGAATCTCACTCTAGTTTCTTTATCACCCTCCAGGGGGCCTCACGGGAGCCCCTCACTTTCATTGTAAGAGTTCGGACTTGGATGAAATGGCATAAAAATATTAAAACAGTTATTCTAAATAAAATCTAAATTTACCAAATAACAGGTAAGTAGGTCAACGAAAAGGAGCGGTATAGGGTGGTAAGGCTAAGATGGGTGGCGATAGGGCGGTGCATAAGGCACTTTCCATGATGGCGCAGCGCAGCGCTGCAGGTGCGGGGATATGCTGATTGGCAATCATCGTTACAGCGCATCTACGTCAGATTTGGCGGCTTAGAGGTGGCTTAATATAAACGTAAGTCATTTGGACTCCGACCATAACATACCTATTGAAACATTACCAAGTTCATATGTTGCATACATCATCATATCATATTATCACTATGTCATTTGGCTGGAGTACAGGGGATATCATAGCTGCAGCAAAGCTAGTATTAGATCTCTCGAGAGCCCTAGATGATGTGTCTGGCGCTCCGGAGCACTATCGAAGATCTGCCGCCACACTGAGGTCCATTCGTTTCCGTCTTAGTATCTTAAGCAAGGTAACTGGAGTGGGCCGAAATGATGACTCTCAAGCGCGGATTTATGAATTAGCTGTTCTGGGAAAGGATGAGTACGACGATATGAACTTGGTGGTTGTCAACCTTAAGTCGGCATTTGGGAGGCTGAAGATACTGGTAGCCAAGGGATGCGACATGAAGTTCGATCTGGGGAGCGGGAAAAGACGTCGCGAATGGCCTGCTCATCAAATCAATAAATCACGATGGTATATAGGAAAAGAGGATGAAGTGAACAGACTCGTCCAGCACATCTTTGAGCTCACAGCCTCCTTACCAGATTTCTATCAAAAGCTCAATAGGTGTGTCACCCCAGCAAATATTGTAACAGAAGCTGACTAAGCAGTGAATTACTTAAGCAGCAGAATACAACTCAAGCGGTATATCATCAAACACAGATCACATGGCTTAAAGCGATATTTGAAAGACTGGAGGGGTTAGATAGAGCCGTATCCCGAGATCAATCATATCAGGGGCCTGGGGAAGGAAGATTGCCATTGTTGCATGCCGGTCCAGATCTAGGAGTCCCCCCTATTCCAAGTAACACAGGGTTCGACACGAAATCTACCATAGATCACCTCGAGAGCGTTGCCCACACAATTATGACTACAAATTTGAGCTCCAGAGTCAAAGATATCCAGGTTGATCATTACCTAAAACGAAAGCTCGAAGAATGGTTCAGTGGTCAAACTCACGATAACAAGAGGACCCCACCCCGGTTATGGCTTTATGGCGATAAAGCCAATATCGTCAGCGCCACTATATATACCGCAGCTCTTGATAGAAGACTCCCAATCCTTGCTTTCGCAGGCCGCCACGTTGCGGAGGGGAAGTACCTAGCCCCTGAAGACCGGTTTTATAGGATGGTGTACTCGCTGCTTTTCCAATTGCTTCAGCAGTTCGAAGACGTACCAGCTATTGCCATAACGGGGATTGACAGGCCATTTACGGAGCTTGACCTCACAATGGATAGTACGCCACTAGCATTGAAGTATATGGCCTATTTTCTCAGTCTTATACCTGAGTGCACATGCATAGTCGACGGGTGGAATTTCATTTCCGTTGACGCTGATGCGACAGTAAAAAATATTCTAAAGATGTTTCTCGATATGTTTGAGGAGCCGCCTGGTTTGGCCGACGAAATCGACAGTCGCCCAAGGCTTTTGATTACATCCCCTGGGAATTCGCAAATGCTCCGGGATGTGATGGGCGAAAAACAAGGGTACGTTGACGGGTTTAACCTAAGAAGTCATGTCGGAGTAAATGGTTCGAGACTCCATACGTTACTACTCGGTATGGAGTGGTGACCCGTGCTATACTTAGGCTTTTTGGTCATCAATTAAGGGAATTCTTGCTGGTCATATGGAAAAGGGGTATTGTATTACGTAATTGATTAGTCAATTAAGGGGCATCATATGGCAACTATGACGAGGGTTATTTCGCGAAAGCATCTTGCCCCAAAGGAATGTTTTATATGTAGGTTAAATCCCTTCGTGAATTATTGCAAGTTTCACATTATGCATAACAGCAACACATGCGTGGGGGTGAGTTCTCATTATACCTAGCGATGGCCACGAGGAGGATCCAGGTGTTGAGCCCACACCATTATGTACACACGTTCCTTGTCATGATACCGCGTTCCCCCCGAACCTAAACGCCTCAAGCCATGTCTCGTACTCAAGACTTCATCCGAAAATCCTGCCGTAAAGAAAGAAAAAGAAAAAGCAACAACCGTGACATTTTAAATACAGCATGACCCTCCTAGCGCCATAATCAATCAATCAAATTCGCAGTTTGCCGAAGGGTACATCTTCTCCGCTGCCCGATTCATGACAGTCTGATCTCTTTGAGTTGAGCTCGGAGCCGGCCGATTCGGGACGGTCACCCGGGGTTGAGAGACATCGTCGGAGGCACTCTTCCGACTGGGCACGGTTATCGATGCCAGAGATCTTGGCTTGGACCACGAGATGCTTTATGTACTCATCCTGTAGGAGTACTGGCATCCCTTTAAGGCACTTGGATACGGCCTTTTGGTAGCCCAGGTTGCAGCCACTGTGCGACAGATGAGGCTTCCAGTCCTTCCCAGCATACGTGATCGTGTGGATGGCCTCAATCTTGCTCTTTAATGCCCCAATGCTGTCAAGGTAGTGTGATGGATTGGGAACAGGAAAGATGCCCTCGGTCACCATGGTGGGGATGGCAGATCCAAGCATCATGGCCTCACATTCTCTCTGTTGTGTGTTCAACTTGCAGAAAGACGCCTTTCGGTCTTTAACCTTCGAGGCGGTTTGCTTGAAGGGTGCATTAAGAGCATCCAGCATCTTACTAATGGTAGCTAGCCGGGTTTCCGCAATGTCATCTACAATAAGTTAGCACGGCCCAGAGAGAATCGTGGCTTCTGCTTACTAGGTAGACCATAAGGCAGGACCATCTTCTTCAACGGCTTGTCGTCGACGTTTACAAGCTCTCCATTAGCATTCAGCTTAGCGCTAACGGTCAGTGCATCAGCCATATCGGAGAAGAGCTGAACATCTCCGAAGACCCAGGCGATGAATACTGCCTTGTGGCAATTATGATGACAGTCCACATCCGCAGCGTAGGATGAGAAGTTCTTGAGCCATTTGCGAGCCCAGGGGTAAACAAGGTGGGTACAAAGGTACTGGGAGGTGACCGCCGCAATCTCATACAGCTCGTCGAGGCTGGTTACTTCGGGAACTCCATTAAATTTGTAATGGATGATATCGAATACTGTGTGAAGGGCCTGGGGATTACCATCGACCTTGATAACCCAATCCTCTGCGTCGGATCGTGTCGTGTGGTCTCCATAAATAATGGATCGCCATACTGGTGATGCGAACGCAAGGTTGGCAGAGGAAACCTTGAAGGTAACTTGGCCTGAAGCAGCCTTGACCTGAATGAAGACATCACTGTCGACGTGGAAGTTGACAACAGGTGTCTTATGCTTGGGGGCTTGAGAGTCAGAGGTAGTGGGTCTCGTGAAATTATCACGTTCCTTAATCAAGGTAAGGGGGCGCGAAGGAAGGACAACACTGGCAATCGATGCGTCGAGAGTATCAAGTGCTTTCTCAATTACCTCGTCAGACTCGGAAATGTCCTTGTTAAGATTGACATTGCCAGGAACAGAAGTAGCCATGGCGGTGTCATGAGTGATTGTGGTTTCCTGATCGGCGATAATATTATCGCGTGACGCGATATGGTGGTTACCAGCCTCCATATTGAATGGAAGGCCTTGATAGAATTAGTGATGCGCACTATATAGCTTTTAGACAGAAGGAAAAAGAAGGATAACGGCGGTACATTAAATAAATAACGGGGAGTATTGATGGAAATGAAGCGAAATTAGACCAAAACGGCGATGAAAAACGAAGCTCAAATATAAACAGAGCTTGTGTTGGACAAATTCTTCAATGAAAAAATAGGTTGACTGAAAATAAATAGGATACATACCTAAGACAACAAGTCGTGTTGATGACTGTATTAGAAATCAAACAATGTAGGCAAAGGGGAAAATGTGCTGGTGATGAACTTCGCCGTCTTGAAGTTTGTTCTGGGGAACTGGTGTAGATGGTGAAAAAAGGTGAAGAATGAAAGAAACGACGAAACAACTCGGCGTGGTTGATAAAAATATAACGCGTTGAACAAGTCAAGATACGCGTCACAAGTTGGGAAGGAATAAATAACAAGACGGCGAAACAAAGTTAGGTAGGTCCAACGCATAACGAAGGAAAGAGGAAGGCACTTTGATGAACGCCGTGGGTGAGAACAACGCGCCTAGCAAGAACGAGTTACCTGATGGCGAGGGGGATGAGTACTAAATGCGTACCTTCCAATTCTAAAGCTCCGGACGCGACGTACCCCGGAAACCACGAAGACGCGTATTTATCAACGTTTAGTACCTCGTAGCTTCCATTTCACTACACATACACATTACTTATGTACCTAAGTAGCTCTCATCATTGTTCTCCAGCAGGTGTAGACACTATAAGCTTTCATGAACACAAGGATGGGGGCCACCTAGGTGCTAATGTAAACATAACAGCGCCGTATGAGATATGGAAGGTACCAAAATAAATGTATTTCCACATACCCAGGAACTGTAGGTACTGCTGAGAACCTGGTTCGCTTCTCATCGCGTACCCAAGGGCTACCCTTAACGTTATCAGTTCCTGCATCCATTACTTCCTCTCCTTGAATGAATGGGGGCAGTGAAAATCAACTCACTTCGCATACCAACAGGAAGAAAAATCAGGTCCCATCAAATAATACATTGATTTAATTCATCGAAGCGGTCGAAAATCACGCGCTCCCAGGTATTTATAATGAATAATGACATAAGAGACTTATGTGAGGGCCATCCACCATTCGCCCTAGGTATTCGCTCCTAATAGAGTTCATCCGATGCCCCTATCGCCAATCTTTTTGATAGAAATCAGTCTATACCGCCTAAGTCACCCCATATATCTCAGTCCATGCAAAGGCCAAGAACGCCTTGAGAGGTTATAACATATCAACCTGGGAAAGCTTAATATAGGTGGATCACGTGCCACCCGTAACACAGACGAAAAAAGGAACGCCTGCGACCTATACCGTGGGTAGATTAAGATGTACCCTCTCCCTCCCCAAGGAGACGGGCAATTAGTACGTAGACGAAGATAACACCGCCAAATACCAACAGCTTGTTGCGGCTAAGCCACCCGGTTCCAGCGTCTCTGCGTTGCACGACTGCGTCAACAACGGCTTGAGCCTGACCACCACTTCCGCCGGCAATTCCTAGTTGTGGACCGCATGAAGCCCCGCCAGTTCTAGAACCAGTAGCTGTATCAACATTATTTTCTGTCATCCAGCGCCAGTTCTCCTTGTCCACGTCGGGCCATTCCGCTCTGAATTTTGCGCCACCATCTCCTGCTTTTACATTACCCTTTTGTGCGGGATTCTTAAGGTGGGAGCCACCTCCTGTTGAGTTCCACCATCTTGATCTTGCTGCTAATATTCGTCGTTCATGTGCTGTGGCTGACACTGAACCGGTCGTCATCTCTTCTGATGTCATAAAAGACAACAATCCGATTAAGATCGTCGATACTTCCCATGCTGGGTTGAATGTCTTAGGGTGGAAGTCTGAAATGGAAAGGCAAAGGCGCGTCGATGGTTGAAAGCGACCGGATGGTGTATGCATTCGGATAGCCGGGGGCGCGAACGGGTAGTTAGGAGGGAAGATTAAGGTACCCCAATATTGACCATTATGATATGGGGTATCCTCGGGACCTGTGATGATGTAGTGCCACCTATTTCTCTTAGCAAAATGTAACACGGTAGTATTGAATGACTTATTGGAACATACTCAAGGATATTAGAGTCTGATGGATGGGCGTTGATATATGGAGGAGGGTTCTCTGATATGCTTTTGTACTCGCGCGCCAACTGTAGGAACGCATGCTATGTTAATTTCTAAAGGTCTATTTGAATTGAAGAGGGAAGCAAAACATACGCGTTTACTCGCTTGCTTGCTAGCCATAATGTAGACGATTGTGGTGGTGAGGGTATCTCTTAGAAAGGAAATGTGTCACAACAACTGTCATGTGAGGCGCACCAAAGTTGCGTCTAAACTGATACGAAGAGAATAGAGAGAAACCAGTTGTATTTTACAGGAACCGAAAGATAGACTAGAAGAAGATGTAAAATAGTGAAGTATGTCGGTGGGCGATGACCGTTATTAATTGTGGTTTTATTTATAAGGGAGGTAGAAAAAGGAAGGGGTTGTAGTTTTAAAGAAGGTTAGGGATAAGGATAAGGCTGATGATGACAGAGACAGAGGCAGAGACAGATAGACACCAAGTTGGGGAGTGGTCAATTGGGTCTAGACTTTATCTAAAGGTTCGGGGTGCCGATAAAAAAGAGTTCCGACATAATGTAAACTTAAAGCAAAACTGGATAAACATTTCCGTAAACAGTTTAGATCAATATTTTATTGTCAGAGCATTGCGTCACCTGTCAGATTTCGGTACAAAGTAAACTGAAAGTACTTGTATACTTGAGTACATCCAAAGCCAAAAAGCAAGCCACAGGGACTAAATGTGGCAGGTACAACGGGATCCTTCCGGACCTTGCCGAACTCACTAAACCTTGTAACATTTACCTTTGAACTGGCGCAGGCCGAGCTACTTGATTGATCTTCTTCATATGAAGATTTATTTACAACGAACATAACAGAAGGGAGCTTAGCCATCCCCTGTTAGTTGAGATGGCTCGCAGCGCTTCTTCCGGAGGCGACGATGTATGTTCTTTAAATCAATGTCCCACATCATTTAACATGTCAACAACTAACAGGAGCATTTTTTATGGTAGGCCTTTGAAGGCTTGCTCAAATCCGAAAAAGCATTGGTAGAGCAAAGAGCAGCAGCAGAACGAGCTCAGGCACACGATGCGCAATCCGATCAACGAACATTCGAATTGGTGAGCTTGAATATGTCTATTAGCTATTGGCACTTGCGGCATTCTTACACGCTTAGTTATCGCAAAACCAAACACTTCCAGTTTCACTCTCCTCTCTCCAAATCCATGGCGCAAAACACACCCGGAAATCATTTCTCGACCCCTTATTCCAACCTTTAGTTGAAGACAGCCGAAATGTCAACTACACCCTAGCAGATATGTTGGAGCAGGTTGGCGGGGCTGTCGAAAAATTGCAAAAATTCGGTATGATTTGAACTATTTACGTCTATTTTTATCCGAGAGGTTTTTGTACTGACACAGGCTCTTCAGACATTTTCCACCCACAGATTATGTTCCACTTGTCCCGTCCACCTCACCTTGACCCCTCTATATCTCCAACCGACCTTGACGTGTCCCTCCGAGTGCGCGAAAAATCTCGACTCCTCCTAAAGACTGGTACCGACCTAGGTAACACAGAAGGTTCAGCATATGGGTCTATGCTATGGCGCAACATATTCGGAGGTGCCGAATCCCTATCACTTAATGCTTCAGCCGGAACGAGAACACGTTCAGCCTACAGCGCCGAATTCGGTGCCCCAATACAAAGCAATCCCAACGTACGCATTAGCATCGAAGGTCTGGCAAGCAGTACCCAAAAGCCTTGGGCTAGCCATGAAGAAGTTCTAAAAGGTGGAGGCGTCAAACTGAATTGGTTGGATGACAATGGAGACCGTCATCAATTTGGGTATTCAGGCATCTGGAGGCAATTGACTGGTTTAGCAGCCGAAGCAAGCCCCACTGTTCGAGGTGACGCTGGCGACTCCGCTAAGAGTGCGATTTCTTACCTATTTCAAAGGGAACGAAGAGATAACCCTATGTTACCACAAAGTGGATATCTCGTGAAAGGATCCACTGAACTTGCCGGGTGGGGACCTTTAAGCGGAGATGTTGGTTTCTCCAAGAGTGAGTTGGAAGTCGCTGGAGCTGTACCGATACCGATACCTGGCATCCGAGGGTCCTCAGGTGTATCTATTGGTGGTGGATTCAGAGCTGGCTTACTATACCCTCTACCGTTATCTTATGGTCTTCATGGCGCGTCGCCCAGCCAACTCAATGACCGATTTACCTTAGGAGGTCCGACAGATGTACGAGGTTTCTCCCTAGGTGGTCTCGGGCCTAGAGATGGTAGTGATGCACTTGGCGGTGACCTCTTCGCTGCAGGAAGTGTAAACATGCTTGTGCCTCTTCCACGAGTAGGACCCGAATCCCCATTCCGACTTCAATTTTTCGCCAACGGTGGCAGGCTAGTAGCGATGAAGAGCAAGAGCAAGAGCAGCGACACTACATCCAAACAACATCTAAGTGCTGGTGCAGTATGGAACAATATGATTTCTGCTACGAAGGATCTCAGCACAGGGCTACCTAGCATTGCCGCCGGTGTGGGGCTCGTATATGCACATCCCGTGGCAAGATTTGAGCTGAATTTCAGCTTACCATTAGTAATGAGACGGGGCGAGGATGCCCGAAAAGGACTGCAAGTTGGTGTAGGAATTAATTTCCTATAGTATGGCAGTTTCTTTAGAGACTTTTGAGTTATTGGATTTCAAGGTATCTCGTGTAAATACCCAACCCGTTCACCTCTCAGTGTAAATATGTCTCGAATAACTGATGTTTGGTATGCTAGAAGGATATCGAGTTTTGCTCGATTCTATTCCGGCGTTGAGGATCTATAAGTCAATAGAAAAGCTAAATATTTTACAGGTTCATATCATTATCCAACAAGCAGTTACGTAGAAATCTTCAACTAATGATTATACTATTTTCTTGTGTAGGCCATTGAATAATTTGGCCTCAGTACTGACCAAAGAGGGGCAGAGATAAGTACACCTACAAGATAGCGGGGTTCTATATGACGTGCTCTGAATGGGGCTATGGACTTAGCAGTTATCTCTCCGACCCTCACTTCTAAGGTACAAAGTATCAATCAACTAAAACAATGACAACTCTCGAACATTCATCTAAAATAATCATCGTCGGTTCTGGTGTCTTTGGCATCTCGACGGCATTATGGCTCGCTCGGTCTGGGTACTCCGATGTTACTATTCTGGATATGCAAGACACGGCCGCGACGGGCTACGACCCGCTCTCCGGCACGGACTCCGCATCGGCTGATCTCAATAAAATCATTCGCTTTAGTTACGGTTCTGAGATCGAGTATCAACGTCTTGCTAGCGAGGCCGCTCAATTGTGGGATGATTGGAATCGCGAAATTGCCGCGACGCCTGCTGATGAATTGCCAGAGAGCTTGAGAGAAGGGGATAGGAAACTTTGGTGGAATGTGGGTTTGCTGCGCATGAGCTGTGAGTCGGAATTTGGAGCATTCGAGATTGAGACGCTTGAGAATATGGAACGCGAGGGTATTAGGGAGTTTCAATTTAGGAGTGATGATGATGCAGGTATGTAGAGCAACAGAATTACGATACAACCTAAACTCTAGGTCGGGACTCTGATTTTTGGTATGAAGATATCGCCCGAGCAAAACAGCGAGGCTGGGCTCATAAGCTAGACCCTTGTCGACGCCAGAAGAGACTTGGGACGCATAAAGCCGTCCTCGACTCTACGGCTGGTTTCGTTTATGCTTACAAGAGTTGTGCTTGGGCGCAATATTTAGCAAAGAAGGCGGGGGTCAAGACGACTCTTGATTCGGTTCGTGGGAAAGTGATTGATATTACCTCAAGGGATAGTCGCCCTGTGGTACATACCGCGGATGGAAGTGAACATATTGCTGATTTAGTTGTTGTTGCTGGTAAGATCTCTCACCTTATCAATCATATGCCTATTTATACGTGGTTAACACGCCCATAGGTGGCGGATGGACTCCATCATTGATCCCAGAGGTCCAAGGCTTGTTAGAAACCACAGCTGGCTCAGTAGCCAATATTCAAATTCCAATGGATGACCCTGATCTTTGGGGGCGGTTTGCCCCTGAAAATCAACCAGTCATCAGTTGGGGTTCACATCAAGGCAAGGAAGTATATAGCCTACCGAGGGATGAAAATGGTATATTCAAGATCGGTTGGCGGAAAACGAAGTCAGCATGCTCTCACTCCTCTGTATACGTGGTACTAAGAAGTTTGAATAGGTGGACAAATTTTGAAGATGTACGCGGACGGCGGGTATCGGTCCCTAGGACTGCTCACGTAACTGAGAAGAAAGAGACGCGTGTCCCAATTGACGCCCTAAATGGCATTAAAGGTAAGTGGCAACACAAGGGGCCTTGTCGCACAGCTATCCATGCCATATCACTAATAATAACCTTAGAGTATATCGCGATTAACTTCCCGGAGCTGGTATCGTTAGGCATTTCATCCACGAGGCTTTGCTGGTACACCGATAGTATCGATAACTCATTCGTGGTCGATTTCGTTCCTGGATGCCCTGGTGTTGCAGTGTGTTCAGGTGGTAGTGGTCATGGGTTCAAGTTCCTACCTATTCTTGGTCGAGAAGTTGTTAAAATCCTTGAGGGCAAGGGGTCGCAGACGGTATATGGTCAAATGTGGCGGTGGAGAAGTAGCAGCGAGTCAAAGCGGAATGGACTCGAGGAGGGCGAAGAAGGACCTAGAGTATTATCGAAACAAGCTATGGCTTCGGAGGCGGATTGGAAGTTCACGAACTAATGATGTGACAATCCTACTGTGTGTGAGAAACTTTGCTACCGCTGGGGTGTTGGGTACGGAGCTTTAAAGGATACAACCTGTCGTGGAATTTCCGCTGGCGAAGACACTGTCATGACAAGGCAAAATCCCCGGTATCGCAGCTAAAACTAACCCAACCGGTAATTGAAAAAGGAGATTAGCCCGATGGTGTCTCGGATATGGTGTTTCTATCGTCTTTGGTGACATTATGATCAGAATAAGTATAAATCTGCCTGGATGGATTGATAGAAACGGATGAGCATCCAACAGTAATATGTGATGGGCGCTTAAACCTTATATGCCATTGGCTAATATGGTTGGTCAACAAGAACGCCCTAGTCCAATTCTTACTTCTGATTGGTTCATGGGGAAACTTTCGTGACCAATCCGGTAAGTAGGTGAGGGCGGGGAGATACTATTTCGTCCAACTTCTCGTGAGAGTGGATGGCGAATGTAGACTTACTTGCATCGATCGTTACGGATTCGTCATATAAATTGTGGATTTTTACGGTCTATTCGTTGGTGGCGCTTATCACAGTCACGCTTGGGTGATGAACCTATCTAGGCCTATGTACAACGCAATTGGAGCCTTATGCCCTGGTAAGCCTGGCACCGTTCACAATCTCGACCGGCGATTTCGCCTTATATCACAACTTGTTTTTCCATTATATACGACGATCGATGTCTGGGGTGGCGAAAAGCAGGTTTAAACAACCCACTTGGTTCCTGATTTAAAAATCCCCGTAGCGCCGCATCCCTTTCTTCCTACTGTATGTCTCACCTTTCCGATGTTTTGTCCTGTCGACCGGTCGTTCCGTGATGCATCCGGGATATCAACTGGCGTGCGCCATGTGGGCGATGGCAGTCCTCTCGCTCGCCTTGGTTGCTCTCCGGCTCTATACCCGCGTTCGGATCGTCAAGTTCATCGGCGCTGAGGATTACATGTACGCATGTACGGGTGTACGTAATCAATCCCTGCTATCCCAAGTGACGTGATGATCAACTCTAATCCACTTCATGTAACACAGATATTCTTCCTTTTGTTCGCTAGTTTCATACAGGTCTCGGTCCATTACGGGTTAGGTCAGAATTTTTGGCAGCTGAAAATCGACGACACTGCGGACGCTATCTTTTGGACATACGTTGCGAATAGCTTTGCGATTACTGGAAATGCTATGGCGAAATTATCGATGGGCCTTTTTCTTCTTCGCGTGGTTCAAGTTAGGTGGCATAAGATCGCTCTCTGGACCGCCGTCATTATTACCACTGCCACATCTATCGCTCTTACTATAATGCTGTGGAACCAAACAACACCAAGAAAAGCGAGCTGGGATCCGTTAAGAACACCGGGGACATGGAATATACGGATTCAGCCATTAAGTGTTGGTCTCGGAGGTAATATGCACCCCGCTGTACTATGGAGAGGTCAATGAGTGACGGTACTAACAGTACATGTAGTATGGTCCAGTGCCTGCGACTTTTTCTTCGCTATTTTCCCTTGGTTATTTATTCAATCGCTTCCTATGTCTCAACGAGAAAAAGTTATGTTAGCGGGTGGGATGAGTTTGGGTGTAATGTTGGTGTCTCCTATCTATGACACTCAGCGAAAGATATAGGGGCTGACTTTCTTTTTTTAGCGCCGGGGCTTGCGGTATTACTAGGACCGTCGTGCTATCGCGGCTGGACGTTTTTAACTATACATGTGAGTAACGCCTAGAACTCATAAATGATAGGTAACCGTCTAATATGATATCCAGTAAATTTCGTACCTTATTTTGCTTGGGCTGGAGCGGAAATTGCTGTCGCAATGGTCTGTGTTGGTATTCCAACTCTCCGGCCGTTATATTTGAAAACAAGAGAATTTGCAAACGCGTATTCAAACCAAACCCGAAGTAACGCAAGTCACTTACCTCGTTATACAACATATAAACGTCAAAGCGCACGTCCACCCCGACCGTTACGCGACTCTGGATTTTCACATGCTCGTACCGATTCTAACATATCGAGACCACCGGTTGCTCATCCGAAGGCGCGAGACGATAGTTTGGATGAGATATTATCGGAATATCATAATCAACACGCCGGTGTAATATGGGTCAAGAATGAGGTTCGCATACAAGAGGACGTTGCGGAATGGCCCCTACGGAATTAATACTTAATAGATACCTATACCTAAGTTAGATGTGGTAACAAATTGCTACCAGACGCGAGTCACTATAATACAGTATATATTGTCATGGAATACATTCACGTATCTGTGACATACCTGGATATGACTGGAATAACCCCGCCTGACCCCTCTCTGACTTGCCCTTTTTCATACCATAATCAGCTAGGTACCTGTGAATTGTGTGCCCAATTGTAATTGTTGATTGCAAATTGAAGTCCTTCAATGGATACGTTTTGCCGCGTCACAATCAAGTAACTGAAGATAATTAGATGACGAAGACAGAAACGACAACACCCTTGGCGATAATTAACTGATAAGATATGGTAACGTATGTCTGTCTTAATTGGGAAGGCAAGAGCTTTATGATCGGGCATCATCTGTCTTTAGTAGACATGTACATATGTAGGTAGACATGCAGCCGTGACTCCACTGACTTTATGTATGTAGGCCTGTACCGCGTGATGTATCATGTATGATGGCAGTAGTGTATGTCGAGATACATGTACATACCCGGCACCACGGTTATCGACTCGCAGGTGGGGTATCATTAAAAGAGTAGGGCAAGGGGCGTTCTCGCAATATTGTGCATGTACATATGGATAAGGATTTCAAGGATGACGTGTTAGGCTATGTACCTGTTTTGATGGAATAGCGGATTGAGTATTAGTTGTATACCTAGGTAATTAAAGGTACTCGACTATAAGGGTATTAATAATATCTCAAAGGTAGAAGATTTCAAACAAAGACAATTTTGTAATTTCTGCCGGAAGCTGTAGATGAATAATGCAATTCTATTATAGGACATTCTAAACTTAGAAACAATGGATACCAAGGGTTACCTAATATCTCTTTGTTGCGATACCATGTCCGGTCTACCTAACGCAGTACATACTTCCACATTGTGATTGTAATTGATTGTAGACTTACTCAATTTAGGAGATTGTCAAACTAGTTACATGTAATAATTAGACAAGACGTTAACTAGCGTAAATCAATAATCTGAGCCTCATAGCTTGGCCCCTTGACGAGAGCCTCATAAAATCACTCATTGAATCTTAAGATGTAAGGGAGAACCTGGTTAGGTCTCTCCAGGGCTGCTTATAGAAATCGTAGTGGAACAGAAAGTAAGCTTCCGGTACCTGGTAGCTTTAGATAGCCACCTACCTGTGAACTACCGGGCAACCGGGGTACCGATTACATGTATGAGGTCACTGAAAGTGTAACGCTGAGAGGTACAGGAGCGCGGGGCAGAGAGGTACCTCAACTAGATATACATATGTACCTGACTCCACAAGTTAGTTGAATTGGGCGGCCGCTAACAGGTGTCAGATCAAGCAGGCATCAAGATATTGACCAATCCCAATTCGGAGAAGGAAAGAAAAAAAAAAAAAAAATTCTCGGACTTTTGGTCCCCCGCCAAAGCTCTCTTTTTGTAACTGTAACTGGAACTGGAACTGGAACTGGGAGAGCTGCCCCCCAACCTTCCTCCACCACCATCCGTTGTCCATCTTTAGGATACCCTTACTACCACTATTCGTACAAATCTAGTACTCTATGTACCTACCGGAACCGACCTAGGTATACCTAAGGTGGACATCGATCACCCGTAATCACATTCAGTCATTCTCCATCCATCGAACCCGTTAATCCCTTCCCACCACCCAACAACACCTTGTTACCCAAATACTATACCATCATACTGTACATCAACTTGTTCACCTGCTCTCACTTGTTCACTACAATCAACAAAGGGATAGTACAATCGTATGAATGGTAGGTAGTATTAACAACTTCCTTCATCATTGTACTAATCTGTTATTTCCTTTTTTTTCCTTTTCTTCCTGCGAAAGGAATCAAAGCGCACCTGTTCTGTTCTATTCTCTCCCTTACCACATACATAAACAACCCCCATACATTACATAGCATCCTCATCAGTACCAGCAAACCAGCACCAACTACCGTGAATCGAATTCTTCTTCTTCTCCTTCTACAACTACAACTACTACTTCCATTCCTCGATTCTGGGCATGGTATAATAATTCTCGAAAACCTCATGACATTTTTGAACTCCGGCTGAGTCGCAGTTATTCCGGGTTCGGTTGGCTTCGCTTGTCTATGACCGAATGCCTAATATTCTGCTCATCCTATCGCGCAACCCCCCGGTATTTGCGATCTCCAGCCCTACGTTTCTAACCTTCGCCTCGTTGGCACCTCTTTTGGATTACCTTACCTCATAATTGTTGACTACAGTCCCGTCGTTCGAACTGCCGACAATCGAGTCGATTCCCTTTCATCATGGCAGCTCATAAGGGCCAGCCCAAGCCTGGAAAGGCCGCTTCCGGTCATGCGAAGAAACAATCGTCCGTTGCCGCCGCATCAACCCGACCCGTAGTCGTACCCGCTATTCCGCTTCCTATGATGCCTAAACAACAAAACAAACACGTTCCGACCACTCCCTCTAACGGATTCCCGGCTTCGTCTCTCGAGGCAGCTCTCGCCCTTCACAACGATCATGCCGATCATACTCCTGCGCCGGTAACCACAAGAGCTCAGCATTCGGCCAAACCCTTAGCTAATGAGGTTAACGGTACCAATGTGGAGAAGCCCGAAAACACAACCAAGACTGTGAACGGCGCGCACCATGCTGACAGCAACAGCAACGGCAATAGCAACGGCACCGAGAAGATTGATACTCCTCTGGCCTCGACAAATGGTGTGAACGGAACAAGCTCCGGTCCGCAACAGCTATCTTCAACTTCCTCAGTCGTGGACACCGAGTTTGCTTTTGAATCTAGATCTGGCTCCGCATCCGCAACAAATGGTACCAACCAAGGTAACCCGCACACAATGACACTACCCTCTACAATTGATCTAAGAATCTTAGAACTAATAGGCGCCAACTATGCAGTCCAAAATGTCTCGCAGCCCCAGTCGGCTACTTCTCCCTTGGACCAACTGCCGCCTTTCTACTATCCTCCTCCTCCGCCGACCCACCCTCTACAGCACCAGCTGTCCACCGATCAGATTTCCACACATGCAAACCTGCGCGGTCCGCCCCACATGCACCACTACCAGCATCATCCCCATATGAGCAACGGTACTGGTGCTGCTGGTGCAGGTCCCGGTGGTGTCGTCTTTGGGGGTTTTGCTGGTTCTCATACTCCCTCGCCAGTACCTCCGCCTGGCGGTTTCATGCCGCCTCCACCTCCCGTTCCTGTTAATGGGGAGAATACTATCCACCCACGACCAAATGGTCATCACCATGCTAGCTCCGGTACCAATGGTTTCCCCGGTCCAATCACCACCCGATTCGGACCCGATATGATGCCCGCATCTACCGTCGACTCGTTTGGGCCGGCTTCTGCATCTGTGCCTCCTAATCATTTTGATCCCTTCTCGCCTGGCTTTGGTCGCTTCGGTCTTTCTACTCCCCATAGCTTTCCTGGCTCTCATACCTCAGGCGAGCCAAATGGCGTCGAGAATGGAGCTATGCCTCACCCTCCCAATGGAATGCCCTATGGTGGTCACGGTTATCATGAGCATCCTGTTGGCCACCCTCCCCCTGCGGCCAATTTCCCGCCGTTCTTACCCCCGCCAGAAGCTTTCACCCATCAACCCAACTTTTTCGACGATGGTATTAGAGAGAGTATCATGTACTTCCGAGACCAGTTCGATAGTGGCGAGCTTACCGATTGTATTCTCGAGCTCGTCTCTACCAAGTGCTTGCATCACCCTGTCAAGATTACTGGCCACAAGCTTGTTCTAGCACGTAGCTCAGCATTGAAGCACCACATCATGGCAGCGCGTGCTAATGATTCAGGTTCTCACACTATTACGATTGAGTCTGACGATCAATATCTACGATCGGATGCTTGGTGGCATGCTGTGCGTCGTCTGTACATGTTCCCCTTACTCGACCCTCCCATGTTGAACAACCCAGCTACTGGCTTGCACTTCGCCAATGATAAGGTCGATCGATTTCAGTTCTGCCTTGGGTATGCCGCCGCAGGCCATCTACTAAACATGCACGATGTGTTCATACGTGGTCTGCAGATGGCTGCTGAATTCATCAATTGGGATACACTCGAAGAAAGTCTTGGCTTTATCTTTGAAGGTACCAGCCAACGACATCTCACCTTCGACAACCAAGATGTTGATTTGGACTTTATGTATGGCCCGGAGGTTAGGTTCCTCTTAAATGTCACCATGAACTTCCTCATCAACGCCTTTCCATCGGACTTTGAATTGGACCCGTTTGTCCCCGACCCTGTAAAGTTTGCGCGCATTCCAACAGCCACCAATATGGTATCTTCGCCAACAAGTAGTACGGCCCATCCCATCGCTCGAGGCACAAACACGCGTAGTCAGGCCAAGTCTAACCGCCTAACTAACATCAAGTTTGGCGATCTTCCTGCTACCCTCCCAGAAGATGGCAATGGCCCTCCGCGTGGACCTGCTCACTGCTCTCCTGTTCTATCTCGCATCTTATTGAACCTTCCATTCAATGAACTTTGCGCTGTGCTAACCTCGGAAAGCCATGGCATCTCGGGATGGAATACAGCCCAAGACCGATACCACGCAGTCGCTAACGTCGTAGCTGAGCGAGAGTCGCGACGACTACGCATGGTCGATGCCATTCGCGCAGGAACAGTTCCTGGATCTCCAAAGATTCAACAACGGCTATCGGCGCAACGACGTCATGCTTGTGTCGAACCTTGGGATGTCCTAAATTGGCAAGAGGAAGTTGTACAGCCAAGAGGTGCCGAAGTCCCTCGAATTATCCGTCGATGGGTCCCCCAATTCTTGGTCGCCTCGGAGGTGCCACAGCAGTTGCAGCCGCAACTGTATGATCCCCGTAACTCCATAGTCTAGCTGACTCATCGGAACGTTATGCGACGGGTTTACGATTGAATGACAATAGCATTGATTGGCACGGAAGAACGAGGTTCCCCTTCTTCATATGGCATACTCGTTCTTGGGCGTTTCTGTTTTCTGTTTTCTTTTTGGTTTGTCGGCATTGCGTTCGGTGTTTATTAGTGTACCATTTCCCCCCTGTTCTTTTCGTGGACATACTTGATCAAGGATGGATGGATGAAGAAACCTAAGACTACCCTGCCTTGCTTTACGTGCCTTATGGTTTCTTCTCCTTCTCTAGATCAAAATGACATTTGCGGGTTTCCTTTCAAAAAAAGAAAAATAATCATTATTCAGTTAAGTTGGTCATGGAAGTTCTACCGAAACTAAGGCAGCAGGAGGCAGAAAAACAACAAAAGTTTAGACAGTACGGGGTTACGGACGGCACAGATCGGATTGATGATCGCCAATTAGCATTCTTCATATTCACATAATACCCCAATCCCCCTTTGCAGATAAATGCCATTGTGGGCAGTTTTTGTTTTCTCTTCCTTTTTTTATCGAGCATGAAGTCGCAAGCCCCGGAGTTTTGGAGGATTAAAGGGTCGATTCTTTTATTTTCACCTACTAGCCAGGTTTGATTCCATAAGACCTCGTACCTAGGGTAAACCTACAACACGATGATGATATTGAAAGTATTGCTTGAGCATGGCGGCGGGGATACGGATTAAGGATAGGGTGGGAATGGTTGATAAGGGGTTCCTCAGCAAGGACCATCATGTTAAAGACTCCGGATAGTTGTAGAGTCAATCAAAAGTGTTTTCGAGAATCTATGCGTATTCATTATTTGTGATATGAGGGTAATGTCCGCATTGTGATAAAAGGGGATAGTATACAAGAGCTCTTGGTTATTCTACTGCGCTATCAGTTTAGGTAGAGCCTACATGTAAGTCTCACAAAATCTCACTAATCACTATAACGCCTAACTATGGTTCACAGATACTTCATCGCAGTTAAACATCTCAACATACTTTACTTTAATACTACTGGACTATCACAAAATCGAGTCCATTATTACAAATCCTCATAATGCCTTAATTAACATACAGGGTTTACCTAGGTCATTATTAACCCCGAAGTCGGGAACAAAGTTAGGTAGGCTATCGGCTTAGTGCAAGTCTTGCGCGGGGAAGCTAGAAAGACCCTGGGGTTTTAGTCTAGATCATGACGTCGTATTCCAGTGGGCTTTCGGGCCAATGGGCAGTTCGTTCCTCATCGCCCAATGCGGGATGCCATCACCCTTGCCGGATGGATCTGCAGGTCAAGCTTTTCTTGCCATCCTCACCAAAATATAGGTTCCGAAGTTCAAGCTTTTTTTCCTTCCAAGGTTCTTCCCGTGTACCTTATCTAAACCTTTAAAGGTAAGAGTTGGATATATTACAACGGGGTGAAGTAAGGACGTACTATATATGTACCCAGCTATGTACGTAAAGTTGGAGATAGCCATTGAACTTGGTAAGTTTACCTAGTTAGTTAGTGCTATACCTTCGCAGATTGAGACCCACAGGATTGGTTCGGTGAACAAAGAGAATAATGTAATAAGAATATCACCACGGTCGAATCGTAGGGATGTTGATAAGAGAGTAGCTAACCAGCTAACTCGAGAACCGTAATGAGCTAAAGCAGGGGTAGTTCTTGATCCTTCATAGTCTTTTTTTATCTCTTCTCTTCCTTTTCATTTCCTTTTCCGTCAGCTTTAAATAATTAAATAGCAAGAGCCTATCCTGTTGGGGCTCAATTGTTCATAACTTAGGTCTTACTTACGTACGCTCCCCTCCTCGTGGTCACTTCGAAAACAGCATCTCGCCACCGACTTCTTACTTTTTGTTATCCGTGTGTTATTACTAGATTTAAGACCTCACATCTAGTATAACTCTACCAGTCAATCGGGAGCAAATGGTTACACGGCATAATTGAAGAACAATGGGCGACCTCAAAGAACCAACTCGGCGCAACAGCGCGCGTCACAGCATAATCGCCCAAGATGCGGCCGCGTTAGCGCATCTAGGCCATAAGCAAGAACTCAAGCGCAACTTTTCTATGATTTCCATGTTAGGACTCGCTTTCGCCATTCTAAACACATGGACAGCTCTCGCAGCCTCTATTTCCCTCGCGTTACCATCCGGTGGACCAAGTGCCGTTATCTGGGGTCTTATTGTCGCGGGTGTATGTAATTTGTGTCTCGCCGCGTCGCTTGCGGAGTTCTTGTCTGCTTATCCGACGGCTGGTGGACAGTACCATTGGGCTGCGATTGTCGCGTGGAAGAATTGGAGTAGGAGTATTAGTTATGCGACCGGTTGGATTAACGTGAGCGGTTGGGTTGCACTGACGGCTACTGGAGGTTTGTTGGGTAGCACGTTTATCATCAACATCATATCGCTACTCCATGCCGACTATGAAGCCAAAGCTTGGCACCAGTTCCTGATTTATATCGGATTTACCCTTATAGCGCTTTTCATCAATGCTTTTTCTACACGCTTACTCCCGTTGTTTACGAAAGCGGCGTTTTTCTGGAGTTTGACTGGGTTCGTGGTTATTAGTATCACGATATTAGCGTGCGCATCGCCAAACTACCAGAGCGGGGAGTTTGTGTATGGCTCTTTTATTAATGAAGTTGGATGGCCCGATGGTCTTGCGTGGTTGTTGGGATTGCTACAGGGCGCGTTTGCGCTTACGGGTTTTGATGCCGTGGCGCATATGATTGAAGAAATTCCACAACCACACATTCGTGGACCACGTATCATGCTCTACTGCATTGGAATTGGCATGTTGACGGGTTTCGTGTTTTTGTCGTGTCTCCTGTTTTGCGTCAAGAATATCGACGATGCGATTGAATCGGCTGCGGGCCCGTTGCTGCAGATCTTCATGGATGCTACGCAGAATAAGGCTGGCAGTGTTTGCCTGCTGATGTTCCCGTTGGTATGCATGTTATTCACAGAGACAACATTGATGGCGACGAGTAGTCGAATGTCTTATGCATTTGCGCGAGACCGTGGATTGCCGTTTAGCAGGGTTTTTGCGATGGTTCATCCTCAACTGGATGTGCCCTTGAACGCGCTACTTTGGACAGCAGCTTGGGTTGTGGTATTTGGATGTATTTTCCTTGGGTCGACAAGTACCTTCAACGCGATTACCTCCGCATCGGTTGTCGCTTTGGGTGTGACGTACGCTATTCCGCCGTCAATCAATGTGCTGCGTGGGCGTAAGATGTTACCTCCGAAACGCGCATTTATATTACCTGGGGCTATTGGTTGGATTTTGAACTTGGTGAGTTATATCCTATCACAGCTCAGTATGTTGACAACTAACATGAGAGCAATAGGTCGGAATAGCCTGGACAATCCTGACGACGGTACTTTTCGTTTTCCCGCCTGAGATACCAGTTACAAGTGAGAACATGAACTACTGCATTGTGGCGTTCGGTGTTATCTTATTAATCGCCGGGCTTACATGGATCTTCGATGGACGCAAGAATTACAAGGGGCCGCATGTTGATGTAGAGGGTTTGGAGAAGGGTAAAATTGAAGGGGTAGAAGCCGTACTTGAGCAAGAACCAACCGAGGCCCACGTCGAGTCTAAAGCTGTGGCTTGAGTGATGACGGGGCGGCGCGTGTGATATGCACGCAACCTAAAAGTCTCGGATACTGTAAATAATGCTGCATGTTAAAAGTAAAAGTAGGAATAGAATTGGTACTTCAAGGTATACATGTATACATGTATATATAGGACTTCTCTGTATAGACTATAGAAAATGCCAAGTTTATGTCTACTATCACCTTCACCACAGTAGAAATTATATCTTGGACTCTGGGGTACGATTGTCGCTATTGGTCGTATATGTGAGATCTCGGAGATATTTTATACATATCCAATACGATGCATAGTATGCACGTCGACAATTATGACCGGCACTGCATTTACTCCGACCTAAGAAACTTCTCATCCAGTTAAGTCCCGCCAGACCCAAGAAATAGTAGACGTAAAGTCTCAGCCATTTATCAAGCTCGGCCGATGCAGCGACATAGTAAGACATAAAGTATCACCTAACAGGGATAAACGATGATGAGATAGGAAGAATAAAGAATTCAGGACCAATAATCGTCTCCCTTCTTCATGACGGTGTTCCCCGAATTGGTTAGTTGATTACCCCACATTAGCTCACATGCTAGCTGAACCGAGGCACAGTACTCGGTACCTAATCTTACGTAGTGGAACAAATTAGGACGAAATGGGGGAAGCTGCACATGCAAAGTGTAAATTTAATCTTATTACAGCTCATGCCATAAACCCATCTGGAACCCATCAACCATAAACGCGACAAAGGTGGAAAGTCTCTTGCCCTTTCTCCATTATCAATTTTTACCTTTTGTACCAAATTTATATCTGCATCACACCTCCCTCACACCTCTCTCGCTTAATCATTATCTTACTTATCTATCGATCAAATCAATCTTACTTACATTATCTATCGGACCTTAATTCTAACTTTAGCTACCCTACTTAGTTTCAATCAATGTCTATTCGTTTTATTTGGACCGTTGCATATTCTACCACCGTTACGAGGTTCTTATCGACTGACACCTCTATTGGATTTATCACACGATCCAACGTACCGGGTGCGACGTCGTATTCTTGCGGCTGAATTGATATGATTCACTCATTTTCTAATCTTTGAGCCGAATTCCATTGCGCGCTTTCTGAAAATACCGATAGAAAGCTATTGGATCAATTCTACAAATATAATTCATTTAATCAAATCATCGTTGGGCACCAATACTCGGCAAGATCGGACGAGATATTCGCTGAATAGACAAAGCCATGGCATCCGAAGCTGGGCCTTCGAGGTTGTCCTCTCTTCCTCCTCTCGATATCCCGAAACAGTCCGATGTCGTGTCAAGACCTAGAGCGAATTCCAAATCTAAGCCAAGATCTGCTGTCGACCCTGTCCTACGAAACGCGTTGAGATATACTATATCGGCTCGCGAATACGAAACACTTCATAAATATGTCTTATCGCGATCACGTCTAATAAGGAAGAGAGTTCCGAGCGTGAATACCGTCGAAAGGTATATGGATGGCGAAAGTAATAGGAGAGGATCAATATCAGAAAAAGATGGTGGTAAAGGCAAGGGAAAGGAGAGAGCGGCAAACGGAAGTCCTGATAGGGGAGATACCTACAATGCGCGTGCCATTAGGGATTCCTTACGCGTATTTATCGCGACAGGATTAGGAATGAGAGCATATGAGACAGTTATGGCAAGAGTAAAGTCACAGAAAGAGTAAGAAACCTTGCGAAAATTTCAACATCAAGTCGTTCAGCTGCTAACAAGTACTCAGAGCTGCCGTACCTCAGAAAAAGCAGCCTTTCTACAAATCCTCAGGTCTTCGTCTATCGCTATCATTATCCACAATCCTATTACTATACCGTCTCCTATTCCGATTTCTGAGTCGATTACGAGCTCTTCTACTTGACCCGTCCGCTGCACCTTTCCGCACGCGAAATCCGAGGACTTCGCAGACACTTACATCTCCCTACGCGCCGGCAGTGGGAGCCAGTCTCGCAGGTCTAGCTCTAGGCATATATCCTTCCCAACAGCTACGCGTGACGGTGGCTATCGCCGCTATCTTCCGCGCACTCGAATTTGGTTGGAACCTTTTTGAAGACGAGGGGTTAATATGGGGTTGGAAAGCCCGTGCAGGTGGGAAGGGACTCATAAAACGAGAACGACCATGGTGGTGGGGAAGTTGGATGCTTCAACCCTTCGCATGTGGACAGCTCTTACACGCCGCCCTTTTCGATAAGGAATCCTCTCCAGTCAGTTTCATTGACTTTATCTGGAAGAGCTCTACTACTTATCTCCACAATGCCCCGGATAATCTCCCCGCTGGTATCAAGTGGCCTGATGCATGGGAGATTGCCGAAAACTTGGCTCAGATGGCCAAGCTCAATTGGCCGTGTGTAACTCCATTCTATCGCCCGTTTGATGAAGAATGCTAACAATTTCTTAGACCGTTCGTCTCACCGACCCTATTTCCCGACCAACCTACCCTCCCCTCATCACTCACCGCGATTGCCCCTCTCACCGCACAAGCACATCCCCTCATCACAGCTCTTAGCTGCGCCACCCTACACCCCTCCGACCCATCGTGTCTTCGCACTTACTTAACCTTCTGGGTCCGATCGTTCCCGCGAATGGGCCGTTTCTTCTTACTCTTCTACTCGGTTCTTATGCTACCGCGATACAAGATGTTATACAACTCGCCACTGTACCTTCTAAACCGCCTGATATCGAGAGTTCTCCGTATGTCGACTTTCGCGACAGGTGCCATCTCAACGGCCTGGGCTAGCATATGTTTCTTCCAGACATGGCTACCGCGCACGTTCCTACCCACACAACGCTTCTTCCTAGGTGGATTCTTAGCTGGATTGTGGGCTTGGGTCGAGCGCAAGGAGGGTCGTGGTGTGTTCTTGTATAGCGCGCGGACTAGCGTGGATTCTCTGTGGAAGGTAGGTGTCAAGAGAAGATGGTGGAGAGCCATGAAGGGCGGTGATGTGTGGGTGTTTGCGCTAGCGCTAGCGATTACGGGCGCAGTGTATGAGCGTGACGCAAGAGCTATACGCGAGGGAAATACGAGAAAGGGACTAAGTTGGGTGAGGGGCACAGGGTTCAAGGATTGGGGCTTAGAGGAGGATGTCGATGTTGATGGGGAAGAGGAAGAGGAGGATGGTGTTAAAGAGGAATGAAATCTAGGAAAGAAGCATAAGAGTAATGGAATAAGAGAAAGGAAGGCGTAGGATTTGTGTTAATGGCGGGGGTAGGGAAAGGAGTTGAAGGCAAAAGATGGAATTTAGACAAGGGTCTTCCAGGATGGATGGCATTTTACGAATGACGATGGGACGTGATGCATGAATACTTCGGCTTATACCTTGAATTGGTTATTTGGCTGGTATATATTATATCATATTGTTAATATTTGAACGTATATAATTATTGATCTTTCACGGGAAGTTCTTGGGGAGTTGATGCTTAGTGGGGTGAGTCGATATAGTAATTTGATCGGGCGTGGAAACGATATCTAGCACAAGTTTCGGGGATAACTATCTACGTAAATCGGGTCGCGTATGATTCATTATTTTATTCCATTAAAATCAAACTGGAATTGGTTTGATTTATCCTATAAGATTAAATATATACAGACACAGCTAAGAAGCGAAGAGATGATCGACTCGCGTCAATCTACGAAATGTCGCTATCTCTTCTTCACTGGGTCGAGGCGCCTTTTCGTATTGACTAACCGTGAAACCGTTCGTCCATGCGAATGTTAACCCCATCGCTTGGCGAATACAGCGGACGGCCTCATCCCTATAGTCCTGGTGTAAGAATTCCTCCACAGCTGCTCCCGCCTTGCGGAGAGCTTCAGAACCTAGACCTAATAACGACAGACAAGTTAGCATTTGTATCCATGACGAGTGGAATTGGGCGGGTTACACGGACCTTGTGGTGCTGCACATAGTATTGGCAAAACGAAGTCCTGAACCAAGCCAGACTCGCCTTCATATTCCGGGAAGTTCAAATATAGATAGGGCTCACAAGACACCCTGACCCTCTCTAGGCATTCCCACTATAGAATTAGGTCAGCCTTCTTATCCATCTGTGCTAAGCTTGAATGGCATCGGTAAACATACGGCCATTTGGATTAATACTAAGTATGGGAACACAAATTTCGGCCCCTCTGCCTGGCATGACAAGCAGAGGGATTTTAGAAGTTCCGTAGGAGATAAACGCAGTCGAACATTGCCAGGCTTCTTTTTCGCCTTGTCTCGCTCGCGATTTCGCTCACGGATCTAAAATTATCGTTAACATGGAACGCTATCTTAACCGGCTGCAATATATGATGTCTTGTTGGTATATTAGGATCGTGTGGGATCTGGCACTTACTTCGTCGTTTTTCATAGAAAAGCTTGCGCATAAACCGTCCGAAACGCCGCCTAGGGGTTCCGTATAGTGACATTGATCGAGAAATGACTCTATATAGTCCCTAGTCCAATTGACTGATTCCGTGTCGGCCCCGAAGCTATATCTATCTACAAAAATGCGGGGGAAATGTGCCCTCGTGAGATTTTCCGTGGGGGTAATCTAGTCTTCCCGCTCAGTGGACTTCGATTATTTGAGGCAAAGGTAGAAACAGGTGCTCCTAACTGTAACAGAAACTTCTGTCATGAGACTAACTATATAGGGGGTTAACAACTCTGTTGTTGCGCGAAGAGATCGCAGGTATCTGCTACGGGAACTATCGTATACATACACAAGTAGCCTCTTTGTTCCATGAGCTCCTTTGTCCTTATATCGGCGATAAGGGCTCCACCGATACTTCCCAAGATGTATCGCTTCATACAGCTCAACTACTGACAGCTCGATACTAGGGCAGCTGCCGTAAGTGGGCGCTTTATTTCTGTTTCTTCGTCGAAGACTCCGTCCCAAACCTCCATTATTCGAGCTCTTATTTCTTTAATATCTCGGAAGAGTTGGTATAGAGCAAAAAGTGAGTCATAGCGGGATTTCTGCGGTTCGACTATGTATTTCGTAGTTTTCGGTACGTCGCTACTGTCTGTGTGGTGTGCATCCCCTAGGATATCATAGGATGGGTTTAGTGGTTCTTCAACAGATAGGTTGTTGAAGTAGTTAGTGAGATTAACAGGGGCGATATTAGATGCTTCTCCCTGGACCTCGGTGGAGTTCACGCCAAAGGACATCCTGCGGTACTATGGTTAGCTATTGAACACCCTTATCGCTAGTATTCTATCATACATGCTACTGATATAATAGGAAAGAAGACAAAAGATAATACAAGATAAGAAGAGTGGGATCACTAACCTTGACTGAAGGACGTCGTACACCTTTACGAGGATTCCAACAAAGTAATCATGATTTTTATTCTCCAGCGACTTTATATCATAGTTGTGCTGGATCAATAAGCCACCGAATTAGAAGGATTACGTTCGGGTTCTAGTTTGAATCCATGCGACTTTGCAGTAGTGGCCTGTCGATATATGTTAGGTATGTTTTTAACAATTAAACAAATAAAGGAGGTACTTACTAGCCAGCTTATGACAAATTTTGTATCGTCTTTATATTGGCGATACACGCTGTTTATTTCTTGGCAAAACATCGTGATTTATCGTGATGGGATTTGGGTAGAGGATCAAAAGACGACCAAAAAAAGGGTTGTCGGATACGCAAGAAAAGATAGGCGATTTGTGATTGTGACGAACCTATACCTCGGGAAGGTATAGTCGTTACTGGATTGGCTAATCCGGGGTGTCTTGATTTGAAGGTAACTATATCAGTAGTAGGTCAGGTACTCAAGTAAGTTCTGTTCGTCAGAGAGGCTTGGAGTCCTTTCACTATGTCTGAAAAAATAGTCTTAAATTGATAACTAAAAAGCTATAGAAAGAATGACTAGATACATAGGAAATGCCCGTGGCTATATAGTTGTTCCTTTTTCCTTTCTTCCCGGTATCTGAGGTTATTGTGATCTGGTTCCAGATCATCCAGATCACACAGATCACACAGATCATCCAGATCATGTGGATAGACCAAATCAGGATTCCCATAGTTTATCCGTGATTGGCTCGAGGTGTCTCCGCCCTTGGGTCTTCAAAGGTGGCCTGGTGCTGTTGGTTCGTAACAGTGATTTTTTTGTACTAATTAAGAAAATTAGCAAGTGAGAAACATTAGGTGCCTAGGAAAAGCAGAACAATAGCAATCGCAAGCTGTTTGGAAGGTACGTGTGACAGGCCTAGTCCATGGAGGCCTTGATTTTAAGAATAACAATAAGGAGGTAACAATCAAGAGGTCGTCAGGGAGGATAGTCTCCCCCTATAGCTAATCGTACTCGTACTACCGGAGAAGGAGAGTAAAGTAGGAGGATACAGGTCCTAATATATCTGAAATGAGTGTATGTGTTCCCGGGGGCGACGTCGCTCCCAGGCAGCGAATCGCGACAATATCGCGACAACCTCATCGTCGCGATCTCCACGTGACCTTGATGCCCCCATTTCGGGGTTTACCCGTGATTGGCTAGGGCGGGACCCACTTTCAATGGTCCCTTATAGGTCCTTGTTGGTACGGCAAAAAAGGGGGAGGAGAGACCCTGGAAAAATGACGTGCACACCTAGTTACACAAGTTTTCCAGCGTCGAGAACCAATCAAAAACTAGCTATCCTACAGAGTTTCTGAAGTGGCTTCCCAAACGGGTAGATCCTCGATCTTCATTGGCCAGATTCTGGGAGACGTACAGTCTTACACACTGTACCTTGTTTTTTTCGCAATGGTTATAGCAGACCAAGATCTACTGCTACGTCTTATAAAATGAAAATATAGCATTATGTTCTCAATATCCCTCTATATATAGGTAGATAAGATATTAAAATCGAGGATGTAGTCGCAAGAATGCGTTAATGCGAGCCTTGTAATTTATTCCATGATCTCCCTGAACCGGGGCAAGAGAGTATATATAAGGCCGCCCTTCGTTATATTTGGGGCTCATCCAGTCAATTGACAAACTATGAGTCTCCCTGGGTATAGTAAACGTTTGACTGGCGCGCTACGATTACAATCAAACTCCGTGGTATGAGCAATTGGCATGAGGGTCAATCTCCTATACCCAAGCTGTAAGGAGCAACGATTATAAGCGTAAACAACACACCGAAACATCACATACGATCATAGGATTTGGAAAACTCGGGATCCCGTTCGATCTCCAAGAGATAAGCCAGATACCGCCGAAATAGTGGTTGGGTCGGTGACGACCAGCGAATCCTTGGTGTTGTATGTTTTTTTGTTTTTTCATATACTCTATTTCTTTCTATGCCGATGCCTCGTTTTTCTTTTAGCCTAGCGGTGTATGTACTGCCGATTTGCCAAGTATTGGGAAGCCCCTTTTTGGGGACGACGTATGGCAGACTTCAATGGTGCAGTGAGTGCCATAACTTGGCGCTAAAATGATACGAACTTGCATACCCTACGAACCAAGACCCAAACACCGATCATACCAGTTACATTATAGGCAGCTCGGAAGTACTTATTAATTGCATGAATCGATCACGGCAACATTATTATATGATGAACGAAAGAAAAAAAGGGGTAAACTTCAGCCAATACAATTCAACCATGTGGGCCCATTAGCTTTCCTTAGGGGCTGTAGTATCAAATTTAGGGGGGGTTAATTGCTTAGAACACTTGAAATTCGCCTCGCTGAGTTCTTTATAACAATTGGACATGCTTTGCGCAATACTTGGAAGTAAATAAGCCCGTGTTACCGTCGGAGTTTTTGAGGATCCTACATTGTCTCAGAATCTTACAAGACCGCGCATTGCATACCTAGGTACTTATTCTGTACCACTCTTCGACTCCGGACGGGGACTGTCCATATTTGATGATCGTAGATAAATACAATAAAGTCGCTAGAGTCACGATTTGTTTGTTGTCCCGAATTAAGTATGAGATGTCTATCTGTCTGGGTACATATATGTATCTGGATTGCTGGTATCTCCTTATCCGTTGAACTTACCAAGCTCGGTAACGCATGTCTGTACCAATGAATGAAGCCTATGGGAATTGTTTCACAACATAAGCGTAGCCCAAAGTAGTAAGGGGTGGCTGCGGCCACTCACTGAAGGGGCTATTAATTTGTTGATCAAGTCTTTTCGTTTTCCATGTATGGCAGCATTCCGATTGAAAAATGATTTGTCTTTTTCGACCAGACGTCTGTCCTATGCTTCATCCAGAAACTATGATCACGTCTTGAGGGGAAAAGCGTTCTAGATCAGAGTCCTATCATTAGTGGGTCATTGGCCACCTATGGGCCTTTGATCTCGTTGGTATATCGTCTAGTACTCGATAGGATCAACAGTCGATAGGGGTATTAAAGCTAATCCCGCTGGTCCTGGGGGGTTTTCTTTACCCCTCATCTCATAGTGAAGCCACTGGTGACACAGCAGTCTCTCGACTCCAATCGCGAGTCAAATATCACACAGTTCAGTCCGATACTTACATCCTTTTTGATCATGGGTGCACAGATACTGGCTAGATTGCCAATCCGGGGGACATGGCTACTCATCTCTACGTATCTCCTATTGCGGGGTTATCAGGGTTATCAACTGTCTGGGGCCACTTACCTTTGCTTGACGAATAAGTATATGCTGTTCGACGGAACCCTACATAGAATGCTGTAACATTCAACCAGTGTTGAATAGTTGCCATTTTTAGATACATAAAAGGGCAAGGAGATGAAGCTTGTCACTTCCGAAAATGAGGATCTGTTTCATACGAAATTGCTATTTTGAAGGCTTAAGCCGAAAAAGCGCCACGATATACGATGCAGCGAATCGGATCCTCAGGTAGCTTTTGGAAATAGGGCCATTGGATGCTAAATTATTCGTCACGTACCATCAGGAGTCGGTCCGGGTAATATACTTCACCGTTGGAGAGCACCATCTTGTGAATACCACAGCGGGGTGTTCCTGTCGCTATCCCTATTGACCTGGTTTATTTATGACTTCGTCGCCATAATACCCTTATGAAAATGGGGTCCATCTAAAAAACGTCGTAGGAAAAAGTAAAAACAAATCGTCAATGAAAGCTGACTTGGTTCCCGGAACAAACTCCCTAGACAAGCTTACTACGCGACCCATTAAAACCACCTAATTTTAGAAGAAGCACCATATCATTGGCCGACTCCCTCAGCCGCATTCGTCTTATCTTGGGGACATCACGATGTTATCAGATTCATGCAACTTTTGTGATACATTAGGTACCAAGGTACATATGTAGTAACAATCAACATTAACTCATAGCTAATTCCATACGCTGAACCGTTATGATCTCCCCATCACGGATTGAAGTAAAAATTCACAGAAATAATTGTAGATTTCGATATCCACCTGCTGGATCCGGTCAAAGCCTCCCCGCAATCTTATTGGACTAAATCTCAATCCCTGGCGCCTTCAATACCGAGCCGTCGAATAAAATCGATAGGGGATAGCCTCCCTCTCCACATTGGACGCCAAGGAAGAGGAACTTATGTTGCACCCCAGGGATGACGTCTCAATGTCTCACTTCGAACGAACAACACTGGAAATGGTGAGTAAACAAATGTTCTTAAAAGCTACCATCCCCACGCTCATGTTAATGGAATTTTTCAGGTGAGGCAGATGGTTAGCCTGCTCGCTGAATTTACGTTAGCGAACAGGCCATTGTCGGGTTGATGTCTACCTAGGTACCTGGGTACTTGAAGTCTCTCGTTCTTTCAGATAAAATGTTGTTTGCGGTCCTTACTCTTCTTGCCGGACAGGCTTTTGCTGTTCCTTCTCCACTATCCGTCAAGGCCAATCAAGCTTCAGCTCAAGCCTTCACATCGACCTCAGATCTTAAGTATAAATTGAGCGCCGTCGATGCGCCCGTATCTGGCGCCGGTAACCCCGGAGATACATCAAAATGGAGCTTGAGTATTGACGACACATCATCCGGGTACAAGCAAAAAATCACTGGTTTTGGAGGTTCAGTAACGGATGCCACTGTTACTGTCATCAATGCATTGTCTGCCGACAAACGATCTCAACTCTTGAAAGAGCTAGTAACTTCGGACGGTGCTAACTTCGCTTTACTTCGTCATACGATTGCCGCGTCGGATTTATCTGGTCCTCCTGCTTATACGTATGATGATAACAACAGTAGTGCGGATCCTAATCTTGATGACTTCGGCCTGGGCGACCGTGGGACCGCTATGGCAGATTTACTGAATGAGATTAAGGGTCTTCGTTCTGATATCACCATCTTCGGGAGTCCATGGAGCGCTCCTGGCTGGATGAAGCTTAATAGGGTAAGCCATCCTATACCCCAGACGGTGGAATAGTTATAATTTACTTATATCCTAGGTTCTGACTGGTAATGCCGACAACAACTGGCTCGACTCGCAGTACTATACGCAATACGCTCAGTACTTTGTCAAGTACCTCCAGGCCTATGCGAAGCTCGGCGTTACGCTCGACGCCATCACCATTCAAAACGAGCCTCTTAACAATCAGGGAGGTGGTCATGTCACCATGTACCAGACCGCTGATGAAGCTGCGAAGGTGACGCACGATTACATCGGACCTGCATTGCGCAGTGCCAACCTAGATACCCAAATCTGGGCTTATGATCACAACACCGACCAACCTAGCTACCCCCAGACGGTCATCGACGCGGCAAGCGAATACGTTCAAGCAACAGCATGGCACTGCTACGCAAGTGATCTCAATTGGACAGTTCTCACCGATTTTCATAACACGAATCCTGACAAGGCGCAATTTATGACGGAATGCTGGACTTCGCCGCAGACATCATGGTATCAATCTTCCAAGAACACAGTCGGCCCGTTACAGAATTGGGCTGAGGGCTCACTTATGTGGACTTTGGGTACTTGGACCGAAGCTTCGGATGGAACGTTCGGGCCTTATATCAACGGAGGTTGCTCTACTTGTCGTGGTCTATTCATAGTAGACCAGGATGCGGGCACATATGAGTACACGGTGGATTACTATATGCTGGCTCAATTTTCCAAATACATCCCCAAGGGTGCAACAATTCTTAGTGGCAACGGTAGCTACAGCTACGATGGGTACTCCGGCGTACAATCCGTCGCTTCGAAGAACCCTGACGGCACACGAACGGTTGTAATTGAGAACACGTTCAGTAATGATGTTTATCTTACGCTGAACACGACTAGCGGCGAGCAGTGGAGCGGTAATCTTCTCGCCAACAGCACCACGACTTGGATCTTACCTTGAGCTATAATTCGTGATAACCCAACATTTACCTCCTGTAAATATTCTATTAAATTAACATATATAGTCGCATAATTCAATCATTATTGTATATGGATCACAAGTACAGCTTAATTATTACCATACGTGTTCAATCTAATAAGTTAGAATCTGTCCTCCATAACCGCCTAGATACTAGCATTAACCCCTATTAGCCCCTATCTCTATGGATATCGTCGAAATAGGCTTCAAATCTGGGTCTCCAAAATTATGGGGTAAAATCTTGGAGGGTGGCCCCCCTTTTCCCCACCACTTCTAGATCTCTTATACGACCTCGCCAATCAGCGCGCTAGGTTTTAAGTTATTAGGAGATCAGATAGGGCCACTACAACATCGTATTTGCCGGACCGAATAATGTTTCACTTCCCCTTTTCCCTCTAATTAAGATGGAAGATAAATAACTCGACGCGACTTTGCCACAAGACGAATGACTCGCTTAGTCACTCAATTGCTACAAACTCTTTCTTTCGGAGAGCAGGTGATTGGAGGTCACAGATCTGAAGCGGAAGGTGTATAAAGTCACTATATTGTGTTTGAGGATACACTACTATCTCGTTCCTTAAGAGATCCTCGCCGTTTACCCATCTAACACTCCACCTTGGTGTACTTACGCCCCTCCTCGAGCTTAATAGCAGTGCGAGTGGTGCGACGGAATGGTGCAGTAATGGGCCAAGTCACTACCTTCAGCAATAATAAAACAAGACCAATGAGGTACAAGAAAATGCTGAAAATACCCATCAGAGTAATTGGAACAACAGCTAGAAGGAAGTTACCTATAAACACATTAGTATTGATGCCTCTGATTTCAACTAGGAGGGCGAGAGCTTACCAAACATTCCATGACGTCGCGAAATCGTTTGCCACAGTTCACCACCAAGAACGTGCGCAGCTCCACCCCAAGCATATGGACCCTTAAGGCGGAACTTAGCATTGAGCTGAGCACCCGCCGCCCAGATAACCGGAATTCGGTACCACAATGCCGAGCGATACTTCGACGCAGACCAACCAGCCCTAACTGCGTCCCAGAATCCGGGAGCGGCTCCCATATCGTATGCCAGCTGGTACGCGTACGTCTCGTGGTCAACACCATATCCGATACGTGCACCAGGCGCCGACCTTAGACGGAAGTGGTGGTCGTCCTCATCGCGCAGGCCTTCAGTACGCTCTGGTGTCATTAAATTCAATAGCCAGAGTTGCGCCTGAAGTTCCGCTAGAGGTGGAATCGCGCCGTATCCGGGGCGCACAAATCCGATGAAACCTACGCTCGGATCCGCCCTGTTCCACACAGATCGAACATCGGTGTCACTCGGCATTGGGTATCGGTCCTGGTGGTGGAAAAAGGGGAACTCTTGACGGTATCCCGTGGCGAAAATTAGAACGTCGGGTTTGGTGGGGCCGAGAGATTGCATGCGCTCGTACTCCGGTCGTCCATTGTCGCGGAAGTGCAATGTGCCCGCGCTATCGACGTGTGTAGGCCAGGGAGCTAATTCAATCGTGCGACCGGCGGGTGCCTTCTCAGTAGGCACCTGGAGAATTGAGCGACGAATGCGCTCTACGACGCCAGGGTTGGTTGGACGGTAGGGTGCGCTGATGTAGGGAAGAGCCTTAGGAGCACCCTTGTTGAAGAAAAGCTTAGATACGTGGTAACGTTCCTTGGATATCTTTCCAACCCATTGATCGATACCGGCCGTGGTACCTGAGACAAGCCAGTTACTGGTCTTGACACCCCAGTCATATACGTTCCAGGTGAAGAGAGTATCCCGGATTAGGGGGTGCAAGTACATGGAGTCGAATAAAGGGGCTTGCCAACTGACATCAACAGGTAGCTCCCTATGGTTGGGGTCCGCCTTACGCCCGAGGATAGGGAACCATACGGGGTTAGGAATGACCTTAGGAGCGCCGAGGAAACCATCACGGTGGGTGAGGACTACACGTCGGGTCGGTGAAGTCACGGCAAGGTGGGCGATATCTATACCAGTCTCTCCGGAACCGAGGACAACGACGGTCTTGTCGCGACCGAACTCCTCGCGCTTCTTAAACTCAGACGAGTGCTTGACGACCGGCACTTTCTCGATACCTGGGATGGCGGGGATGTTTGGTGTAACGTGTAAGCCCGTGCAGACAGCAACAGCTTCACACTCGTACGTCAAGACCTCCGCATCGGCATCATTAGCCTTGCGGTAGTGGATAACGTGACCGCCACCAGGACGGCGCTTAACGGCTACGACCTTGGTAGAAAGGTTGATGTCGGACCAAAGGCTAAAGTGGTTGCAGTAGTCGTTTAGGTACTCTACATACCTCTCAGCGGAGAGGAAATCAGGGTCATCATCGTGAGCCCTAAAGTCGGAGAAGGCTGTAAGGAACTTGGATGAGACCAGCTATAGACTGAGGTGTTAGTTTGTGATATTGTTAAGAGGTTGAGCTTGGTGTCTCTATAGGTAGGAGTATACCCATTAGTACATACCTCAGCGTCCTCATACGCGCGTTGCGAGAAAGTACCACCAACTCCAGACTCTGCTTCGAATAGCATAGCCTCAATAGGCTTACCAGGGAAGTAGTGGTGAGCTGTCTTAAGGTACTTCAGCGTCACCAAGCCCGAGGGGCCGGCACCAATGACTGCCACGCGCATTTTGGTGGTATAGTAGTTCCTAGGATAGAGTAAAAAGATCGGTAGCCCCGAGAAAAGAACATCTCAGGAGAAGTCAAAGGACCTCGACTAGAGAGACGCCCTCATGGCGTATCGGGTTGGCCTGGATATAAGTAGATACCATAGAGCCCTGACTCCCTGACTCGTTCCTATAAGGCCCAGGGAAAAGGGGGGGTATCCACTAGTGGTAGATCGCATTCGGTATTACAAGGAATCCGGAGTATTTCATACTGCACGTCTTCCCCGGATTTGAAAGTCCTATTGATAAGGTATCAATCAGCCAATTGATGAGGCGGGTCGTCTGGTCAGCCCCCAGATTATACGCCCCGTACATGCCAATTCTAGACCGGCTCCTCCATGCTGACATCATGCACTAGCTTGTTGTGAATCTGCGGCTATTCCCTGCATGGATAGCTTCTAAACCAATCCGAGGTGTATTTCAACGATCTAATCCTCCGCATCTGATCCCTCTCGCACGGGCGAATTGTAACCTGGTTCAATCAAGGTGAGCCAACTGCCTCTTTGGGCTATGGATTACAAACCGTTTGTAATCGTCCTCAAATCAGTACTCGACCACAATTCGACCATGAGCTTGCATCTCTTAAGGCAGGCCGCTAGGTTAACCATGTTTTTTGTTTATTGATAAGCGCCGGGTATCTCAACTCCGTTCCAAAAGTGTCAGGGAGATCAACGCCGTCGATAGATTTTGAATTGGCGTGATTCAAGCTTAATATCCGCAACCAACCTGGATCTGCAATATTGACTGGAAAGGCAGGAGTCTGTATAGGGGCGTGCATGCTGTATGTTTTCACATGTCGTTTGTGAGAGATAGCATGGTTGGCGGTTCGGACGGGTACAAGGCATAACCAATTGGTATCGAGACGACGAACTCTAGAGACTTTATTGTCAGCCAGCTGTTGGAAATTAGGATACTATGGTTTTTATCTAAGCTATCATCCAATTGCTTCGGTTTTCAATGACTAGTTTCTAAAGTCTAGAGAGCTTGTAAGAATAGTCTACTCACACGGGAGCGCGGCGTGGTCGCTTGGCTGAGACCCATGAAGATGCCTATTTCGACACTTACAAGGTAGCTCTGCGGCAAAGAACCTTGAACCTTACCCCTCGTTATCACAAAGCCAAAGAATTAACCCAGGACCAAAAATGGCCAATTGAGTAAGTGATTACCAACGCCGCTTCGCTCTTGTGAAACTCCGGACCAGATATCTTGCGCTCCAAGGTTGGGTGAGGTAGGTGGTGGGATCTGATATGCAAGTCCTTATTACCATACCGTAACTTTACGCGCTTTGCCTGCCCTTGCCCCCCTCGAATCACTTCCTCGGATGTTGGGAATGGGAGTGTCCTGGCCTGGGTCATCATCATGACTCCTATTTTCCCGTCTTCTCTATTAAATGCTTTCAAAGCTACACCGACTATACCAGCTTTCGAACACGGCTCACGAGTGGTCACACGAGGTCAGGTCCTAGACCTTGTTTCTCGATATGTTGGGGGACTATCTGCCATCGATTCCAGCTTAGGACCCGGCGACAGTATCGCGATATACACCGGCGTTACGCCTGAGGGCTTCGCAGTTCAAGTGGCAGCACATGTTCTAGGCCTCCGGGTTGTTAGCTTGAAGCCTGGTATAGCTACATCAGAACTACCCACAGTCGTCGCCGATACGAAGGTCCTTATCATTGATGAAACAACTCGTGCTGAGATCGAATCAGCCCCGTCACTAGCGCCTTCAGTAATCCGAGTGGAATCTTTATCCGGAGATACTGCTATTCTTACACCCCAAGGACGCCCACATGATGTCGCTTTGGTTTTATATACTAGTGGTACTACAGGCGGGCCAAAAGGGGTCGAATACACATATGAAGCGATGACTGCTTCCTGGGTATGGCAACGTTCCGCTTGGGATGCTAGCACAGAGTGCATGGGCGCTAAATATGAACGTTTCATGCTCTTCGGCACTCTCGCTAGTACCGTCATGTTCGAACATCTAGGTCTATGCCTCACGGGCGGGGGGACGGCAGTGATACCAAACACACCATTGCCTCTCCTCAAGTTTCCGGATGTACTCGCCGAACTACGAATATCTGCGGTACTTTTTACCGTACCGCGATTGTACCATGTACTTGAGGTGCTCAAATCGAACACTTCCGACTTCGATTTAAGTCATCTTCGGTCTATTGTCGTCTCGGGCTCGACGGTACCGCCACAAAAGCTAAGGGGTGCGATAGAACGCCTTGGTGATATCGTGCATAACGGTTATGGCATGTCGGAAACAGGTCTGGTGTGCTTACTCTCTTCCGCAGACGTCGCAGCATACCCCGAAGCCGCCAGTTCCGTTGGACGTCCTTGGACGGGTGTTGAAATTCAAGTACGCGATGATAATGGGGTTAAAGTTCCCCTCGGCACGGTCGGACATGTGTGGGTATGGTGCCCCAGCGCATTTAGGAGTTATACAAATGAAGACTCGTCTGCTGTGTTGGATGTGGAGGGCTGGATATGGACGCGAGACTTAGGTTCACTTGATGAAATGGGCTTCGTATATCTAACTGGACGAGCGCGGGATATTGTTATCATCAATGCCAATGTGTATCACGCAGGTGCGATTGAAAATGCACTTACGGAGCACCCGGATGTGGATTCGGCGTACGTTGTGAGCGTACCGGATGACAAAATAGGCGAAGCCGCAGTAGCTTTCCTTTCGATAACTTTGAAAGGTAGAGCACCGAACCTTGATGCGCTGAGGGAATTAGTAAGGAACAAAGTGAGCCCGGCTGCAGTGCCGATAAGTTTCACGACTGTTGATTCTGTGCCAATCGCGCCCAGTGGCAAGCCAGACAAGCAGGCATTACTAAAGTTGTATAATACAAGAGAGAGTTAAATTCCCAGCAAAATAAAATAAAAATCAAAGATCAAAACAAACCTACCAGGAAATATATTCCACAACATGAAGGTTGTGGGCTAATGCCGCATTCCTGATCAGTTTCCTTTTCATTGCTTTTCCTTGCCAACGTGGACAGATGATCAACCCTCAATAGGGCATGTCGGCAGCAGATTTAGAAGCCACAATCGCCAAACCGCCAATAAACTATCATATAGCTACGGACGCCGTACATGTAGTAACATATTCTGTTTACTATATTTCTTTTGGCACTATCAGTACAGAACCATACACTGAGACATTTGCTGCAAACCCTAGTGCCCATTCTCTAGGCCTCGAGATTTACCATTTGTCCGATTCTTTTTCGGGTAATATATTGCTTTTTCTAACGATGGAACAGGGCCTTAATAATTTACGCCCTCTTTGAAAGAATGAGATTTCGAGAAATTTAATAAAAAACTCGAGTGGGAACTATCGAGACTTCGTTCATTAGAAACGCGCTAAGGCGATGACGGTGAAAGAATACACGTTAGGCAGAATTTTATATCTCCTACTTATCTAATGCACCTCGCCACGCGAGGAATACAGCCGCCACTAGAGGTGATGCCGTGTTATCTTCTATGGCCAAGTCACACAGAACTCACTAGATTAGTCGATTATCACATAGAACCCTTGGTTCCGATTAGCCAGTACAACCCACGGTATTCGAAAAGGGGTATTGACGGCTGGGTGGGATTTGGTTGACCATTCTTAGTGCCAGCCAATGTAATATCAAGGGGGCGCTGTTGATTTGGTGTAATACATGTACGGCATAAGAATAATACAAGAGAAATAGAAGAATAAGCAAGACTAATATTAGGCAAGTCAAATTGATAATTCCGTTCGCGATACCTGATGTTAATAGAGTTCTTATGGCATCAAGACCAGATGATTGGGACGTTTGATCGTCAAGTCGCGCTTTGGACCACGCGTTCGGGACAGATTGGAACTGGAAATGGAAATCTGAGATATTTGTGGAATCCCAATAAAGAAATAAGAAACAAAACTCACATTCGTTTCGTCTTAGGGATGTTTAGCTAAGCTAATATAATAGGGTGACTTCCGGAGTTTCTGAGGAAGATCGCAGTCATCTATGACCGCAAAGTCCTACCTAACTTAGACGATTCTGACCATAATGTAAATGAGATAAGAGATACGCATTATGCTAGGAATTGTGCAAAATTATCTCGGATCTTATTGTCTCCCTAGTATTAATGATGCTCTAGGCTACCTACCCACCTAAGGATTCGTATTCATGCTTCTCGAAGCCCCTTTTATGGTGTAATTTTTAATTGCAAAGCTAAACACAGCTGGGTACTTGACAGCGTACTATCTCAGGGAAATGGCTTTCGTTTAAGACATTGTGAGCGAGTACGAATACGCCACTATAGACTAAACTGCCATTTGACCGAAGGTTGGTGCGGGTTGTAATGAATTTAATAGCTACATTCGATGCAACTCTGGATGTAGGCAATAGAAGATTCAACAAAAGCACTCGTTAGACATCTGCCTTGAATATTACGACTGCAGGATTGGAATTTCTACTTGAATTGACGCCTATCGCACCAGGGTTTTCTCTTAAATGCCTAGAGTGGTATTATAAGCCTGTGATGCGTTGTAATTGCATCAGAAACAGCTATGCAGATAATTGCCTATCTAGAAGCCCGCAGTGGACCACAATGGCTTGAGATTAAGGCCATGAAGAATGTACATAGAGAATACCGGATGAATAGTCGTTAGCGTAGGCAAATACTCGAAGCATGCGTAGGGGGAAACTCGCTAGTCACGCTGCGTAAACAATGTGGGTGACACTACAGAATCACCATTGTCTGTACATGCATCATACATCTAGAGGCACTCTAATTAGGTACCCGGAATATTTTGATGGATTATCTGGTGGCGTTTTAGGCGTTCCTAACTAGGCAGCACACCTAATAATGTGCCGAACTCATCGACTTAGATCCCTGGGGAAAAGCATACTTCTGTCCTACTCCCCAAATTGTGGCTGCATTTTACCCATATAAAATAAAATTCTCCTACACTCGGGCTTAGGAGATAATCTACGGTATTTAGATTGATCGTAATCATTGTATAACCATAGTGTTGTGCTTAGTTGCGAAACCGGGATTTGGGAGCCCAACTCGATGACCGAAGAAGACAGTAGAGTAAAATCGCTAGGTAGGCTTGGGCTTACGTCCGGTGTTTCCGAAGCTGAAGACGAAACTTTTATCTACCTTATGGGGTATAAAAATGTTGAAATCGTGTGGATCCGGTGTTATTTAAAATAATATAAGGGCCTTGACTGTTGCATCGTGACGTGCCATTGAGAAATCACCAAATCTGGTGGACTCTTATCTCGCATGCCTAGATCCACAGGTCGGGCTTTAGAACATCCTGGACTTACTAGATCAGTCTCTTGGGTATCCAAAAGACTTGGAGATTGGTTCGGATAGCTATATGCCGTTCAGGCACAGCTTACCTATCCTAAGCTAATTCTTGACATGCGGTAGTACGGTACAACTGGATATATGAAATGAGCCTTACCGGGCATAAACTTGTATCATAACTGAGCTGACTTCATTTTGCTTATAAGAAATGGGGACTAAAGGGTGGCGTTCTTTTCCCGGGCTTATAGTTATGCATTCTTGCAAATGGCTTCGGAGACATTTTAATAATCTACTATCCCGCGCCCGAACTTCCAAAGTTGGTAGTAGTAAAACTAAGTTAGCCTTCTTTCTTGCTTCCTGCAAGAGATAATGTACAGATACAATACCCAACGGAGGCAAGGCATCCCGAAATAATGGAAATCCACACGTGGCTATTAGTCTAGAATTATTTTGAGCCTCTTGGCAGGTTACGTGGGAGTACTAGGTAACAAGGTTAGCAAGAAGTTGGACCGGGTTGAAGGAGGCCCACGATTCCTTGGTTTCCGTTGGTATTATAGCCGTATAAACAATAACTAGCACGCTCCAAACGTTTAGCGTTGGTTTACAAGACTTTCGTTGAGGTTTGAGGCAGGCCCACGAGACTTTGACATCGTTGAAGGATTATTCGACGTTGGATGTTGTGGGTAAGGCACATTGTACAATTTTGAGGCTATGTATTGCAGCGCTGACAACTTTAGTGAGTTGGAACTCTTAGAGTTGGTGACGACTTGTATTCTAACGATATGTTGAGGCTTTACGCCCCATCGCAACCTTTGCGGCATCTCCAAATGCACGGCACATCTGAAGTCTTGTCGTAAATCTTCCTATTATATTAGGCTAGCGTGTTCGGGATGCTAAAGGATCCCGAGTACGAGGTAACGAATCCGATTCGCAATCAACATGCATATTATCCTGGTTAACATACCCATGGTTATAAATTCGTGTGATAGGCTAGTATCATACGGGACTATACACCGCATTCAACGCCCATCATTAAATGTTTGCCAAGAAGTTTTCGGTAGCAACGGATCGCGTCATGATATAGTAGAATTAATTGGATCTTGGGTAACGAGCTGCACGCGGATCTACCTACATTAGTATGTACTTCATGTATATTCTTCATGTGTGTGTATATGCTTCATGTCGGTATCCATTCCTTGGTATACATGTGATAACCAGGTATAGAAACAGGTAGAAACATCATGGCATGTTAAGACCCCTGAGGCGATGCTGATCTGAACACCTAACATAGGAATGTTTCTTATAAGATGTCCATAATAAGAAGTCCGTAACGTTATCGCATATTACGACCGACTCCGGGGTCGGATTCGGCTTCGGGGAACGGATAAGTAAGGAACCCGAAACCTGGGTGGGATTTTTAAGAGACAAGAAAAAAAAGACTTCATTAAAAAAGAATAAAGATATCATCTTACACAATATCGGATGACGGGTAGATTTCGGAACATTCTTATATGAATGGCGGTACTTACATATGTAATTGGGTAGGTACTTAGAATTAATGAATAAATGTATCAGGGGCATTTGAGGATTGTCTTGAAACCATTGAGTACTATGAGAGCATTATAGGAGATACTTGAGTAAATAAGAAAATATGTAAACGAATAGATTGACTGTACTAGGATTTAATTGGCTGTCATGCAAGACTAATTACATATGTACATGCATCATTATCTCAGCAATTGAATACATGTGTATGTACGTACATGTAGGTGGTTAATAGGGGTGGGCTGTGTGGGATGTTATGATTGAGAAAGTTAATTGGAAACTCTTTTTCTTCTCTTTTTAGGATTCTGTTTCGTTGCGGATTGTCGGACAGATATAAGACCCCGAAAGTTGTATGCGGGTAGTAACCATGTGGAGATCTAAAAAGGTCTGAGGCTCCTTATTCATCTTCTTGTCCTTCTCGTGCGTTCTTCGGCTTAGTTGTACTCCGGAGTAGATACTGGATCGGGAAAGGGTGGAACCTTAGAAAATTCTTGGCTCTTTGATTGGCTGGAATGAGTTGAAGCCGATGGAAAGGTACAAGGGTACATGGTTCGGATACCTTTCGGTGACATCTCATTGCTCATCATGGCTCATCGTTGCTCATCGCGGGAAAGCAGGCTCTTTATTCTAATCCACACCGCTCGATCTTTAAGATAAGTCTATGTACTTGACGTATCTAGGCATGCTAATGGATGCACTTGACTTGACTCGTGCCCTGTCGTCTCACGTCACACGACAGCCATGTAACGGAACCCGTAGTACACAGACCTATTAGAAGTATACTTGCACTTTGACCTTTTTGCTTCTTTCGAAGGAGGAGAGTGATGTTGAAAAACCTGATCAATGTACTTGAAATGGTAGAATAATATCATGCGGGACATACATACAGTATAAGCCAATTGCCAAGCCCAAATCGGATATATACCTACAAAGGTATTACCGACCCCTAACATTGGTTGCTGAGATCATTCTGCACTGATGATGAATTATTGATTATCAATTGACTCATCCCATCCACTCAAGGTTATCTGTGCCGGTGTTGTACAGATTCCGAAGGAGAATAAACAGTTCTGTTGTGATGTGATGAGACGGCGGTCAGACTTCGCCTCTGAAACGAATTCATCATCATCGTATATTCCAAGCCTCCGAGCTGAATAAAATAAGGATAAAGCAAAGAACCAACAAAGTGTTAGATCTTACAAATTCATATTTCAGTTGATGACGACAAAAGACCTCAATAGTAATTGTTGGAATCAATATACGTGTGATAGAGTAGGTTGCGGTATTGTGAATTCCCCGTTGACCGCGCTTTTATGGATTTTCTAACGGTTGCGGGTTCGAGATAAGAGTCCGTCTGGGGACTGCGGGGCAGAAGAAAAAAAAAAAAAAACTAGTGGGGGGAACGGGTAGGTACCTATGTAGTACCTACCTACTCTTTAGTGATGGCGATTACCTACCCTGGTAGATTTTCAGGGAACCTTGGAATTCCCTCTGCGTGACATGCGGCCCAGAACCTTATTCACACTAGCGTCTATCTACCTAGGTATCGGGTTGTCCTATCTTGCGACTCTTGTACCTATATGTATGTACATTTAAATGTATAATTTTATGTATTTAATTGAAATATCTCATCAGGTATACCGATTACATAGCCGGATCACTTTATTTCTAACGTTCATAACTCCCCGAATCCTAAATCCTTGAAATATACATGTAGTAAGTAAATAGAGACAGGCAGACAGGCTAGGCAGTTTAACGGAGATTGGGTCAATGGTCATAGCTCTATTAGCTTAGCCTGCATAACTTACCTAACTCACATAGGTAGTAAAGACAGTACATAGTAGGTAATTAGGTAGACCATGTCAACGGAAACGGGATGCTCCCAAGCACGCGGACCCGTCATTACCCCGGTCCTAGTCTAGTCTACCTAGGTACCTAAACGGGTTTCTTGTATTCATCTTAAGTTGTAATTGTACATCTGAGAAGGTACTTACCTACATACGTACATAGCTAGCGTGCGTATAATTGTCAGCTCGGTAAGGTGTGGAGCCACATGGAAACTTACTACTACCTACTACCATACTAGTACAGTTAAGTCAGGTAGGCACAGGTACATCTCGCAACCCGGTAGTCAAACGAGCCCGAGTCGAGAACGACCCTGAAAAAAATAAAAAAATACGAAAACGAGGCGAATAATATTAAAACGGCCCTACTTCCTTAACTTTTCTCGATCTTGCTTTTTCTCTTTTCCGTCTCAGCCCTGTGAGTGTTAATTCACTACTTACACATATCCTACCTAGGTATAAGGATGTTTTGAGTAGTTGAAGCTCTCTCTAAGTGTTCCCACCTCTTCATTTTTAGTCACCTCTTCACTTTTTAGGAGGAACTAATCTTTTATAGCTTTATTTACATTACATTACATTACCTTACTCTCTAACCTTACCTAATAATATTTCTTAGTTATATCTTATAAAATATTCTTACCTCTTATTATACCCTTGTAATTCGGGAATCAGAGATCGTGCTGTGCCGTCTTATTAGCGACAATCGCAAAGATCGACCTCGAAGCAACTCCAATAGGCAACTTACAAGTTATAAGTCAGCTGGACTATATCGATAGCGCAAAGACGAACGCGGGGAGGAGAAGAAAAGGTACAAGGGCAGCAACATAAGAGTCGAGATTCTCGGGGTGGTAGATAATTTATTCTGCCACCCTTTTCGACAATGTCCTTCGTAGCGGCTGGTGGCGCATTTACCAACTACGATCGTACAGCGCAAAACACCGGAGTTCCACCAATGTCGGGTCGTCGCGAAGATATTGTGGAGGAGAAAGAGTCCGCAGTGGCGGCGCACAATGATATCGAGGAAAAGGGAACTATGACGGGTTCGAGTAACGGAACACAAGTCGAAGATGATTCCGAACTCGAACGCCGCGAATCCATAGTACACGATCTCGCCCGCCGATATACCACTCAATCACATGCCACTGGGGTTAATGGACAGAACCCATACTTAGATGCGGGGGAGAACTCACCATTGAACCCTCATTCTTCCCATTTTAGTGCACGCGCATGGGCTAAAGCCATTGTCAATTTGGCTGATCAAGAAGGTCATGGTTTCCGAACCGCGGGTGTCGCCTTCCAGAATTTGAATGTTCACGGTTTTGGTGCCGAGACGGATTATCAGAAAGATGTTGGTAACGTCTGGTTAGAAGGAGTTGGATTGGCGCGTAAGCTGTTGGGTACGGGTCAGAAGAAAATTGACATCTTACGCAACTTCGATGGTGTCGTTCACAAGGGTGAGATGTTAGTCGTTCTAGGACCTCCCGGTTCAGGATGTTCAACATTCTTGAAGACGATTTCTGGTGAAACCAATGGTATTTACGTGGGGGAGAACTCCTATTTCAACTACCAAGGCTTAACAGCTAAGGAAATGCACACTCAACACCGTGGTGAGGCTATCTACACGGCTGAAGTTGACGTTCACTTCCCCATGTTAACTGTCGGCGACACTCTGACATTCGCCGCTCAAGCTCGCGCTCCACGACATCTTCCCGCTGGTGTCGACAAGAAGACCTACAGCGACCATCTTAGAGATGTCACCATGGCCATGTTCGGTATCTCCCACACTGTGAACACGCGTGTTGGTAATGAATACGTCCGTGGTGTGTCTGGAGGTGAACGAAAGCGTGTGACCATCTCTGAAGCCGCATTGAGTCGTGCTCCTCTGCAATGCTGGGATAACAGTACTCGAGGTTTGGACAGTGCCAACGCTGTGGAATTTTGTAAGACGCTTCGAACCCAAACAGAGCTATTCGGTACTACCGCCTGCGTTTCCATCTACCAGGCTCCCCAAACGGCTTATGACTGCTTTGACAAAGCTCTCGTCTTGTATGAGGGTCGCCAGATCTTCTTTGGTCGTGCCGACGCGGCCAGACAATATTTCGAGAACCTTGGGTTCGAGTGCCCCGCTCGACAGACCACCCCTGATTTCTTGACTTCCATGACAAGCCCGGGTGAACGTGTCGTCAAGCCTGGATTCGAAGGCCGGGCTCCCCGTACACCTGATGAATTCGCAGCAGCATGGAAGAACAGCGCGGACTACGAAGCCCTCCAAGCCGAGATCGAGGCATACAAGTCCGACCACCCTCTTAATGGACCGGACGCTGAGGCATTCCGTGCTTCGCGAAGGGCTCAGCAAGCCGTTGGACAACGACCCAAGTCTCCTTACACCTTGTCCTACGGGCAGCAGGTCGGGCTATGTCTCTGGCGTGGTTGGCAACGACTTACTGGTGACCCTAGTTTGACTGTTGGTGTACTCTTCGGTAACTTCGCTTTGGCTCTTGTCATCGGTAGTGTATTTTACAACCTACAACCTAATACCGCCAGTTTCTTCCAGCGTGGTGCCCTACTCTTCTTCGCCTGTCTCATGAATGCCTTTTCTAGTGCTTTGGAAGTAAGTGGTTACCCCAACACCTTGCAACCCCTGGGTTGGCAAATGCTAATTAACAATCAATAGATTCTCACCCTCTATGCCCAACGTCCGATCGTCGAGAAGCACAGCCGATATGCGTTATACCATCCGTCAGCGGAAGCTATAGCGTCTATGCTGTGCGACATGCCTTACAAGGTCGTCAACTCCATCATATTCAACTTGACATTGTACTTTATAACGAACTTACGTCGTGAACCGGGTCCATTTTTCTTCTTCCTGCTCATTACGTTCTTTACGACAATGACTATGAGTATGATCTTCCGTACCATCGCATCCGCCTCTCGAACCCTGTCACAGGCTATGGTACCGGCTGCGCTTCTCATTCTCGACCTCGTCATCTTCACTGGTTTCGTTATCCCCATCGACTATATGCTCAAATGGTGCCGTTGGTTAAACTACCTGGATCCTCTTGCGTATGCATTCGAATCTCTCATGGTAAACGAATTCCACAACCGTGATTTCAAATGCACAAGTTTTGTGCCAGACACGAGAGTTCCGGGGTACACAGACGTTGGTGACAACAACCACGCCTGTGGCACAACTGGTAGCGAACCTGGAAATCCGTATGTCAATGGTGATAGGTACATCAATTCGTCCTTCCAATACTACAGCTCGCACCGCTGGCGCAACTTCGGTATTTTGATCGGATTCATGCTTTTCTTCCTGTTCACGTACATGGTTGCCGCAGAACTCGTATCCGAGAAGAAGTCCAAGGGTGAAGTCTTACTCTTCCGACGTGGCCACAAACCCGCCCAATTCAAGGAGAAGAAGGGTGATGTTGAAGATGGCGAAGGTCCTCGTGTTGGTCCCAGTGTGACGAATGCTAGTCGTGCTAGCCGCGCTCGAGCCAACGCCGGTAACGAGAAGGATGCCGGTGCCCTCATGGAGCAGTCTAGCGTTTTCCATTGGAAGGATGTCTGCTATGATATCAAGATCAAGGGCGAACCAAGACGCATTCTAGATCATGTCGACGGTTGGGTCAAACCTGGTACTTTGACTGCTTTGATGGGTGTCTCAGGTGCCGGTAAGACGACTCTTCTTGATACTTTGGCTGATCGTATCACTATGGGTGTCATCACTGGAGAAATGCTCGTCGACGGTCATCTACGTGACAACTCTTTCCAGAGGAAGACTGGTTATGTCCAACAACAGGATCTCCACCTTTCTACCACCACTGTCCGCGAAGCTCTTAACTTCTCTGCTCTCCTCCGTCAACCCGCTGATGTACCGCGTGCTGAGAAGCTTGCCTATGTCGATGAGGTGATTAAGCTATTGGAAATGGAAGAGTACGCTGACGCTGTCGTCGGTGTTCTCGGTGAGGGTCTTAACGTCGAGCAGCGCAAGCGTCTCACTATCGGTGTCGAACTTGCTGCCAAACCTCCTCTATTGCTATTCGTCGATGAGCCTACTTCCGGTCTTGACTCTCAAACTTCGTGGGCCATTTTGGATCTTCTTGAGAAACTTACCAAGAGCGGACAGGCTATTCTTTGCACCATTCACCAACCTTCAGCCATGTTGTTCCAACGCTTTGATCGCCTGCTTTTCCTAGCCAAGGGTGGACGAACTGTCTACTTCGGTGACATCGGAGAGAATTCCAAGACCATGACCGGCTACTTCGAACGCCATGGTGCTCCTGCTTGCCCTCCTGAAGCCAACCCTGCCGAATGGATGTTGGACGCTATTGGTGCTGCTCCGGGTAGTTCAACTGAGATCGACTGGTTTGACACGTGGCGTAACAGCTCTGAGTATAACGAGGTTCAAGCCGAGCTTCAAAGACTCAAGGATGAAGCATCTGATATCCCCCCTCCTACTGAGGATGAGCAGTCCTACCGTGAGCACGCTGCCAGCTTCCCTCTTCAACTATGGGAGGTTACGCATCGTGTTTTCCAGCAGTACTGGCGTACACCCTCATATATCTATTCCAAGGCCGCCCTTTGTATTCTCGTCGCGCTGTTCATCGGTTTCGTCTTCTTCAGAGCTCCCAACACCATCCAGGGCATGCAGAACCAGATGTTTGCTATCTTCAACTTGTTGACTGTCTTCGGCCAGCTTGTACAGCAGACTATGCCGCATTTCGTCATTCAAAGGTCTCTGTATGAAGTTCGTGAGCGCCCGTCTAAGGTTTATGGTTGGAAGGTCTTCATGCTTTCGCAGATTATTGTTGAGTTGCCATGGAACACCCTTATGGCCGCGTTGATGTACTTCTGTTGGTATTACCCGGTTGGCTTACATAGAAACGCCATGGAAGCCGGTCAGACCACAGAGCGTGGTGCTCTTATGTTCCTACTCCTCTGGACTTTCTTGCTATTCACCTCCACTTTCACTGATATGATCATCGCTGCTTTCGAAACGGCTGAAGCTGGTGGTAACATGGCCAATCTGTTGTTCACTCTTTGCCTGATCTTCTGTGGTGTCCTCGCTAGTCCCGACACTTTCCCTCACTTCTGGATCTTCATGTATCGCGTCAGTCCGTTCTCGTACTTGGTGTCGGCCATGTTGTCGGTCGCTGTAGCGAATACAAATATTGAATGCGCCAATAACGAATACGTCCATTTCGATCCACCGGCAGGCCAGACCTGCGGCCAGTACCTGGCTAATTACACAATGCTTGGTGGTTATATCCAAGAGGGTACAGAAATGCGTACGTCGGACTGCAGCTTTTGTACGGTCCGGGAGACGAACACATACTTGGCTCAGGCCTACTCATTTTATGGTAAGTTTTCATCCCTCCCTTGCGTTGCTCATAGCCACCCCCTAGTCACGTGGCACCAATAAAAGTACCAACAGAATAGAAACTAACATTATTTGTGTTACAGACGAACGATGGCGTAACTTCGGTATTATGTGGGCCTACATCGTGTTCAACATCTTCGCTGCCCTATTCCTATACTGGCTCACTCGTGTGCCTAAGGGCAAGAAGAACAAGGTCAAGACGGCGTAAAGTCGCAACAAAATGAAAAAAATGAAAAAAGTAAAATCTCAGAAAACAAGAGAAGGATGAAGATCCATCACAACTCTGCTGCCATATTACTATCATTTACACTTCAAACACACACTATTGCACCCTAACATCTTGACATTCATATAGTCTCATGTTTATGTTTATGCCATACCATGAGTTCTATCTGCAGCGGATGGATTTTTCTTATTTCTCTTATCATAATGTACATTTGCATAATACAGGGCGTACTAGGGAGAGCTGAACTAGAATACTACACAAAGTAGTTAGTCAGCGTATTGGTTGGTTGGTTGTGAGGATAATAGATTATATATAGATCATCTACCATGAATATAGAGGAAGAAGGGCGGTGCCCCTGATGAGATGTCTGTTTATATTCTGTGATTCCCGAGTGCCTTTACATTGGTTGTTAGTGTTGAAGAATGGCGCTTCTTAGCTGTATTTTCTTTAGCAGCCAACTCCCTAAAACGATTTAGGGGTCTGAGTACTACGCGCTAATTTTCTGTATTTTGGGGCAAAGCGTCGCGACATGCTTAAGCTCGTAGTAGTGCGCCCGAGCTAATGACGACTTGCCCGTTTCGGTTGAAGCTAAAAAACCATTGGTATATATAAGGTCGTGTAGACGCGTAGTATCCAATTCAATCAAATTGCACCATCATGTAGCTAGTAATTAGTGTGTACATACGAACTACTGCACAACCCCTTTTAGATCACAACTCGCACCCTATCCGTTTCGCCATACCGCTCTATTAAGCTCGACTCAATTGCTAGAAGCGAAGCGTTAATTATTGTCCGTCACCCGTATACTAGCGCTACAAAGAACGGCGTCACGGCATCTTTTGAAAATTTCAGCTTTGTGTCAGTTGTTACGGGTTAAGACCTCGGCGTCTTTAGTGCGTTTCTCGGCGGCTCGACCGATGTTGGTCTCGATGCTGGGCGGAGGGGTACTTGGTTTTGAGGTGTTCGCATTGGAGGGGATGCGAGGCAGGTAGGATGTATTTGTACACGAGGAATTAGGTGTGTACGAAACTGTTAGGTATTGGGGGAATGCCGGGCTTGGAGTATCTAGCCCTATGAGGTTTGTACGCCTCCTAGACAGTTGTGGCGAGGAACCTATAAAAGCGTTGTTAGTCATGACTGAAAATACGAGTTTCATGCCAAGACGCTGTGAATCAGTTCATCCGACACTTCCGATTATCACAAATAACAAGCAAAGTATACTGCAAACATGTTGAGAAGCAAACCGCTAAACGATGGATAATATTTTCCTATCTCGACGTGGTATCATCATGGCTCATTCCGGGCCGGCTTAGATAGTATGGTATGTAGTAGATATATGCGCAATGCTACCCTGAATATTTCTTTTTCTTTGGTATCTTTCCAGAAATCATTTCCATGCCGCTCCCAAATGTTGATTACAAAAAGATCGTAATTTTGATTTTGTATATTTTTTTTCTTGCTTGGCTCTGCTATGCTGTGCTGTGCTGTGCTTAGAGGAGTGGAAAAGAGAAATTTGCAAATAATCAACACAATACTTTATCGGTTCGACTGCTTCATAATTGTAGTCGGCCGTCGGAGTCGTCTTTCTCATATATATCCTGCATCGTCAATTGTACACCAATCACCTTGGCTTCGAAGAATTGAAAGAGTTGGAGGAACGCGGTAAGGAATTCGAAGGAACTGGTGATTTTATGTTAGCTTACGCCCCCAAGTCAAAGTCTGTGAGATACCAACAACCACCTTGCCGAACAAGCCGACATGAAAAGAGAATGAGAATGACTTACACAAGAGATGCGATTAATCCTATCGTCGGCGGCCACAAGCCAACATATCTAGACCCCCACCAGGGGTACATGATATGTGCCGAGTAAATCAAGAACCCAAGTGTCGGTCCCGCGAGTAAGATATCCACAGCAGTAAATTGAAGTCTCTTCGCGCGCCTCCTTCTCGCGCCATCATCCTCATCCGGGCCACCGAATGAGAACACGGTACGGCCGTTAACAGCTAGCGTCACGGGCGGTAAACCCACGATGCGCCGCGGCGACGGCCAATACGCGTAACCTAATATGCTGCAAAACGCGTGCGCCAGGTTCCAGAATAGCGTCAGCCAGCATAGTGAGAATAGCACTTTATGCTCCCATGGCCACCAGCCGGCGTCAATGGATGTGTGAACTCGTATTACTGTCGCTAGGCCTAGTATCGCGGTGAGTAATCGCGGGATTGCGATTAACGGCACGTCGAAACGCGTTACGTTGCTTTCGTTGGTATTGTGATGAAGGTTGTCGCATTTTTCGCAAGGACATCGATGTATTGTTTGTCCTTGTCGATCTGTGTATGTGTGTTCGGAGGATGAGGAAGATCGTGTGCTTGTTGCCGTTAAGGGGCTTCGGCTTCGAGAGGTTGTTGTCGAAGCCGACATGGCTGGTATGTGAATGTTGATCGATATTATTGTTTTCGCAACACGATTCGGATTTGGTATTCGATTTCGGCTTCTTCAATTATTTTCCTTCTTTTCCTTTTCCCTTCTCTTTCAATTCCTTTCGCTTCTTCGCTTCTATTTTTTCTTACTTTCTTACTCTCCTTCTAACCAACAAATTCCAAAATTAGACGTGATTATTAATGCGTTCGTCCCTCTTGTCGACCCAATTGACTACAAATGCGATATCGAAATAATAAAAAATTCGTGATGTAGCTTTGGGGAGGGACGTGTACAACTTGTATGTACGTATACAAGCTGTACGTACGCGTTGCGTTCGTTCGCTGGGAGAGAGTCTAGAACGATTCTGGTCGAGAAAGAAGAAAAAAAAATAAAATAAAATAAAAAATGCGGAGGCGAAGATACGGAGTATAATTGAATTAGGTACGCTGAGTTAGGTAAAGTAATTTTAATGGTTTTAGTTAGGGGGTTCGGGTTCCCATGCAGCCTGGCAGCGCGGACGGACTTTTTCTATTAAATGGGCTCCCCAAGCACCTTTTTTAGTGCTCGAGGGGGGGCGTTGCTGCGCCTCTTTATGAACTTATTTAGGTATTATGGACTGATGGATTAGGGGAAGGGATTGGGGGACTTGGGGGGGATGTATGTTGGTTTAGTTCTTTCTAGTCCTGGTTCCCAGTCTAAATAGGGCACTAGTCAGTCTATTAAGCGGAATAATTATTATGTACACATGTATATATTCATATAATAATGTATGTAGAGTAACATTAAGAAAATAGCATATGACGTCCCCTGTTAATCTATTTTATTTCTTTTTCCTTCTCTTTTCTTACTGCTTATGTACTTCAATTTACACTTACCATTTACCACTTACCAACTTACAATACACCATCTTCATCACAACCGCCACCACAATCATTTACATCCGCATAACACATTTACATATAATAAAGATACACACTGACACACATACACATATAATAGAGACAGTCTAAGTTTGATGGCGTTATCTTGTAGGATTCAACAAGTTCAGCACTGAGATATAGTTGGGGGCCATATGTATCGTCTTGTTTCCCCTTTCTGAAGTTCAGTCCGTCCCATAATATGCAGATTATTTAGTTCTGTCACGCCAAGCCCGATCAACCATCATCTCCTGCATTTCTTTTCTTACGATATTCATGACTTTTGCAACCTTCCACGATGGAGATTCAGTTATCAAACGCTATCATCAAGAATATCTCGGTTATAACAGACAGGTAAGACTGCGGCACAGAAGGACTCGGTCACTGTATCAATTCTACTTGTCTTACCATACCTATACAATTCGATCTATCATTTCTACCACTTCCATCGTCTGCAAGATAAGGCCGAATATGCCTCGGGCTTAGCTAGGATAACTGGTAGGATTTTTCAGCTAAACTACAAATAGGCTGGTAGGGCTTGGTGCGCGCCCGGTTCGGCGGGGATTAGGATTTTCTTCCCCATTGCGGAGTTATGAAGATCTTGAGGCTGGTGAAACTAGCCATGATTTGATCCTTGTGGTGGTTAGTTCACAATTCTGCAATGTCTTTGCTTTCCATGCTCCCACACACACTCCGGAGTTATCAGTTCAAAAGGGTAACCGACGTCCGCTATAATACCTTTACTATTATCCCCATCATCCGGTTACCATCTTGCGCTTTCGGAGCTCTATACCTAGGCGATTCAACCGATTCTAACCACCAATTACGTACATCCTATTTCTTTCCGTCATAGATTCTTACCCAAGGCAACCACTATTCAGAGTATCATTTCGTACGTCACCGACATTCAACAAGCCAGGCTGGCGTCAGGAGTTTAGTCGTCACGGATTTATGCGTCGATCATCGTCAGCTCCTACACGTGGTGGTGCATAAAAATGGTATAAGATCTTCCCTGCTCCGCCCCCAAGTCGGCCAGACTAGCTGCAGGACGAAAGAAACATTAGACCAGTCACTTGCAGTTAGGAATTTACTCATCCACACCTGGTAGGGCAACAATCGGAGCGGGACAGGAACATCCGTTTCAAATCGTAAAAGATAGCCAGTCAGTCTACACATCTATCCATCCATCGGCTCAGCTCGCTTTTAATAAGACACCGAGAAATCGGTCAAAAGAAATACCATCCATATCTAGCCTTCTGTTAGTAGATCGTTGAAGGATTCTACTCTGCAGAGCATAAGAAACACTTCATCATTCATCCACAAAACGTTTCATATGTATATGTAACCCCTACGTCAGGCTACACGACCAACAGTAGTAATTCCGACTCTTCAGCGCATCCTTTACTCGTTATCTAGATGATATCTAGGAACGTGAAAAGGCCTCGATTGGTCGATATAATCTTATAACCATTTTTGGATTTTAGGCAGCACAGCGGGACTGGCCATAATGTAGTCGAAAGCACCAGTCACCTTAAACTAATATAACATGAGTCTAGTTCAATGTACTCACAATCCTCCACTTGGACGGCTGAACATGAGTCAGTCCACATGTCAAGTAAATAAAACCTCCCGGAATATTCACGTTTGAAGATTGAGAAAAAATCGCGAGATTTCAGCAACAAGAAACGCAATCTTTAATATCCCGACAGACAGGAAACCAGGCTATTAATACCTACTTAAAATCGACAAAGATGCACGCCGCGCAAGTTCAGTCTTGGCCCGAGGGACCACGGTACGTTACAATCAACGATCCGCCTGCGCCGTTAGATAGCCAAGTCCAACTCCGTGTCTTGGCTGCAGGTGCCCACCAAGTCGTCCGTTCTCGTGCCTCAGGAGCCCATTATTCAGCTAGGGAACTTCCTCATACTGTTGGTGTCGATTGTGTCGGCAGGGATGAAACTACCGGGAAGCTTTATTATTGTTTTACCCTTCAAGGAGGTACATATGCCGAACGTATCAATGTCGAAAAGTCTGCCGTCTATCCGGTGCCGGATCATGTTGACCCCGCGTCCTTTGCTGCCAGTGTCAATCCAGCTATGAGCAGTTGGATGGCTATTACGCACCGTACCAGCAATCTCCCTAAGAATTTTACGGCTGTTGTTGTCGGTGCGACGAGTGCTAGTGGCCGTTTGGCTGTGCGCTCTGCCAAAGCATTGGGTGCAGGCAAAGTCATCGGCATAGCCCGAAACGCCACAGCACTAGAGCAAGTCAAAGGTCTAGATGACTATATTATACTCCGAGACCCTATCGCCGAGACCGATTTCTCAAAGCTACGCGATTGTGATCTTATCCTAGATTACGTGTACGGTGACGCGACTGTACAGCTACTCTCATCATTGAGCAGGTCAAAGAAGCCCGTCCAATACGTCGAAATTGGTAGTCTTGCGCAACGCACCGTCGAAATTCCAAGTTCCCTACTTCGGTCTTTCGATCTAACGGTACGCGGAGCCGGAGCCGGGTCTTGGAGCATACCGGCACTTCATAAGGAGCTACACACGTTGGTTCCGACTATGGCTGAGTGGGAGCTATTACCCGCTCGCTCTATTCCACTGAAGGATATTGAGACGGCTTGGAATGACACGACACTAGCTACTGAAGGGAGGGTAGTATACACACTCTAACTACCCCCAATTGTTGTTGCCAAATTCGGATGAGTGCGACACATGATCGCGATATCGCGATTTCGATCCATGTATCCTCTATATCAATATAAACGAATTATGTCAAAACTGACACCTACTCATCAAATTGAATATCAATTCCGATAACAATATAGTCTTTCTAGCAATATTCCGAAGTCGTTGCATTCTGTCAGCTAACAAGTTTCAAGATCCCATAAATAGACATCCAATAGCGAATAGCTCTTTAATAGCCAATTCTTCCGCGCCCCAAAGGAACACAACTATGTGACCAATGATACAATTAATTGCTGACTTCCTAGGAGAGGCAATGCGGAACTTGACCCGGTACGTAAGCCCTGCGCATCAGCAGATCCCGATCCACATGTCCCGTCCGCGCCGCATTGGCAACGGCGATGCAAATAAAATGACGTTTCTGTTGGTAGTATTGCGCTTGATGCCAAGAAAGGTGATGTGAGAGGTGTTATGATCTCAATATACTCTCTTTCCATCACTTTTTCGCGATCGCATATAGATAATACAAGAACCTAGAACTTGTTGGTTCTAAGCCTACCTAGAGATGCAGCGCCTCGTAGGGCGTCAGCTTCGCAACTCCCATTGATGAAGCCTTCGTTTGACTAACAAAACACTATTAAATTCACCTCCCTGTCGCTACACGACAAGAATCGCAAATACCATATGGTGCATCCATAACCCAACCAAGTCCTAGCTTCAAACAGCATTCAATAGATACCGCAGCGGTAGCCGGCAACAGAACCCATTACACACCAGTAATAACAAACAATTCTCCCGATTCATCAGCCGTCATGAACAAACGACCTTTCTTATCAAACGCAAGACCAACAGGACGGAAACATGAACCGGGACATTTGGTATTATCCTGATTCTCCACAATGTACTCAACAGCAGTGGTATCGGAAACATTAGCCACAGGTTGACCATCGGCGAATTTAATCTTGCCCAGACGGAATCCATCCGGCGGAGTGCGATCCCTACAAAAATCCTCAAGTCAGCAATATCCACATCGAACATTCGGAGAATAATACTCACCAACTCCCGTGAAAAGCGACAATAGCAGCACTTCCATCCTCCTTAAATTTGACATCCAACGGAGCCGTGTGCGCGGGGAATACCAGACTCGGGCCCTGCCGCTCGGTGCGACAGAAGTCATCCACATCCTCCATTGATTGACGCGCCGTCACATTTTCAAACGGCGTTCCAGCTATTCCACCAAATTGCGATCCTATGGTGATACCCGTGTTTTCCGGGATATTCGTGGTCTGCCAAGCGGAAAAGCAAGCTGGGTAGCCGTAATTCTTACCCTTGAGAGGGTTATTCGCATCTTTGATGAGACCGTGGTAATTGAGCTCCTCGGCTGGGTTGTCATTGTGTAAATCCACACCACTGCGATGAATATCGTCTGCTGAGTTCTCAACAGACCACTAATTGAGACGGTTAGCCGCGGGCGTATGGGATTGGCGGGAGTGAGGCGCATACAATACCACCGGTTGACGGGTCCTCACCAAGTCCGACGGAGTTTCTTAAACCCCATCCAAGGACTTCGCCACCTGTCGCAAAGTTCGCGGCCGCTGTTGATGCCAGTAATTCGGTAATGCTAAATGTTTTGATGATACTCTTGCCAGCTTCTACGTCGGTGGTAGTATTATCGATATTCCCATCTGAACCTCGCGATACCACGAGGATATCCGGTGCGCTAGCAGGCGTGAGCAATGTCCTAGTGATATGACCACCGCTCCTCATTCCCTCAATCAGGGTTTTCTTCGTACCAACTGTACCAGCTTCGGCGTCATATGGGTATGCAAACACGCTCGCCATGTTGGAGACGAAAAGCGTTTTGCCATCTTGACTGAATGCTATGCCGTGGTTTAGCTTGGTATAGATGTATTAGCAATCCCCTTTCGTGTATTTGTTCCACCAATTCCACTCACTGTATTATCATCGATTAGCTGTGCACTTGAAGCTACACAGACTTTGCCGTCTGTCTCGGTCAACACAACCCTTCTAATCCCGGCCCCGCCCTGTTCGGACACGAGTAAATTCCCTGCTGTATCGAAAACTATGTCGCGTGGAATGTTCAATCCGTTTAAAATGAGTTCCGCGGTGTAGCCTTCAGCTAATTTAAGCGGCGCTTTCGGGGTCAGAGCTGTGCAGTTTTGCGCAACTACTGATGATAGGAAAAGCGCCATGGCGCCAAAAATTGTGAGTATCGCCATTGCTATATTTCAATTAGATTATGGGTTCATACGCTGATGATCAATTCATTGCGGTCGGAATGCAATATTTTTGAGTTACGAGGCCAAGAAGCCCCTCATAAGAAGCAAGATCACAACTTCGCAGACCGACAGACAGCACCAATTGCCCGTATATAACCTATTGAGCTTATCGGTCACGGCATAAACCCTGGTATCATCGTAGGATTGCAATCCCGTAGAAGCACCGGCATCGTCGCCGTTTTTCGCCAAGTTTGGGGAATGCGGTGAGACAACGGTCCTATCGTGGGGGAGCAGACCGGATATTGACATTTAACCAGTGCCCAGAATTGATCGCCTACCCCGGAGCATACCTTGACCCCAGCATTCGTCGTCGATCAAACTCCATTCAGCCAATACCAAGGAAGGTGTATACCTAAGTATGTCTTAATAAGGGGTCGTAATCTACGTGACGCAATTCGGATCAAGACTTGGCGTTCATGAAGAGGGGATAGATGGCGAACATGATGACGTACATTATAGAATAATGTGTAAATTAGGTTGACTCGCATTGATGTTTACTAGAAGGTCGATCATAAAAGAGATGGTAATGTTGTTAAATATACCCAGGTTGAACATCGATAGCTCCTTTATCCTGACCTTGGTGTGTGCCTTTTGGCCTTTGGTTAGCGTTTCTCCAACTGCAACCACATTTCTCGTGGTCGTTTGTCCGTTCTAGCGCTTTTTATGGTATTGTGTGCTTTTCTGATCATGGCCGCTCGACTTCCAATATGCTAGGTCTTTCTCGATAGCTGTTGTGTTGCGTTATCGGTGAGTGTTCTTAGGAACATACTCGTTTCGGCGGAGATCATGGCGCGACGGATAGAAGTAGTGTAGAAAAAACTGGGAATGACATCGCCATAGGTCACCACGAAATTAATTACCTACACAATAACATCTATTTCTTACGCTTGGGGTTAAACCAAGTCCTCACATAATATTAAGGGTTTCTTCCCACAATAAGTAGTCTTAGAACATTTCTCTTAAGGATAAAAACTGAAACAACTTTCGCATGTCAATAGGTTCTCCTTGTACTATCTTGTAGTCGATTTCCCTGATCATAAATGTAGGTTGAATTGGTCACTTAACTCCCATTTCACTGTATACCCCATCAGCCGGAGTGGTATTATCTACACTTAACAGCTAAGATAGCAACCCCCGGGGAGACCATAGCACCTACCTTGAGGTAGTTGTCACGTTAGAACAGGTAGGCGGAGCCATCCGCGCACGCAATAGCTTATATGTCGGTAGGCTACCTAGGTACGCAGGTATGAAAAACATCACGACGCTTATTGAAAACCCCAAGCTAACTACGATCCTATTCATAGCGTCCCCTGTCTACGTGACCTATTTCAGTCTCATGGCTCCAGGTTAATGAGAAGTTATCCTCCTTCCTTCGGGTCTAGCTTTGGCACGTACCTCGCCGTCGATAATGCTCTGTACCTAACTTCCTCATTACCTAAGTACTTTCTTACAAAGAAGAGGGAACAACCTCGTTGCGTCGCGAGTACCCACGCAAGTACCCAAATACATACATATATATATATATAGGTACATGTAGTTCCTGCCACAGTGAAACTCTTGTTCCTACCTAGGTAGTGGAGGTATGAGGGTAGGTATGAGGGTAAGGATGGCCAAAAGGGTCCTTTACAATGATAGGGAAGGTTCCTGATATTTTTAATGTAGCTCTTTCCTAAGCCTTGACCGCCGAGATACTAACGGGGTTGGTTAGAGTAATCGCATTGGTGAACCGGGGGTCTAGTGTACCTTTTTTTGTAGTTTCCTTCTAACTTGTATCGTGAACCTCGCCGGCGCGGTCCTTGCACACTTACGTTAGTGTAGTCCCTGCCCACCAATTTAGATAGGCATCCACCTTCTCCTACCATCTGAATGGGAAGCTACTTTGAGTATCCGCAGGTAGTAATTCCTTCCTGCTTCTCCCCAGATCTATCGAGTTCCTGTCTTTCTTCACGATCCCACACATCCCATCTTGTTCTTTCGTCGTCTTGCCGCACACCTCGCATTATTTCTTTCATCCGTTTCGACATCACCATGGCTCCCGCCGCACGTAAGCGTCGCGGCCGCGCCTCCGAGAAAGAGAAGAAAAGACATCACAATCTTGTCTCCCAGCGATCGAGAGCCGGAGAGCTCGTTAACAAGAAGCTGGCGATGCATGAGTTTTTCACCAGTGCCTCCCAAGAGGTGAAAGACGCGCTGGAGGAGGAGACCTCCGCTGAGGTGGACCGAGTTATGTACGTATTTAATAGGATAAATAAGATCTCTCGTCTTGCTAATTAAACACTCGATATCTACAGGGCCTACCATATCTCGGCCAAATCGAAGAGCGTCTCCGCTGCACAGGTGGTGACGGACGCCGCCACGGACGTCGTGGAACGACACGAAGCTGCGTATACCCTGCTCGCCCTTCGCGCCTCTATTCCCGCTGATGGCGCCCCTCCTACCGACCCTACCGACCCTGCCGACCCCGAAGTTCCTGCCGTTCGCGCTCCTCTCTCCATGCTGGAGGACCTCCGATCCACCACACTGGCTGCTTACGAGCAGGCGCAGGAGGTCCTGAGCTCAATCCCCGCCAATGCTGCCAATGATGGCTTCGTGGAGAAGATTCAGACCATTGCGTCTGACTTGGCCAAGATCCAGGCCAAGATGGACGAAGTCGATAAGTAAGCTTGTTGCTGGTCGTTGGTAAGCTACCTAACCCTAACCTTCACATCTAAGTCTAACAGCTAATCTGGGTTCATTAGTAGTGTTCTTTTTGCGTCTGCTCTCCCTCTTTTTCCTTCTGTCCGATCCTTTTTTTCGGCCGTCAGGTAGACTACATAGATAAATCGATGTTTAACACCGTACTGGATTGATTTAGGCGAATAAATTCGGGCTTTTGTTGCCGCCTTTCTGAAATATCTTCTTCATCTTCCTCGACGCCAAATGTGATTGAAATAGGGGCGAATAGGGGTAAATGCGCATACCACGTGACTTGACAAGGTGCATAAAGACGCCGACATGCGCAAAGGCGACGAAAGACTCGTAAATGTAAAAAGGCGTGAAAGGGCGGCTGTCGGAAACCTGCCCAAGTGGCTTGAACCCCTTAAAGTATCGTACACTAAAATATGACCATGCCAATCTCGATATTCTAACATCCGCTAACACCTATCCTACGTATATTATACGTACGAGTCTTTGTAACAATTATTATTTTGGGCCCTCGAGGCAAGTGAGTTATTCACGATCTAGGTACCTAAGACACTAACTTTTATCTTATTTTGGCAGTATCGCCCTGACTAAGATCTAACGCCTTAAAACCCTCCTGTACGGAATATGCCTGGGATATATGTATGTGATGCCTTGAGAGGAAATCTCGAAGCCCTCAATCGCGTCTTGCTCGCGTTGTTGGGCTTCCCTTTTTCTGCCTATGTATTAGATAGTAGAGCTGATCCCACCTCCCACTTCAACTCCGAGGCCAGCCCGATGGTCAAGCGGCATGCGTTTCCATGTATCACGAAAATAATGAAATATGTTACACCGAAAACAACAGATCGAGAATTTACAGAATATACAACATCCATCCCACACGAACCTTGCAAAATAATTTGAAATTGGTATCTCATTACGTCTCGTGAATGTTGAAGGGGCAACCACTTTGGTTTGGAACTAAAACAAACATTGGAAAAAGAAGGACCGTAGCCGTTGGTTTTCGAGTATGACAAATTAAATCATACCACCGGGTAGTCCCATACCAGGACGCTTTGGTCCTTGGGTCACCACCTGTCTAGACGCAGGAGGGCCAACACTAACGGGAGGAGCATTGTTAGGCAATCTGGGCGGTAAACCTGAACCGTCCGGTGCCACCGAACGCAATCGTCTAGGTGGGGGCCTTGTCTCCTCATTTCGACTATCGGGTTCATCACCGTTACGTCGGCTTAGGTTATCGAAGACGGCTCGCTTGCTAGAAAAGTCCTGTCGACGTCTTGGGTTGATAGGAGGTAGAGGTGGAGCGGATCGGCTGTTGCTACGAGATCGACTTCGCGATGCGTCAGGTAGAGGTACCGTTGGAACTCGAGACGTCGAAGTAACGAATGTGGGTTCAGAAATGTCCTTCGTCCTAATCTTACGCCTTGTGGTTTCGTTCAAGCCGGGGGCTACGCTTTCGCGGCCGCGGTTCGGAGAAGCTGATGGGCGGGGCGAAGATGGAAGAGTATTAGGTGTGGTTGGACTATGCGAATACGGAGAAGGCATAGGAGACATAGGAGATGCCTGGTTTGAGCCGTAACCTTGTGCTGTCTGAACACGAAGATTGCCACTAGACCCGAAAGCTGACTGCTTGGCTCTTACGGAACCTGGGTAAGGTTGGGGCGGCATGATTGGTGACTGCTTAATGTTTGTTCCAGGGAGACCAGGAGAGCGCATTGGAGGTCGTTGTGTAGTTCCATTCGGGCTAACTTGCAAATTCGAGGAACCATTCGTCGGTCGTGGAGGTCGGCTCCTCACTCGTTCATCGTTGCTAGAATCCGAACCACTTCGGTTTCGGTCGGAACGTGATTGTTCTCGATACCGGTTTTCTCTTGATTCCTCGCTTGGGGGCTGTCGCTGATAGGTCACGGGAAGGAGTCTTTGTTCCTGTTCAGGCGATTGTTGTCTGGATTGTCCTCCTGTCGGTGTCGACCTTACGGAATCATTCTCTTGTACTGAATCTTGGGGTTGATGATGCCTGGCTTGTGTCTCTAGTTCCTTCACCTTTTGCAATTCCCGTCTCGCTTTTGTGAATGCTCGGAGTCCCAGATTCCCTTCCTCGGGTTCGCCGGACTTGTCGTCTGGTTCGATGTACTCCCTAGTATTTTCTTCTTTCTTTGGCTCGCGCACTGGACTTGATGCTTGAGAATTATTTGAACCTCCTAACCCAAGCATCTTCATAGCCTTAGATTGGGGTGGTTCTCGACCTCTATCAATTAATGACCCTCGACTTTCCTTTTGTCGTAAAAGGCCCCTGGATGAGTCTGCAGGCTCGCCTTGTCGGTGAGGGGAAGTAGAGCGGCTATCAGTTTCGACATAGGTGGTTAATCGTTCACGAACTCGGCGAGCTCCATCAGCCAGTTGACTCGCAAATTCGTCTCGTTCATCACTAGGCGTTGTGCTAAGACCAATGTTGATAAAGTCTTCCGTGTCGGGGACGTTGGAAGATCGAGATTGAACATCCGGCATAGGCTCGTTGACATCTAGGTCCAAACTCCAGTCTCGACTCGCATCCCATGGGTTTACACCGGCACCTAAGTCATTGAAAGATTCCGCTGTATCTGGATCCGCCGGGAATCGCGATTCTAAACCTGACGTAGGAGGGATTGCACCATAAATTGATGAAGCATTGCTATCACCTCGCAGATGTTGTCGCACCATACCACTCAAGCCAGCACCCGTGACTGGACCTAATGTGGGAGAATCCGCGGGAGAGGCCCCTTTCGGATTGGGGGATAGGGTTGGGTTTTCACGAATTGGAGAGGGCTCATCACCGCACGTTAACCCTGCTGATGATGGTGTTGGCTCGCCGGAGCTACGGAGTGCTGGGTGTTGACGGTCGGAGGGGCGTCGTACCAAGACTTGCGGAGATGGAGCATGTTTCGGCGATGGAACAGGTGAACAATCCGAGTCGTTAGGGTCGGCTAGAAAAGACGTTGCGGATTGTTCGCTTGAAGGTGTCACCTCCTTAGGAGTTGGTGTAGCACTTAGTTTAGACTCCGATCCCTTCCTTTGAATGGACAATGATGAGCTGGATCTGGTATTTATCGAACCCACTGATGGATCGTCCCGAGATTTCAGTGTCGGCGTTTCTCGTCCTTGTTGTCTTTGTAGTTGTCGTTGAGCATATCGAGACTCGTCATATGGTTGCGAAGGCTTTTGGAAGACACCGAGAGCTGTAGCTTTACCTCGATCGTTCGGATGAATTGAAAGGAGTGAATTTTCTCCAGTCTCACTAATCGGCGGACTTAGTGGTGGCGTCCCTCCGAAATTCGATCTCATCTCTGTTGCACTAGGCACACGAACACCTAGATCAGGAGTACCAGCAGAAGAGGCGGTTGCAGGAGGGCTCATTGATCGCAGGTTAGGCGCACTAGACTTCGCTAGGATCTTTCGCTCTCCTCCAAACCGTTCCGCAAATCCTAGTGTTGTAGGAGATGGTGAGTTTTGTGCCAGATCAGGTGTTCGAGTACCAAAAGTGCGTTGTCGTGCTAGAGTATCAATGCGCGATAATGCGGACGATTGCTGCTCTTGGAGGTCATTACTCAGACCGGATTCGTACAGTCGCCTAGTTCGTGTGACATTCCTTTCAGGGACAGGCGCAGTACCTGTTGAAGGTTGCCAGTCTTTCAGCGACGGAGCGCGTTGTGAAGATGTTATTGAGGTTGCCGCAGTAGAGTTTCTAGCAAGAGATGGGATGGAAGATGTTGTCGAAGATGTTTCTCGCTTTTGGTTGTAATTGCTGAGAATAGGTGAATCTGCACGAAGGGCATCTCTTTCCACCTCATCGGAATCTCTATTTTCGTTTTCATCTCGGTCACCTTCGAATGATCTGCGTTCCTTCTCGGCTTGCCTCCATTTCTGGAAAGCCGACAACGCCACATCGTCATCGTACAACGCTCGACCACCCATTCCCCCACCGACAGTTTTTGATGAGTCGGCTCCAACTGGAATTTTATAAATCTTTTGTCTACCGCCAAATAGGTTATTACCCTCGGTCGGTTTTGATCGTCCCATGATGCTACTACCCGTCATTGAATCTGCATCATCCGAATAGTAAGAGTTTCCTCGAGCGAAAGGAGCTGCGGCCTTGATCGATTCGACTTCGGCAATGTCACCTAAGCCGCGGAATCCACCATAGTCCAACCTTGATTGTCGTCTAGGGAATAAGACACTATCATCACTCGCCTTGCCGACTTTGGTATTAGGATCATCTTGCTCCCGAAGCATCGAGAACCTTGCCGAAAGGCCTGTCATCAACAAACTTGTACGGAAGTCATCGCTAGACGGTAAGGCCGAAGACAAGTCGATTTCAACTTTTTCGGGTTCCTGATTCTTCTTTCCTTTCCTGAATGGTCGGAAAGGCATAGATGACTCTGAATCTTGCGATGGTCGAGGAGCCGAAGCCTCTTCCTTAGCCTTCTTCTTTGTCCTAAAACGATTCATTGTGGATTTCGCCGGCGTCGGTCCTTGGTAAAGTAAACGATGAACTCAATTCTGGCTTGAAGATTGGTTCAATATGTAATGAATGAATTGGAATTGTCGTAAGTAGATAATTAAGATATCATCACGCTCTGCATGCCTTAATCACGGTAAGGGAAGTTTGGCGAAAATGATCGACTCCGAAATGATCGACTATAGTTAGATTCGAAAGAAGTGTTTACGCAACCCCGTAAAATAGATCTGGGGAATGTCGCAAGACTCGAAAATTAGTTTAAGGAGTGTAGATTGAGTACTTGTCTGTAATCGGAGCGGAATATGGTCAGCCAAGTCAAGTCAACTGGGGTATTATTAGATATCGTGTGGGGGGTAAAATGTTTAAGGGGCTCGCAACCAGCAGCGCGGACCTGAACGAAGAGATCAGGGGTATATCACATTCACGCTATGATGTTGAACCAACCAAGAGATGATTGGTGGATATCCCAATTCGTCCCGTGTTCTGGAATCAAAGAAACACTTTCCGAAGAAAAAGAAAAGTTGCTGGCTTTCAAGAAAATCATTGGACGAGCCTACCTGAAAACGGGATGACCATTCGTATCGGAGGCGTTTCACAGATTGATGGGGGAACCTGGAACGTTCAAGGGAATAAGAAAACCAAGCATGAATTTGTAGATGAGCCGGCGGACGATCATACACCCGAATTGAATTGACCCTGTCTCTTTTTCGAAAAGAGCCAATTGAGTCACAATTACTCAAGTCACAAAGGGACGAGAGAAACGGAAATGGATTCAAAAGAGATGCTCTCGAAGCGGTATATGCGTAATATCACGATTCGTAGTCAATCGATGATGCCGAGGAATGAGAATTGTCGACGTCGCACAAGACACCCAATGGCTTGTTCGTTGGTTGTTGGTGCAGAATAGGCTGGTGACAGGCGTAATGCTGTATTCCGACGCTGTGACGGATGAATCTGCGAGATCCGAACTGTTGGAATTGGAATGGGAAATGATTGCAGGGTCTCCTGTGCGATGTAATGAATGGTTTGTCGCTTTTTGTCGAATGCCAATGGATCACAACAATAATAAGGACCGTCCTTTTCTTTCTTCCGTCCAAGTCAATCTTCCTTGTATTTTCACTTGACAATATCTTCGATCACTGGGATAAAAATATCAGGCGTTGAACTGGATTGTAATTACTCGAATCGATCGCTATCGTAGTCGGTTCGAGTAAAGCCGCCTTGGTATTTGAGGATCAAAAAAGAATGACTGTGGGTGAGAGATGATTCCGCAATGAAGAATGAACAATTCGACGAAGAGCGAATGCTAAAGAAAGAGAGGAGGGAGAAAAAAGAGAGGTATTGATTTGATTGCTACCTAAACGAGATGATAGTAAACTGGAACTTGTTCAAACACACAGACCAGACATTACTACCTAATCCCACAAGACAAAAAAACAAGTGAGCAAAGTGAGCGAGCGTACAAGTGAATGACTTGATTGAACTGACGAGTCGAGGCAAAAATGGGAAAAACCGAGTGGGTGGAAAACGGGGACGATGAACAAGGTACGAACAGGGTACGAACAAGGTATAGACAAGGGTATCCTTGCTGCCAAGGCCGTTGAAAATGAAGCTTATCCTGGAAGAGAAACCCCTCCTCCCCTGCATAAACCTACAGGGTCTTGCATGTACCGCCGTATAGATGAGGTACAGTTCCACTTAACTCTGCTAAGCCAGTGTTATCCGTTGGAAATTACACTGTCTCCCCTATGTCACTTTTGCGTTTTCTCTCGTCTATTGGACAATTGCTAACTCCACATTCTAGCGATCTAACCACCTGTAGCTTAGATGTCTAGGCTTAATTACCAAGTATAAGCACTCCACCATTTTCAATATTGCGTTGTTCATCATGTAAAGAACACATCGTTTTCCAAGAACAGAAAATAATCAACTGTGGATATACTTTACTCAGTATTACGTTTGCTATTCTCTTCAACCCCGTAATGAAACCTTCATTGCTGTATAATTAGGTAAGGAGTAAAAGGTCAGATACAATTACTACATACAATAATGACATGAGCAAATCATCGGGACAGTTCCCGAGTTGTCAAATGAGCATTAGTTCTTTCTAGAACCCGACGATCATAATGCTTCGTTATCCCTGTTATCACTAGTGGAGGTTCCCTCTTCCGGTTTAAAAGCGAATAAAATGGTATGTATATCAGGCTTCAATATCCATAATACCACGGCTAACCCGATGGTCAAGGCGTTTTTCAAATATTGACATTCAAGCAGTCATTCAGGTTCAAGCTAGAGAGAGGTATGTGCATATGCACGTATCTATAGATCCTATTTCTATCGAGATTAATTGTAATTGGCGTAGTCACACGACATAATGGGGAGAGTAACATTCAGCTGCCATGCGACGCCTCGGTCTTCTCGTTGATCTATGCTGACTGATAGACCATAGCTATCGATAGATATTATTCGAGGTTGATTTGCTTCTCTCCAGCCTATGACGGTATGGGGGAAAACCGGTCGTTTCATTCTTACACTACTGCTTATGGCGCCCGCCGAGCTGAACCGTTCTAAGGAGGTAGTACGCAAGCGAGGGACAACTAATTATACCTGTCAAGCTTAGGAAGCAAAAAAGAAGCAATAAGAATGAATCTTACCCCCTAGCAGCCCAAGCCATGCAGCCACGGCACATCACCCGTCCGTAAAGTACCCGAGTACTCAGATAAGTATTATTTCATATCACAAACACATATGTAGAGTGAACCAGATTAGATGATCAGATTTACATTTTAAAAGACGCCACGGCTCTTCTTGTCTTATCACGTTTTATTTTGATGAGAGACATGCATACTGTCAAGAGTCCTAAATCAAACCCCCCCTTTTCAATTGATCACCCCGATTATCTTGATGATCAACCCATTGTTTTACATATCGAGTGATATGGTCTCGTCAGTTTACAATCATCCCACCCCAATAACTTAGACGATACCGTTACCATTTGAAGTTAGAGTGAATCCGTTTTATGAAGGCCAACGGCGTGGTAAGGCGTGCTTGCTTGAGGTTGATTGAACAAACGGAAATTCAGGGGTAAGAAATTAGTACTTGGGTACATACGTATGTGCCTACAATTAGTATCTACAAGCGGTACCTATCAACTCGAAATCAGCCTCTTCGCCTATGAATTTTTACTAGTACAACCAATTAGCTACTAATATGAATAGGAATAAAAGGTACATGGTTCATACAGTATTTCAAAAGATCTCATACTATTTAGATATACTAACCTAACATTTTAAAGTGACATCCAAGGTAACATTGAACATTCAAAGCAAGGTGATTGATGCGCCGGTGCGCGCTAAGTCCCTATTAATGCGGGTTGAATAAGTTATCCGCGGTCCAATCAAGTTGTTGTTCCTGACGCTTGACTTCGTTGAGTTCTAGCCCCTGAATGCACGCTAGGATATTCTAGGATGTACCCCTGAGATAGTGGATAATGCCCTAATATTCCTTGTCTTGCGGATTTGTAAATTCAGGATTTATCTTTCTTTTTTTTTTTTTCTCCCATTCTCCTCTCCTATCCAATCCTTCTCACATCAGACTACTGTACTTGAATTGGACTATCATATGTGGTGTTACGAAAGTTAACGAAAGGATGAATCCAACCCAATGAATCATAGATTTCGGATAATTCGAATCATTAAAGGGAGACTAAAACAAGATGTGAACACAGATTTATGCAAAGAAGAGTGCCATTCGCATTTGTATGTCAGATAAATTAACCATTGAAACGTCGCGCGGGGTATTGTGAGATATCTACAAGCATCTTTTACATTGGTTATGTATTGGGTTAGTGCCCGTCACATTTCATTTTGATCATTTCGACTATTTCCGCTAGGAAGTACTATGGACCAACATTATAATAAATGGAGAGATGGGGCTTGTCACGGTCCAGGCCAAAAGACAAACTAAGGGCTACCATGGTAAGAAAAACGGCGATACCCGTGGTTGCCTCATTCTCATGGTACAGGTGTATTTGATTTCGGATATAGCCATGACAGCACGGATTTAGATTATCAACGACCAAATAACCCAAGTATGGAGTGACAATCCCATCTCTTTCCCCAGCTCTAGGTTCGCTTAACCCTCCCGAATATTTAACATCTAAATTACATCCAGAGGATACCGACACGTGTATTCTAAAAAATCAGATCTCGATACCTTATATCCTTGGGTTTTCAAGTTCCAGCTAGGTGGATAAACATTATGACCTGCCGCGTGGTGTCCCGGCATGCCATCAACGCTCCACTTCATTTAGATATGACGGTTCGGTATATTCCTATCCTGGACACCGTACCGTAGGTTCGGATGAAGAAATACAAACATAAGGCCGTCATAGATGCCTGATCTACAAACATTCTTAGAATTAGGATCCAGATAGCTACAGTAGGTACCTATTCAAAACAAACATTTTATGTCGACTAAGTCCAACTACAGTATCCTAAGCGCTATAATTCTACCTAGGTACTCAATCAGCCAATCGTGATAATATCCGAACCAAGTTGCCGCCTATACCCAGGGACTCCATGCCCTGTAGTCAACTGGTCAACTCACAAACACAAGAGTGGTATTACAATCAAGTAATACCAACACTTCATTCCAAAAGCCATCCACCTTGGGATATTGGATTACCGACGCTGGTAAACACGATTACACATACCTGGCTACTTACATACGTACCTCCAGAACACATTACCGGCATACGGTGCGGCTTTATGCATGAACTACGTACGCACACCTTGAATCTTAGGTATGCTGAGCGAGGTTTAACAACATCTCGACTTACACTGAATTGCGAAGGTGAATGTGCTACCACATCTAAATGACATACGGACCCAACATAACTTGGTTTGCTTGCTTCATCTAGCATTTAGCACGTACATGACATATTGCCGGCAGGAGATCTTTCCCGTTGAAGAATCCTTTATCTTTTTTTATTCAACAGAACATATTTTCCTTCCCCTGTTAAATTCCCGGACGGAACGCGACGCGCATACGCATATTATCAACGATCGTATGTGTTACCAACAGAGTAATATCTTATGGGGGGATCAAAGGATTAATGAGCTCTGACCCCGCCTAGACTTATTCTACAACCTAGGCAGCCTTTGAAGTGAACTCATCGTGCATGTATCATTATCGTGATACAGTACCGTAATATGAAATCATTTGGTTGGTCGTACGTTAGTGAGACGCAAACATTTCGGATTTATTAGAATCAGACTTCTTACAACTTTGTAGAACTTGGGGGACGGGCTGACGGGTCATGGTAACATATTAGGTGAGATGCCAATCAGATTTTAGGCGAGACAGCTGTCCCAAGGTATCTAGGTAGGTATTACAAGATGGATTTCCAGTAAGCTTCCCGACTTCTAGGACCTAGGTTGGTAGGTACCACGTGGAAAAGGAGGTCCGCACTGAGTTTTTATTCGGCTTGGAAATCTTTTTTCTAGGGTCTTTTTCTAGGATGCGATACCCTGTAAGCCCCTGACGTTTCTTACCAAGCTTCCTACCAACACTCCAAAGCCGAACAGACGATCAACCTGGAGGGGAAAGGAGCTCTCCCTTCAAGCCGATGCTTCGGATGCCATCATTCCAATCCTCTATCTACTCGCATGTCGCGATATTGCCACTATGATGTTGATTTGTAGGTATATAAGCCCGCATGTGAATCCAAGATTGCCACTCTAGGGATGCATCATTCAATAAGAAAGGGAACACACCATCAACCAATCCATCTCCAAGGCACGTCGCGTCGTACATATAAAGTGCCGATAGAGACCCATTATGATGTTACCCTATTCCGATTGGCATGTTAATCTACCAAGATATGGGCACTTATGTAATGCCCTGTAACGGCCAAAAAGATCAACCATCCTAAAGCGATGTACACAGCTTCAGGCTTTTCCACGTAGACCAAAACGTCATCTCGACTTTTTCCAGTCGTAAATGAATATCATCACCAAGTTCATGATCGAGCGATCAAAACAATCGAGATCGAGACAATCCATCAATATCTTACCCCATGAACGAATTTAATTCCTTTTCTAAAGCGCATACCTGCTTCGGGTTTAAAACATAGCTGAAAAAAATGACTTCAAACTCCGCCTATCACATCTAAACCATTTGACAAAACAATAAGTCATACCCCACGATGCACAACTTCCAAACAATAATGGAGGGTAATTTGATGAAGTCAGATTTCATTTCATAGACGGCCTGCTTCGGTATTAGGACGTTTTCAAGTCGAAGTCGTAAAGGTGGTATGTTCTGCCGTACGTTTTTTTCCTCTCGAGTCATACAACAGATCACCATCCGGTCGAGATGTATTTCTTTTTCTGTTGCCTAGTAAATGAATCATGGTCTTTTTCAACTCCCGACTTTTCCCGGCATTGAACAGGAGCCAATAAAGTAAGGTGAAGCTCTCATCGGTCGTCACCACCGGTTTGCCACCAAGGGCGCGGCGCATTCTAGGCAATTACGGGATGGGGTTTCTATTTTACCCCTCGCGATTATGTGTTACGATGGTATAAGGAAATGGAACGCACCAGTTAGAAGGTCCAGCGCCTAGCTAAGAGGGTAAGAAAGGGCAGAACGTGGGGTGGAACATGGCTGCGAAATCGCCGGTCACGCACCCAAGTTGATCCTTTCACGATCAACCCCCAACCCCCAGCTTTTCCTCTTAAGTCCTACTGCATCTTACTCGCAAGTTATGATTCGTTTCCACGAATTGAAATCCCATGCGGGGTAGCTATCTGTGGTGCGACTCTCGCGCAGAGGACATATTCTGGACCCTGCGGGCGAAGATGATGCCTGTAATTTATTGCCTACCTAGCGTACAGGTCACTGGTAAAACTAAAAGTAAGAAAATAGAAGGTAATTTGCGATATTTTTTTCTTTTTGGGACATACAGAGTTCGCCCTTACGGCATCTATATCAAGCCGGTCTCCCGTAAGGGGGACCCCTTAAAGAACACACACTCCCTCTCTCACACTCATCTATCTATTCATCTTCAAATCAACCTCAGTCATTGAAACAATCAGTCAAACTCCCTTGTCAGAAATCCAAAACACCAAAAGATATCAAGAGATACAACAGCCACGATATATCCCTTCGTCAACAACCAATAAACACATTAACTCCACGAATTAGCTACGTACCTACATACTTATATCCATTCATCATGTACGCGGCCCACTGTTGCAAATGCGGCGGGATCTTCGTCATCAACACCAACTGCACTTGGTGCAAGCATAAGGAATGCTCGGAATGCCGCTGAAGTGTCTGTCTTCGATGAGCTGTGCTCAAGCCCGCTTCTCTTGGCGGTGACGATGGGGTTAGACTTATCCGCCCGCTAGTTTCGAGACTGGAACGTCATACTAAAACAGGGCACAGACGGTTAACTCTCTCCTCTCTTGCCTATCGAATTCATGGCGGGGCTTGATCTTCATTCATAGCTCAACCCGAAGGAGCCAAGCGGGCATCAGCGCAGGTCGAAACGGTCAGGTGTTCGTTTTTATGGTGGGACTTTACGGAAACTTGTCCTGCTTTTTTTTCTACTTTATCCAAGATGGCGATTTAGTTGGTTTGGCTTGGCGTCTTTGGTCCTATGGCGACGACGATAGCGATGGCATTGGTAATGGTATAATTATGGATGTGGGAGAAAAAGCAATAGGCGCTCGTGGGTTTATTTTCTCTCCTCTCTACGGTTCGTCGAGGTTGGTTTGGACATATTCTATCTATACCCTTCCTTTCCTATTCATCTGAGATACCTCTTTTACTTACCTATGATTCCCGTCGTCGCAGGAGGGCGTTTGATAGTCTGCTAGTTATATATCAATATGTTTTTTATTACTTTGATTTGAGCCGCCGTATTGAGCTGTGTAGGGTTCTGTGATCGTGGGGATGCCTTGAGAGACCTAGAAAGATGGCTTTTACAGCGGATCACGGACGTTCCGTGCTAAAGCCCTAGCGCACTTAGGCCTCTGCTAGCCCTAAAAGAACGGCAGTACGGAGGACTAAAGGCAAACCGACGATACCTTGGTACTAACGCTACCTATTCATTGTTCCAGATTCGCATCAATGCCGCCTTGAAAAAAAAAAAATAGAAATATGCCTTGAGTGGAAGGGAGGCGAGAGGTGAGAGGTATCGGTATCCCTTTTTTCGTGACAAATGTTCATGAGCAAAAGAGTGACGATGTTGCGATGTCAGAGTTGTAGGGAATGTAAGGGAACCCATACTAGGTACCTCGCAATGGCAATGCCTCAACTAGGATTATAGTGACATCGTTATATATTGACCAATCAAAACGACGGACTCTGAGCTTGAATAGCTATCAGCCTCACTAATTAATGGGGGTCGTCGGCTAATTAAGCAGTAGCATAGAGTAACTCGGATAGACCGAGTTTGATCTTCATGTCAACTTTTTCTACTTTACAACAAGAAGTTTGCTTCTCTTCAAGGGCATGCTGGAATCATCAACTTAATTCGTATACTAAATATTTTGTACTCAGCCTCATTAAGAAGACCGATTGCTTAGAGCTATCCACAATTCAGCTGCTAGGGCTCCTCGTAAATATCGTACTCTCCGAGATCTACGATAGTCATGGATGAACACCAGATTCGGGAAGCCTCCACAGAATCCTACGTCCCTAATATTCACAGTCAACATAGAAACAAAACATGCGTCACGGCATCTTATTCAGTTCAATTCCAAAAAGAATCATCGTTTTCGCATGTACTTTCATTGATAGATTCGAAACGTGCTACTCAAGATAGCAATCGTTTTGAATCCTTGTTTGTTGGTTCTAGATACCTGGTTTACTACCAAGTATGTGGGTAGAATACCTAGGTAGCGCAGTCACAGCCCCAAAAATAGGGGACAATCAGATCTAAGAATCGGCGCTATTCTATAGTGAATACACCTAGATCCTAGAAAAGAAGGTCAAACATTCATCCAGTATGATCCCAGAAAGTTGTTAGAACCGGCATCGCCACCTCTAGGTAGAGCAATCAAATAGGAGAAGGTATTTCAATGATTTTGATTCACGATTCCCAGATCAAGAGGCCCATGAATTGGATGTGTCTCTGAGTTGGGAATTTCACCCAGTCCTTTCGTAGAACAGCATCAGGCATAACATCCCAGGGACATAAAATCAAAGCAGCGGATTACGCTCAATCTTACCAAAAATCCTTCGCTAATTCCAGATCATCCTTATCATCGTCGTCGTCGTCGCCGCCGCCAATATGGTAAGTAATAGCACCAGAGAAGCACCTACATATTCTAACAACTTTCCTAGGTTTTCAAAGAAATGGCAGGGCCCTCTGAGGCCACCCCTGAGTTGGCTTCTTCTTCCTCGTCTACCATCACCAACTCCTCCTCAACAGGTGATCTTGACAATGCCGGGCTGAGTATACATACCGTACTGACCCCCGATAACGTACATGCCGGTGTAATTGTTCGAGTGCAACCGCCGGTAGAGCCCGGACCTTCTCACTCGCGTAGTCATATCCCTTCCGACATTGTTTTGGTCATAGATGTCTCTGGGAGTATGCAAGTACCAGCCCCTGCAAAAATGAATGATGAATTCGGTAGGTTGAGCAAGGAGAATTTCGGATTATCAATCCTCGATATGGTCAAACACGCTGCTCGTACCATTCTTAAGAGCTTGGATGAAAGGGATAGGCTTGGAATAGTGACATTCAGCGCAGAAGCGAGGGTAAGTTCATAGTACCCCTACCTACAGAGCCGATAATGGAGAGCTAATCGAGACCTAACTGATATGCAGGTTCTCCAAAAGCTGTTGCCTATGACACCCGACAACAAGAAGTTAGCTAACGATAATATTGAAAAAATGGAACCGGAGTATTCAACAAACCTTTGGCATGGTATACAAAAAGGGGTCGGCTTATTTGAGGGAGAAGAAAATACGGGGCGCGTACCGGCAGTTATGATATTGACAGATGGTCAACCCAACCACATGTACTGCTTACTCCTAAAATGAAGAACTCCCTAGACGCTAACATCATCTGCAGGTGTCCAGCTCAAGGCTACATCTCAAAGATGCGTAGCATTTGGGAGAAATTACCGGCAGCTATTCACACTTTCGGTTTTGGCTACGAGATTCGATCAGGACTTTTAAAGTCAATTGCTGAGTACGGGGGTGGTAATTATGCTTTTATTCCTGATGCTGGCATGATTGTAAATCAAACATATCCATTTGCCTATACCTAGGTAGTTTACATGGTAGCTAACCTTTTTAGGGGACGGTATTCGTTCACGCCGTTGCACACCTTCAAACAACGTACGCAACAAAAGCCACAATGCAAATAACTACTTCAAAAAACATGCGCCTGAAAACAACATTGGGGAATACCATTTTTCAACAAGAACAAGAAAGCGTGGACGGGTGGCACCTCACCATTAATCTAGGCAACCTACAATATGGTCAATCTCGAGATATATACCTAAAGAATGTCGACGATTATCGATTGACAACCGAATTACCCGTTGTCTTTGGACTTCCTATATCCGCGAAAGTTACCTTCTCGCGCATGAAGGGTACAGAATATTGCTGGGCTGCTCAAGAAGGGCTAGGCGAAGGGGCCGATCTCCCCAATTACCTAGTGGCGTATCACCAAAGTCGTTCGATGATATGTGATTTCTTATCCTCCTTCTTCCCATTACGGAGTGATAGGGAATACGAGACTAGCCAACAAGTTAATCCAGAGCGATACAAATACGCATTCCAACAATTGCTAGATAAAATACCAGCTAGGTTGTACACCGACGAGTACAACAAATCCCTAATGGAAGACCTTGTGGGTAACCTACCCTCCGGTCAGGTACAATTGGCTTTGTCCAAGAAGGAATACTTTAGTCAATGGGGTTGTCATTATCTGCTAAGCTTGTGGAATGCGCACGCGAAGCAAATGTAAGTATTGCCTCAATTCTTAACCCTTGCCCAAATGATTATCTGGTAGATAAAATTAGAAAGCTAACTGTCGATATCTAGGTGCAACAGCTTCAAAGACCCTGGCCCATTGATGTACAACAGGAATCCTTTCTTTATCAGATTCAGGGACTTCCTTGATACGTCGTTCGACACGATCCCACCTCCCAAACCATCTTGCCCCCAAGTAGCCACTACAACAAGGGTTATGATGCGTTCACTAAACTCATCAATTGGTCCATGTTTCACGGGTTCGAGCAAGGTTTTACTCGCTTGTGGCCGAAAGATCCCCATCCGTCAACTGCAGCAAGGCTCATACGTGTGGACACCGATGGGAAGTAGGCGCGTTGAAGCTTTATTGAAGACTATCGTTCAAGAAGCTGTGATGTGTAAGATCGGGGACCTTGTCGTTACACCATGGCACCCGATCAAAGTCGCCGACGAGTGGGGTTTCCCACAGGACCTTACACTTAATTCAGAGCATCCTCAGGTGGTGGTCTACTCTGGACACATTTACTCTGTGCTTTTACAACCAGGCCAGGACCCTGAAGCCCATGCTATTGAAGTTGGTGGCACCTTGGCTGTTACGTTAGGCCATGGCATCGTTCGGGGGGATGATGTGCGCGCGCATCAATTCTTGGGCGATTATGAGCGGGTGTTGAGTGCTATCGCGAAGTTTAGGCCAGGCAAGGATGGTGTTGCGCTGTCTAGCGGAGTAGAGAGATGTAATGGAGATGGCTTGGTCTGCGGATTCAAGGAATACCTACCGTCACAGCATACGGGCATGGAAAAGATGGAAGAAAGGGTAGTGACTAATCCCTGGGATTATGCTACTCATACTTTGAGCTTGTCTGGAGGTGTCAAATAGGTCTGACTCAGGTCTGCTATCTACTTGGTAGGAAACAGGGCGACATATTTTGTCAACTTATGAATTCATGGAAGGCACTCTAGATAGCCTACTAGTATTGCGAATACCTAGGTAATGAGTTAATAGCAATCATTTACCTAATCAGATTACTCAGGTGCCAATCTAGTACCTACAGTTGTAGCTACTTGAATGTGACTTCTATTGCTTGTTATCAGTTGTAGTCAATTGAGAAGAACAGTAATCCCCACGTTTACAACATTTTTACTGAGTAAACTAGGCAACAAACAGATAAAAAGGTGAAAATTTGTAAACAATCCCTGTATGCTGGGATAATGTATTTATATATAATGTCCTGCCTTCCACATGTAATGGTATTGAAAGTCCCGTAGGTAACAAATTTTTTTTGTTGTTGTACTAGTTAAGTAGTACTATTAGCGAGTATAGAAGGAGCCCCCTATTTCTCAGTTACTACCTAAGGGTTTAGGTAGCTACAGCGCTACAGTTTGCGGGTTAAACTTCTGTTTGGGCAGGGGGTTAAGCATGTTAAGTTGTTTAAATCACCACTTGATTATTCTACTTCAACACAATGGAATAATCAATACCTCATAATCTTTGCAAACTACTGCGAAAAACATAGTATAGAGCTGCCCAATGCACACCAGGGGCATTACTATAAAAAATCGACTTTTTGTACCTCTACCTTTTTCCTTTCTCCCTCTCACATACACACACATCAATACTCCCACCTTACAACAAGCTCACCACAAGCTCAACATCCCTTTTCCAGCTTTGGGTCTCTTGTGCTTCTTCAACTTCTGTTTTTCTTTACCTCTTAATTCTAATTATTCAATTGATCGCCTTCTCTCAACCTCTTCAACAACAAGAGATTAATAATGGCAACCCAATTGAATGCGGATGGTGCTCGAACACTAATGGTCACGCTGAGATATCAGCCTGGCCTTGGGTTCGAGAGTGTCGCCGATCTTAACGACTTCGCCGACGTCGACATCACCAATCGTTCAGAAAGCTCCATTCTTTCTGACGCGGGTACCAACAATGACAGCGATGTGGAGGAGATCGGTCGCGGGTACGTCTATAATACCATTGAGTCGAATATACTCACGCTAACTTATATCAAGTTCCGGTCGAAACATATTCCATCCATTCACTCGTCTCCCCGCGGAACTTCAGCGAGTGATCTGGGAAGATGTTGCGGCCAGTACAAGACGTATCGTAACCGTCGACGTCTCCAATGGTCGCGCAACTATTATCGCGGCCGATGTGTTTAGCCTGCTAGCTGTAAACAGGCAGGCTACAGCACTCCTGGCACGATCCTACCACCAGATCCCCAATGGCTGTCTATACCCGTACAGCCAGCGAGGAAATAGGATGGTGATGGCTCCGCGGGTGTCCTTTGAACACGACGTCTTCCTAATTGAGGGTGGAGACGTCGACATGATCGTTAACGGCGTGGTAGCGGATGGTAAGTGTATTTCTATTGTCTTTGTCTTAGTTCATGCACCTTGTCGCGGAGGAGCTTGTTCGATAACCTCCAAGTTTTGAAATCAATTGTTAATAATGGTGACTAACTTAACTACTATAGCTGCGGAACTCATCAACCTCCGAGGTACCACTAACTCCGGGATAATCAGGCCATTCCGACCGCTACCAATCGTTTACTCGATCAGACGATTCGCATTTAATGATATCGACCTGCTCTTCCCGGGAGGAATCGGCGGCACCGCAGGGCTCCAATTACTGCTTTGGACCCTGGAAGCCGACGAAGTGTACACACGGGATGTCCATGGACAGTTGTGGAACCGCATCGGATCGGAGGAGATCGAAGACTTTGACGAGAGACATCGCCGATATTACAGGAGGCGTGATTGGTGGCTGGACCTCACGTACGATACGATTGAGCCTTTTCGAATAGTAGGCAGAGACGACGATGCGGATCTCGTGGAGGCTTGGGTTGACTCAGTCATCGCCTACAGCATCTCCATGGATACTTGATTGGGTCTATTGTCGAAAGGAATATATTCATACTTGTTTGTCCGTTGCTAGTTGCTTTCTTATGTTTGCGCGAAAGGATTTTGGGTGTACAACCGGTCATTGGATCAAGGTTGGATACCTAGGTACCTCTTGGGTGATGTCTCTTAGGAATATTAGGTAGTTCGATAACCCAAATACCATTGCCAAAGTTACTCAAAACATTACTCCTCGTGCAGTAGATTGATATAATGATGACGACGTCATGTATATCCTATAAAGGCATAGATATTGACTTCCCCACAATGCGTGCGTTATATAGGTACCCTGCAAGAATCCCAAAAATGTTGCAAACTCTTTGTTAGGATGAATACTACTTATTGATTCGGACGGTGACGATGATAAGCATCATAGGGGACTCGAGTGTCAAACTTTCCGGTCTTTTCTATATAAAATGTTTGTGTTCCTCGTCGAGCGGAACAGTTTTATTCTATCGATCACCCAGAAATCAATTAGCCATTGAATCATCGAATAACTATATCTTATGACAATGATTTCACTGCATCTATTCGGTTTCGTGATGGCAGCCATTCTATGGCTTGCTAACTTGAGCGCTGCTGCCCCTAGCGGTTCGATGTCTGCCACCAAGCGGGACCTAAAATTCCCTTTTGGGAGTGAGAAGGTTAGAGGTGTTAACTTAGGCGGTTGGCTTGTGTTGGAGGTCAGCAGAATTTCGTGGATTGTAGTAACTTGCGAATGAACAGCTAACAAATGGTCAGCCATGGATTACCCCTTCAATCTTCGCAGCTACACCGGACACCGTCGTCGATGAATTTACGCTTACGCAGACTCTGGGCGCCAACGAAGCAGCAAAACGACTCAACCAACATTGGAATACATGGATTACGGCGAATGACTTCAGCGACATTGCGTCGAAAGGTCTTAACTTTGTTAGGATTCCTGTGGGCTACTGGTCAGTGACGCCGTTACCTGGAGATCCGTACGTTGATGGCGCTTATACCTATCTGCGAAATTCTCTTGATTGGGCTACACGTAATAATCTAAAGGTAAACACTCCGGTTCCTAACTCCGTACCTATCTAGGTGTCTACTAAGAGTATATATCCGGGTGACGATAAGGGTTAACACTTGTTATAGGTTATGATTGATCTCCATGGAGCCCCCGGATCGCAGAATGGCCTAGATAACTCCGGACGTCGTGGTGCTGTTACCTGGACTCAAGGTGACACTGTAAAGCAGACCTTGACCGCGTTAAATAAACTACGCGATGACTTTGCCTCTCATCCTGCGGTAGCTTCCATTGAACTTCTTAACGAACCCATGAGTCCTGACCTGAATATGGATACGGTACGACAATTCATGACAGATGGGGCGAGTAACTTACAAGGTCACAACCTCGCCATTGCTTTTCACGATGCGTTTCTTGACGTAACGAGCTGGAATGGCTGGGGTGGGCCTTCAAGTTCATCGTCATTACTCCTGGACACTCATCATTATGAGGTATTTGATAGTAATCAGTTGGCGATGAATATCGACGGGCACGTTAGCAGCGCATGTGCCTTTGGAACTCAAATGGCAACCAACAATAAATGGACGATTTCGGGAGAATTTACCGGAGCTATGACCGATTGTGCTCAATGGCTCAACGGTCGCGGTGTAGGTGCGCGTTATGATGGTTCGTTCAACTATAACGGGAAGTCATCTTCCTACATTGGGTCCTGTAGCGGGAAGACGTCCGGTACCGTCGCTCAGTTTACCGAAACCGAGCGTAGTGATATCACTAGGTTTATTAACGCCCAAATGGTCGCATATGAGAAAGCTGCGGGATGGATTTTTTGGGCCTGGAAAACTGAAACTGCGCCGGAATGGAGCTTTAAGGATTTGGCCAATGGAAGGATCATCCCTCAACCTTTGACATCGATGAGTAAGTCTCATGACACCTTTCAGTACGCTATCGTGATGTCGCTGATATTTTCTAGGTACTGCTGTCTGTGGTTAGCAAGTTGTATGATGTCCGTCTAGTATGGCAAGCACCTACCTTGAGGTAGCTTAGTGCACTATTTACCCCGCAGACATCGCTGTTCATGGTAGAGTTCTATTAAGTAAAATCAATTGAGCAATTGAACCCAAATATTTTGGTTAAGGTTCCATTGAGGGATCTATGCGTTGATTTTTGCGTTGATTTTGTATGTTTCTCAAAATTAAGTTCTCGTATCAAGGCGTTTGTCGTTGAAGCTTGTTTTCTGAACGGGAACGGACCGATCCTGACATATTTTATGGAGTCTGAAGGTTTTAAGGTGTAATTGCACTGCTAGAGTGTACTGACTGTGCGCTGTCTCATAGCGTTTGCGGACGCGTACCTAGGTAGTGTATCAGAAATATAGCGCTACGTTCTAACGAGGTTAGCAAGTATCTCATTATTAAAGGTCCTTGCTCCTTAACTTTCCCCCCTATTTCAATCATGCACGCCTGGATATTTTTTCTGGAAAAGAATTTCCTCGCCATAAGATTCCACTGCGCCTTGGTTGTAATTGCTCTCAAGCTATCCCGCCCGTTTTGATATCTTCGAGCGCACTTCCCATCATTGAGGTAGTGTCAAGAGAATATTGCACTCACCATGTGTCTATTGAGTCACCTACAGCTTGGTCCGTAGTAGCATTTAGACTAAATTGTGCTGAACGGACATGAACAGTCCGAATTCTGGCGTATTTCCGACGTTGACCACGAGATGCGTCTCTTGCGAGGACTTGATCGATTGAGCTCATTCACCAAGCTCTCAACCTGGCTAGGGTTACCCAGGTACTTGGTAGAAAGTAGAATATGTTGCCTCCCCAAATAGGTCCTCGGGGAAAGGTTCTAAAATCGTGGCGTGTAACGATTAGGTATCGAAATTGTCCCCGCCGTCCCTTCGTTTTTCTACTGATGATTTTCAGGCGGTTCTAGCACTACGACCCGACCCGAACAGACGTTACACGATAACTGAATGCACGGTTAATGATAATCGATTACCATTTACGGATAAGGTTTTGTCATTCAACCAATGAGACTAACTAGTTGTTCAAGGGCTAAAATAAATAGACTTCCCTTAATGCATACCATTTAACTTTGGATCTCAGTTCTCTCAACTTGGGTATTTTTCTATTGGCATCTACCATTCATTTTGAATAGATTTAGATGGAAAGTGGCATAATAACTGGCTATTCCGTGAGAAGAGTAGTGTAACGTATGTCAGCATCTTGAAGCTTACCAATGATACCGCATTGTCTAGGAAATTCTTCGCTTATTTAAGCCACACCCTGGTAAAGAAAAAGATCGGCCACAGTCCGTGCCTTAACGTAAGAAATTGATAGGTACATAACTCTACATGGATCAGCCTACTACGCCCCTTAAGTCCTTGCAAAATACGCCGTAAATGTTGCGATAGTATTCCCTGTTAGGGGTTATATGCCCCACGTAAGGGAGCAATACCAAGTTGACCAACTCATTGTCACACCAAATAAATAGGGCTGAACCAACAGCTCGAATCGTAGTTATAAAGTAATAAATCCATGTTTTCGATGTTATTCTTGTATGATTCTCGAAGTTCTCTTTTAATTGGTTTACTACTGAAAATAGTTTCATAATGGAGAGAATAATTAAAGCAATCTATGGTGGTCCTCTACCTCAACAGAAGCGCACAGAACCCATGCAGGTCTTGTTAGTTTCAACCACTTCAATTGACGTTCGATACAACTATATTAATTCATATTCTAGATGCGTTGGGATCTCTCGTTCTGGTACTGAGAGTTTACGTGAAGCCCTGTTGAGGTTAGGCTACGTACACACATACCATGGTTGGGATACCTTATTACCCCCGCGCTTTCAACTCGAAGCATGGTACTATCTTGTCAAGCGGAAAGCGGAACAACCGGATACCAAATTCACGGCAGCGGATTTCGATCCCATAATCGGTCATTGCGTCGCTCTTACAGACTTGCAAGGGGCCGTTTTTGCGCCAGAGCTTATAGAAGCTTATCCAGATGCGAAGGTTATTTTAAACGTGCGCAAAGACGTTGATGCTTGGTATCGCAGCTTTAACTCAACTATGGGGATGTTTGACAAGGACACAATAAACTTAGATTGGTTACTTGGTTGGTTTTGCTCGGATTTATTCTGGATTCGACAGTGCATGACTCGTATGGAGATACCATTCTTTTTCTGGGGTTCTTTTGCGAAAAATGGCAAACAAGTTTACAGAGATCATAGCGAATCAGTGAAGAAGATGGGGTTACCTGCGGATCGATTTCTCGAATGGTCTGTTGAGGACGGTTGGGAGCCGTTGTGCAAGTTCTTGGGAAAACCTGTGCCTCAAGAGCCGTTCCCGGCAGGAAATACACCTAAAGATTATCATAAGAGACTAACCAATCTTATGATAAGGTATTATGCTACGGCGGCTGCGAATTTACTTCTAACAATTGGTGCTGGAGTTGGAATGGTGGCATATGGAATAAAGTGGTATGGCTCAAACTAAGTTGCACGGGATGAACCTTGCTTATTAAGGGACCAAACCTCCAGTTAAGGCGCCTACCAATACAAATTCCTGTCAATTTAAAAATTAACACTCGATGGCTTCTCACTTGATCGAAACAAGTTAATAAAATGTTTGCTCTTATTTCGGAGAATCAACATGTTGAAGAGTCCGAGTTCCGAGATAATCTAAGGCACAGCTGCTAAAGTGGAACATAAACTCCAAGATGTGCCTTGTCACACTATCATAACTCCATGGTAACTCCACGAATAAAAACCAAAAATGCAGGGTTGACTGTACGGTATGGGATTGGTTTGAATAGTATTCCGTGAGTTGCGTTCATGAGATCACGGGTTAGTTGAATTGGTTATTGTATCCTGGCTGAGTTTTGGTGTAACAGGAGGGCCAATCAACTCTTGCCTCAAGAATGGTAGTATTAATTCTCGGCGTAGCTACTTAGGTACATATGTAGTCTTCTAAATTCATGATCTTATGTACCTACGATTTCTGCTTTTTCGCGTAAGTCCTACCCAGCAATTAGTCGATATTGTGTATCATTTGCTCTTGCGTTTGTGGGTGTCTTCGTACTGAAGTCAAATTACAGACCGAGATTCGAGTCATTCCAACCCAATTATAAAGTATGCATGTGGCCGAGCGCGTCGATTGAAACTTTAACTATTACCGCCTGGTAGGTTCAGTGCGTCGCTTATCGTTGGTGTTAATGGCGTTCCTGACTAGAAAAGTTACTTATTGGACACTGACCGCGCGGATAACTTTATTGCACAAACACTATCCTACTGTTGAAAGCATTTTCTGATTTGATTTAGCTGAACTTTGAGCTCATGACTGGTCTCCGTATTCAGTCCTGGGGTATAAATATCCGCCTCTCTCCGTGAAGACGATTCTTTCCATTCTATTCTACAAAAAACCACTACTCAAAAAAACCACCCAAAAAAACCACTGAAAAACCACACTCACTACACTACTGCTCTTTCTTACTTGCTATCATACTTGTCTACTCCTCACACACACACGCATTACCGACTGCGCGACCCCAAGTATCATTACAATGCAAGCCAACATGCGTCTCTTCTCGCTGTTACTCGTCGTCTTCGTCCTCCTGGTGGGGAGCACCTTTGGTGTTCCTGTGGCACCACCTCTCTCTCCATACAACACCTCGATCATAGAGCAGTATGATCTATTCGGAGATTACTATAAGGACGAAACGATACATACCAATATATCGATCAGGTCAAGCAAATACCACCCTGATGATATACTCCCTATACAAGACCTTCCGAAGTGCTATGTAAGTCACACAATGCTCAACGGCTGCGGCTCAACAGTAACTAACTACTCGGTTTAGCAAACGTGCATGGAATCCAACTGTTGCAACGGATGGCCCAGCCTCGGGGACGTTAGGAAGTTGACGGTCCACGAGTGGTGCCACTCCAAATGGATACCCGTTCAGAACTGGATTTACGACCACTATCAGTTCTGTGTCAAAGATGCATGTCAAAATTGCAAGATAGAATCTCGCGACGAGTCAATTCGATGGCAGAAGGAAGTATGCTCAAACAGTTGAGTTGGGGAGTAGGAGACTATCGCATTCGGGGAATGAGGAGTTCTATGGCGAAGCGATGGAATTAAGCGATGGCTACATGACAGCCTATGCTAGCGTTTTTATTCTTTTTTTTGCTTTTTTTTCTTTTGACTAGGATAGCTATCAATCAATGAAGAATTGGTCGATTAGCGACTTCCCTCATCACTTGCTCTTGAATTTATTATGATACGTGTTGATGCATTAAGTGAACATAATTATACTGTAGTAGTACACATACATAATATGTAGGTAGTATTGTAGTCTGTTAGCTATCACGGAAAGAGATACGTCTTATCTGTAGCCTCCTGTCGATCTTCGAAACTCTATGCACTCACAAATGCGCTCACAAGATAAGCGGCAGTAGTAGAGATGGTTGGTTGGGGTTGGCGTCAACTTAGAAGGCGAGAAAGGGAAAGTGGCTGTTGTAAATATAGCTACATGTATGCCTAGATCTACGTACCTGAGTGATTTCCTCTTTAGGTACGTCATTGCCTCTAATAAACTTCAATAGAAGATATCCTCTAAGACAGTCGCCCTTTCCCTATATGAGCTCCTAGGAAACAGCTCGAGCGTTTCGTTTATTATTTAAACGTCTTCCCCCCATTTCAATTCTCTCCTCTCTTCTCTCTTCTTCTTCTCCACCAATTCCAACTATCACGCACTTCACACACGCTTTTCAAACACACACAAACTGATAAACACACTGCGCTATTCACACTCTACTCGTATACTCTCGACATACAGTCTACCTAGGTAGACTTCACATACCCTCAACTTCCTACATCTCAACCACCTCCGGCTCTTCAAGCCTCTCTCTCCTCTCCTCTCTCTACTTCCCGCCTATTCGAAATGGCAAGGCACTGGGAAGACACATTCTGGGCCGCCTTCCGCGTGTTCCTCTCCTTCGGGCCAATATGGCTCGCCCTCTTCCTGACCCTGACCATCTACGCCAATGAGTACAAATTCTGCTGGTCATTCCTTATGGCGCCCCAGGACACTGGTATTGGGTTCATCGATCCCCCCGACCCGTCAAACTGGTACATTGGGCTCTCTCTGATCATCGTTTCGGCAATTCTCAAGGTGAATTGGGTCATTCCCTGGTTACAGATCGTTGTCACCAGCTGGGTTTGCGATCGTCACTGGAAGCCTCCCAACGTAAGTGACTTTGACATGTTCCATCCATCCATCTCTAGCAGACTAACTCGATTATTAGAACTCTTCCAAGAGAATCATGCAAGCGGGCTCCAACTTCTGGGACTTGTCCATGCCTAGTGGTCGCCTCCCCTATCGACAAGGTCTACGACCTAGAACGTGTCCTTATGGATGCTTATTTGAACCGTCGGATAGGGCGTACCACTGCAGCATGATGAACCGATGCCTACCCGTCTACGACCACTATTGCAAGTACCTCCAAGCAACGGTCTACCTTCGAACGATGAAGCCATACTTCTTCGTACTGCTCTTCTTGCCTTTGGACGCCGTGTACAGTTTCGCTGTATCACTCGCCGCGTTATGTCATCCTTCCACAAGATGGGCAGCTCCATTCGTCGGTTCGATTGTACTCTGTTCGATAGCGGTCTTCCTAGAAGTTGAAGCCAATTCCTTCGCCAACTTCAATCGGATAGTTCGGTACAATGTTCTGGCACCGGAAAGAACTGTACGTCTTCATGTTCGTTAGGTTAACATCTTTTACTAACCCATTTCCTCTAGGGGCGTCGATGGGTCATCGCCTACAAGTACGAGGACCAATCTGGGTGGTGCCTTCAGCTACGCAGGTACGACAGGAACCCCTGGGATGTAAGTTATATCTGTACCCCAATCTTCGGTAACCCGCTAATTCGTTGTAGCTCGGCTCAAGAGAGAACTTCCTCCAAATCTTCGGGCAACGCTGGTGGAAGTGGCCTTTCTTCTGGTGGACCTCAGAACAAGTATCCCGCTATGGCAACTACGTCGATGAAGATCTCCCATTCGCACCTTTCATCGTCAGGGAGTTTTCGGATCTGATGGCATCTGAATTGATCCGGGTTATCATTGATGAGGAAGCTCCTTCTTCAATCCACTTAGAGGAGCTGAATCGCCGTAAACAAACTCGATCAAATGCCGAACGTCGCAGTCAAGCTCAATCGGACAATGCTTCTGTAGTCCATGTGGAAGCATTCGCTCGACATCAACGCGACGCTCGTCGGCGGACCGAACATTCAGATAGCCACGATCAAAATCTGTAATCGGCTTGCGGTACTTGGTTCTCGGTTCCCTGTCCTCTGTCCTCTGTCCTTGGCTCTTGGCTCTTGGCTCTTGGTATTTGGTACTTGGTCGGATGGTGTATATGGGTTAGGGGAGGCATTGGAGTTATATGGCTACACGGGATATTGGTCGCTTGGTCGCTTGGTGTTTTGATTGTATTGGTTTCTGATTTTTTCTTTCTTTATTTTTTGTTGTTTTTGTTCTGTTCTGTTTCGGGTTTTCCTATTCTGTTTTTCTGTCCTGTTTTTTTTCTTTCCGTCTTTTTTTCGGGTGCTTTTTCGGTGATTTTGGTCTTTTTGGGGGCTTCTTGGCGTTTTGGTTTCTTGGTCTTTTCTGGTGCTTTTGGGGGGGTTTTTTGGTTTTTTTGGTCTCTTGGTGTTTCTTGGTATCTTGGTGTTTGGTCTCTTCTTGGGTTTTTTGATCTTCTTGGTCTGTTCTGGCGTTTTGCGTTTTGCGTTTTTTGTTGTTTCCTATTATTCTCTATTGTTTCTATTACTTCTTATTGTTGCCTTATGGGTGGGTGGTGGGAGTCTCATTCTAGTGAGCGGGTTCAACACCTTTAGGGCTTGTCTTTCTGTTATCGTATTGCAATGTCATCAGTTTTTGCTTTTACATGTACTCCTTATTCATATCATAGATGGTGGATCCTAATGCCTCCCCTAAATACATTGCATTGACCTACATTATGATGTGCTTACTGAACTTGGTTATATCTTCTCGGTTTGAAATACAGAAGCTAGATAATACCTTATGTTACCCAAAGAAATGATGTAGACAGTAAGTACTCCTGTAAAAATACTATGTATCTTGGCTGAGACATGAGGCGCTTGTTGTGTCAGCATCGGCGAAGTGGCTGATTGATCGTGGTGTAGCTGTACCCCCTTCATAACCGCATATGTAGTATCGCTATCGGATAGCTGTAATCAACCTATGAGTCTTGCATCCGCTTTGATAACTTCATGCCGAGATCTTACTCTTCACTCCCTATTGGTGGTGGCTTTTCAGTAATCTGGTAGCGCGCGCCACGTTGTAAAGCGACCCTATGGCGCATGAAAACATACCAAATAGTTCATGCTGCCCCGTGAGAATCAATTCAGATCTTTTTCAATTTGTAGTCGCGTTTTTCGTGATGGTGGTCACAATTGAAATTACTGAAGAATACCAGCAACATGCCCCTTTTTGCGACGTTGAAGAAACATAAAGTCGCCTTCGCTGTATCATCAACAGTGAATATCGGATCTATGCTTTTTGGCTTCGACACAGGCATAGTTGGTGGTGTGGTCGCTCTAGGAAGTTTCAAAAAGGAATTTAATCTAGCTGCGTCGGCGACCGAATACGCCAATGCGTCATCGAACGTCGTCGCTTTATTAAATGCTGGCGCATTCTTCGGAGCACTTACTCCGCCTATTTTAGCGAGATTTATTGGCCGTAGATCGTTGCTTTCAATTGCTGGCCTTCTTTTCTTGTTGGGAGGTATACTGCAGGTCGCTGCTTCGGGACCAACGTTAGGTATGATTTATGGCGGACGGATTGTTGCTGGATTGGGTGTCGGAATTATTTCGAATGTTGCACCTGTTTTTGTGGCTGAATGTGCCCCGAAGGAGTTCCGTGGTGTTATGGTGAGTTGATCAAGTACCTTATAATTACACGAATCAATTCGAATTTGATTTAACATGATTTTAATTAGATGTCGTTATTCGAGATGTTCCTCGTCAGTGGTGGAATGCTCGGTTAGTTTTTATCGCTTCAAACCCCTTTTTTGGTTGACACTATCTATTCCAATGTCACCTACTTATGTGCCTGGGTGCTTAAAGTACCTGGTGTTAATGATTCAGCGACTAATAAATCCATTAAGCGTACTGGACTACTTACGGCTGCAGTCTACACTTAACACCTGCATCAATTCAATGGCGCACTCCTCTTTCGCTTCAAATCATCCTCGCCGCTATCGTAACGATATCCTCTGTACTGATACCCGAATCACCCCGCTGGTTAGCAAAACAAGGCCGATACGATGAGGCAATACGAAACCTTTGTCATCTACGATCAGCGTCGGCGGATTCGACTGAAATCGTAGAGGAAATGTCTCAGATCCGCGCCCAGATTCAAGAAGAGATTGACACCGCAAGAGGTCGCACAGTTCGCGAAATCTTCGAACGTCGGAACTTCTTACGTATACTCTGGTCGCTTGCTGTTGGGATTATCGCGATTTGGTGCGGACATAATGCCATTTTATATTACGCACCGGTTGTATTCGCTCAGATAGGATATACGGGTCAGAATCCAGCTCTTTTGGCTTCTGGTATCTTTACCTGCATCAAATTTGTATCGACTATCGTATTCATACTCGGCGGAGTTCATTTCTTCGGTCGGAAGACTTTGTTGATTGGAGGTGCTTTCTTTATGGGAGCGTTGCTGTTCGGATTAGGTGCTATCTTAGCCACACGACCACCTAATGTTCCGGGCAATGGAGTCGGATCGCCGTCAGCACAGGCTATGATGGCTCTGATATACCTATATGTTGTCGCATATTCGCTATCGTGGGGACCCTTGGAATGGGTCTATATCGGTGAGATCTTCCCGTTGCGTATTAGGGACTATGGTATGGCGATTGGTGCAGCGAACATATGGCTATGGAACTTTGTCGCTTCAAAGATTGCACCAATTGCTATACTTAACATCGGCTGGAAAACGTGGATGGTAAGTTAATTGTCATCCTAAGATTGTCTGGGGTTATTTTTGATACTTCGACTTACTTGCTTCAGATTTTCGCGTCATGCAATATCGCTGGTGTTCTTTTGGCATGTGTACTCCCTGAAACGAAAGATATATCGCTTGAGCAAATGGATGTGCTCTTTGGTGTTGTTGATGAGAATACGCGCCGTCGCCATATCGAGACAAACTTGCAAGGGATGATAGAGAACGAGTCGTCTATTGCACAACTAGTGGTGCGTAAGAGTCGGGATCATGAACCTCTACCTCAAGCACATCCTATCTAGATGATTCCCCATTTTCAAATGGTAGGTAGTCCGCAGGCCGCATGTTTAGAACGCCATATTAGCATAGAAATACGATGATGTACTTGGGGTTGCGTTAGAGGCTATCCTGACGCACAGGTCGCGCAGAGACCATACTCGCTCGGTGTAACATACGAAGATACCGGGGGGATCTGGTCATTGTGCTATGGCTACGTGATTATAGTATAGCTCAAAGGCCCTACAGGTATACGTTGGTTGGTACCTATGGCTGAGATGGCTGGAGGTGCTGGTAACAGCCCAAGAGCTACACTTGCACTTGGTGGAATTTAACCCTCTGAGGCAACTCTTCATTATACCACGATATATGCGGGAATATTTTAGACCAATAGGTACCTAGGTAGGCTTTGTGGAAAATTCGTCCTATCGCGGATAACCATGATAATCTTATGATCCTCGGCTACTATAGTCGAATTGATGTCGTTACAGTATTGGCATAACAGTTAAACCATAGAGAAGTGAGGGAAATTACCTGGTGGACTAGAAGGGAAGCGGGATGATAGAGGTAGAACAAATTATGCAGTGTCAAATATCGGGAAGAAAGCTTTCCTGGCGAAACTGGTATGTGCGAGTGCCTTGGGTAGGCTCTAGTATTTAGGTAAGCAACCATGTGTCAAGTCTTGTGGAAAGTTGTGTAGAGTCGGGTATCCGGTGGCCTTCACTGGAATTAATTACAAGCAATAAATTAATTGTTTCGGTAATGATTTACGAGGTTGCTTCTACATAGCCTCAGAATAATTGTTTTATGATTTTATGAACAATGCGAGTCCTAGAAGTGACTATTTGGGTAACCTCCTTCGGAATTTGTATGCGCGTTAGCAACTCACACTCGGAGAAGCCGGTGAGCAACATATCGTAAATCCCGCCGATTAGTGTCTCTAATAAACTTGTTTTCCTTTGATCATCAGTTTGTACATATTTACAAGGGTTATTTTCTACCTAGTGTTGACTGTCTATGTCTGGTGACTGCTTTGCTACGTTTTCAGGGGTTATAATCCCCTATGTATGTACTATGACCACTATGGACAATACGTGGGGGTTTTTCAAAGGGATTGGGTAATGATATGTCTTAGATATTATGAAATATAAGTTTCTATGGGATTAAAATCATGTATGTTAGCTCAAGTTCTTGATATCATGATAGCTGACCCGAATTTGGTCGTCATTAATAGCTCAGTTGCATCTATACCTTTTTACAAGTGCTTTTTACACGTATCATTGCCTACACATAGATGAAGAGCCTAAATGCAACCTTATGGATTCATAAAATATGTAGTAGGAATGCGTTGATTTCTTACCGACTAAATTTCCAGGGGGTAGGTAAGAAGAAGAACCTTGAGGGCCACCAGCGCGACATCTTAAACCCCAACAATCCTAACAACTTCCCCATCTGTCATCTGCCTTATTATCCTCGTAAACAAGAAACAAGGCCATACAATTATTCAAAGTGAAGCAACAAAATATTTTCGTAACATTGAACCGACATATTTCCACCCACGGAGTCGTCTATGGCTCGGCATCCACTATATCATCAAAGCATCCCATCCTCGGCAGTTCTACTACGAAAATGACTAAGAAAACGAAATACGACATAAATGCAATGTTACATAGGGTTATTCCATAGGGTCAAAACAAGTGGCAAGGACTTGGGGTTCTAGATTCTGACTCAGTTGATATCATGTCGAAATTCCTAAAGCCGACCTTTTCCAGCCACCCACACAAGTATTCTGAAGATAGCCTTGCTACCAACGGATTTTGCATCAGCAGATCATTCCGGAGCTTATACGTAATGCGATAGAACCCCCACTCGCCGCTATTCCACGCAGAGATAGTCAAGATACCTTTAGGAGTCAGACCTCAAGCCTCAACAATCCTAGGAAGCCGAGAGTATCAGAAAATCACACAGTATGGCCGAGAACAAGTTTTCGAATGTGACTGATGGTCACTAATGCTTGTTTTGATGACTCCTACATGGAGCTAGGAAGTACCTATTATCTCAGTTGATTTCTCTTTACAGCCTTAGTGGGTTACTATCAACACTCGTTACCTTGAGCACCCACGTATATGCTAGGGAAACTTACAAATCATATTTGAAGATAGAAACGACAAATCAGCCGATATCATACCCTATTCGTCGAGATTCGTTGCCTTAAAAAGGATTGCCGCTTACACCCCCTCGTCGACCATAATGGATACTAAGTCGATATCGAACCTAGCGTACGACGGCTTCGTTAACGAGAGCGAGCGTATATCATCTTCTATCGTCAGCGGTCTACCATGTATTGTCGATTATTGAGCGGCTATTGCGGTGTCCGAATAAAAAAAATAGAAAGTTGAATATGCAGACTTCTGTCTAGCTGAAGGGCAACAACACAAGGTTAAACTCCCGTGATGGCAACATGCTGAGGGATATCGAAGTCGACAATGAAGATTTAATCGCTCAACGACGAGGACATGGGAGAACTAAGTCTTTCAATACATCGGAGTAGCTTGGGCTTCCCTATTCAAGATCGACGGCCAACAAAAACAGCTAACACGGTCTCTAAAACATAACCCTACGCGATGAATCACGACGATACGCAAATATAGAACTACCTAGGTGCCTACTAACAACAGCTGTGCCTCCATTTCTCTATCTCTTGTTACAAAGTCGTCAATGCCCGGTATTTACGTGTTGAAACTGACAATTCGTTAAACTTGACATATTTATTTGGTCAAAAATAGCTAGGTAACAGTTGAGCCTCCGAGCACAGCAATTGACTACCTAGGTAGCCATCCGGCACGTCTTGGAATACACTGCTTGGTAGTTGCCTCCAAAAATGTAGTTTAATTACCGAGTTCAATTCAAACACGAATTTCCTATATAAATTTAATACCTTAATATTTCAACATCGCGCACTTTGCCGGTTGGCGATGTGTATTCTAATACAACCACAAGGTTATACAGGATAAAGCCATTTTCGCGTGGCCATCTCCTACCAATGCCACCTAAATTCAATTCCTATGCGTTCAATAGCTCCCGTAGATAATCACTTATCAAAAGCTATCCGGTATTTTCTGCCGCTTCCGCTGGCAATGAAACACATGTAAATGGGGCAATCGTAACGCACGCAGGATTTCTTGCCGATATTGATGTTACATGCAGTCCCTTGCAGGTCTCCAGCGATTGAACAAAAATCTCCGGGCTGTCCTGCAGCTAAGCAATTGACTGGATACAAATATATCTAGATTCTCCCGTGTTGCCAAGACCATTTACAAAACTGTCGTCATGTAGTTATTATTCGTTCGTTGTCGAATTGGTAATATAGAGCAAACGAATGGGCAATTGTCTAACTACCTAAGTATGCATAAACATCTATTATCCACCACGTATTCATGCAGGGTAGGTATGTTGCAATCTGCAGCTGGAATGTTGCTATTGTATATCTACACCCACTCACTTGCCGTCCACTATGTTTAGCCTTGCTATTGTTGGAGTTGGCATTAGCTAAATATTAGACAACGATGCTTCTATGCAAGGGATTGATATTACCCTATGACATTAGTCACTTAAAGTTGTTTGCCTTAGCTTTTGGATCTGTTGTGAGACTATGCTTTATGTGGGAAGCCGCTGAATGTCGGATTGTCTAGTTTGATGCTTGACATCTCATGGTGGATTCATCGAACAAGCTAATAGCTCTCTACTCGCGTGACATTAGCATCAACAATGCTATCTAGGGTGCCAACTAAGCCAAATCCCTTGAAATAAGTTGTCACTGATAGAGATAGCAGTGATCGTCGAATACCATCCGACGCAAGAGTACACAGTAGAAAACCGAAACCTCGGAGCACCGTCCGTTGATGTAAAAACCAACCGGTGCAGCCTCGCAAGACATACTGATATGGGGTACTACCTAGAAGTTGCTGGTTCGGAGGTAATAACTAAATTGGTGCATCTAAATGTCAAGATAAAATGACAACAGCCCTGTTCATTGGATCTACTTGCTAGTTGCGATACCGACCACTGGATTCCATTAGTCAAGCGAAGCTTTCAAGGTAGATCAAAAGAGTATGCATATCCACCCATTAGACAATCCTTGATAAAACACAAGCCGTGGGTGTACCACTACGTATGTATGGATATGTGACCGGACCCGAGAAGTCGTATATCATCGCCCTGCAGGCCAAGTATGTGGGTCACTCCAGAAGGAGCCAGAACTCGGAGAAGACCGACCAAACAGCATCTATCGGCTACCGCACCTGACCCTGACCATAGCTTCGATCAGCAAAAAGCTCCCACGCTTCCTATGAAAGTAGTGTGACGAATCCCGTCCGACAACTTGGGCGCGACCTGGTCTAGCGTATAAGCCGGTTAGCCTAGGGATGATAGGGGAATGAGATAGTGGTGTGTAGCAAAGAGGCAAAAAGCAAAGATAATTGCCTGTTGACTACCTACTACTACATGTGAGGCTTAACAGATGATTAAACGTATAGAGCTTTTATCTTTGATGGTGACGTCGATATTAAATGTAGTAAAGAAGGGTTAGCTTCTACATCTGGTGGGTATTATGGGGAGCTTCCTATTGTATTATTTCTTTAGAAAAATCGGGTGTAATACTAAGTGGAAGCTCGAAAAGTGTTAGTGAAGCTATGTAGGCACCCTTAATATCCAAGGAATATCAGCTGGGGTTGCACAGCTTCAACTATTCCCCCCCCCGCACCAATCTGCATCCTGTTCGGTATCACGATCTAAATGGACAGTCAGCATGTGATAGGAATCCGCGCGGGCCGCGTAAAGCGCCAGCTCATACCTATCCTACCCCAGGTACTGTATTATACTGTACTGTACATCCAATGCATCCAATGTTCCCCCACGAACAATCAATACGCCGAAGATAGCTACCTACCTAAGGATCCTTGAAAGGAGGGTGAAGGTGACCCCAAGGGATTTTGTCATAGCTATTACTTGCATCACATACAGCTAAAAATGAATATTTAAGGCCATCAAGCTCCTCGTTTTGACAGATCGAAAAGACTAGCTCGATAGCAATACAATTCGATCTTCAAACACCCAGAACAATTTTACTATATATACCAACTCAAGCTTCAAGCTTCCAACAATCCCCAAACTACTTCAAAATGGAACCCGCCAGCTGTGGATGCGCTACCTGCTCTTGCGCTGACTGGTAAGCTCCCTTTTAATACCATGGCATAGCCGTCTGCGTCTCTTGTGAAGCTCTAGCTAACCTTGATTCTTTCATAGCAACTCTTGCTCTTGCTGCGTAAGTCATCATTGACTACCAAGATAGCTCCCAATTGCCTCGACATCAACTTACATATACCTACAGAGCCACTAAATGTACCATTACCCCCACATGACAATTATGGTTACTCGAACTCGAGAATAACCAAAGGGGATGAGAACGACGATACGAGAGGAAGAGATGAAATGATGTTTGGAATATAGGTGGAGGATATATACATTACTGGGTTGTGTTTGATTGTACGAGACTTGTCGGTTCTATTAGTAGATTGACCTGTTTGCGTCGAGGAAATATACACCCTTTGAAAATCCATTGCTCTATCCCTGATGCTGTTGCTTGCTAGTTTGCTCGCTCGCTCGCTTGCTTGCTTGCATTGATATTGGGTATCATTATGCCAACCATCTACCAACGCCATCTATTTCCCATGATGTTTAATGCCAATGCTCTCATTACTTCATTCTTTAGAAGGAGCCCAGTTAATTAACCACCCTCTTGCCATGTCTAAATCAGCACTCTCTGCTTCACATGCAGCAATACACCACTCCAGATCCCAATCATCTTCAGCAGCCAACATCTCCGCAAGTTTCCTTCTACGTTGGTTGGTTTCGTCGACACAGAAGTACATAAACGCTTGCTTGTCTTGAACAGAGTCCATTAAAGGTCTTATCTGTGGAAGTACAAGCTGTGCAGTGGATGGTTTAGGATCTAGCTTCAGGTTGGAGCGTCCTGTTTTACACCATTCGTTGGCACACCATCGTTTCTTGCAACCTTGCATCATTTGTGTTAGGTAGCGACGTTCAATTCGTCGCTTAAGAGCTTTGCCCTCGGGATCATATAAGCTCACGTAAAGAGGCGAAAAGCACATGGAACATAATCCAATACTATTACCAGCGCTTTGTGGTGTAGTATTAACTGTACCATTTCTACCAACACCATATAGGGTTCTTCCACAGTTGGCATTTCGGCAGATCGGAGGTTTCGGTCGGTGAGCCTTTTCTAGCTCGTGATATTTTAGATGAGTCGACATGTCCCGAAGTCGAATGATCTTCGAGCACAAGTGACAATCCGTAGTTCTCGCTCCATCGACAAGTTCGTGTTCCGTAAGTCCTGTATGAAGCATTTCGGCGGAGGGGTTAAATGGGTCGCCTTCTTGGCTAACTTCAAGGTGGCAGAATCGACATAGAATAATCTTGCCAGGGCACAGGGTGGTACGGTGACGTGCTAAATCGGGTATCGAATTGGTCGTAAATGGACAAGATGGACATTGACGTTCGGTATGGTATATGGTATCGTGTTTTGCCTTTGCGATTTCCGACGATCCGTATGCATCATCATGAGGGCAATGCCAATGATTCTTCCATTCGTCTGATGACTTTTGGAATACATTTTGACATTGCGGACAGGCCACATTGTTGCGAAGACAGAAGTTCTCGTGTAATATTATAGTGCGCTTCGGTACCCATTGAAAACAATTTTTGCATTGCTCTTCTTCTGGTGAATGTTCTTGTGTATCTGAGGCCGTCGAATCGGATGTTGTCGGGGTATCTACCGTCATAGCATTGTTCTTGACCCTTAATCTGAATGGGCGAGGGGAGGCATCGGTCGATGAGGCGTTCGATTCGTCAGGGGAATAACCATGGATGGAGATAAGTAGGCTCTCGGCATCTTCGAGTTCGACGTTCGTAGGTTGGATAATTATTCGCTTGCTTCCATTTTGAGAAGACGTGAAGGCGCCGAAGACATATTCCGTTTCGCGTGGTGGAACTCTTTGCCGAGAGGATTTGGGGCTCACGAATAAGTCTACACCATATTCGTCTTGTAGTTCACTAATTTCAATCTCAAGGACCCTAGATCGAGCCCACGAGGGTAACTCGTAATCTACATAATCCCCGGGTAAAACTTGACCATCGACTGCCTTCCAAATATTTAGTTCTTGTCCGACCGAACTTCCAGCAGCAGTTCCAGGTGCTCTTTGTTGTTTCGATATGATCTGTCTCATGGTTTCTCTCGCTTGTGCTTCGTCTAGGGCCTCGATATCAACTTCGAGATCAGTATCGACCACACAAATGCCATCTCCTTCAGGTTGAAACCCGTCAATGAGAAGTCTAAATGTTTCGCCTTTAACTCCAGTAACTGATAATATGGCTCCGTTCGTTAGGGTTGTAAAGCTTTCGCGTAATTTTCTTTCTAGTAAAGATTTCCAATCATCGGGATCGTAACCAGCCTCTAGTGGCCGTAACCGTACGTAGGTGCCTTTAGGTAGATATTTCGCGTGTACTGTTATTCGAGAAATCGTAGCATCGCCGTTAGAAGCGCCATTTGTCCCGTTTGAACTCGCGCGCTTGCTTGGTTCGATCCCCAAGGCTTCTATTAGATAAGGACTTATTAAGACTTCGCCTTCTTCCGCCGAAAATTCTCGTATACCGGCATAAACAGAGTTTCCATTTGTTGGGTTAACTAGACGAAACATGAGAGGACTCGGAAGACGTTGGTATGTATCGTGATCGGAGAATGGGGCTCGAGCGGATGTAGAATAAGAGTTGTATAAGGGGTTCGCGGGTGAAGCCAAGGACGATGTAGATGATGTCGCGGCGGATAGTAGTTGTTCAAGAGCAGATTGTGGTAATATAATTTTGTCGCCAGATAAATCCTTTGAGGGATATTTATCTGCTGAAGCAACCTCTAAAGTGGTTGACCACTTAAGAACTGGTTGTTCAGCCATATTGAATTCGTGATCGTGTGACGATCTCGTAGGAAAGGACGCGTGCACAGTATTGTCAGGCTTTCAAAGTATAGGTCGCCTTTTGTATTGTACAGGTATCGATATCGGAGGATGATAGTTTAAGGACCGAGAAAGGCATCCCTAAGAAAATAAAAAAAAAAGAGTAGTAACGGGGATGAAGAATGATGGGGCTACGGATCGGATCAAATATTAAAATAGAAAATAATAAAATAATGTTGAGGAGAAATGAAGAGGAGAAATTAGAAGTTGTGGAAGTTGTGGGGATTCAAAGTAAAAATCGTCGTTACCTATCTATGGTTTGTAAGGCCGTCGCAGTTGCCCATCCTGCCAATTCTGCCCATCGTAGTTACCATACGGTGGATGGTGGATGAAGAAAAGATGACAATGATGAAAATCAGTCAGCTACTTCCGTTGAGTTCCATGACGCAGTTCCTTACCCTAAAATTAATAGGTACCTAGACGATACTTGACCCACCCCGGTATTTACCAGGAACATTTCGAATTTTACAAGTAGACCGGGTGTTCCTTCGTAGATTGCCGATACGATCCTGGGGCTACTAAAAAAAATTACATGTACCGTTATCTCCGCTGTTTACCGCATTCAGCCATCTTCACCGTACATATCCGCTAAGTCGGGTAGTTAAATTCCTGAATAGGAAATACTCTAAGTACTTTAATAAGAATTAGAATTAGAATTATTCTACCTACATGCGCATTACCTAGGTATGTATGTGCATATGTATCTAGGTAGGTAAATGTACCTATTTCTATGTACTTACTTGTTGGCTAACCCTATTAAAATAAAAGAATGTAATAGTGTGTGGCGTAAGTAACCACTATTAATTGAAAAGTTCTTTAGTTAGTTACCATTACTAGTACTTATTTGGTGAATAATCTCAGTTTATCCCACCCACATAATCGTATCGCGTGCCAGACCCCTCTCATCAATTTTATGTACCCATCTTGCCATCGTGGTGACAGGCATTGTGAAGACGGGGTGGTTGGGTTAATACATCTCTCTGTCAGCACACGCAATTCTATTTCGAAACTTATCATCGCATCTATAGTTTCGCCACATATAGATTTCCAAGACGATGGTGTCAAACAACGGCTAAAACAAAGATATTGCGTATTTACCATTAGCCAAGAAATCCCCAAGGAACCCCAAGAACCCCCAAGACGGATACCTACTTAGGTAGATACTATGATTGAATCTAAAGGAGGCCAAGAAAGGAGCCAAGCATGATGGTGAGATGGTTAAGACGACGATCCCATTCAAGGAACTCGAGTTATTTTAAAAACACCGAAGCTAAACTGACTATGACCTGTCATGACCTGCTATGGTCTATATGTGGTCTGCTACCAGACGACGCAATTTGATATACTACGCATATACCACTTACACACCCAAAAGCCTTTCTCTCTTATCCCCGCATTCGACAAGGAGGCAAATGACCCTTCTCCGTTAAGGGGGGTTGAATAAGAACTGCAGTGCAACGTTGGTGAGTCTAGATTCGATATGAATACTTATACTACGATATAAATGGTCGTGTATGGTCATGTACCCAAGTATGTAGGGGTCCATCCAGACCCTCAACAACCATACACATCTCTCATAACTCTAGACTATCAAACTACCTAGACATTCATAAATACCCCAAGCAAATCCCAAGCATTCCCCAAGCAACCTAAGCAATCTGAGCAACCAAGTGGAATCCGAATGGTCCAGTGGTCCAGTTACAGTTTATTACCTTGCATAACATGCGAATGCGATACTACGCTGTCGGATCAACCTGCCAAGGAAAGCAAAAAACTAGGAAGACCATTGCCATCTGTTTAGCTAGGAGATACGCAATAGTGCAGCGATCTTAATGAACGACGAGCCTCTATGCCAACGCTTGGGATTATGCTTGTCAACCCAACATTACTATGGGTTATTATCTAGTAGTCTAGGTAGTTTAGGTAGTATGTAGGATGAAGGAATAGAGGCGAGAAAGGGAAAAAACACCTCATTCGTACTGTCACCACCTATTCCCCCTCTTTCTTACACACATCTTAGATCCTCCGCATTTGTATTCCTAAGCATCCGTATGTTTTAATTTGATAGGTGCTAAGGTAGGTAGGTACGGAATAGATATATTAAATAGATGTGTTTCTCTAGTCACGTAGTTGTTTCTTGAAGTCATCTCACACAGACATGTAAAAACGAAACAACGAAACATCATAGCAAACAGAAACAAACCTCATTTATGAAACATTTATCGTCAGTCCATTGTCTTACCTTGCTTCGGAGTTAAGACTATACTCCAGGTTTACTACATACTATTCCCATTGTACTATACCTACACAGGGATACTATACATAGGGGTCTTAAGAACAAAGAAGGGTCCTATTATACCTCCACCCCCGGACTTCACCATTCTACTATTATTTTAATACATTACCTCGCCTCGTCTTACCTTAGGTATTCGACCTAGGATTGTTACTTTTAACTTACACCACTTTCTTCTAAACCTATTTGTCTCACTACATCCTTTTTTCTAACTGGCAGCCGGTTCTGTCTATTCAAGTTTTATCTACTTGTTTACGTGTAATGGCATCAGGAATAGTCGTTCAACAACACGCGCGCGACTTAATATCATTACCTAGCTCCAAATTTCAAATTCCCGACATCGCCGAAACCGAAACCATTACTACAACACCAACAACTACGACTACAACTACAACTACAACAACAGCCATTAATCCCCTCTTAAACCTTCTAACCAATTCTCTCGTCCTCCACCAAACAATCCCTTACCTTCCAATCTCGAGCCTTTTAAACCTCGCCGCAACATCCCCCGCCTTTCGCGACTTATTACTGTGTCGCACTCCAGGCGTTTTCCGACACCTCGACTTAACACGAGTTAAAAACGCCCAATTCGATGGGGGCGATGGTGGTATCGACCACGGCGGCGAAATCTGGCGTAATGTCCAAGTTGACGAGAATTTGACCGAAGACGATTTTTACTCAGGTCCTCTTCGTGGTATTTTCCAAGGTCTACGACGTCGCGACATTTTGCGACATGTCCAAACCCTTATTCTAGACGGTCTTTCCGTCACGGCCGAGTTCTGCAACGATGTCCTTGTCGACCCCGCCTTGCGCGTACGAATCCTATCTATCCGCGACGTTAAGAATCTAAACGAGCGCAAACTCATGCAATCTTTGCGTTATGCCTGTCGGCCGAGCCGTCCCGATGATACACCTCGGTTAAAAGGGCTATACGTATTTGGTGTAAAAGACGCACCTACGGCTGTGACCGCATCGACTACGCATACGAGACTAAACGGAGCGGCTCGAGGTACCAATATTAGTATTGATTGGAATCACAAGTCACAAAACGCACTAAAGGAATCGATTCGAAGCGAAGGCGACGATTGGTATCATAAGAAAGGCCGAATAATCAACAAACACATTGCTGACGGCTGGGCTGAGACACTCTTGGACTGTCGTGAGGTGATTAAATTCGACGCGGTGCTCTGTACTGGACCCCGCCATCAAAATTCACCTGTGTTTGGAAAGATCCCAGCCACACCAAGTAAAACAGCAACTGGCAACGAGAGTCGCTGGGCTGTAGCTACGTTCGCACTCGGCGGGTGTGCGTCTTGCGGCTCCTCACCAGAAGGCTATACGGTATACGGCGATTCTCCAGCAGAAGATTTACCACTATTAGCTCCTGTACCGCTTCATTCATCCACCATCAAAGCAGCAACATGTCCTAAACCCACCCTCGGGTCTGAGGCAGGTACAGAATCGCATAAGTTCGTTCCAAGATGTCTAGAATGCATCCGTGAGCGATACTGCTTCAGCTGTGATCAATGGTGGTGTGAATCCTGCTATCAAGTGCCCAGTCGGCACGAAATAAACGCACAACACGTCCACGTCGTCGACCAGACGAACGGCATGGTGGTTCACGAAATGGCTGCTCTCGAGCAACCTCACCTCAAGGTACGGATGGGTTACTGTCTTAATTGCAACCTGAGATCCATGGAAAGGAGACCGGGGAACAATCGGAACCCTTTTCCACTTTCACCGTCCTAAGTGGTTTCCGAAGCCGCATAGGATGAACTACTACCACCCCTCTAGATGATACGATGTGGTTCATGTAGGGATGGCGAAGGTGGATAGTAAACTAACTGCTTTCGATCATCCTGGGAAATTGTATGCGGCGAGATCCCCCTGGCATAGACAGGTTTTCATTAATGGTCATGAAATCTATTGGAAATATTTCGCTAATTTATGATTACAGAAACCCAAGATCAGCCGAAGTTGTTGGGAATGTGAACATAACGTATGTTGATCGAATACTCTATAAAAGGATTCATGCTAATTCGTGGACCAGTGCCTTGATTGTATTGCCAATACCCAGAAGCTCTGTAAAGCCTGTGGTGGCGGATACTGCATTATTCATTATGAGGGATCTACTCTCACATTGTGCGACTGTATGACACCATTCTTTTCTATTGTACCATGCTTCAAATTTCACGATAATTAATTGGCTATCTAGGGTGTTCAAGGCGCCGTGGTCGTCGATCTCGAGAGATGTATTGATGAAGTAAATATTGTCTACAAACACTAGTACTTTACTAGGAGCTTTTACGCCGTTCTATTATGGTCTACTTGCTGTCAGCGAATGGAGCCAAGGAACATTTGAGGCATTGGATTCAAGGTCGGTTTAAGGCGTTCGGGTTACTCTACTCTGGTGCTACTTAGGTACTCGCGGGCTTATTCTGGATGGCTGGTGGTGAACTGGTATTACTGATGGTAGGAAACGGGACGAAGCTACGTCGGAAATTTGTAATGGTTGTCCTTGAGTGCCCAAATTCAAGGGCCAAGCAGATGATACCCAACTCAGCTATGACGAGCAAATTGAATTGCTATTTCTATCAATTAATATGCGTAGCGAATGAACTTGTACGACCATTGGTATTGCGTAGACGGTTCTGCTCTTGGCCCTACCCCGCGATACAAGCCAACTCAGGCTTCAATTCCTAGGTACCCTTTAATACTCGCAAAGTAATCGAATTCATTTGATTGGGCCCTGGATCCATTGCAATGACTACGCAGTAAACTACCAAGCCTAGGGTATTAACGGATCCAGGATCAGTAACTACAGTTCGTATGGGACGAAATCGTTAGAGCCAAGGACTGCCATTCTTCACTTCAACGGAATGAATATTCTTATTCTCCTAATATTGCAGGGCACTGTCCATGACAATCAGCCCGCGGGTATCAAATATACTAAAATCAACGTCTACATCTAAATCATGATTCTAAGCTAGCTGCGAACTTACGCGCAACCCAAGCTGCGCCAAACTCCTCATACTCTTGCTTCGTAACGGCCAGCGAGTTAATATGTTCATGCTGGGCCAGATTGGTGCCACCACGCCAGGTACTTGTTATTGGATCCACAGGACGAGCAACCCGAACGAAACATTCGTCAGGAGCAAGCTGTACGATTTCCTTCTGTAACCGCTCAACAAATCCATCGAATAGTGAGTTTCCACCCACAACGATGATATTCGAAAGAAGGCTAGGCCATAATCCAATCGGTAAAACTCGGAGTGATTGCATAACAAGATCTGCTATACCTGGCTGACGTATACCGATATCAGATGGATGAAATAGGAGTTCTGGAACTGTAAAGCGTTCATTTCGAAGTGTCAATACATCTTCATTAGTCTCGCCCGCAGCTAGTTTCCTCGCTTTTGAATTTTGTAGAGGATCGAAATCGCGAACAATGCCTTTCGTTCTTGTGTGAAAATCGGGAAGGACGTAATCTTTTGCTATTCCTCCGCCGTTGAGATAATCTTCTCGACGTTCACCTCTTGTACTTTTCCAAGTACGTTCTAAATCTGCCTTGAAGTCTAGTGAGACATAACAAGCGGCTTCCTTCATTTCGTTCACGATATATGTTTCGTTACGCATATCATAGTGACGAAGCGAAATCAGTCGAGTAAGATAATTGGTCAAGAGCTTTCCCCCCACGTCAAGCCTTCGTATCGCGGGGTGTATTGGCCTTCCTTGAAGAATTGGAGTAATGGTGGTATGGGAATATCCGGAATCGATGAGTAGGAGAATTTCGGCTGGAAGTTGAGCAACGGTTCCGGGATCTCGCGGCGTACGTAGGATACCTTGGACGTCATGATAAGCATTAAATGATGGACCTATAGGACATGACTCTGGTAAGCTACATGTCATAGTCTAAGCTCTACTATATGCGACAGAAACATACCAATGCCTCGATAATAGCTAGCGAAACCAAACTCTTCAAACACCATTTGATCGCAGTTCGCTTGTAGTACGGGTAGAGAATTTGATTGTTCGGCAAGGATTAATCGGGTTTCGGAAGGATCGCATGGTTGTGGTGCCTTGTCATCGAAGAATTCATGATCCCAAATCTCTTTCTCGGCTTCCCAATTCACGATGAATCCTTTTTCGACAGGACGTCTAAAGGCGACTTCGCTGAAATCGGTACATTTTTCGAGGTTGGATGCGACATAAACCTTCTTATTACGATCTCGAGCGATACAATTCGGTATTATGCGAGGTTCGTCTACGGTATCACCCGATACATATCCAGCCTTGATCGTGTGTGCGCCGTTGTCGAGAACCAGAGTTCGGGTGGGTTCCGGTGGTGGTTGGGGTTTGGATTTTCTTGCTGGAGCCATGCCGGCAGTTGCGGGTTCGAACCAACGTACGAGGTAGCACTGCCTATCTTATTCTGACCGTAAAGCGCATGATATAATTCAAGTTTAAGAATTGAAGCGTTAGATGCTCTCAAATAAAAATGATGTGAAGCGCAAAGCTTCGAAGCTTTGGCGGGGCACGCGATAAGATAAATGCCCCTTTACAATACAATATGGTATATATACATATATTAATACCTTCTACCACGATATCCATTTTTGCTTTACGTAATATCCTCCAAAACCTTTCCCCTATTCTTTCTTTTCTACAAAACAACAACTACACGTAAGACTGTCCAAATGGTATCTCGATATCAATTTGATGAGTATTCGCTTTCACTGGTTATACAATCATACGAATTATTTCTGAACAATTCGTCGTTTCATTTTCTCTATATTTCATTTCCCCCTCTACTAAATAAGCCCGTCGGCATATATCCAAAGTACGCCACATTAACGAATGCCTCGAATATTATAGTTCCGTACTGCTTCGATTATAAGTCCAAATTCACCTCACATATGTACTAATCGAACTGTCATAACCTACGCGGGGGTGTTAGTCGTCACCCACTCCTTGAACTTGTCCGATCTCGCGCCCGCTAGGTCGTGGATCCATCGTCCAACGTTGTCGTGGATGCTGAAGCCCGAGTCGGGGTTCGCTGGCTCTTCCACCGCCGTCTTCGAGAACGCGTACGCGAAGTTGGTGTCACCCGCGCCGTTCAGGATGAATGGGTTACCATCGAAGTCGGTCCAGCTAGCACAACCCGTGCAAAGAGCTGTGAACTTGAAGTGTGTCTCATTGACGCTAGTACCCTTAAGAACGGTGTACTTGGCATCAGCGTACGTGGCGGGCACGTAGTATCCGCTATTTTCAATCAGCTCAACCGTCCTCAATCCCCACGAGAAAGAAATGGACGTCATTAGGATTATAACTCACGTAGCCTGGCGCGAAGAGAGCTGAACCGTGTTGCCATCATGCCATACGACGGTCAAGGGATTGTAGGTCATAGCACCACCCCAAGCCCATCCAGCCCAACCCAATGCAATTGGCACGACGATTTGAAGGATCACATCATAACCAGCATCGCCGGTAGCTTCAGCCGGAAGAGCTAATCGATAGGTGATTCCGTCGGTACTCGTGTAAGATTGGAAAGTGATTCCAGTGTCGGCATCGACAAACGGAGTAGAATCCGTCTGGGCCAGAACTACCGTGTTGTAAGTATATGACACTCATTTTACCCGTTTATATCCTCAATTGAAACCCATTAGTATTATTTAGGACTACTTACCAGACCCAGCAAGGCCGATAACACCGGTAGTGACCGTGGACAACTTCATGATTACTTCAAAGCCGAAAAGTTGAAAAAATCAAAAATTGCGAACGAACCGACACGAGTGTCCAGAAGAGGACACAGGGCTTTATATCAATGTCTATCAAATGCCATCGTCACATTAAAAAAAGGTCATGGCTTCAACCGAGGAAATTAATTTGGAGAGCTCTTTCCGGAACAGCCAATACGGGAAGACCAATATAATACTTTTGCATATCAAGGTACCATCTACCTTGCCATGCCGGGTACTCCTCATGATGTAAGATCAGGGGGAACCATCGTAACCCCCTTGCTATTGTTCGCTTGAAAGGGTACACACCTTTCTAGCGCGGCTGAAGCCAACGTGGCATAAATGGCTGACTGATTTGGTTGCCGGAATAAAGCACCATTGCCAAGCAAAAATAAAATCCTCTAAACGTATCTAGTAAATTATAAACATTACTGACTTACCTATCTAGATACGATATACGAATGCTATATGAAATTTTTGGGAATGGAGTTCGTCACTCCGCGTGGGGACTTGCATGTTATAATAGAACCGAGTAAGGAAAAGGCGCAACCTATAATCTTATAATAGAACGCGCCCAGGTAGTAACAAGACAAGGCCAAGAGTGAACAGTCCATGCAGATCTATGTCATGGGTAGACTGAATTAGTTTTACCCTTGATATGATTGGATCTTTCGGGGCCCTGGCGAGGATTCCCGGAGTTGACATTAGCCTGAATCTTTCAAGTCGTTCTAGTTTACGTCTACGTTCCGTATAGATTTTCTGGCAATAGATAAATTCATAGTAGAACTCAAGCGATCTGTTTTCCCAATGTCAAATCGGGATAAGCATTTTTTTCATTATGCCCCTCGATCTTTGCATGGGAGTTTACTCGTCAACACTGGAACCTAGGATACTCCAATCCGCAATTTAGCCTAGAGCCATACCCAAAAGATATGATAGATCGAAATAAAACGAAGGCGATTGAATTAATCGCTTACACCAACTTGCGATGTTGCGATGCTGTAGTGACGTCGGGGGCGGTCGTGATGTCGGGGATCATCAACATGGCGGAGTTCTTCCGGACCACGATTTCAACACTACTCTCCTAACGCGAAGTATTATGATTATTGAATTATATGGGATCCGATTACATCAAGAGGAGTGAAGCTACCTAGATCATATGTAGGGGCGGCTCACTTTAGAGCTGGTTATCTGGTATGTCCAAGACATCACCCCCTATTATTAGATTGAAAATATCAATTTTCGATATTGCAATACCCAGGCACCAGGAGCGAACTCGTTGACAGCAAGTGCCATGACATCACTGTAATCTACAAGATCTATTATGCTAAGGCTAGATCCGCCCCTCGTAATCTTCTCACCAGTATCAATTCTCAGGACACTATCAGCAATTCATAGCAATTGCGTAACGTACAATAACATGTCTGACGAGGGCTCCTATAGCAATCCCGCAATCTTCCTTTAGCAATGGTTTCGAGCCAAATACTAGCTTCGCGCAATATGCGAAGGGCTGAAGACATAGTAAACCGAGCATAGACGACTTCAATTTCGGTCTAGCTAAGGAGAAGGTTTGTTGATGATCATATTCTTATCTTATGCATGTGGCAGATAAGCATCTTAAACTCCCCTGACGATGCAGTTATGTCGAGCATTCGGTCAAAACGGTTAAACGATCATGGCGCATATGCATTATGTTAATCAGCCGAGATGAGTCCTCTACCCAAGCGTTTTTGGCCGAGAAGAAAATATTTTTCCTGAAGATCCGCCGTTTCGCCAGATATATTCCCGAGATACCTAGTCATGAAACTTAGATGTGAGAAGTCGGAGTTGAGTATGCATAAATGCCCATCCAACTAATTGAGTAGTTCTCCCACATCGTCAGAGCTTGACAACATGATAAACGATCTCCCCGGAGACCCGGAGGGCTAGTTCAAATCGTGAGACAATTTAATAAGGTGATAACTGTGGGATCTACTTAGGTCCACGTAGATAAGCCCAGTGGGCGGAGTCTATAGCTTGTCATTAGCAGATTCGCTTTCATGATCGCGGTGGGTGACGATATCAAACATGATTTAATGGTTGATCGCGACTTTTATCTCGGAGAATCGCCACGAACCAGATTCTCTAGTCACCACACGTGTATCAAGGCTTTACTAGATATCATATTCAAAAACTGACTCGGGTGACTGTAACCATACGTTTGATGAATCATCAGCATCGTAGAGACGGATCGCAGTCGGCGACGAGCCCATTCAAGGGCGAAATATAGTACAAACAATTTTCATGGGAGGTATCATGTCGCGCAAGCTATTATCTTCCTCCTAGATACGAAAAGGTGACACAAAATTATCGTATCCCAGAGGTGCTAGAGAACACCTAGGTAGGTTCATCATATAGTATAAATGAGGGCCCTGCGGTGTTGAGACTTCGCTACCATGCTCTCTCAAGAGGCGTCAGCAGGATGACTATTTCGAAGGAGTCATGTTGAAGCATGAAATATGAGAATACTGCTGGGTGTTACTCTCCTACTGGTGTTGTACGGGGTAAGAAGTAAAGAATCACATGATTATCGAATTCCCGCGATAAGAAAAACAAAAAGTGGCTTCGATCTGTTTTCGTCCTGCAGGCGCCACATGGCTAACCGGGTGCGGGATAGAGCAAGGAAGATCGTTGATAGGATAAGATTTAGGTTGAATGACGTGCTTCCCTTCTTATCTTGCATACATAACATCAGTACATATGTACATCGGTATGTATTGGGATTTAGTATTCGAGTCTAAAATTCCCGATGTTTTCCTTTTTCTTTTTTCTTCTTCATCCTATCAAATCGTCTCATCTGAGACAGGATGCTTGAAAATGTCTACACCAAGCACTAAACTGACCCCCCCCTTTTGCTTTTTCTATCCCCTCTTCGATCATATACATACCTTTTACTAGTCTACCTGTCTACGTACTTGTATGGCATAAGCAGAATTAAAAAAGCAGAATTACAACTCCTCTTTTTTCGATTGTATCTCGCCGGTCTCGTAAATGACTCACCGCCATTCCCCTCCTTTTCTATTTTCAAACTGTTCGATAATGTCTTTGTCGGAGTTAAGATATGAAGCTAAAGCTATGAACGGTGATGATCCGTTCATAGTTGGTGATGATGACAACGATTTTGATGTGTTGGTTACAAACACACATCACTAAACTCTCTAGTATGGTATGGTATAATACATAGTTAACTAATCATCTTATCCCTCCCCTTAGTCTTTGCCTCTTTTCTTCTAGATTCATGTTAGATCGTACTAGATGTTTGGGTCTAGGCTATTTTTGTCCCCACTTTCAACTTATGAGACCCTGAAAATCCCTCGAAATATATTTGCGAACTTGGCATCGCTTCCGGCTTTCCCTCCGGTATCTTATATTGTATTCTATCTTTCCCTTTCGAATTTCACAGCCTGCCTGGATCTTACGGAGACGTAGTTTTTGTGTTCCCCTTGAGTTACCATTTGGTGTAACTTGTGTTAGAAGCGAAGAGATATCCTGGTTATTGACGATGGGTTCCTTAACTCCGGATCCAAACTTGCCCCTCCACCGGCCCCTCCGCGATGCTATCCCGCCTTTAATCCTCGGTACTGCGACCTTCAACACACAATACGTTCCTAATCCTTTCGAACTACCTGCTCTCTCTATCGTATCGCGCGCTCTCGATCTAGGTGTTTGCGCCTTCGATACCTCGCCGTATTATGGCCCCTCGGAAATTATTCTCGGCAATGCCCTAGCTCACCCCTCCATAACCCAGAAACATGCACGCTCCTCCTATTTCCTCGTCACTAAAGCCGGTCGCATCTCTGGCGATGTCTTCGACTACAGCCCGGCTTGGGTTCGATATTCAGTGCTTCGTAGCCTCGAGCGCCTGTACACTTCCTATTTAGATTTGGTTTATATGCACGACGTTGAGTTTGTATCCCCGGCTGAGGTCCTAGCGGCTGTGACCGAGTTGCGCCGATTACGCGACGAAGGTATCATTCGCTATGTTGGCATCAGCGGGTACCCGGTTGAGAAGCTATGCTCGTTGGCTGAGATGATATTACGTGAGACGGGTGAACCGCTTGACGGTGTGCTCAGTTATGGCCACTACACAATACAAAACACGCCGCTTGGAAGCAGTGCTATAACGCGATTTGAAGGCGCCGGTGTCGATGTCGTCCTTAATGCTAGCATGCTAGGTATGGGCTTGCTAACTACGAGGGGCATCGACGCCGGTCCTATGGCTTCATGGCATCCGAGTCCGGAGGGACTAAGGAAGGCGTGTTTGGACCTAGTACCTATCGCTGTAGGCGCCGACGAGAAATTAGAAGTTGTCGCCATCCGATGGGCCCTCGATAACTGGTCTCGAGTTGGTGCGTCTAGAGGTGCTCGTTCTCCAAAGTTACCACCCGGTGATAGAGTCGGCGTTAGCGTTATGGGCGTTTCAAGTGTCGCCGAGCTAGAAGAAACGTGTCGTGTCTTCCAAAGCGTGATCGAAGGTCTCGAACCAGAGACGTCGGATGTCGAACAAACGAAGCGAAGACGATGGAGCTTAGATCGACGGCAAAAGATCCAAGGATTAGTTGAGAAAATGTGGACCGTCCTAGGAGACTGGAAGGATTACAGCTGGAGTAGTCCCGATCCGGGATTCGTCAACGCAAGGAAACCTACCGAGGTTGGTGTTACGCCTGATGATGGCATATTGATTAAACATGCCGCCAAATCCCCTGTAAACATTGAGGTTAGCGAGTTGCCGGAGTTGGCTGTTTAAGCTTGTTATTTGATCTTGCATAATTGTAATCCATGAAGATATCTCCGCGGGGAGTTGCGCGGGGCTATTAGACCTTTGGAGTAATAGGAGTTCGCAGCGTCTAGAACTCATGATCTCCTAGTTGTTTGTTTCGCGTATTACACGCTGTGGGAGCGAGGCCGATGTAGAGCCACAATAATACTTGGAATAGAACTTGATCACATTCCTTCACTGGGACAGCTGTGATAATCTTGTATTGCTATTGGCATCCTCGAGACTAATATGATGTCCCCAATTGGCATTAAACGCTGTGGTTTTAGAAAGTTGGCTGCGTACGAGTTCTTTAAAAGATGTGAGTTGTAGTAGTAAAGATAGAAGTGTGGCATTGGTTGGTATGCTACCTACGACCTAGGCATTCGAACGCGAATGTAACAAATTGATATCAATCACTACATAATAATATCACTATCTCCACCGGGCCTTTTCCCATAGGCAAGAAAATTGGCCATATGGCGACTATGATTCCGTACTTGACGATTAGACCTGTCGCAAGCCATCCACCTAGATACATTGGCGCAAATGCTGCCCGGGTGTACATTGAAGTTTACCTAGGTGGATAAGCCGTAACACTCTTCAGCCAAACATATCCTAGGTACACTTGAACACATCTAGCTACAAACAACATAAACCCAAGCACATTTAATTCTTCATCAACTTGCCCTGGGAATCTTTTAGCTAATAGGGTCATTGATTCCACTCAATGTGCAATATGCTAGGTGGAACTACCTATTACTCACAACGCTGAATATAAGGAAAAACAGCAAGCTTATTTAGGAGATCTCGATTTCCATCAAGGGGACTTTTTAATCCCCTCTATTTCGCAATACAACTTCATCGCTCACTAACCTCTCTTTCGCTCACAGGGATTAATTCTTATATCGCCGTTGAATGCCAAGCATCTATGTATACAATCCTTAACTCCGAACTAAAGAAAGACAACTGTGCCTGCCTCCCTCCCCCCCCCTTTAATGCAAATATCCATGATCCCTAGAACCTGTTATCGCCTATCCACCAGACAAACATCCATGGCGAGGAAATAAGAAACCGTATGAATTTATTGGGTAATCTCGTGTGGTCGTTCGGCCGTGTCGACGTGACCTAGTTGCTTAGACTCTTCGTTGTCATTGTCAGCTGGTGCCGGAGTTTCGGGGGTAATCATGAGTTGTGGCGGTGATGTATTTTCTTCTTTCTTTTCTTCGGCACTTTGGCTAGTTCCTTGCGTGTCCAACTTTGGTAGGTTATCCTTCTTATCCTCCTTTTCGGCGATTGGCTCCGCAACATTTTCTATATGTTCGCCTTGAGCTTCCTCGGCTTCCGCAGGTTTACTTCCGGGACTTATGTCACCATCAGGCGATTGGGCTTCTCCATCAATAGGGACTCCTACCATCTCCGCCAAACTCCGAAAATTGAACATGGGTTCTGAATTCGCATTTTCGCCGTCCTCACTACGTCCAGCTAAGCTCAATCCACTAGATCGTGGATCCTCTGCTTCGGCACCGGAGTGTTTCCCAGTATAGCTTGCCGGCATACTGTCAATCCCACTAGAACTGACAGAGCTGGCATTGCTCATTTGTCGGAGATGTGAAGATCCTCGCGATTGTTGTGTCGGCATAGGAATTGGTAGGGATGAAGTACCGGTACTAGCCTCTTGACTTTCCTCGGTCTCACTACGATCGATTGCCTTTCCCTTGTCGTTTGATGCTGATGTCGGCGCTGGCCCAGAACCCAAACCAGTATGAGGGTCTGCAGATCCGCTACTAGAAGGACCAGAAGGACCAGCTGAACCAGTCGGGTTAACGCTCGTTGTGGCAGCGCTAGATTCCATGCGTAGGTTGCTGGCAGCACTATTACCTCTCCTTCGCCCGAACCCCAAACTAAGAGAACTCGCGCTTGCACTACTTCCGCTTGCTCCGTATACGTCTCCCTTCTTTTTCGCAGCCTTTCGTTCTTCCTTTTCCTTCTTCTTGGCCTCTTTACGGGCTTCTTTCTCTGCTTTCTTTCGTCGTTCTTCCTCGTCTGCTAGACTCAATCGTATTGCTTCTGCCATCATAAGGTTCTCGAGGTGTGCGGCATCTATCCGCTCTCGACCAGGACCGGTTCGACTTGAGGCAGAACGAGGACCAGGTTCAGGAACGGAAGAACCATCACCTGTTCCCTCATTTGGTTGAAGATTAGAAGTACTGCCAGGGCTCTCATTGCCTCGGTTATTCCCCTGGTTTCTACGACCAAACCGAGATGGTCGACCGAATATTGTGCGGGATTCCTGATTGCCCATAACAAAAGCGGCATGGTGTAAAGCGTCAGCAGCTGCTGCTCTGCGACGTTGTTGTGCGCGAGCCGCGGCTAGTTTAGTAGACCAGTCGGGACGAATGCGATCGGTGGTAATAACTCCGGGTGCGTTAGCAGATACGCTTTGCGTCCGTTGGCGGTTAGCATTAGCAGACGGCGTGGCTAACGTTGGAGAGAGAGCTGAGTTGAGAGAACTTGAAGAGGACATAGCTGTGTTCATAGCACCCAACGCAGAAGGACTAAACGCGTACGTCAAACCACGGCGGAAAGGAGGTGGCTCATACGTTACGCCGAATTCGGTCTGAGTACAGTAAGGACATTTAGCTGGTTCCATGATGAGTTCGCCCTCACGTTCCTCTGGATTAACCGGTGCCGATGATTGTGCTCCACCTTCTTCGTCTACGTGATGCTCGGGAAGATGTGGGTCGGGTCGCTTTATCTGTACAAAGCATTCGCTGCAAATGATTTGGCAGCAGCATCGTGTGCGGTTTAAATACGGCGGATAATACATAAGGCAAAGTGGACATTCGAGCCCCTCCTTATATAAAAACACCTCTAGAGGCTGGCCGTTGACGAATGGATCATTGGGAAGATTAATCTCGCGTGGAGTAATTATTTCCGTATGCGAACCATTTCGAGATAAGTTCAGAGCAGCAACTAAAGACTTCTTCTGGGGCTTGAAAGGTGATGTGGTTCTCGGGCCGGAGGGTGAGGTGGGAGAAGGTAATGTCGAGCCTGGGTTGGATTCAGGAAGGTTTGACGAAGCCGAAAGAGTTCGAGGACCGATTGGGACGGTGAGGTTAGGTGTCGAAGTGCCCGAAGATTCAGTTGGTTTGGGTTGTGGTATTAGATGTTCGGGAACTTCATCGGCAGCAGGAATTTCGATACCACGCGCTGCAGCAATGATTTGATGTTCGGCCCAATTATCTTTGAAGTCGTCCAGCCCACGCCAAAAGGGTGCTATTTTCCTTTCGATCTATTTCGCCACAAATTAGATTAGCCACAAGACTGAACGTCGATCGCGAGTAGATCGCTTAGATTGCTATAATAGCAATCACTCACCTGTAATTGGCGGACCACTGCTTTATTAAAATCTTCAGACGCAGTATATATGCCCATCGTTACGAGATATCCACCATCCACATGTTCTTCTTTCATACTGCGTTCTCGTTCCTTAACCCGTGCTACGCGTTCTTTCTCGAGTCTTCGTGCTTCCTTTTCTTGTTTCGTTTCTCGATGTTCGAATGGTGCATCTTGATTGCGGGAGTTTGATGAGCTACCAAATGGTAGAACTAAACCACTAATCTCAGGTCTACTAGCCCGTCTCGATCGATCTGGTAGTTCTCCATGATAACCGGCACCGGTTGAACTTCCACCGGGATCAACATGGGAACCAGGAGCTCCCATACGAGAGCCACCTCTCGCGTCTTTGGTATGTGTATTGCCCATTTTGGGAGGTTTCGGTAAGGATTTGGAGTCTCGATGGATAGGGTACCAATCCGATTGAGGCTGAGAATCCTGGTAATCTATGGGTCTGTGGGTGATGGAAGGTCGTCAGACGGATTTAGAAACTGTGCCGCGAAAATCGATCGGCGAGAGCGTTGGTTTTATGCATGTAAGATATTGGATATTGGACTAATGAGGAATTCGGCGGGTATAGGTTTGTCGTTTTGAGTCAAGCCAAGTTAACTCAACGGGATAGTAGGATTTATTCGTCTTTAGGATGTTGGTGTCGCTGTCGGGAGGAATAGCCAGGTAGGCTCGGGTTGCGTTGTAGCGAATATTATCCTATCCTAGCAAATTATTAGTATGCGGCTCCAAAGACGTAGTCGGTGAATAAGAAAAAGATACAGCTATGATTGATTTGTTCGTCAACGATATAAGTACATCCACATAAAACAGACGTCAATCAAGTTTCAAATAGAAAAAGGATGTTGTTATTGGTGATACTAGAAGCGCATGCGCATACTGTTGATATTATCCAGTAACGTGGGTCCAGAGTCCATCTGGGGAAGATGGATGATGTTGAGCTGTTGAATCAGGACCTAAGAATTGATAGGTACCTGAAAAATGAATACTTTGGCGCAACAATGATGTCGGGGTGTGTATGATAGAATAGGTCCTTGGGAATGAAAGTAGGGATAAAAGCATAGGAAAGAATTCCGAGCACAGTGACAATAGTGACAGTAATGACAAAATAACTGACTAGATACCTTTAGCTTGGATCGATGCTTGTCAACCAACGAATCCCTAATTCCTAACCAGTTGTCTCGTTACTGTTAGGCTACTTCGCTATGTTCCCATCAGGTCGGTATCGCCGGGATCGAAAATTTGAGTATGCTCGACGTTGTTTCACAGGTGTAAAGCTTGGAACTTCTAGGCTTTAGGAAGGTATGCGAGATTCTAAGACAATGTGGGTTGTTCTGGAGCCGGAAGTGAAGCGAATAGTGAATAGTGAACGACGAGAAGCTCCTCCTTCTTTGCCCCACCACTTGTTCCGTCTAGAACAAACAAAATAAAAATAAAAAAAGAATGATGACGGTGGAAATAAATGTATTATGTATTATTTGAGTAGAAAGAGTAAAATGATGCGACTCGGAAGTAGAGTAGTGAAGTGTAATGAAGTGCAGTGTAGTGTAGCGTATCGTGGAGTGTGGTTGTATCAAAATGTATGTATCTGGGCAGAAGAAAGGTGGGAATACTTTACGATGAAGTAATGTTTGGTTTAGTTGGAGGTGGAGGTGGGGGAATTGGTGCCGCACCAACGCACTGCACTGCACTGCACTTTCCTCTGTTATTCAAGTAAGGTACCCATAATTTAGTGCTACCAATGCCATCCATGGATACAGGTAGTGCTAGCAATTGACCCACATGCCTAGATACCTTGGGGATACATTCAGACATTCACTTCGCTAACCCGATCCGTATTGATAAGAATCTCAACTTAGCGACCTGTAAATCTTTTGACAGTCAAGAAACAAGAAAACAAGAATGAAACCTCTAAAATGATGATTGAATTTTTACTTGATACATCCAATTATATTATAAGCTTCGTCCCGAATCATTATATTGTTCATTGAAACTAAGGTGGGAAGAAGGGACAAGAGCTTAGAACCAATCGGTTGTATGTACCGAGGTGCTTACGTTTAATTCGCCCTAAAGGAATCAATCATTAAATCTCTACGGTCGCAAAAGCCTGTCCATCTCTACTTTCTCCCTTTCAACGTCACTATCATGTCACCATGACCTCTGTATCCTATACGAAACTAGCTATAACACAATTGGAATATTCATTTTATCCCTAATTTTATAGCTAATTTCGTCTTAACACAATGCACATACCATCAGGACCCTTAAACAATACGTCTCAGCTCCTAGTCGACGATTTCCTTCCCCTGGTTGTGTTAGACAACGATCTTCACGGGTCTCGACGGTCGCAACAAGATGTAGTCTTTTAAGTATGGCTAACTCACTTGAATTGCGAAGTTGTCGAGGAAGAGGTATGTTGAATTATCTCAAACAGAGTAAGACGCCTTGCTTCATCGAAAATCATAGCGAGTCGAGCTTTTTTTCTTCGATATCAACGATATTTTCAGATTCGAATCAAGATTAGACTTGGCTAGGCCAGGGCAATCGGGTGTCAGCCCAATGAGGATCCTTGGTATCGAGCACGTTTACCTCACGCGACACAATATCATCTATTTTCTTTATAAGGTTCCCTCCCACCATCTTAATCACTGTTGATGCCGTGTGACCTAATGAGGTGCTCCCCTATTATCGAAATACATTATATCGTGTCCATGAACCAAGATGGTTTTATGGTTGCTCCTTTAGTTCCGCCTGACGAGCCTCCTTATCACCAACCAATAAGAGGTCTACGGTCCCGACATCATGTGGTACCTATACCTGAACCCATTTTACGTCCAGATAGGAAGAAAGACGACTACTCAATCGAATTGATATTCTGTCACGAGACGTTCTATCAGTTTCAGTTCATCATATTAAGCATGTTAGCAATGAATTGTGTTGATTATCGCAATCCCGTTTCGTGGGAATACATCTCGAAAGCTCTCAGCTCTGTTCACCTCCCACACCTAGTATCTAGGTGGTATATATTGCCTATTGCAATTTCATAAAGATCAGGTCAGCCTCATTTTCGGCCATCTAGCATTGGTCGTGTCCCACAACAACACTAAAACCTTCGGTATCAAATTGTTGACCCCGAACATACGTTACAACTCCTTCGGTATGACAGTTACTACGAATATCCTCGGCATAGGTTGCCAAGTCTGGGCAATCGTGGTGAATCTCTTTCGGGGTGTCGTTGCAAAGAAAGATCCCAGCTCCGTAAGAACAGCTAATGCGACTGCATTTGTTCGGGCCAGGTGGAGCGCCGCAAGGTCCATTCTTGATTGATTTAAGATAATCAATTCCTTGCTGCACGAAAACGTTGTCGGCACCACCATCTCCGCCGGAGTTACAGACGATATTCTTCTACAAGAAATGTTAATTATAGACTCGGACAGGTAGAGAATTGGTGACTCACCTTGCTTCGAGGCTTGATCGATTGTTGAGTTGAAGACATTTTCCATACGATCGAATCGTTCATGGATTGAACCTGGCTTTGGATCTCCTGCCGGGTGGTTGAGCGTTAGAGTACATCGTTTATATCATTTGATACGAGTTGTCATACCTGAATAGTGCCGCTAACCGCAATCTCTAAGCCATCGGTGGTATTGATACCAAGCCAAGTCATAGGTACGATAGTGTAACCCTTCAGCGGTGTGAGTAGAGGACTAGCCCAAGTTACACCAACCAGAACACCGAAAATGGCAAAGATAGCCTTCATCTTTATTAGTTGCGGGAATTAGATATGATACAAGGTAGAATAGTCGGATGGTTGGATAGGATATGGGTAAGTTATTGAAGTTGTCGACAGTTCAAATCGCTATAATTTATGTTGCTCTTATACTAATTGCGTGTGGAACTAGTAATTGAGTAAGGTGATGGTATTTGCTCATTCAACATTAATATCCTATCCGAAAGTCAAAGTGCGCCTGCTCAATTATTTGAGGTAGTTACGTCTATACTTATCGCGAGAGATTTTAACAAGTGGCGACTACCATCGAACTGAAGAGGTTTTTTGAGCACATATAAATACTCAAGTCGAGTAATCAAATACCCACCTAAATACTGTGGCAGACTGCACCCTTCAGGTATTTGTTACGAATGAATCATGAGAGAGCAAATTGACTACATAAGTTGAAACATGCTAAATGCTCTGACAACGCACCACGAAGTCATCAAAACTTCAAATACCTTCTGACATTACAGTTTGATTATCAACCCCGAAAAGATTGGCCTCGTCATTACCAAATACACGTCCGTATTGCATGAACAATCTGCAAACAGCTTCTTGACGTTGAAATAACACACTCCCAAAACCACGAGATCCACTATCATCATTTATCCACGTCTCTCGGTCCATTCTTTTTGAAATATTCATCATACTCTTCCCAAGTCATATAAGGGAATTCTGTCGGTCGTGTGATAGGTACGAACGGCATACCTCGTTTTTCAAACTCTTCCAACCTCGCTCTCGTCAACTCCTTTGCCTTATTCACACTATACACTCTAATCCGATGTGCGCTGCTCGTAACATGTAAACCCCAGTTCCACGCATTTCTAACCTCGATCGGTTGCGTGTTGAGGCTATTATCCCAACATCTAACGACGATTTCGATCCAACCTTCCACATCGCAAGGCAACCACATATGCCATGTACGCCAGGCAAATTTGTGCTTCGAGCTTAGATTCTCTATTGGTACGGCATACCATGAGAAACCCCCATCAGCACTAACCTCGACACGTTCAGGCCAACGACCACCTCCTGAATAAGCCCAACCTTGGACTTCAATCTTGCCTTCGTGCATCACAACTTGCTTATTCCATGGCGACATGATGGCGCTATAAAATCAATATTTAGCCATTTCTCCTCAACTCAAGGCCTTGTAAGATCTCAATCGCACTTTGGAGCCATAATTTCAATGAAGAATTGACGGAAGAAAATAATAAGGATGAACATACCTGCTCACGGGCATTTCCTGGATTTGAATGCCATCAATCCAACGTTGATTATGTTTACCCACTTGCTGATTGAAGTACAAATACTCCCTGCTTTGCACTGGCGCTCGAGTTGGTTCCGGTATGGCTGTTATGCGATACAACCATTTGACACTCCTAGCACCGATATAACCCATAACTACCGCTCTGACGGGCGCTCCATGAATCTTAGGAAGAGGTTCACCATTCATTTCCCAGACAAGCATAACTTCATTAGCCTTGATCTTTGAATATGGTACGCTGATGACGTAATTCATCACCTCGTTCATTTTGAAGTATGTATCGGCGCCCACAAGTTCCAAGTGTTTCGCGTCGTCTTCCAGACCACCACAGTACTTGATTACCTTCTTTAGCGATACGCCCACATATTTCGCAGTGCCAATAGCACCTTCGGCCCATGGTGCATTGATCATTTCGTCTCCCTCACCAGCGTACAAGCTGATTTGCTCAATTCGCCGTGTACCGCTACACTGGATAGTGACCAACCTCTCCATACGTGGGAATCGACTTTCGTCTTGGAGATCCGACAACGTCAACTTCTTAGGTTCCTTTACTAGACCATCTAGTCGTAAAAACCAAGCAGATGGGTCGATTGAGGGGATCCCACCATGGTTTCGTATAAAGTGTAGGGGATTTGGAGTAATGGGTTGAGCTGTGACAAGCCTCTTAGGCGGTTCGCCATTGTAGGGGAATTGAAGTAGATGTAGCATATCCGGAGACTTTTCTTTGAGTACGATAGCCCAAGATTCTTCAGGTACCACTGCCAGACGACCACCAATCGCACGATGCCATAATTTCCATCGGATCCCTATGTAGATAATGAATACCAATTCAATAGTGGTATATCATTTAGGTCTATGGATAGGTAGAAGAGTACTTACCTTCAAGAACTGGATTGGTACCAGGGATAGGACCTAATTGAAATTCAGGAGGGGGTGGAAATTCCTGTGAAATAAGAATCTCATGTGCTTTCCTCTTCTTTTCTGGGTAGTCTTCCCATTCGACATAACTGAGACCTTAGAATGAGATCAATTCCGTTACATGAACATCTCAACTTACCCATTCCAGCCCGGAAGCTCATCACTGGCTAGCTTATAATTAATTTTCTTAGTATCTGATAGATCTTCCCCATTCCATCTTGGAATGTCACCATCTACTTCTTTACTCCTCGTTTGGTCAAGTAGATGTAGTTCTACTCCTGCTAAGCCCTGTTCGAGTTTCCATTCGTCGCTAGGCTGATGAATATCAAGTTAGTCAATTAACCACCCTCGATCGATGATGCACTGACCTGAAAATTGTGAACTGCTTCTCGTAATGGGATATCTGTTTGCATTTTGAGGATAGTGAAGTGCCGTGATAAGTACGTGGGACGTAGGGGTATAATCTGGTAAGGGAAAGATGGTGTAGGGGTATTTCTAGGTGGAAAATGCGGTACGATGGATATTTAATTCGTAGATAGACTTAAATCGCTCATTGAAGTACTGTTAGAATCACCTACGTATGCTATACTATATGAGATGCAGGGTTAAGAAATACGTCAATAACTCATCATAAAATGATGGCTTGCTAATTCCTTATCATTTCCTGTATCATTTTCCACCAGCATCTGTTAAAGTTCAATCATGCAAGACTCCTGCCGGTGAGAATTCAAGTCAATGACAACGATCAGGTAATCTACCCAGGTACTTGCGCCTATCTATGAAGATTAATAGACTTATACCGTAATTGGTCAGGTTTGATTTCTCCATGGACACCCGCAGAACGAGGAGACTGAGAAGTCTTATAATAGGTCTTTAAGTATCACCGGTCGGCATGGTGATGACAGAGACCCATGCAGTACAACCCCAATCGATGTTATGAATGGCCCTGGACGTAAAATAGATAGGATGAAACCCGGATCATACCGCGCAGTATTTGCTCAGCAAAGGGAAGACCTCAATACGAATATAATAGGGGGAATATGACGGCACTGAGTTTATGTAAGTCGAATATACATGACTATCGGAGGCCCAGTGTATACGAAGGATCTTTTTATGCCCATTTTTCAGCCCGAGGCTCCATTCTGTCCTCCATGATGCAACTCTGCTTTGAGGCTAGACCATTAACTAGATGATCAACGAGACATAACCCCAATAGTGCCTTAATATGTAGTATCTGCCCCCTTCCTTCTCGAGAAATCAACGCATTCGTGCTTGGCGCTCTACGCGTTCGACAACCCTGTCTTCCTTGCCTGTGCTTCGAGATGTTCTAACATTGATTTACTCAATGAAGGGTAGAACACCCCGACCCCAGTTACATGACCTAACTCTTGTAGAGCATCGCAGTCATGATTGAATAGAGGACTTGCCGAATCCAGGCCCGCGAGAGTATCTGCCAAAGTCACTAAGCTAGTACAAACTGCTCCGGGCTTGGGAATAGGCCAAAGATCCATTTCTGAGAGTGATCGGATGATAACTCCAAGCATCGCGGCCTCGCAAGCATCATCACGGTCTTCACAGAGGGTCTCAGTTGGCCTGGTTTCATTCGCAGAAGGTTAATCACCTCCTCATAAGGCTCTAACAGATCCCGAATAGCCGCTAGCCGATCCATTCGAATAATATCTATCTTGCGTTAGACATAACCCACCGCCCGGCAGAAGAACTTCAAAAGCGATATACTCACTATACAAATCTCCTGGCTCGAGAATATCGGAAAATAATCGCGGTCCTGATCCCTGTCGTAATATACCTGCAGGGGTGGTGGTAGAGTTCTTGATTAGGTATTTGGCGACAATTTGGAACTTAAGCTTATACCCCAGTTCCCAGGAGACCCAAGCTAGACGCTCCACGTCTGCATTGTTTAGGGATCCGAGGTGACCATTTTTGAATAGGTCATCTTCCCATTTCTCGACCCAAGGCCGGAGGAGGTGAGCCAGGTTATATTTATCGGTCAACACACAGTGAGTTTGTACAAGTTAGAGAAGGTGATAGTTTTTCCGGAGGTTTCGTTTTCATCTTCAAAACCAACCCGGCCGGGGACGCGATCGAAATGATAATGTATGATATCTAGAATCACTCGCAATATCTTCGGGTCATCATCGGGAAGGGCGACGGTCCATTTCTCACCACCAGCTTTGTCTGGCTGTACGGACTCTGCGAAACCGCCGTAGAGAAGCTTCTTCCAGACCGGAGAAGCTCGGGCAAGAGCTTTGGGGCACACAATAAAGGTAATGGCGTTTCGGCGCCCAACCGTAAGGCAAAGATCGCCATCAGGATCGATAACGACCGTAGAGGAGTTGGGATTTTTCTCAGGCTGGCCCGAAGTTTCAAGGCGCGGTGAATCTGAATTGTTGGACATCGCGGCGAATGTATTACTGATGTAGACGATTGGCGACTGGTTGCTCAGTGACTTTGTATTGGAAGTGGAATTAAATACCTTAGGAGGAGCGCAAAAAGAGAAAATAATTATCTACGACCTGGAAGATAAGATCATACAGGTAAAGATAGGTACCTACAAAGTGTGCAACTGTAGAATCTTGAAAACCTCGATTTATTTACACCAGGGAATGGGCAAGCACATACTCAAGATAATTAGGCAGGTACCTACCCACACATCCATGGAAGTAAAGTACCTAGGTAATTAAATATCTAAGTGCATCTGTGCCTACCTGCAACTGTGCAAGCCTACACATTGGCCTGTGCGTATATAAATGCATATGTAGTGTATCAACTAGTAAGTCGTCGATTGTTGGGTTGTGGTTATTTTGGGAGTCAAGTTGAATATTGTACAGCAAATACTGTAAATACTGGAAAGTACCAGCTGCAGGACGCTAAGACCACCTGGCCCCAGCTGAAGAGGGGTAACAAGCACAGTTTACTATTATATAAGCAACAGAATCCCACCTAAAACATACCTAGGTAGACAGCCCGAACATCAATATTTTCACCATCAACACACAACAAACGGCCCTGGGTAGGCGACTCCAACTAGACAATCAATTATCATGGTGCCATCTCAGTATTCATTTTCTTCTTACCGCCTCCTCTCAGAATCCTGATAGCATCCTCACTTAAAACCCGATACTGATTTGTTTAGCTCATGAATTTGACAGCCCAACCTTTTTCGCCTGCGCTTGAATGTGTTCCAAATGGGGTAGTTCGATCGGAGACCAATTTTGGGCAATCTTGATTATATCTGCCATATTGGGGATGGCAAGGCAGTTGTGACTGAGTGCACAGCTCTGTGAGTTGAACCCTTTGAGCTTCTCTATTAATTGTGACACAGAAATTTGAACTTTTTCGGGTTCGGGAACAGGCCAGAGGTCCATCTTCGTGAGCGAGCGAATGATAACTCCAAGCATGAATGTCTCGCATTGAGATTTCTCGTTCTCGTAACGGGAACCTTTACAGAGAGACTTGTCGCCGACATTACTCATTCGGAGATTGTCTACTGCATCCGCAATGGGCTTCAACAAACCGTCGATGATAGTTAATCGAGCCCCCGCAACGAAGCCTATATGGTGTTAGAAAAATAGTCATGTCTTAACAGGGGAACCCATCCGAGATATGCTACTGACTTCGAAGATCTCCCGGCTCGATACTCTGATAAAATAAAGCCTTGTGCGTATCGGAGCGTACTAATCCTCCTTCATCATCCGTCATACTGTTTTGGACCAGGTATTTGGTCGTGCTTATGAAATCAGTCTCCAAAGCCTAATTCCCATGTAATCCAGGACAGACACTCTATACCAAACACAGTCAATGTTTCAGTTTTGACACACTCTGCCAGACCATCTCTCCACCCTCTGACCCAGGGTCGAAGGAGCCGAGTAAGGTCGTATTTGTCGCTCAAAATAGTAAGTTTGTTGAATCACCGAAGTAAATGGACGTAGTAGTTGATGGATTGTTTGATGTGTGGGCTGATATAGGGATTTCGTCAAAACGATAATGCAGAATATTGAGAATTATCTGCACCGCAGCTGCGTCATCATCTGGGAGGTTGACAATCCATTCCTTACCGGTGGACCTATCGGGCTGTATGGACTCTGCGAACCCGCCGTAGAGTAACGTTTTCCAAACCGGAGATGCTCGGGCGAGTGCTTTGGAACAGACAACAAAGGTACGAGAGTCCCGACTCCCAACGACTAAGTTGAGATCGCCATCCGGATCAATGACGACTTTGGATTCTCCTGGAGACCGGATAGCAACGTTCGTTTTGGGGGGCTGGTTGGGATCTGTGGGAGGCGGCAGTTCAACATTGTCGGACATCCTGTTAAAGGGCGTATAACAGTATAACTAATGTTGGCCTAGTACAGTAACACAAAGAATAAATCCTTAGTTTATCAATGCGTAGTGGACATTGATACAAATATATACATATCACATCCCTAGATTATATACATACGTCGGTATTGAACATACACATTAGGTGTCTATCTACGATTGTTGCGAAGTTGGGTACCTACAATACCTAGGTACCTAGGTAGGTAGGGATTGATAACAGCGTAGAAAGTGTCAGTTGTAGTAAATTTGTGTCAATTGGTAGCAGCTGGGGAGGGGTAGCAGATCTGAATTGTTAAGTACCCCACCAGGAAATTTAAAACTTAACCCCGAACAACATTATTTTTTACCATCGACATTGACCATCGACAGACGATTTGATGCAATCATGGCAACAAATAACAAACCTGAAGATGCTCTGAAGACTCTAAAAATACTAGTAAAATCCACGACAGATCTTATATCCCAATTCGAAGCCTTACTCCATTCCATAGCAGTTAATAACGCCTCCGAAGCCACTTCTACGACCCCGCCATCATCATCATCTTCACCCTCGAATACCGAATCGATCGATCCTCTATCCTTAGCCCACGACTCTGCCACCCTAGTCAAAGCGCATACCACCAAATTATCCCTTCTCATTATAAATGAGCCCTTTACTCCTTCTGCTATTAGCAAGGTTCTTCGTGAACTAGTAGCCGGTCCGATTCCAGCACTTGCTTCCTCCGTTCAGCTTTGCGATGCCAACAAATACACTATTGTGGCCCGACAAGATCTAGCATGGCGATGTTATCGTGTTTTGAAAGAGCTAAAAGGACTCGTCGAAATCATACCTCTAAACGGGAAGATTTTACCCAATGCGCAAAAGAATGGTAGTAAAGGAGATAAGGGTAGTATGGTCGCTACCGGTGTTGTATGGGCTGCTTGTGATGATGTAATTCTCCTCAAGAAGTTGGGAATCGCTGGATTGCTCGTCAAAAAGGTTGAAGAATATAGAGACACCTTGAAGGACATCCTAGAAGAATTAAAGGAATATAGCGAAGAAGTAGACGATGATGATGACGATGACGACGAAGATGGTACCGATAATACCAACCAAGAAGAAAACCAAGCCAATCATATTACGGACCAAATACAAAATACCCACATTTCAACGCAAGAAATGCTCGACGACCTCATGAACCCACGACATATACCCAGAGGTGACCCAGATAAAATCCGAGAACGTTTAGAATCATGTCTCAAACGATTACGATTAACAACTTTACTCTATACTGCTATCATCAAGAGGCGATTAAAAGCGATGCCATCCCTACCTAGTACAACACAATCCACGGTAACGCAACGTCTTGATGAAGTACTCCCGTTGCTCAAGAGACTACCCCATCGATTTGGCGAGGTTGCATGCGCATTTTACGAACTCGATCGTGATACTATAGACCGTGCTATGGATTCTTGCTTTTTCGATGCATTCGCGGCATCAGAAATGTTGATGAAACCATGGGAAGGTCAAAGGGATGAGTTTACAGACTGGGCAGAGAAATTTCAAGTCGGCATCAAGAAACCGGATTAGTTATATATACTGGTCAATAAAAGGAACAAAATATATACATCAAATTGTCTCTTCGACTTCGTATGCGACGTATTTATCCTAAGCTGACGAATCGGGAATAAGGTGACATTCTATCCAGATACCTAGTCATTAGCCGTATCAGTAAGCTGACACGACATCATCTTTTCACAATTGGATCGCAACCGCGTTGAAGTTGACCTATTTAACCATTAGCTTTAGTTCAAACGTCCTCATATTGATAAGGGAGTCTTACATGTCCTGAAGATGGGCAAGCGTTAGAGATCTCAGGACCGGTTGTTGATTTTCCATTCACCGTCACAGTTACAGCACCAGTCTTTCCGGTAAAATCGACTTGATAGAATGAGGCCTTTCCGACCGAACTTGTCGCGCTCACAGGTTGGCTAGCACCTCCAATAGCAACGGTAATATCTCCGGGAGAGTTCGATAGGGCGATAATCGAGATTACGTCTTTGGTGCCACCGGTTGCTGAAGCACTTCCTCCTTGACCCCAGACGGTACCTACGATTCAAAGTCAACTCACGAATACCGGAACACAAGGAACATATTCGATACTTACCATCATCGCCGCAGACGGACGCAGGCGTGGTGCGGTACCATGCTACAGCACCTTCGGCCGGTAGATCCACGTTCGTGTTACCAGCCTTGTAAGCACTGATGAAGTATGGCAAGACGAAACGGAATGCTGTGTGATCGAATCCATTGACGTATACCTCAGCACCACTTACTATCTGTTTCGTCACGGGTTCGTTGATGTAACTAGACTCGCCATAGTCATTCCCTATTCACATTAGTCGCTCCCAATCGTCGACGTGCATACGTATATATGCTGATTTTACTCACAGGTGATGATTTCAATGTACTCAGGCAAAACGTCCAAGGCCTGACTCCAGCGGTCATACCATAAGGAATCGCTGGATGAGTACCAGTTCTTGTTCCATTGAGGAAGGTTGGTGTAGAAGTAGGGACTGACGCCCATCATATACGGCTTTCCTTGGAGGCTCGACTTATACGCTTGATCGTTGCCCGTTGTAATCGTGTATTCGTTCGCGTTGGGCCATGCACCCCAGTTAACTAAATTGCGTTATGTTAGTCCCCAAAACAGTTGCGGGTTACCGATGAATTATCATAAGGGGTATTACTCACAAGCACCGTCAATCTGAGAAAGCTTAGCTCCGACTCCTTGGGCACCTAGCGAAGACCAATCCGGAACCACTATGATATCAAGAATTAGCTACGCCGGCTCAATGGGGATAACCGTTCCGACAAGGCTACAAAAAGGCTTGAGGTACTTACAGAAGATTCCTCCGGTAGCAGATCGTACCGAAGCCCAGTTATCGGCAAAGTTAGGGCCCTCGAATGTCGAAACGAATGGTTTTCCGTCCACCTTATACTGACTACTAGCATCCTTATGGTCGTTAATGAGCGACGAGACTTGATCGACGGTCCAAGGGCTAGCACTTAAATCGGCCATATCGAAAGACAAGAACAAGTTAAAGCCGACGGACGAAGCCGTATCGTATGCGAGTTGAAGTTGTTCATCGTTCCATGAATTTCCATATCCGATATTGAGCGCAAAACCATCGATTCCGGATGCTTTTGCATCTGTGATATCCTTCTGCCACTGGTCTTGAGTTTGTCCGTCTGTTAAACCGACCATGTAATGGGCAAAGACCTGGCGGGCTCCACTACTTTGCCGAGGTTTAGCTACACCGGCTATGACGGAGGTGGCGAACGCCACGGCGCTTGCTATGGTGTTAAGAAGCATCTTGTATTGAATCGAGCACGTCGCGTACTACCCAGCAAAAAGAAGGCAACAAGATGTGACGAAGCCGTGATGATTGAATCAAACATTGCTAACTATGGGTTCTAGCTGTATATATATACCTACCTAGGGGTTTATAAATACAGCTTCCCATATGGAAGGTCCTAAATTTAAGTCTAAATCCTACTCCTGTTTAGGTGACATTAGGGGGTAGATGGGGTAGACCAAGCTCGTGTGGCTGCAGGGCTGCGACATGAGAGGCCGAGGGAATGGTCCGGGATTGGTGGTAGTAAATTATTGCTACTAAATTTGTTGTCAATTTTCATCGTGACACCCATACCATTCATAATCGTCGACAAGGTTAAGGTCGAGCTAGATGAGGTTATCATCGGATGACGAAGATGAATTATAAAAAGCTATGGCCGTCGGTGAGGGATGAGTAAGAGGGTGAGCTTTGGAGCTCTCATACCTAGGTACTAAGGTAGGCAATAGAGCTAGAATTGGGTTGGAGATGGCTAAAATGTTCTAGCTACGTCAATATTGGTCTTACTACAACATCTATAGATATATATTGCTGACTTTATTGAGTATTAGATGTGTAAGTCAGCATCAACATCATCTACGTAGCTAGGAGGCATAATAAAAAGTTGTTATTAACACTTGCTAATAGACGACGGGTGACAATTGAGAAATAGACCAGTAGGGTTCTGCGGAACTATCTCGGTGCTTCGCTCTTCGTCGATATTCGTCCATTTAAAGCGTTCGTAATGGGGGCTTGAATCTCGCTAGGTCTCGTGTTATGTGAGACTTGTGTAACTACGTGTTAATACCATGCTTCTTGGTCGAGGCTGATTTTTTCATTATTTATCACGTTCATCATGCTTTCGGGGACACATGTTTAAGTGATCTAAGAGTTTTAACTACACGGGTGAAAGGATGACCATTGATTCGGACACTCCTTTCTCGGATTCGGATTCGGTATTTTTAGAAGGGGTGAAAACGCCGCCGACCATCTCCACGTACAGGTACCTATATTACTTGGATCGCCAGCCTTTACAATTCCAGCTCTTCTACCTACCTAACCTATGGCATGTAGCTATTCTATCCTGGTTGGGCATTCCGATACAGAATGAAGACCATCGGCCCCTTTTGATGGGAAGATGGTAACTGATAGCTTGTAACCCCACGTTTCAATTCAGGAAGTCCGGTCGTGATGGGTCCTATTTATATCGACCGAGGACCAATCATCATCGTGTGATCTCCGATTTATCGCGTACGGATGAAACCGCCCGCCCCCTACACATGCGGAATTATAGTGGTAATCGCGGAATGAAATACAGGGATCTCAACAGCCTCCTTATTTCGGTAACGAGCTCAGCTCTTGGCTTCATTTTGTGGCGTACCGGTGTAGATATAGTGGCTGAAGATAATTTCCTCGGTCTTTTTTGCCCAGACTGGTTAAATCCTTCGAATGCTTTCTCCCCAAGTACCGTTTCTCCACTCCTTTCTCCCTTCATTTTATAAGGATTACGTCGCCCACCAGCCCTACTCGTTCTACGCATGTTGGCATGATATTAAAGGGACCAGACTACTACCGGAAACCATACGCTTGGATCTTGGTTCCTGGATCTCTATTAATAAGATCTTGCCTACTAGATCATCAACTCCAAATTTGGCAATGATAAGTTCGGACCATGGCTCCCCTTCATCCGTTTGTAGCCAATCCTGTCCGTCTTCCCGTCCAACGTCTACCCAAGGTATCCTCCGTTACTTGATCTTCCCCGGCGGGAGGATCATTCAATTGAGGATCACGTTTAAACATCCCGTTTGAATGGATCTAAGAAGCATCGTCGTTCACATATTTACTTTACTAATAACTAAGATCACTCGCTTTTTACTTCTAATAATTCCGTCAATCATCTTATCCATCGGACACCTAACCCGGTTTCTATCCTTAGTACCGTGTTATAATGCATAAAATGAGCCTCTACATACCCGCAATGTCGCTCTACCTATCTCAATTCGACTAAAGCGCCGGCGCATCATCTTCCAGAGCGCTTCGACTTTACTTCAATGATACCCTATTTTCTCCCCCACAAGTTCCAAGATTTATATCTGGCTAATTCCGCCAATCACTAAGATATCGTGTTTCTAGGCTAAGAACCTCGTCTCGGTTTTGTACTAAACCGAGAAAATCCAGGGGACCTTGACATTCTCGTATCCCATTAGGAGATGCACTTTTAATATACGCAAGCTGTATGGCAAGCTGCCTAGGTATGTAAGTATAACCAGGTAACTAGGTAGGTGATAATTATGACTTTGGATATAAATCGGACGATCTCCCGTCTTTGCATCGGAGCTTTTTGGATATTGTTGTTGGATGTAGCCGTTGCTTGGCTCCATTTTACATCAAACGGATCGACATTTACAAGTAGCTGAGTAAAACGACAGCAAGTCAACATGATGCTTTATCTTTTCTTCTTATCTGTATTGACCTTTGCTTCTTCGGTGTTTGCCGCTTTTGGCTTCACCAAGTCCGGTAGCAATTATGTCATTGATGCCGGTTCAAGCAATGCGCTCGTCTTTACTGTCAACGGAGGTAGTTGCGACATCACCTCGATTAAGTATCGTGGTACTGAGCTACAAGATTCCTCCCAAGGCACCCATTTATCATCCGGTCTTGGCTCCGCGACTGTCAAGGTTGAGTCAGTCACAGCCAGTATGTCATCAACTCCGGGGGTGATTCTACTCTACTCAAGTACTATGTCTTACGTTCTACTTAGGTTCCGTCAACTACGTAAAAGTAACATGCACTACCTCGACTCTAACACATTACATGGTTGTCAAAGAAGGGGAAAGCAACATCTATCTTGCTACCTACATTAAAGAAGAACCTTCAGTTGGCGAACTGCGCTTTATCGCCCGCCTGAAGTCATCCGTGCTACCCGAAGAGTATCCCTACGGCAAAGTGTCTACCACCTCTGGTAGCTCATCTACTGTTGAAGGCTCTGATGTCTTCGTTGTGGACGGGGAGACTCGCTCAAAGTTCTACTCGAGCACTCGATTTATCGACAAGGATGTGCAATGTGTGTACGGTGGCTCCGATGTCATCCACGTATGCGTTTTAGCACCACATCCAGAATCATCATCCGGTGGCCCATTCTTTCGCGATATCGAAAGCAATAATGCCGGTGCTGCGACCAATCTTTATTGGTATATGAATAGTGGTCATGTTCAAACCGAATCCTACCGAACCAATGTCCTCCACGGACCTTATGTCCTTGCTTTTTCACGTTCGGGTGTCCCTAAGCTTCGTGATACCGATACATCTTTCTTTTCGGGTCTAAGTGTCACGGGCTACGTTGCAGAATCCAGCCGCGGTTATGTTTCCGGGACAGCTTCTGGTGTATCAAGCAGCTTCCAAATTGTTGTTCATTGGTATAACTCCGCGGCGCAGTACTGGGCTATTGCATCATCTAAGGGTGCTTTTACGTCTCCTGCAATGAAGCCTGGTACTTATACTATGGTCTTATACCAAGGCGAATACAAGGTTGCTACCACTACTGGTGTTTCAGTTAGTGCTGGCAAGACTACATCTAAGGATATTGCTAGTACCGAGACCTCACGAAATTCGCTATGGAAAATTGGCGAATATGATGGTCAACCTACTGGATTCCTCAACGCAGATAAGTTTCTTCGAATGCATCCTTCCGACTCACGTATGGCGGCGTGGAAACCTGTTACCTACACTGTCGGATCTTCATCACTGGATCAATTCCCTATGGCATTATTCCAAACAGTCAACAACCCAGTGACCATCAAGTTTACTTTGGGCTCCGCACCTGGTGCTGCAACCCTCCGAATTGCGACAACTTTATCTTTTGCTGGATCTCGTCCACAAGCTAAGGTCAACTCATGGACTGCTTCTGCACCATCAGCACCTACCAAGATTGATAGTCGTGGTGTAACTCGTGGTGCTTATCGTGGTTATGGCGAGGTTTATGATGTTAGCATTCCTTCTGGAACCCTCGTGAAGGGTGAAAATACCATTACCATAACTTCCATCTCGGGTAGTAGTGGTAGTACTTTCTTAAACCCCAACTTCGTAAGTCACCCATCCGCTTTCACCCAACCTTCATAAGTGTCTTGATTAACGAAGCCGATAGATCTTTGATGCCGTTGAGCTCTTTACATAGGTCTACCTAGATACCTGAGACCAGGATCAGTCATTAGTATGATATGAATGTCCCACATTGCAATCTCACATTGGGTGACGCGTTTATTGACAACCCAGTCCTTGTTATTGATCATTGTCTTCAACACCTAAAGTCATTCTACCTTGATCTAATCATCTTACAGCCCTTTATGAAGTATTCTAACAAGTCTAGCCTTAGTTTTCATCCCTTTCCATAAGGTACGACCACACCAAGGCACACAACGCAATAGCTACTAAATACATCCACCACACCAACCCAATCACTCCCTCTTCCACACCTAACGCAAACACATAACCCCCAATCGCCGGCCCAATTGCACGAGCTAAACTTGCAAGCATATTACCAGCACCATGTATGGTTCCTAAAACCTTTTTCGAGGGTGCTGCCTCCGTCAATAGAATAACAGTACTGGGAATAGCCATGGTACGTGCCATAATCTGAGCACATACGACCAACCCCAAAAATACCCATCGCGGTCCATCCTCACCGGCTCCTGCAAGAAGCGATAAATACGGTGCCGCCGCATACGTAACAGGAAATAAAAATAACGCAATTCGAAAAACACCACGCGTACCGATCCGCGCTTGTAATCGTGGATAAATAAACAATTGTAGTAAGATACCGCAAATACCGAAAGTCGAAAGCCATAGGCCAATTATGGACGATCGTAATCCTAAACCACCAGCGAAAGCAAAAAATGAAGCTTCGTCGTTATTGGCTGGAGGACTACTTAGATAAACGGGAAATATGTGCATAAATGCCGAGTTGTGTAACGGAAGTAATCCAAAGGAAACCAGAGCACACAACACTCTTCGTGTCCAAATTCCCCGGAAAGGAACATTTTTGGTTCCAGGAGGTGCTGGTGCCAGTACAGGCTTCTCCGGTTCTGATTGAGCTTGTCCTAAGGATGTATCTTCGCTGCTCTCTATCCTTATGTATTTCTGTCGTTGTTGTCTCGGTCGCAAATGTCGGAACCATCGCACAATTGTCGCTCCAGCTCTAAGGCCGATATCACTATGCTCTTCCTTTCCGGGTAGTGTCTCTTTAAGGCCTGCTACAGCCAGAATAAGAGATGCTCCCAGCAAAGCAGCATTTAAAAGTGCTGGCAACGCGTAAGGATAATCAATCGCCCACTGTACACCATCAGGACTCCCAACCGTGTTGAAGATTCCCTGTGGTCCAAAAAGCCACGCCAAATTGACAACAGGCTCTGCGAGACAGCCTCCAAGCGCTAAACTTGCTACCATACCCGCGTTGAATACCAGAGGTAGTAAAAGGAACGCCTTAGTCTGATATCTTCTCTCGCGTACGACTTCCGCCGTCACGGTACGCATAATACCAACATTTCCATTGGCGAAACCTGCGAGAACCCGCCAGAAAAGCAACGCGCCGAATGACCTCGAAAACCCAAATCCAATATTTGCTAGCACCGAAACCGCCAATCCACCTACGATAGACAGTCTTCGTCCATGTTTATCTGATAACCGACCCCATGGTAAACTGACGAGGAATTGTGCTAATGGAAACGCAGCCACCAATAATCCTGAGAATTCGGAGATACGAGCGGCAGCAGCATCAGTAGATTCTTGTGATTGGTCATCGTCTATCGGATTTGGATTTCCTGGAGGTAGAACCGATCGTACGAGATAGAAAATGTATGGCAAAAGGCAGACATTGGATAATGGTTCAGAGAGACGACAGAGTGATAGAATGAAGAGTTGGTCTTTATTCGGTAGATCACTCCATCGGACTTTTGTCGCATTTTGTGTCGCTGTGGTAGTCTCGGTAATTGTTCGCTGGCCTCTGAAATCTTGGGTTCTTGATGCCATTGCTTGAGTTTCGATATCCGGCAGATCTTGTTGTTAATGACTTGTTAGTTCCAGCTATTAAAAAATTTATGGATCAGGGATTGCTTCGAAGTTACTTACCATTCCCTGAAGAATGTGAGGTCCCTGCCTCTTCACTTACTTCCCGACCCATCTTGTATCCTAAACCCTACTATCACTAATGAAGTCCGTCTACTTCAACACCACAAGAACCCAATTGATAGTATCATCGCTTTTCCGAGCAAGGCTCATATACGATAATGCTGTTTTATCTCTCGCTTGGTAGGAAATATTTAAAAGAACTGAGTCGAATGGTATTTTATTATGGTCTACCTGATTCTCATCTATCAAGAAATACACAGTTTAAGGGTGACGCAACATACCATAACCCCCCTTTTATATGATTTATATATACCACCTACGGAAGATCACTCCGTTAAAGGTTCATAAGGGCTAAATTCTCAACATCTCGTCATCGCCAAATTTATTCATTGACTCGGTCACTCAATTACCCAGACCAAATCTAGCAATCCGAATTAGAACCAGGGCTCATCCAACTCCGACTCGAGGTTGTCTTATAACGGCAATTAACATGGTGTCTAGGGTAGTATCAATTCAATTTATCCGCATCCAATAATATCAACCATAGCTGGCAATGTTATCACACCCACCTAGACACTTCCTCCAATTTTTCTTAATACGTGTATTATGGTCTCCACGCTACTAAACGTAACAGATCTTGGCTTAACAGCCCCAGATGCCAACAAGTCGGGGAAATCAACAGGGGCATTACCTCTCCCCACGCAAGTTCATGTCATGCCATTGTAGTACCTAACGGAGACAGCTTCTTACCTGGATGGTAGGCTAATGCGGGGGTGGCACGCGGGCATTTTTCTTCAACGCGGGAGATCCTCCCAAGAGGATGGGTAGCTTATATACTTACCCAATCTTACTAGTTATAGAATAGGAAGCTGAACGAGGCCAATGTGCTAGTTAGCTCTAGATGAAATAGACGAATGTTACGACGCGGGGGCAACATCAGACTATAGGTCAAATTTGAACTTTTGTTGAGGGTGTGAAGCGTCCTATTTTGCGTTGTTTTATAGCTGTATGGATGCTATCTACCTAGGTAGTTGATTTTCAGCTCTTCCCGACTAGTAACTGTATATTTGCTTCCTCTGTTCCATCTGTTTTTAAGGCTCAAAATTCATTAGAAGGCATTCTCGCAACGTTTCACGCGGTATTCTTCTTACTGTACACTTCTATCTCGTCCCAAAATACTCATATTGAAATTTTGGAGTTACCATGGCGTTGGTAACGAAAGCGGATATTCGACTTCACCTATTGTGTATCTTTTTTGCGGTCGGATCATTCGTTTGGGGGTAAGACACCATTCTTGTTAGATTCCTCTTGCGCTATTTCAATCCACTCATTACCGGATTCCCCGTCTGAAGCTCAAAGGCTGCCGCAATATTGCACAAGGATTAAGAGCCGCTGCTGATCTTTCCCACATCGTATAGATACAATGTCGGTATCCTCTCGTCTGTATTGGTTCATCCCGGATTTATTAAGGCGATGGGTCATCTTACGCCATCACGAAAAGGAGTAATCACCGCTATATATTATTTAGGAACATGGTACGGCTTCGTTCTTCGTAGAATGCTGCTGTCGCGTAGGCTAATGATACGGCAGTGAGTGATTGGTGTTGAGCTTTTTTTCTCAGTTCGCCTTGGCTTGTTGGCGCAGGGTGGCCGAAGAGACCTGAAATGACCCTGTTCGCTATCAATAGCATCAGAACGACGTTGCGTCCCTACAAATGTGCTAATAATCAATAGGGTTAAGCTATGTATTCATCTCTCATCCAGCTAGTGACCTCTTCGGGAGGCGATACGCGGCCTTAACTGGTATCTTCATTGTCGCGGTAGGCACAGCATTCGAAAGTGGTGCTACAGGCTCTGGTGCATATGCCATGATGATTGTGGGGCGTATAATCTCGGGTATTGGGGTGGGCATGCTATCGACATCTGTGCCCTTGTATCAGAGGTAAATCCTCCCTTTGGATAAGAACGAAAGGAGGCACGCTGACGTACGGCTCTTAGTGAGGTTGCTCCAGCAGGAAAGCGTGGAAAATATGTCGTTTTGAACCACGTCGGGTTTGTTGCTGGTTTGGCGGCCGGTTTTTGGTACGTGTATCATCTCATTTCAAGTCGTAGAATCAAAACCACTGATTGAATGGCTTCTAGGGTCGGATACGGCATAACTTTCTGGGAAGGCTCACAGTATAATGTGTACATTTCGTGGAGAGTTTCGCTCGCTGTCATTTTGATTCCGTGCGTTATTTTCGGAGTTGGGCTTCCATTCCTTCCTGAGACGTAAGTCATTCTGTTCTAAATGGGCGTCCTCTATGCTAGAAGCCTGTTTCGCAATGGCGATGCAATGCTAACGATAATTCAACTAGACCGCGCTGGCTCATCGAACATGGGCACTATGATACAGCTCATAAATCGTTGTACTGGCTGCGAGAAGGTAGTTTCACGGAATCTGAAATCGACGCCGAATTAGCGCACATTCGAGAAAATGTAGAAACGCATCGAATCTCGGGGGAAGCAAACTGGCTATCTCTATTCCGAGATCGAAATCTATTCGAAAGGTTATGGAGAGCATCTTTGCTTCAATTCATGGCACAGATGTGTGGCGCCACTGCTATGAAATATTACTTACCAACGCTGTTCGCAAAACTCGGTCTACCCACAAGAGTCACCCTAATGGCGGGAGGTATTGAGTCGACCTTAAAAATAGGCATGACGGTTATTGAGATGTTCCTTATCGATCGACTCGGCAGAAGGGTGACATTGACGGCGGGTTGTGTGGCGATGGGGTTCGCTATGTTGGTGAGTTGACTTGTCCTTTGTTACTCTCGTTCCTCTTCAATGTAGATGTAATTTGGCTAATAATTTTGAATTCAAGATCAATGGCGTATTGGGACAGGTATACCCAGATAATACCAACAGCGCTGCCGATGTAGTCTGTATTGTGTTCATTTTTATTTATGCTCTGGGTTATAGTATGGGTTTTGGTCCCGCAGCTTGGGTGTACGGATCAGAGGTAAGAATCGTTCAAATTGATCTTCACTATTGAGGTATTAACATAGTTATCAGATATTTCCGACATCAGTTCGAGCTCGTGGACTTAACTTTTCTGCTTCGGGTGGTGCTATCGGTTCTATTGTAGTCGCCCAAGTTTGGCCTGTTGGTATTGATACAATTGGTTCGAAGATCTATTTCTTTTTTATGGCGGTCAATTTCGTCTGCATCCCGGTGAGTCTTAGTAAATCCCGTACCAATAATTTATCGAGTGAGCTTTGGCTGATTCTGAACAATCAAGATAATCGTTCTCTTCTATCCCGAGACGAAGGGTCGGCCGTTAGAAGATATGGATCTTCTATTCAATAAGGCTATCGGAGGAATTGAAGACGTTGATGAACATTCCGAGCCTGTGCTACCTAAAAATGCTAGCCGTCCTTCGCAGAGTTGAAACTTTTGACAATTTGGATCAGATCATCAATAGATCTAATTGATTTAGTCCGACATACACTGCTACAAACACCTGGGTGTGGTCGGACGTCAACTTGGCTATCTCGGGTTCATCGGCGAGTACTAGAAATGTTAGATAGTAGCTATAGTTGAACGAGAAGAAGCAACTCACCACTTTGAGACAAAACATCGCGACCTCATTTGCTAAACTTCATGATTCCATAGCTGATAATCCGTCTATCCTTAATCTTGGCCTGCTCCATGAACACCTAGGTACTATTCCTAGTGGAAATAAAAACAAAAATAGTATTTCGCTGGTATCTACCAAACGCCCCTCCAATGCTATGTGTAATGATCCATCATAATCGTAATTAAGCAGATAGCTTAACAATTCCCATATCCTTCACTCTAAACCCATCTGAGCCTCATCTCCGATACCCCATTGACCTTGATCCCTTTGATGTCCTTGAATTTCTAATTCTAATGCTGGTGTAAGACTACCTTCGTCATCGTTCGAACGTAAACTTGCAGCCTCGCTTGTCCTTCTAGATCTATGTGTGCCACCCGTAGTTCGACGACGTAGCGAAGGACCAGGTAACCTGAACCTAGCCGATTTAGATGAGGTACTAAGGACTGAGACTGCATCGTCCTCTTCCCTAGACGTATTCTTGTCGGGTTCTGGATTCGTCGATACTTCTGGACTAGAAGTGGATACGGTAGATACTTCTATCCTCTCTGAGCTAGGTGTAGAAACTGGAGGTGGTCGTGCGGGCAACTCGGGTGGTGGGGGTGAATTCGAATGATCGGCAATTTCAACCAGTTCAGCATCACGATACCATTTACGTCGACGTGTCCAACGACCCCAACCATCATTTCCTCGACGACCATTCTGCCACTACATGATTGTAAGAATGATTAGCCCACTTAATTGGGTCTAATATGAAAAACGTACCTTGTTATCGTAAAATATCCACCCATTCTTACCAGCATCTGTGTCGTAATCGGGTTCATCAAGATCGGGTGCGCCATCGACACGCCATTTACTTCCTTCTACCCATCTCCATTTCGCATGTCCATCTTCTACTTCTGGTAATTCGAATTCATCTTTAGGAGGTACTACATTATTGTGTTCATCTGTCCAAGCCGCACGTTCGTAGGCGAATAAACTATTCGTCCATCCTAATCCTAACCAACGCCTTTGATTTTCGTATATGATAAATGTGAAGCGTACGCCCGAGTCCTTAGCCCCCGCACGGCCGCTATGTTTAAGAGCTTCCGTCAAGGCGGATGGTGAGATTTTAGCGGTTCCGTTTGGTTTCTTCGTCTTGGAAGTAGCTGTGAAGGGGTCGGCCTGTTTACCATTGGTACCTTCTGGCTTGGCCTTTGTTGGTTCTTCAAATTGTAATCCAGTTATTAATCTTGCTAATTTCCTCATCGTAGCGCTTCGCCATAACAGCGTTCGTGATACTCTACATACTCTAGAGTGCCAAGTAAGTAGAGTGGTCCCAAATACTAAGGCAACTCTTCTTGTCGTTATGATTCGTAGCGGTGGAAGTGTTAATGCTATCCAGACGGGAGTGATGGCTAATATACGAACGAACAATGTAGTCAAGGCTGGTCGGGTGGTTGCGCTAGTAGCTGTTCGTTGTGTAGAAAGGAAATCGGTCATTTCGAGTAAGGGTTCAAGTAGGATATTACATCTAGTCGTAAAGACTTTAACGGTATCGACGATCTCGTCCAACGTTTTTTGGTGTTTCGTACTAGTAAACTCGCTCGCGTTACGTTGATGTAAACCGTTGGCGCTTCCTCCAGCCGATGCGACCGATGCTTTCTTATCCTTGTTATTGGCGACACTTGGATGTTCGGTCCAACCACTACTTGATAACGGACTATATCTTCGTCCGTACATTCCACCTATTATACCCATGACTACTACGATTGGACCGGCGAATCGCACTACGACGTCGCCATAGAGTACCGCTGCCCAGAAGATGATGAGCAATAGGAAACTCTCCCATGGATCCCCGGTTGTCCATGTTAATAATCCCACCAATTTATTAAGCGGCAAGAGAAATGGATGGCTATAAGCTAGGGCGCGTGTGATTTGAGGCGGCGTGGCTAATAGCAAGGGGGATTTTTGGTGTACGAGAATAGTTGATCTTCGTTTGGCAGCCGAGGCGGCAGTGGAAAGGTTCGCGGGAGAGAAAGAGGCATAGGTAGGAGGAGCGTAGGTTGGAGGAGGATCGGAAGGAGTTATAAGACCGTCGACGTCGGCGCGGGAAGTAGATTTCGGGGTCGACATGTGTGTAAGCCAAGGGGTATCCTGAAGCGCGAAAGTAAAGAAAAGAAAGTGTTAGTCTTTTGATACGCGAAGATCATATTATAAGCAAAGTGATATAGATAATACAGATTACAGTATTTTGTTACTGTGCTATTCTGCTGCTGTTTGCTGTCCTATCTCTTGATATTTCACAGTGGTTGCCTGGATGTTATGAAATCATCCTAGACTGCTAAGTTGCTAAACTCCTAGATTGTCGGAGGGAATGGAAATGGAAATGGGAGTAGGAATACAAATGCGAATGCCGAGGTTTATGCACATTGATCATCATCTGGTCCGATGACGCCTTCAATTAAAAACGTATGAGACAACAGCTTTAAACCAATGCAATGGAAAGATGAAAAGGAATAATAATAATGATAATAATGGTTTGGATAGAGCTTACCAGAGCAGCCATCAAGGGCCGTAGTTAAAGAAAAAAAAAAAAAAAAAAGGAAAAGGAAGTTGTCGCGGGATACAATTCGAGACTGCTCTATTCTTGATCGCGGCTAGATTTAATCCGAGTTGCCTGCTGTCGTTACTGCCGCCACCTTCAAAACGACGTCATTTAGTGATGGTAGATCCTGGTACGCGTAACTGTAAAAGATACCTATTATACCTATTCGGTACATGGTAGATAGTTTAATACTTTTCACTACACGTATAGGTAGTTGTAGGTGATATTAAATAGATGGTAAAAACACATAGGTAATAATGAAACGAAAGGATCTAAGAAAATAGAATCAGCTTGAAGATATTTAAAACCATTTCTCATTAAAAAGATTAAAGAGAGATTGGTAAATACTATCCGAGATGATTCTATGATTCCATCTGACAAAAGAAATCTAGCTTGCCTGAAAGAGGTATCAGATACCTTGCTTAATTACCCAATATCGTTTAGCCTGCTGACCTAGCATGACTCCATTGCGGGGAAATAATGCTGACATCTCCAGCTCCTCGGTATTTTCACATGTCACGCCAGCACGCTCTGTAGCTAGGGAGCTTAATACATGTACTACCATCCTAGGTGAATACGTCAGGGATGGAACCCTAGGATAACCTCCACCTTACTTAATTAATCAAGAACGAAGCTGTTTGAAATGTCATATCAAATCACTTTATCATTAGAAGAATTTCAGAAACATGGCATTCATTACTCTAATAACGGGGGGGTATAAGTAGCCTGACTATCTAGTAGGTATCGTGTTAACCTGAGGTAAACTCCACCCCAACATCATGGCTCAAATCAAGGATCAATATAGCAAAGGAAGAATCGAAAAAACTAACCCCCCCTCCTTTTTATCCCCCTTCTCCTAGACCCTCGCAGAACGAACTGTCACCACCATCTTCTCGTCCATTCATGCCTAGGTAGTTGGAACATGGGGTAGTAGATCCCAACGTCGTTAGTCGCGTAAGCAGCCATCATACATCAAGTTTATATTGGATGGCGGGATTTACTTGTCGAATCCATTGAGCGAACCGGCGAGATTGAACCATACCGCTTCCCAACGGGCTTCCTTCACTGCGACTGAAAGCGAGGTTCACCACCGACCCGTCTTCGTGTACTAGCAAGACAAGACGGTGACGGTCACTCAACTCCGCCGCGTGCATTCTAGAAAAGCTAGTATACTTGCATGGGTCAATAGTAACGTTGCCCATTGGTCCTCGTCCCCGGAGGCTCTTTTTGTCAGGGCTGTAAAAGAGCTGGACGCCACGTTCCCCATCCGACTTCGTCCAATGCTGATTGTGATCGTCGTTGTGATATGTAATCAGCTCGAAGTCTGCATTAGCTGTACTGGGTACCGACATACTGGCGATATTTGCTACTCCCTTCTGGGAATCATCTCGGCTCTCGGCCTCAGTAGACTTGAACGCTATACCGAATCCGCTAGGCTGAGAAAGTTGAGGAGGTTGGCTCAAACCAGGTGTCATAGGTGGTTGGTTCATACTTAGAGTCGACTTGTTCGACAATACGTTTGGTACAGAGGATGTAGAGGATGTAGAACACGCCTGATGGGAGAGCTTACGCGCAGACTTCATACCCATTGCTACCGAATCTGCTGGATCCGATGGTCCTGCTGGTCCTGTTAATCCCGCCAAAACTGCTGGCCCTGATGAACCTGCTGAGCCCGCTGAACCTGAGGGTCCTGCAGGTACTGTTGCGTCTGTTGCATCTGCTGCATCTGCCAAACCAGCCTCACCAGCCTCACGCGTTTCAGATGTGGGATTAGCCTGCGAAGCTGATTGACCAGAAGTTTTTGTGCTTCGTAGAGGGTAAGACTCAAAATCAGCCTTAGCTTCCGCAATGACAGAAGGATCGTTGTCCCAATCATGTGGTTCGAGGTCGAGGACGTTATCGTCGACGTCGTTGGCTTCGTTGATGACCTTACCATCCACGTCCGCGTCGGATATCTCGTAATCCTCGTCACCTTCGATCTCACCACCTTTGTCCATCATCTCCCTTAGCAACTTTTCGGTTTCAGTCGTACCATTCGAAGTACTAGATCTAGCCTCCGATTCGAGATCTGAATCGACTGAATCATTGTTATTGCCAGACACACCAGTTCCTTCGGCAGGTCCATGAGCTCCATCATTTCCATAATGGCCGGTAAGAAGAACTAATGAGCAATATGTCAGTTGAGGAACTTGGGTAAAGGAAAAGGGGAACAAGAAAGTATAAACTACTTACCATTCATTCGATTCCTCTCTCTATCATCCCATGTCTTAAAACCTTCCCTCTCGGCAATCCATCGACGTGCAGCATTGAAGGGATCACTGGGATCAGATGGTGCGTCGGTCTTGTAGAGCGGAAATCTTTCTAGATCTTCAGCTGGGAGCCAGGCTACAGTCTGACTTTCGTCGAAGAACATTACTGGGAACCTCCTAAACTTGACTCTAGGACCTCCATTCGCGTACTCCGGCTTCCAACTAATGATCTTGTTGTCGCCATAGACGTAACAACCGGGCGGACGAGAGGATTTCTCCAGTAGGCCAGTATCCTTGAGGGTGGTTCCGCATTCCAAACCACTTCCGTCTTGCGCATCCCATCCTAGGATCATGACCGGGTAAATTAGGTTCTCTCCCCCATCAGCCGTGAGCTTCCAACGGCCATAATAAATGTGGAAGTCCTTCGGGTTTAGAATAATTGGGTTGCCCGGATCGGCGGACTTGGAATCCCTTGGTGCATTCCGAGATGTAGCGGTCTCTTGAGTCGGACCCTGGCTCGTAACTGCTACTTCGGGCGCAGTGGGAAGAATAACAGGAGCGTTGCTGGTAGATTCCTGCTGTTTGTTGTGAGTAGTGCTCAATCGTCTTGTCGTCTTAGAACTAGGCGATTTATGACCAGTGCCATATGATTCTTCTGCAAGTTTGTTGTTCAATTCCGCTAGCGCCTCATTGCAGTCCACTACCTGGTATCCCAGGGTCTTCACGGCTGTATCCCGGTTTCTATCCGGGAAGCCATGGTGGGAACCATTTAGGTGCGTTGCAGCACCCGTGACTGGGTTCGACTTGAAACGAAGATTGTGTTTTCCACACTTGAGGATGTACCACTTATGACTGCCGGCCGGCCACTCCACGATCGTATCCTTGTGGTCAGCTTTGCCATCCTGGTAAACTTCGTTGAATGCGACAAATCTCTGAGGAGCAGACTCGACTTTCTGAGGAGTGGACTCAAATCTCTGAGGAGCAAACTCAACCAAAGGTGTAGTTGCAGGGGTACAAAGGGGATTGGGATTGATGGCGGTATCAAGGCGCAGTCGCTTCGTATTATCCCCAGGCAAAGATGCCTTGCGTTTCTTGGACTGGATTCGCATTATTAGACGTCGTTCTCCTAAGATGGTTTCGTGATGTATGGAACAAATCCAGGGGCGATTTATATAATACAGCGGGTTTTTAAGCGGAAAAGCGGATGGGATCGATAGCATTCGCCGGTCAATATCCTCCGGTCGGCCAGGTCCATTACTTACATCTAGAAACTTCGAGGTATCACCAGCTGTGACGCCGATATCTTTACTCAGAGTTGGCGACGTAAAATGCGTTGCGGCGAATTCTTCATCATCGATTATCTCGCCTTGGTCGTGAAGTGTGTCGTTAGTGGGTATATTTAACTCAAGCTGGTCGTGAGATGTCGGTTGGTGGCGACTAGAACCTCCCATGTAATCTTTCTCGATTTTCTCGATTTGTTGCTTATGATTAGCCTCGAGGGTTTGGATTTCGTACTTAAAACTCTTGTCCGCCATGGGCAAGAGGACGTTCCGATACAAATCTTCAGGCAAAGCTGCCTTCATTTGCTCAAGGTTGTACTCATGGGTTAGGGAAAGGCATTTCTTTTCACTCTCTAGCATACCCTTTCGCAGATCCACAAGTTGATTCATGTTGGCGAGCCGGTTTGCTTGGAAACTCAAGCCAGCCGGAGAATCCATCTTGACTCGAGGAAATCAAAAGAAGATTACAAACGGATCAAATGAAGTGGGAATTCATATGGAAAAAGGTCCAAGGGGAATTAAAGTGACCAAACTAAAAGTGAGGCATCAATTCCAATCCTCGTGTAAAAGTTGCGTTCCTATAATAAGGTTGATTAGCAATGACGAGAAAGAAGGTAGTAGTAAACGATGGAATAAATATAAGAAGTAGAATATGTAAAACAAACCAGAAGATGAATGATGGTACGCAGTAAATGCGGGCCAGCAACGTCGTCTTGCTGCGTAGAGGAGTGATGAAGGTCACTAATGGGTGAAGAGAGTCTGGTACTCCGTATAGGAAAATGACTTGGTAGAGTAGGTAGAGATCAAAGTACGAGTAGGGGGTGGACAAGTATTGCGGTGGGCTGTCAACACGACAACAGAAGGAAGAAAGGATTTAAAAAAGGTAAACGAAAACTGTTCAAGGTCGAGAACCAAGATTAAAAGATTTAGAAGGGGAGGTTACTCGTAATAACGATGTCGTTTTTTGCGGATTTGACGAGCACCTTCAGTATTGGGTAGAACGAATTTTTTGTCATGCGAGGGTAGTTGCCTATACGAAGGAAAGGTAGGAGGCGTGTATCCTCAGTACTTGGGTAGGCAAGAAATCAAAGGTTGGGTGAGGGTCAAATAAATTGATCGAGAAAGAAAAAGAAGTAACTCGTTGGTGTTGAAGTGATGGGTGGGTGACTTCCAATGTCTGGACCTACCGCAGCAACTACAGCACCTATAGGAAGTACCTAAACCAACTAATGCGCATACCTATCGTATGTACCTTCATGTAGATAGGTAGTAGGTAGTAGGTAAGAGCCTAAGATGTAGGTGGGTAGAGACCTGGAGGGTTCTGTACCTACGTTGATAGGTACGTGTATCCCCCGAAGAAGGACGCGAAGACTAAGCGCATGTACTCGCCTTTAGTGTTGGAGAAACCCTACTGATCTTGGCTTAGTCCATTAATTCTTACTTGAACGAAGAAGGTGTGAAGCACCTACATATGTACACATGTACTTATATTCGACAGTGGGAAGTTACCCGTCTTTAAATAAGGTCCCAACGAGCGCTAATGGCTAAGCTGGAAAGGCAAGTACTGCAAGGACGACGAGGAAGTGAGATTCGACATTAGAAGGTAAAATTTTAGGAGGTACATATACAGCAGGGTACCCAAGTATATACTAAAATGACCATCATCAATTGATACATGTATGCCTTGGGCAGAAAGGTACTTAGGTATCTACAGAGAGAAGGGCGCCATATGCGAGTACAATAATACGTGATAGAATAGAAGAAATTCATTCGCCTCTCATTTCCTTCTTTTTTCTTTTTCTTTTAGAATGTCAGGTAACATCGTAAACATTAAGAATAACCACTGGAGGATACATACATTAATTGTCTGTACCTAATATTAGGTACGAGGGACCTAAATTAGTTAGTGTGCGGGCTGTTCCGGCGTTGTGTCTACTGGTAAGACGGGGTAGTAACGCCGCTGATCGTACTAGTGTTATGGGGGTTTAACGTATTAACTATACGACGCTAACCTCGATTGGGGACTGAATAACAACTTCATTTAATCCTTTCGAGATTTCGCCGTTTAACTTGCTTTTCACTAACGGCGAACAGCTTTTATTAATACCTTTTATCCACCTATTGAGTAGTAAGTTATGTATATATATTTTATCGCCTTAGTTCGCCGTATACATGTATACGCACTTAGTACCAATGTAGAGTATCGGGGGTATCGGTGGGAAATGCGGCGGGGAGGGGTACATGCACCCATTTAATTGGCAGCTATAACCACCTGGGTAATTACAAAGCTGTAAGAAGGCGCTATGTACGTTCTTACTAGATGCGTGTATATGTACCTAGGTACTCAAACAGCTGCAGCTACCGGGTAGTGATAAGTACCTACCTATGGAAGTACAGCAGTGACCTATCCGTATGCAAGCCACTGGACCACAGCGTCGGGTTACTAACTCCAGATGTCCGTAAATAGTGGTATGAGATGAGGCCAATTAAATCTAACTACCTAACTGTGTACCTAGGCTCTAGAGTTAGTTGCGGCGTTAGATACAGACGAGGTTGAATTTCAACTACAAACATACCTAGGTACACTTATCTGCTGGATGTACGCAAAGACGTTATTGTTGACCTCAACATCTTCATAGGTAGATAGCATACTTAAGTATCCTTCATTTAATTTGCTATGGGTTATGAGAAATGACATGTCACATAGTACCTATTCATTGTCAACACACCCAGCCAAATAATTTATCTACGGCTATCCTCCCCTCCTTTTCATCAAGATATGTCTACAAAATTCCAGCCACGATTTTATTTCAGCAATAGACGACCAATCATAATATTGTACCTCACGCAGGTCTTAAAACTACCTAGCACATTACGTTCAAGTCTTTCTAACAAACGGACAGTGGTGACACATGGTATTAATAACCCTACCCGTAGGCACAATGTCCGTTTCATTGTATCGTATCGTGGGAGGAGCCATTGAGGGGCAATATAGCAACATAGCCATTTCTAATATGGCCTCAGAACAAGTCGGATGTGTTGTTCACAGAAAAGGCCCATCGGAAGGTTATCCAGCCACCTAGAAAAGACGTAGTGTAACATAGTGTTGGCCATACTGCCTAGGTACCCGAGGCTCATGGTTCCTGGGGAAATATACCTAGGTAGGTAGCGTTTGAATTTCCCAAGCATTATACCCAGTCATCGTCGTTTTTATCCTTGTCTTCCTCTTCTGCATTGTCCTCCTCATCTTCATCATCTTCATCATCTTCATCATCTTCATCATCTTCATCATCTTCATCATCTTCACTACCCTCGTCATCTGCATCCTTCTTTTCACTATCCATACCATACGATTCTTCTAAATCATCCCAATCAGTTCCCGAGAAAATCCTCCCACTAATGATGTTGAACATATCTTTTGACCGAAAAAAGAACTTTCCCATCTTTGGATCCTCATTATCCTCTGCATTCTCTTCATCTTTAAATCCTGGATCGGCGTACACAAGTAATAAACCATGATCCTCGATATCTTCGTTTGTGACGACAATAAAATAATCAGGCATCCAACCAATTAAAGAAGCGCCCCCGTCAGTTGGTTTTATATCTTTATCCATGGCGATATGGGTGGTTATCAATTCGGTAAGGCTTTGACCAGAGAAATCCGGTGTTGGTTTTGCAACGCGTACTACTTTATTTTCCATATATATCGTTTCCCATTCTTCTTGTGGAATTTCGGCAATCTCTTCTAGGCGCGACATAGATATGTTTGGCACCATCGTATAGAGAGGAACGGAAGCAGATTCGGTGTTGGTTTCGTCTAATACCTTTACCATTTCTGGTTGGAAAGGAGGAAGTGATAGGTCTAATGACTCAATTGCCATGATTGATGAATGCAACAAGGAATAAATTTATTAATTCAATCTTGAATTGAGGCGCCAATTAAAAGAAGAACATATCTAAGCAGACAAAGTAGCAAGAGTAGGAATATATAAGATTCGAGGCGTTTAAGAGACGAGTTCATACGCGAATGCGAAATGTTGGAACTGATTGTTGGTGGCGGAGCTACCGTTGCTTGTTGGTTCACCCACTTACCGCTGTATGCATGCAAGTACTTTCTATAACTGGAATCCCTTAGCTAGAGAATTGGAAACAGGGGGAATTTGGACGATCATATGCATCAAGTTTGCCGAAAGTTCCTTGTCTAAAGCCGGGACATTTGTCGAATCGGTACGTTTACCTAGGCAGCGCAACATTGGATACTCGGTTGTGTTCCAAGGTTTACTTGTGTGGTTGAGGCTGGATATTGGGCGAAATAACTACCTAGATAGACGATCGCGAAAAGAACTTGAGGTGAGTAGTTCGGCGAAGTTATTGTAAGATTTCGCATTCAATAATAGTAAGGACGTGCTACGGTAATATGTCGCTGTCTATTCTGGCTCATGTTCATTCTACCATCATTAAGCTAACTAGGATATCCTTATCGTACACTTCTTTACATGCGATGATAGAACGACGAGGTAACTTGTTTGATATGAACATCGATGGGTACATCTTTCTATGCTCCAGACATCTCATCCATAGAATTAACTCTAGCATATTCATTAGGACCAAGACATCAGGTTTAGGGACGACTTAACAATCAATTCATGACGTCTAGCTCGATACTTGACTATTTGCGATACCATAATATCAAAGCATCAAAACTTGATTCGAAATAATCTAGTCATAAATTCGAATCAGATACATTAGGTACCTGGTATTCATGGGAAACCATCTTTCCATCCTTTCCGTCAAGTTCATCACCCCACACCAACTCCAGAATAATCCCATTCCTCCTTGAGAATACATTTAGGGAATCCTTCTTTTGCAACAAGTAGTAAAAATCAAAAGGGTAATATGGATCTACCAGAATGAACACCAACCAATATAATGTTGGCATAGGTTCTCTAGTTTTGTTGCTTCCATAATCAACTTATTGACTTGTGTAACGACGTCAAGTTCTTCGGTCGGCTTAAAATCGCGACCGGTTAATTTTTGATTTACGCGGTCCAATACCTCAACAGCACGAGCATTTTGTATTTCGGCCATTTCCCCTTCAAGTATTTGGCCAATACCATTGATTAAGCTTGAGTTCGTACGAGCTCGGGCACGAGATCCAGGAGGACCACCAGGGTGGGTTGTGTCTGTGGTTCCAGCGGGTTGTTGGGCGAGGAATTCGGAAGGTGGATGTTCTGCGTCTAAGATACTTGGTCTTCGAGCACGTTGAGCACCAGCACCTAAAGAGACTTCTCGTTCGGAACGGAAATTAGGACCAACGGGGGAGGCAGCATTGGTAAGGCGCCATGTTAGTAAGGGATCATGAATGAACTGTAGTATAATTATGTTAGTGATATGGCGATATTGAACAATAGCAATGATGACAAGAAATGGTAACTTACGGCTTCCAAGACGGCCATTACACTCTCCTTGTTTTCGCGAAGTACACGCATGACATGTTCACATGTGATTCGGAAGCTACCTTCAATATTGCTAACTTCCATAGCATATGTAAGCATTCTCGTGAGACGGAATGGTACTCTTTCGGGGTACTTGTCTCGTTTCATGGCAACTTCGAAACAATCGCCGAAGTCGATATGAATAATCTTTCCGGTGATACGATCTAGCATCAAATTGCTAGGATGCCTATCACCTAAACCAAGGATATAGCCGACCATACTCATGACACCTAAGCTTCGTGTGTAGTTGGTTCGTCTTTCAAGCCATGCCTCAGAACTCTTACTCTTTAGCCATAGGACACGATACAAATCTTGACCGGTAGTGTTATCTAATGCGTAACCGAATACCTCGACTTTTTGCATCAAGGTTAAATTGTCGTAGTCCGGTGCCATCTGTAACATAATGCGATGCTCTATATTAAGGAGGATCTTGCGGCTTTCCCGGTATTCGCGGATAAGTACGTGTAAGGTGTCGCTATTTGGTACCCAGCCTAGGAGACCTGAATTTTGGCTAAGAGGAATTGCTGGGTATCTCTGAATACCCAGATGGCGTTTGTAACATTCTGAATCGTTAGCGAGTAGAGTATTGCATAAGCCGAATAATTGCATGACACGTTCATCTTGTCGAATATCCTCATGTCCCTTGAGGAGGAAAGCGTATGAATTTCCATCGCTACCGTTGGTGTTTGCTTTTCTAGGTCGTTGTTTCGAATTGATCACGCTGAATGTCGTATCGAATGATAATATGCGAACGATAGGAGCACCACTACGGTACGTTCCAGGTACAGCAAGGTCAAGGTTTTTGGCGGCTAGCAATTTCGGAGAACAATACGCCAATTCGAGCGATGACATCTGTGGAAGTTGTCTGCCGATTCGACGGAATACTTGGTAATATAGATCCCATGCTTGATTGAGATCATTGACGTCGTGGCTACTTTCGTATTGGCGGCACCATTCTCGTGCTTCCGTAAGATCCCGACCAAAAGTCTGCGCGAAACTTATCTCACGTAGCGTTTCGGGACCACGTTCAAGCAATTCATGTAATGGTCCGAGTGTAGCAAACATGCCTTCAATGTTATGATCACCAAAGTACAATCGAGAAGCTTCCTCAAGGCCTTCATGCCAAAGTTCATGCCATAATACTGCGACCCGAATAAGCTCATGACTGACCGTGTCGGCTTGTTCGACTAGCTTGGCACTATGCGCACGCATACTATCCATAATCAATGCTGCCGACTTGGATCTTCTAGAACTCTGAGCCGACTTCATCGCTACGGTGAGTGGATAGACCAAGGCTTGAGGGTGGTTACGTCCAACATCGGCGAGTAAGTTGTGAATAGATTGACGAACTCGGGTATTGGGTTGGTTGATACGCGCGATTAATTGAGGGATCACCTCTAACCATGTATCAACACTGACAGTACCGAATCCTTGCGTTACTGCAGCGTTGACCTCGCTGCTGCCACCGTGAGCGAACCACAATGTGAGGAGACGTAATGTATCTTGAAGGGAACTTCCTGACGATAATGCGATAGACTTGAAAAAGCCTTGAACAGCAGGTACAACATGATTGATAATGATGGAAGCATCTGCTCTCGGGGCATTCCTATCACCAGGAGGTGTAAGAGCTTGTACAATTTCGAAATTTGCTAGAGCCCATGCATGCCAAGCCTTGTACCACTTCGGATTGTAGTGTGTGGCTTTCGAGTAGGATGTTAGAATATCTTGGACGTTATGATTCTGCCAGTCATGCTTATTCAATGCTACTTGCCATTCTCCTTGTTTTAGGAAACATTTGGCGAGAAGAACTGTCTGATCTTGAATGATCTTTTGCGCCCTTACGCTAGGCATTCCAGTATCTACCGCGTTATGGAAACCATAGTCGCTCATCGCGTCGATTCCATTGGGTGCGGTCTGTATGGCAGCTCTAGCCATTTCAAGACCATGAGCGGACTCATTCGTGAACTTTCGGAGACAGTATAGTGTCTTTTCAGGATGACCAGTCTGTCGTAATTTCGCTCCTTGACCGTATTCCCAATAGAATTTCAAGACGGCGTAAATAACCTGGGGTGGAATCCTAGTTGCCCCTTGTAGTTGAGATTGGCCATCTAGACTCCAATACGGTATTATTGTTTCGAGAGATTGTTCTGTACCGATGAGTTGCTTGAGGGATTTCTCGGCTAATCCCATTCTTCCAGATTTTCGACAGAGGTTCGCAAATTTGATCCACATATGCATGTTCTCAGCTGGAGTGATGACCAATCCACGTAACCTAAGCATTCGTTGCCAGACTTCCACGTTTCTTTGACATCCTTTCAGACGACTCTCCCACGTACGACGCATGGTGATTTTCTTCCTCTCATCTGCTTGCTTATATACAATAATCTCTTCGAGTTCTGCAAGCATCTGTACCCGAACAATAACCTGATAAGCACGATTGTAAGATTCGCTCACGAGGGCGCTTAATTCGGTATCAAGACCTTCCCGGGTTTGCTGGATGCATTTGGCAGCAGCTTGGAATTGGTTGCGGTGTAACGCTAGTATCGCGCCGAAGAATGAACGATCAGGTGAAGACTTCTTCATGGAGTGTAGGTAGTTATCCATCGAGTCCCATTTGCCTAGACCCCAAGCGGCCGCAGTCGCTAGAGGGGCAATACGTCTTTGAATTTCCGGTGCCGAATTTGCCCATGTGTTACTTGTTAAGTTGGCCAAAGCATCCCATTCGCCAAGAGCATGTAAACAACGCATCTTGCCCATAACAATATCAAGAGGAACTGCTTGATCTCGTGGCATTTCCGATTCTCTCTTGTTGTAGAATTGTAAGGCCTCTTCCCATCGCTCTAATTTTTCAAACCATGTCTCTCTAAGCTGAATGCCATCTTTGTAGAGCTGCGCCTTGCGAAGAATGCCTATAGCGGCATCATATTGTTGAAGCTTGTTGTTTATAACAATCAAGGCTTCTACAGCTGGTCCACTTTGATCTTGTAGGAATTCCAACTCCTTATAGTGGAGAGCTTTCGCATATGCATGACAACGAGCGGCTTCCCTTCCGAGGACCCTAATATCAATAGGCAAAGCTTTGTCATCATGTTCCATGAACTCAGCCAGATTGAGTAGGAGTCCAAGTAGATCTGGTGGTACATTCTCCGAGCGTATAGCGTTCTCGATGTTTTGGATGAGTTCATCTTGGAATTGTTCGTATAACTCGCTCCAACAAGACACAAAAGCCGAGTTGAATAACTCACGAGCTAGTGGTAAATGTACACTAGCTAGAACAGCACAGGCTCGTAGGGCATGATTTGGTGATTCGGTTAGGAGGGTGGTACTAAATCGACGAAGCCATTCTTGCCAATCTTCCTTGGTCGATTTACCCTTAGTATCCCAAGCAGCTTTTAGATGTATCGCATTCATCTCGAGTTTCTTGTTTCCAAGGTCGGCAAAGGATGGTTCATCTAGTTGGTCGATAAATCGTGTTTCTGAGCTTAGATCCTGTGGTAGAGCTTCTCCCTTTTGCAACTTGCTGACTAGTAGCTCGTAGTTTTGGTGTTGAATTTGGTTACCTTGTAAGACCTTGGTAACAGTCCCCATGAAATGTAGATAATCCCTTCCAAGTTGTTGGATGAGAGCGCACAACGTATCTAGTGCTGCTACTCGTAGTGACGACTCTCCACTAGCAAGGATTCGAGTTAATGGATGGATAATTTTGGCCGCGTAATCGTTTAGATTGACTTGACGGGATATCTTGCCCACAGTTTCAATAGCGGACTTGCGTAGGAATGTCGGTTGACCTTGTTTCTCAAACGTACGTACCACCACCGGGATGATAAGGTGCATGTATTCTTCACTGCTGGATCCGAAAACAAGAAAGGCATGTAAGACTTTTTCGGAAGGAATTCGTTTCGTAGTCGAATCCTTTTCCAAGACACCAAGCATAGCTGGTAGTAAACCTGCTAAATAGATCTTGAATTCTCCTTCTAACGATCTCGAAATTGCCTCAATTAACGATAATATGGTAGCTTGTAGCGAGGGTGATGTATTCCAGTAATTGTGAAGTGTTTCAATTATCTGGGGTAGATAATTTCGGATGTGTTGACGCACAATGCTGACAAGAGTCGCTAATTGATTGAAATAGGATTCGAGCCGGCCTGGTGGACAATCTCTTATCACCTCTAGGAATGCCGGAATAATACGATCTAGGAAAGAAACGCATTCTAACCCAAGAGTACGGAAGATGTTCATAATAGCTTCAATGACCGCAGCGTGATGTTGAGCCAGAGAACTATCTTTGAGGATGTTCAGAAGAGCGTTAATGACAACAGTAGGATAATACTCCTTATTCGACGGAGTTAAACCTGTCATCATTAGTGATATATCGGTCATTCGGTTGGTTTCGACACGTCGTCTAGCATCAGGGGCTCGTTCTTCGACTTGCTGTGTATCATTTTGGTTAGCATTTTGTTCAGACTCATTTTTCTTGTTATTAATTCTCTGGGGCTTCTTCATTAGGGTGTTCATTTTTATGCCCTTATACTTCTCATGCCTTAGCTCGAAATCAGAACCTTCATCCGAGTAGAGAAGATTGATATTCTCACTCGTAGGGTTTCCTCGCTTATAAGCACGTTGCCAGGTGTATTCGTCTTGGGGATTCTGTACCTGATGTCTGTAGGGATCCAGTGCACCTAAAATTCCCATAAGCTTAATCGTGCCTTGTCGCAGAGGTCCTCTTTGAGGTTCGGCTCGAATGATGTGTTGAAGAAGATCGAGAAGTTCCGGATATTCGAGGTAAGGATCAATAACGTAACCGGAGTTACTCGCAAGTTGACCTAACGTGTGTAGAGCCGCTTCACGTTTGACGTTGGAGGCATGATCTTTCAACGCATCAATGATGATCGGCATAAGCTTGTCCTTATAGGGAAGCATGTCTTCACCTCCAACTGTTGCAAGTTCGCCGATTGCTTTGAGAATAGTAGCTGCGACGGCATGATTTGTATCAGCAGCTTTTGGGAGAAGCACTGAGATCATGGGTTCGACGTATGGTTTGATTAATCCTTGGGCATTCTGTACCAAGTGACTAAGAAGTTTCGCGCTCTCTTCTTTGTTACGTGGGGCATCCGAAAACTCGAGTTCCGTGAGCATTTGAATTAGAGTCTTGCGTAGGGATGGAATGACATAGGCTGGATTATAACGCGCAAGGCGTCCTATGATGGATATAGCTACTTCTCTGATACCAAACACCTCATCGTTTAGGGCGAAGAAGAGTGTACGGATATTCTCCGCTTTGGCAAGGTGAGGATCGAATCGTTCATCAAGAGCTGCTAGAACAGTCTCACGTATTTTCGATTCGGGGTCGGATACACCTACGGTTAGTAGTTTCTCGATGACATCACCGACAACTTGTAATGCATGATAGCTCGTTTGATTCACAATAGGATCTCGTACGTAAAGTTGACAGCATGTAAGGGCGGCAGCTTCACGAACTTCATGATCATCGTCATCGACATATTTAATGGCCACGTCACGAACGAATTCGTTAAGAATGTGGCCTTTACAAAATTAGCATCCCATGTTAGCATTGCTTTTTTTGTAATGAAGGGAGAAGAGGGAAGAAGACGATCATCGTAGCAATAGTAAGTTGTTATAGATGAAGTACTGATGGAATGATAATCGATGGGCGAACGAATAGGGGAGTTACGGATGGAGTCGGAAGAATTGATTGACTTACCTGAAAAGTCGAAGCTTCCCAATGTGTTCAATGCCAGCTTCACTTCAGCTTTTCGGTGTTCATAAGCTTGAGGATCCTTGGCATCCTTCGGGATGATGGGAACAGCTGATAATGTGTTTGGAGTAGGAGCCCCTAAAGGTTTGAATGGCTCTCCGCATAAGACCCTACTTAGCATATCAAGTAGCCTTTCTTGGATGGTCGCTTTCACTGGTGGTATGTAGAAGGCCATGTCGACTAATGCCTGGGTTAACTTTGGAGTGAGTTCGCAAGCAAAGATAGGATCCAGTAGAGCTTCCATATACTTGCTGAGTGTTTGACCAACCGCAGCAGCAAGTCTACTAATGCAATCAAAGACTGGATCGACGGAACCTCGTTTTCGAGATTGGACGCTTAAGCCTTCTCGAACGTAAATAAGAACACCATCGAGGTACGGCGCGATCGAACTTTTAACCGAGTTGGCGATACTTCCAATAGCCAAGAAGGCATCGTTTCGTTCCTTATCCTTCTTCAGCATGCCGGAAAGATATACCATGAACTTGTGAAGGTAGGCATGAGAGAAGTCGTTCGGCGAATATATCGCAAGGACAGGAATGAGTACCACTACGGTCTTACGTATGGTTACATCGCGATGATCTTTATGGCGGAAAACAATCTCGCAAGCGTCCTGATAATGTTCCTGCATATACATTCCACCTTGCTCGAGGAGTTCCTTCAATACCAATAATGATGCATGGATGTACTCGACGGTATTCATCTTAAGGCCTGCGATTGTTTCGTTATACATCTTGGTCATCCATGCTTGCTTCATTTCTTGATCTCGCTCGCGAATAATTTCGAAACAAGCACTAACGGTTTCGGCGGAGGTGGCGCGAATTAACTGCCTTGGATCACGAAGACCTTCCCAAATGAGGTCGAATATTAAACCGACGTAGGCGTACATCAAGGTAGGAGCATTTCGGGCTAGTTCGCGGAGGACCAAGACAGCACTATATCTCTTTTCCTCTACTCTATCCGACTGAAGCCATTCGAGAGCGGTTTTTACTTCGGATTCAACTAACTCGGATATTAAGGAACCACCAGGTTTACATAGCTTGCCTAGAGCTATGGCGGCAGGTTGCATAGGCACGATATCTTTTCCTCGTAAGATGGTTTTGAGATTCGCGGTAAATCTAGTATATTTCGCAGTGACATCGACACCTTCGAAATCGACGAGCGCATCGAGGGCATAAACACCACCTAATCGTTCGGAGGAATCGTTACCGTGTAGCATTAACATGGTAATTCTATTGTTGACGGAATTATAGAATACATGGAATTGTTCCGGTGGAAGGTCTGGGAATAGAAACCATGATCAGCTATAAATTCGGTATATACTCTCGTGTCTATCATAGTAATGCCTCAGAAGCAAGACAAAAGGGATACTATCGCATGTATGGTATTGTGTAGCGCTGTATTGTGTCGTATTGTGGTGGACCGCATCGCATCGCATCGCATCGTATTGTGTTGTGCCGAGTCATGTCGGGTTATATAGCTCTGGTACAAATGAATAGAAATAAAATATTCGTACCTCTATAACAAACAGCAACCAAATCCTTTAGATTACTGGCTGCTTGTTTTCGTATCTCGTCTCCGGCTCTGTTTGCGTCATAAGAAGTGAGTAGGTGGGATAAATGTGTAGACGTAACTGAGGGATCAGATCATACCTCGACTTTAGATCTCTTGTTATAACATCGAGGGCCTCAAGGGCCACTTGCTGTTGTTGCGCCATGATGAACGGTAGCGGCAACGACAACTTGATAGTGTCGAATGAATGTAATGTCGGTCTTCTTTACCCTTCAGCCGCGTTGAAGACAGCTTCAGGAGCCGACCGCAAACAAACGCATCAAGGGTATGGTTGATGGTAGTACTGCGACATTCGATCGCAAGAACAAGATGAAACCTATCACCACCAGGAAGATTAAAGAGGGGAGATAAAAAGAAGGGAATTATTATGCGTAAAGGAGGTATACAGAGAATGAAGAAGGGAGATGAATAAAAGTAGCCTCGTTATAGAGGCGGTAAGAATGTTGTTTGTTGGAGCGTACACTTTGCTCGAATTATCGAGCTCGTGACGAAGAACGAGACAGGAGAAAAAGAAGGGGAGCTTTAGACGGCTTGTACGTACGTAGCCGTGAACAACGCGCTAAACTTTCAAGGTTGTTAGGTAGATACATTCACTATAGGTATTGTAGGTGTACCTAAGCATGTCCTATAATTGTCCTATAATTGTCCTATAATTGTCCTATATTAGCGCATTAAAACACGCGAGTGCCCAAGTGCTGCTTGGTTACACGCGGGTTGACCCAAGAATCCGTGCTACCTGCACGCTACCAAGAAATAATACTAGGTGGTTTTATCCAATCACTGATGCCGGAGACCTTATGACGGTCAAGATTGAGCGTTATTTCAGCGGGTTTTACTGTTTAAGGGTACGCTAAGCTGCGCGTACCGGGTACTTAACTCTGCGAAGTTTAGTACCCACGCACTAGCTTTATCTTATCGATATGAAGTAATACCTAGGTACACTGATTAATGGATTTCAATCCGCCTTGTTGCCGCCACTCTCCTATCGCATCCATCATATTTCCAACAATTCATTGCCATCATTCTGTCGAGTTGACTGTCGCATACTCCTTCGCCTAACTTCGCTCTCTAGTTGTTCTCGGTCTCTACAGACTAATTGAACACTGGGCGATTTAATCAAACTCGTCATCTTCCACGAAATCTTCAATTCTCCCCATTCTCCATATCAATATCTATTCATCATGGGAAATGATGGTGGTTCTATTCCCAAGCGACGTGAGCTCGTACGAGAGGCGGCTCGACTTCCTACAACCTCCGAACTAAAAGCTACCGCTCTCGAATCCTTAACACATGCCTGGACTACATGTCCTCTATCCGACGCACCTCTCGATCTCTCCAATACGGTATCCGACTGGCGAGGGAGATTATATAATTACGAATCCGTCCTACAATGCCTTATCCCTTCTTCCGAAACGCCCATACCCGAAACCCAAGAAGCTGAATTTGCGCGAACGGGAATCAAGAGTCTAAAAGACGTAGTAAAACTAAAGATCACCACAAGGAAAGATGAAAATGGTCGCGAGTTCGCAGCATGTCCGGTTAGCATGAAAGAGTTGGGCGCAGCCACTAAAGGTGTTTATATCGTTCCATGCGGTCATGTTTTTGCCGAAGTAGCTATGAAAGAAATATCCGATACCGAAAAACAATGTCCCGAATGTAGCGAAGCATTCGAACAACAACACGTTATACCCATACTATCTACAGACGAAGCCGAGATAGAAAAGCTAGCGAAGAGAATTGACGACTTGAAAGCGGCAGGACTTGCGCACAATCTAAAGAAGGATAAGAGTGCCGGGAAGAAGAAGCGCAAAGCAGAAGATGCAAGAGGAAACAGAATAGATGGTGAATCGCAAAAAGAGAAGAGTAGTAACCGAGCAAATAAGACTAAAGAGGATAAGAAGGACATATCAAGTCGGATCAACAATCCGATGACGGCATCTCTAACAGCAAAGGTGCTTACAGAACAAAAAGAGAGAACCAAACGAAGAAAGATGGTAGATGGATATAAGAGGAGTGAAGCTGTTAGATAATCATCCTCGAATGAATAATAAATCATACCATGAATATTGTCGATTGCTCGTCCAACCGTGCTGCCCAGTACTCTAGTTACATATGTACATGTTACCTCTCTTCCCTGTCGTACTCCTATCATGTTCACGTACTTCATATGATCCCTTCGAGCTAGAGCCAACAGAAGAGTACAATAAGAAACGTGATATCATAATGCGTGTATCATAATACGTATATAGATGTATTAGTGACATAACTCTATGCTACTATCTTCTCTAAATTCTTTGATCACAACTCATCTTTGGTATGTCCTGGCTCAACAACTTCCTCGCAAACGGCTGGTGTACCTACTTCCATCTTATAAACGCATTTCTCCAACTCGCTAACTCGCCATAATTCTTCTGTTTCGGCACAGGCGAGCCAAACATCGGTTTTACGGTTTGGACCGTTCCAGCAGCCCTGACCATTTTCATATCGAAGAACCACACGTTTACCTCGTCCGAGTCCCTTGCCGTCATGACGTTCTTCCTCATCTGCCTCGTCGAAGTCGAACCGATTGAAATTACCCATTGTGGTTTTACCTCCACCCTTTTTACTCTTCTGACTTGTCTTATCTAACCAGCATAGTTCATATTCATACTCGCCAGCTTCGGTCGTGATACACTTGCCTTTAAGGTATCGGAAGATATCATCCTTGCCGTAATCCTTCTCTAAGTCACGTTGTTGCTCTTCTAATGTCCGCGTCTTTGCATTAACCTCGTTGGCTACAGTATCATGAGCTTCTCGTGCGGCTTTGACGAGACGTGATTCGCCTCTCTCAGAACCAGCATCGGCCAATATTCCATTCTCAATTAACCAAATCCGGAAAAGATTGATCTTGGAATGAAGGAAGTCGCGGAGAGGGCCGGGGAGATAAGCCTCAAAACTATATACTGTGTCAAGTTAGCCCGCTGCTCGATGCAATCAATACACCTAACAGATCAAGGAGAAGCATCGCAAAAGTAGGTACTTACGAATATCCGTATCGGTAGCTTCATCCTCTTCAAATTCCTTCCAGTTGATACCAGATTCCTCGCTGTCTTCCTTGGAGACTGCTAGAATGTCATCTTCATTGATCTGTTCTTGAGTCTCGCCAGCCTTCTTAGCAGCGTAATCTTCCCAAGCTCTGACAGCCTTCTTGACACCTTCGTCGTTGAAGTTAGGGTTGTATTCCTCCTTGAATGCTGCCAGAATACCTTCTAGCTCGTCGACCTTGGCTCTTAGTTGATGACGATCGTTGACAATCTTGTTTAATGTATCTCGTAATTCGTTCACTCTCGTTTTGGCCAATCCGGCAAGTACGCCAAGTTTACCAGGTCCTTCGGTCTTAACAACTTTGAAGCGTTCTTGACGTTCAACCTCGTCGAGTTTCACCTTCAATTCATCCCGCTTTACCTCAAGTTCCTTGATTTCTTCGGTAAGGCTAGTAATTTTGCTTTCGACACGACGACGAAGTTCCTTAGACTCCTTCACCATTGTTCTACGACGTTTGTTGGCTCGTTCGAGGTTATCCTTTCGTTCTTTTTCGACTCGTCTCCATTCCTTGCCGATTTCCGCACATTTGTTCTCGCATTTGACTCCACCTACATTTCCGTATTCCTCACTACCATCGCAGCAAAGATCATAATCGCAAACTCCGTCATTTACGTACATGAAAGGAACGTAAGCACCGACATGACCTTTGTTGGCACACCAAAAACCTGGGAGAGCATTGGTGGTGTTTGTAGTACCGGAGAGAGAACCGGGTAAAGGTTGTTGAGGGGAAAGATGATCTAATAATGCGCAAGCAGCGGTGCCAGGTTCGTCGGTACCATCGGGACAATCGCAGGAGTTATCGTTAATTCGTGAGGCAGGAATGGTTATGGAAGGATGACCTATACAGGTGAATGTGTCTTTTGTTTCGTAGAATTTCACGACTATATATCAGAAGTTAGCTAATAGCAACAAAATCAAGTGGAAGTTCGATCCATAACTCGAATAGTAGCATCGGTGTTGTAGATGTGGATGGAAGAGATAATGACATAAGGAATACTAACATTCAGGACCAACACCACGAGGTAAAGAACCTGCTATAACAATCCTATTTTGAGCTATGATGCCCAAAAGCACCAAAGCCTGAGATTGGCGCATATTCAATGGGATGAAGAAAAAGTAGGATTATTCATAAAGACATGCATGTGAATTTGGAAGTCAATTCAATTGGGAATTATTATTTCAAGTGGGAAGCTTTTACAAGAGTGTCAAAAAGTTAACACGAAAGCATCTCCAGAGTTTCAGTCCCCACTACTGCAGCTGTTGAGCTTAGCTTGGCATGATCTATACCCTATTAAGTAAGATCCCTGTTATAATGGCGTAGTTTGTGGGACATATGTACCTAGGTATGTATCTACATGATAAAAATACTCCCCGGGCAAATTTAATCATCTAGATGTCCATGTCCATATCGCAGGTGCCAACGCTTACCTAAACATCCCAACCTCTTTGGTCGTCATTCAGGTGATACTTCCAAATCACAAAGCCTCATCTCATCTCTTCCGATTCCTACCCAGAAACTTAGGTAGGTTACAACAATACTTGAAACGGACGATACCCGATATGATTGTAAGAAATGATTTTTGAATCGTACTTTCGAGCAACTTGATCCAAGGTAGCTAGTTATATGGGAGGCATCTCCGAAAGTACAATTCTCATTCCAACTTTTATCGTTTGTTCCGCGCGGGCCACTCTCTTTGTGACAACCCGACAGCGTAGCATCTCTAATTCTAGGTTCCATCCCCGATCGGCTATGCACATATGCGTATCCGACCCGACCCGTGGATACATACCTAGGTATGTAGCTTCCCGCTCGAGTTATCATTAACGACTAATACCTAAGTACCATCCAGTAAGGTAGATAATGATACATCAATAAATAAACATCGCAATTGTCACTAAGTATCATTCTAAAGAATACTTGATGGTGTTTGATTTCGAAAATGACAGATGGCTAACCTGTTATTAGTTATACGCGTAGCCCTAGTCACAATTCGACGCGTTTCTGATACAAACGAGTTAACTGGCCGTTGGACTCGAACGCCTAACCTAGCTTGTGAAGGACGGTTTATACAGGGGTCGCTGGAGTATAGGACGTGTCAAACTACAAAAATAAATATCTTAGGTTATCTTCAGCCAACATTTTCATAATGCAGAGCAGCTTGGGTTTTCAGATCATTGTCCTCATACTTCCAATAACCTGTGCAGCTATTCGCGTGTCTCTACCTGAGCAATTCCCATATTCATTTGACTACTCAATTACTCTAGCCACTCACTATCACAGTCCAAGTCATGGCGGAACAAGATCACGAATCAGAATCTAGCACTACCCCTTTAAATATGTCTCTTCCTAGTCGAAAGAGAGCCTCGTCAGTATATTCTAGCTTTCCCCAACCTATATACTGTGGCATCCCATTACTAACAGCATTATATATCAGCGTAATCCGAAGGATACCTGAACCGGAGGAGACCAAAGACACGGAAGACGAGGCAGACGTCATATTAAATAGCCAGATGGGCCTCTTGAAGCGGCGTCCCGACCGAGAGGAGCTTGACGAAATACTATCGGCTCCATTGTTCACATATCCCGTATTAAAGCATGCCGAGACCTTGGCTACCACTTCCTCCAAGACCCCTTTTTCTCAGTATGCTCTCTTTGCTGGAGAAGCGCACCGACTTCAACACGCGTCAGTCGGAGATCCTAGAATATTCTATAACGTTTCCACGCCCTCTAGCATATTCATATGCGGTAGCCAGGGTTCGGGCAAGAGCCATAGCTTATCTTGCATGCTCGAGAATTGTCTAATACCTTCGTCACGGCTTGGTCGTCTTCCCAGTCCTCTGACTGGTATTGTCTTCCATTACGATACCTTTAACTCCGAATCCGGCGGAACACCTTGTGAGGCAGCATACCTTGCTAGTAATCTCGATGTAAAGGTTCGAGTTTTATGTTCACGGACTAACATTAGAACTATACGGGTATTTATATCCTCCAATGCATGGCGTTCATCTTTTAACGCGGTACAGGATACATATAAAGCTCTAGACGGAGTTACCGTTGAGGAATTGAGACTAGCGGAAACAAATCTCAACACCCAGCGTATGTTGGAGCTTATGGCATTTGGTGATCGAAGTCCACCACTTTATATGCACGTTATTCAGAGAATCCTTAGAGAAATGAGGATCGACCAACAGAATGCAGGATCGAATTTCGAATACGCAGACTTTAAACGAAGATTGGAATACGAAAGGTTAACGCCCGATCAAATGCGCCCTCTCACGCAACGACTTGAGACGTTGGAAAGCTTTATGGCCTCTCCTACCTCTAGACTCAGAAGCCAGTCAGCATGGATGTCTAGGAAAGATACTCCAAAGCCCGGAGATACTGATTGGACGCCCGAGGTAATGAATCCACACGGAAATGATAATCAGACCTTTTACTATATATTCGCTAACTCGTAACAGGCCGGGCAATTGATTATCGTGGATCTCTCATGCCCATGCGTTACATCTACGATGGCGTGTTCCTTGTTCAATATTTGCCTTTCAATATTTCTTGAGCAGGAATCTTCCATTGGTCGCGTAATCGCCCTTGATGAAGCACATAAGTATATGGGCGACACGGCCGAATGCGAAACATTAACGAATAATTTGCTCTCAGCTATTCGACTACAGCGTCACTTAGGCGCCCGAATTATCATCTCGACGCAAGAACCCACCATATCCCCGAAACTTTTAGATTTATGTAGCATTACTATTGTACACCGCTTCACTTCACCTAGTTGGCTTGGCATATTAACGAAACACTTGGCTGGGATTTCGGCGTTGTCAAAGGTTACCAAGTCCAATACTACGAATCAAAGGGACAGGCAACAAGATAGGAACGAAGTGTCTACCGATACGCGAGACACGGTCATTTCGTCGGATGACTCGATCTTGATGCTCTTCTCCCAAATCGTTGAGCTTAAAACAGGGGAAGCCTTGGTATTTGCCCCTAATGCAATGATTTCTTCAGGGGAGCGAATTATTCCGGGAGAGGAGATGATCGGCGCATTCAACCGACAAGCTCATCAAGTCATGCGCATTATTGTAAGATCTCGTATTACTACAGATGGAGGTCAAAGTGTTATGGCTGTCTAGATCAATACTTAGGTGCTACATTGGGTACTTTCCTATTTTATTCACCTGATATCTCTGCTATCATATCCTAAGTTCCATGAGAGGACGTTGCTGCAGTCCGCGTGGTATAAACTGAGTAAGCTTGGTACATCTCGAAATGCAATCTCTCAGTGAAAGATACGATAGCATCCAGTAACTGGATCGGCCAGTCGTCTTAACTAATTATAGCGTGAGTGGGTTATATACATCTAGAACCCACCACGAAGCAAGGATGATGGCATGACGCCGACACTGACGTGCAATTCTATGTACCAACCCATCCATCTAAGGTACTTAACACTCTGAGGAGTTAGGGTTCCAAATCTATTAATGGTATATTAAATATTCGAACGGAGTGGAATATGCCCCTGTGAGTACATCTCTTCTATCTACATCAATTTGTTTCCTTTATTAATGCCGTCTTCTCCGTCTTTGCTTGACCATATTCCTTTTATACTGATTCTTGAGTGTTCGTGGTTTTGCTGGGTTCCTTCGTTTCGTCAACTTGTTTAGCAACCTGATCTTTTAAACTGCGCCACTCTATAAATATGGTACCAAAGAGGGATACAGCGCATGTTGCTACTACTAAATAAAACACATTAACCAATGCGTCGCTATAGTCCGAGAGTAGTGTCGGTAGATCATCGATTGAAACGATATTTCTTAACTCTGTAGCACCACCGGTTATAACAGTATTAGGATCGATTCCGGGGAGGTTAGTAAGCTTCGAAACCAAACCATTGATGAAGATGGACTGTGCTACAGGTAGAAATATAGCTGAACCTAGAAATCGAGTAAACGTAACGAGTGACGATCCAGTTGCGATATCTGATCTATCAAGGACAGTTTGAACGATATTCAATGGCTGCTGTATACCAAGTCCAAGACCAATACCAAAGATGATCTGATAACCAATCCATTTGGCTTGACCTGTAGATGGTGTTAAAGTAGTCAAAAGGCCAGCTCCGATAGGTGAGATAATTGAACTGAGCCAAAAGAATGGAGCGCAGTAACCGATTTTCGAAATGATGATACCAGAAGATATAACACAGAAAACCGTAGAAAGGATTAAAGGGAGTAACATGATTCCAGAATTGATAGCAGTAGATCCTTTAACCGCTTGAAACCAGATTGGAAGATAGTAAATTAAAACCATCATTCCAGAACCGTTGAAGAAACTGAAGAATGCTGAAGCTGCGATACTTCGTTTTTTTATAAGTCGAGGAGGGATCGTTGCGTTTTCTTGTTTCCAAATTTGTATGCCTATGAAGACAAGGCAAAGAACACCGCATAGAACCAATAGTACGATGATACGTGCGCTGTTCCAAGGATATTGAGTTCCTCCCCATTGAAGAGCTAAAACCAAGCAAATGATACCTGGAAAAAATGCGAGATTTCCAATAGGATCAAGTTGATTTATCTTTTCAATCCATCCTTCTGCTGGTTTATCAAGTTTTTGGTTGGGTAGATGTAAGATGAGAGTAGTGACGAGGATCGAAACGGCACCAATTGGAAGATTGATGTAAAAGCACCATCTCCAGGTTACTTTATCGGTAAAGCTACCTCCAATTAAAGGGCCAATAACAGAACCGATAGCAGTAGTAGCACCAAAGGCACCTTGATAGGTTGGTCGTTGTTGTAAGGGGATGGTATAGAACATGATAACCATTAAACCAGAAAACATTCCGGATGATCCTAGTCCTGCGATAGCACGACCAACAATGAAAGCGGGAGAATTGGGAGCTGCACCACATATCGCCGATCCAACTTCGAAAAGAAAACAACAGGATAGAAATATTGGTTTCGCAGGATAAAATTTATATATTTTTCCCATGACAAGTTGAAAGGTACACATGGTAAGTAAATATGCTGTACCATACCATCCGACGTCATCTAATGAATGAAATTCGTCTGTAATACGTGGAATAGCTGTAGATATGACATTCTGGTCCTATTGTTTTGATAAGAGTCAGTAGCCTTCTTTGAGAACTAGCAACACCATCCCGTTGGAACCCATCATAGCCCTCAGAGGAAAGGGAAAGTTAGGAAAGAAAGGAGTCATACCAGATTTACCAAGAACACTGCCAAATAAAGTGAGGTCATGATAAGAATTCGTTTTTGATTGCTTGGATATTCCGTAGACTCTCCTTCCTTGGTCGTCGTATTGTTATTGACGACCTCGGAGGCCTTTTCGTCTCCATCGGATGTAAGTTGTGACATGGCTGTTGTGTCGGTGATGGTGTTGATGAAGAATCGATAAACATAACAAACGAAAACGAGAAAAAGCGAATAAATTCATTTTGAGGCTTTTAAATAAAATTTATTTAATGATTAAATTTAGTTTAATTTTTTCTCGGTCCTGGTGATGCAATTTTCAAGTGATAGTATACCGACGTATATCATGCATTCAGGGGTTCGGTTCTCGGCGTTTAAAATACTATTTCTTCTCTCCGAGCACCGAAGATGACCGAACCGAATCTCCACTACGGCATCATCATCTTTTCTTTTTACTCCGGGCTTCTGATCTTAGTATCTTTATGAATTTATTTAAATTAATTGAATTCACCGTCCGAAATACTACTTCCCGATATGCCTCAATCGTTAATGAATAATCAATTCGGAGCCGAAGACGGTCTTAAGAAATACTCTTGTTTACTCTGTCGGCAACGTAAAATCAAATGCGACCGTCATAACCCCTGTTCGAATTGCGTCAAGTCTGAGAAACAATGTAGTTTCGTACCTCCTGTTCGTGGGAAACGAAAAAGAACAAAACCTCATAGAGAAGGTCTTCATGCTAAATTAAAACGATATGAAGACCTATTGAGATCTTACGGAGCGAAGATTGAACCATCCGACGATTTTGATAATTCCAACTCGGAAACAACATCACAACCTGATATTGATATAGAAGAGGATGGTGAAACTAGAAGTTCAACACAAAGTGATCCATTTGGGATTGAAGGAACTAAACCAAAACTTATTACCAAAGAAGGGACATCAAGATATTTTGAAAGGTATGTCTTATTCCATTCTTTACTATCGTCTTACCCATGTATCTAATATCTATTAGTGCTCTTTGGTCTAGCCTAGGAGATGTAAGTCTTCTCATCCTCGTCTCTTGACCTATAGTATCTTAAGCACTTACCTACCCCGGCATCCTTATTTGCTAATTAATTCGTCCGAATAGCCTCAACACCCCGAAACAACTGCTATTGATGATATGGATGAAATCAATGCGCACGAAAGTGCATTATTCTTCGAACCTGATCATGACCCTAGATCTGAAAGCCTTGAAAGTCTTCATCCACCGTTTGAAGTTGTTGAAAAATTAAAAGATATTTATGTTGATCGAGTTGATCCATTGATCAAAATCTTACATATTCCTACATTTTGGACTGCATTGACGAATGGTTTACAACATCTTCAAAATATTCCTAGAAGTTTAGAAGCGGCCATATTCGCTTTTTATCTTTCAGCGATTACTACTATGAATGAGCAGGAATGTCAGAGTTCATTCGGAATCGAAGCATCCCTTGCCCATTCTCGTTATAGGATTGCGACTCGCCAAGCTTTAGAAAATGCGAGACTTTTATCCACTTCAAGTCCGATGACTCTTCAAGCATACTCATTATTTATGGTAAGCTACCTACTCCTGTTTTTTCGCGCGAAGCTAATAATGAAGATGTGTGTGAGAACTACTTATCGATGCGATACTCTCTATATCCTTTCGGGTATGGCTGTACGACTTGCACGTAAAATGGGTCTTCATCGTGATGGTACATCACTTGGATTATCCCCATTCGAAACAGAAATACGAAGAAGACTCTGGTGGCATGTTGTTCATGTGGACTTTCGTGTAGCCGATGTACTTGGTATAAAACCATCTTTGGATCTTTCCTCTGGTGATGCGAAGATACCTCTAAATATTCAAGACGAAGATCTTCATCCCGATATGATTTCTCTACCATCAGAAAGTTGCGGAATCACTTCAATTACGCTTTGTTTAATTCGATGCGAAATTATGGAATTTTTACGAAAATTCTCCACGTCAAGTCCTGGAGATGTACGTTGGGAATTACTTTACAGTTCCGCTTTTACTCTCGCGAAAAAAGACAGTGCAATCACCCAAATTGAAGACTATTGGGAAAAGAAATATCTTCGATACTGCGACCCATGCAATTCACTTCATATTCTCGTCTCGATCGTAACACGATCTTCTATATGCAAGATGAAGCTTTTTACTCGCGATCTACGACAATTCGTCAATTGCTCCGTTCAAGTACCCGATAGCGAACGTAACGTCCTATTCGAAAATGCTGTAAAGTTATTGGAATATGGAAATATGATGAAAGGTGGTTCACATGGATTAGATAAATACAAGTGGCAACTTGGGACAAGTTATATATGGAATACGATGTTATGTGTGCTTATCGAAGCACGACATCGAAAAACAGGACCTGAAATGGGTAAATTTTGGGAATTGATCGGTATTGTCTTCTCACATTATCCTAAGGTACTCGAACAACCTTCTGGAGGTGTTTATACAGCACTTGGAAAATGGACCTTGGATGTTTGGGAAGGTTATGTTGAAGCTACGAAAGAGAAAGGTCTTCCAGAACCTTCAACACCAGGTTATATCCATGCACTTCGTCGAGGAAGAAAAGTAGCAACCGAAGCAAGTGTTAGGTCAAAAGATATGATAACTTCAAGACCTGGTACTAGAGGTTCTTTTAGTTATGATAGATTTCAACCTCAACGATATGAAGGCGGCTTTGATTTTGGACAGTTTGAAACCTATGAATTTCCTGATTTACACTCTTTTGAGACTGATCCAAGCGAATGGATTCAATGGGAACAGTTGGTTACAGAGCAGAGTGGATTTATTTAGGTAGATGTATCATGGATGCTTTATATGAATTAACCTACTGTGCGGGTACTGCGCTTCCAGAGAGAAAAAGGGGTTGGTATCAATTCCCTGCTTGAATAGGGGTCTTTAGTGTATACCCCACTAGAATATTGGTGGTCACATTTATAGCGTACACCTCCTAAAATACAGCGCATTATAGCATCCTACTAAATGCTTTGTAATTACCTCAGAGTCTAGAGACATTCCTAGGTAGAATCCCCTATAATTGCAGCACATTTTAGTGAAGTGCCATAATGCGCTGTAATTATACCTAGGTAGTACTCTAAAGCTCTGTAGTCCACTATAGCTACAGTGCTCATAGCCCTGTAAGTCCAGCGCTGACGATGCGAAAAGCCACTACACTGTACATAGGTATACACCGTACTATGGCGCATTGGCAGTTCCATGAAGTCGGCGCACAGTATTTTAGCTACCTAGGTACCTGAAGGCTTCCAAGTTGGTAAACATTCTGTAATCATTCTGTAAATAAGGGGTTTCTATAATATGCGTTTAGCACAGCCCATCATTTAACCCAAAAGTCATCCCTAGCTAGGATATTCAGCATTAATTCATGTTTCGTCTTCTCATCTCTGCTGCCCTTGCCCGTCTTGCGTCCTCACGTTTCTGTATGGAATATACCTATATTAGCATTTAACAAAGGTTGAATGTGGTTTATTAAAATGCTTACCGATATCCAATTGCTATGTTTACTTGCGTTTACCATGTCGTTCGCAGCCCTGTTTTCGCAAGAATCAACTTGTTTACGATGGCCAGAAAAGTAGCTGGGTTCGTGGTAACCGATAAAATCCTTCTGATATTCATTTCTCCGGTGTCCCATCCTACGTATCATTAGCATTTGATGAATAGATAGCCTGATGATTGTTTATTTACCTCCATGAGACTCGGGCTGCAGTAGTTGCCAGTGCTTCTGCTTCCGTATGCCACGATTCTGTCTGAATTGGTTTCCCTCCGTATTTATCCAGGTTAGCCCTCAGCTCTTGTGAATCAATCCAAGGACGTGAATCAAAATAGCTTTTATATGCCTCCCTGGCCGCGTCGGCATCGCCTAAAGCATATTTGTATTCTTGATAACGGTGGTTGTACGAAGATCCAGAAGGTCCTTTCCGACCCCATTGTCTCTTGGCGTTCCGATATACATCCGTTTTATATGACGGGTGATCAACATCAGGACGGGCACTCTGTTCACTACCGGTGTCGAAGAATGGTCTATTATTTCCGGTTTGCTTCAATCTGTCGTAACTGGGTCGTTGTAGTCCAGGCCAAGTATTATTTCTTCGAGAATTGTTGAGGTCAAGAAACTCGCTATGATGATATTCCGGGTTCTTATAGTATCCAAGATCAGCTTCTACATAGCGTCGAACCTCGGGATTCGTAGCAGTGCTAACGTCGGAAATGTTATCGGAATATGGATCTATTCGGCCAGGCTGAGCATAGATATATCGTCCATCTTCATCTGCCCAGTATGACTTGTTTCTTTCTTCATCATATTGCCAATGGGACATGATGGTTCGTTATGAAATGTAGGAAGTGAGTATCTAGGTATGAGTTATCAATATGTCATAAGATTCGTTTCTAGAGTTGAATAGAACCTGGGTAAATATGGTCTATGGAATTACTACGAGATCTCGCTCGTTATGTAGACTTGTAAGTTTACACTCGCTATGGAATCTGACTACCCCTTAAGACTTGATAGAGGGAGATTATACACTCCTAGTTGTGCCATAACATGACTTCTCTTCGAGTATATACGACCATCTGGATTAGAATCTAGTCAAGGCGAGACATAATACCTGAAGAACATGGATTTGGATTCGATTCCTTACCTTAGGATCTACCTGATACCAGCCTACCTAGATGTGGATGGCCAGATTCTTGAGTTGGCATCCTAGGCATATTCTTATTCCATGGGGGAAAAGAAGTAAAGACTACCTACGTACCTATCTACATAGGTACGTAGGTAGCCAGCCTCTGGTTCTACTCCTTGTTAGACTAGAGTAAGCCAATACAGTGTGGTTGTATGTTAGGTATGTTTGTTCGGTGTTCCCTGACGCCTTAGTACACTGCTCCATTACTCAGGCAAACACATCACTCCTTCCTATGGTCACGTACGCAAATAGAAACTTTGGTGACGCGGTTGTTATACGTAACACACCTACCTAGTCATCTTCGATGTATTCACTGCCTACCTAGGTACGTGGATGGGTTGGATAGTGGAGTCGGTGGATTCTCAACCACCTACCTACCTAGGTATGCATACATAAAATTGAGCCTTTGAAATCGAACCATTTTTTGTCGGCCATTACTTGACATACCTAAAATTTCGGAAACCCATTTTACAATGTTGGCGACACTGCCAATTGAAATCATCCAGGAGATATTCTTGAACCTGGATGATCTAGGCACTCTAAAAGAAGCTGCTTTATGCTGTCGTACCTTATACGAAGCATTTCTCGCCATCGAAGAGCTTCTTACGACTACGATCCTGCATAGGCAAATCCACCCCAGTGTACTTCCCGATGCTATCAATACTCATGTCTCATTTTCAATACCAAGTTCGGATACCGAGGCCGTTAATCGTTTTTCTACCGATTATTTAAACACGAAGAAGATATTGCCATCAAAGTGGAAACTAGCCAATGCTCTACCACTAAGTCTATTTCATCAATTCGTAGACTACTTCGCAACTCGGTTATCTTCTATGGGATTAGAGGACTCCCCATCTTATCTAAGAGAACCACCATGTCAAGCGAACCCAACCGAATCCGAAATTCTTCGCATACAACGTGCCCTATATCGTTTTCAATTGTATCGCAACATGTTTGGTACACTTATCACAGACCCAGGTCGTCAACGTGAATTGATGTTTCGTTACTTTTCTACATTTGAGAACGAACAACTTGCAAGCGTAAATGACCTTCTCTTATGCGCTATTGCCGAACGTAAGTGAATATTCAGGATTAAAAATTCATTGCTGATGGATGCTTAGCTTATAATGACTTGGTGGATCACGATATTCATTGGGGTTCTATGCGTGTATCATACTTAGAACCCTATGATTCTGAACAGGGGGATTACATTCTATCCAAGGGACTCGAGTATTTATTTCATTTAACCCAAACTAAAAGCTATACCGAACGTCGCAGACTTCTCAGCCTTGACGATTTCAATTTTGGTTACGACGATGAGCCTGGGAGACTAGTACAATTCATGAAATGGAGTCTCAGTTGGGCCGGAAGCCCCGATTGGGATTATCAAGACTTTTCCTTCGATAACCTTGACGAAGAATCTATGGCTTTTCATATCGGAAAGCCTTTTTATGATGATGGGGACGAAGGTCCAGTAACTGCCTGGAAGTTGGGAGATTATCTCGTTGCTGATCCATCATTGATGAGATGGCGACGATGGGGTTACGTCTTTTGGGATATGTCTAGGTTGGAAAATAGTGGGATTATAGAAAAGGGGCTTTCTGAAGATAGCGGATTTAGGAGACTAAGAACAACTGAAGCCGAGAATCGACGGTTGTTCGAATCTCAGGAAGAGAGAGAGAAAATCGAACGCGCTGGGGGATCAGGATGGTGGAGTTTTAAAGATCAGAGTAAAGTTCAATGGAAATGTCAACAGGGTCGTACAAAAGTACAGATGCCTTGGGGGGGAGTACAAGGGTCTTCTGGAAGTAGAGGGCATTTTTGACCAAACAATAGAATAGATCTGTCTATCACATTAAATACGAGCTCCATTTTATATCTTTTCCTGTCTACCTAAGTATTGAGGCAGCTATATAGGTAGGAAGATATAAACCTTGAGTTACTGTGCGCCGATTCGAGTGTACGCGTACCTACCTAATGGCCCGGCGGCGTTGCGCACCGTCAAGGCAGGTAGGGAAGTTTACAGGCTTATGAGCGCTGTAAATATAGTGGGTTCTGGTGTACCTAGGTACCTAGGTAGTGCTATAATGCGCTGTAAGTGGCCGGGTATGCTGTAGTTGGAGAGCTCTTTGGTGCTTTAAGCACTATAACTACAGCGCACTATAGCGCTCCTCTAGAACTCCATTAACGCGCGCTAAAATTTAGGTACAGGGCCTCTTTAGTGGGGTGCTGTAAAGTGCTGTATTTGTAGGAGGTTAAGTGCTATAAATCCAGTTGCTAGTTTTACAGTGGAGTATGTGCTGTAACGCCCTGTAACCACGGGGGTCTCCAGCACATGACTCCCTGTAATTACAGTGATACGGTGTATCGCGCCATGATGGCATGGAATCGAGACCCAGGCATGCACTGGTGATTCAAGTCCGGTAACGTGAAATATCATTCCACGATGGCAAATCAGGTGAGTTACAATTCTTGCGATACCCCTCCTCTTGTTACGTTTCTTCGTATTCATGATTGAGTTTTCATACCATGAACTGCAACCACGTCTTATGTCCGATGTCTGAATAAGCACCTCGCATTAATTCCTAGCATAGTATGGTCATGACTTATAAATACTGATATCGATTCTGTTGTCTACAAGCTTGAACTCACAATGATTAATCATTCTTCTCTTATCATTCAATTCTTAAGGGCTGTGTCAAACACATAGCATAAGAAACGCTTATTTGCGGCACGATTGCAAAGTACTCGCCAAGCTTGCTAGCAACTCTTCGCTCTACGTTCCTAAGTACCTACCCAGGTAGGTGATCGAAGCTATTTATTTTCTATCTATATCACTTTCTTCTCCTTCTTCTCATTACCTAGGTAGATAAGACTCCGCAGGAACTCTACCATAAGCTAATCTTCCCCTCTGTACCTAGGTAATTAGCACATTAATCCAACGAGGATACCGGATACGTCTGCACTTCCGTCTATTATCATAGTGACAGAGACTGCTACGAACGTCCGTCATGTCTCCTTCTCAGACACCACTAACACCATTGAGTGTACCTCCATCAAATGCGACTGTCAAAATCAGCATAATTGATAGTGCAGGTCGCCTAGGTCGAGTCCCATCGAAATTGTTCTTTGAACCTCATATAGAGGGATTTGAATATTGGACGGCTCCTTCTTATTCCTTTTTGATTGAACATGGTTCTTCAGGAGATAAGTTACTATTTGATCTTGGAATTCGGAAGGATCTTGAGAATCTACCCCCGGTCATTCAAAAGTTGGTCGAAGGGTGGGAATTAAGTTCTCATAAGAATGTGAGCGATGTTTTGGTAGAAAATGGTGTTGATCTTCGTGATATCAAAACTATTATATGGTCACATCGACATTTTGATCATACTGGAGATCCTTCCGTGTTTCCTTTCTCAACCGATTTAGTTGTTGGTCCTGGATTGAAGAAGATTGTTGGTGAAGGATATCCAATTGATGAAGAGTCTATCTGTTCGACTTCGGCATGGGAGGGTCGTAACTTTATCGAGTTGGACTTTGAAACCGACAGGAGAGTTACGAGTATTGGTAGATGGAAGGCTATTGATTGGTTTGAAGATGGATCTTTCTATCTTTTACATTCAATTGGTCATACTATGGATCATCTCTCTGGCTTTGCTCGGACAAAACTTGCTGCACAATCAATAACAGGGACGGATGAGTTTATTCTAAGTATGCGACATCCCCCGTTTACATTTTTTCCTATATCGTCAACAAAAACCACTTCATTCCTACCCACCTGCATAGATGGGTACCCATTTTGAACTTCTAGTGTCCGTCTATGGTCCCGAACAAGTCTAATACGGCACTGCTAACATTTTTAGTGGGTGGTGATGTCGCTCATCATGGTGGGGAGTTTAGACCCAATAGATTCTTACCAATCCCTACCGAAATATCGCCAGATCCTCGTCTTCCACCGTACTGTGGAGGATTTTGTCTTGGGGCGTATTATGCACAACGTAATATGAGACACAATGGGGATGATTGTTGGAATACCCCCTTTTTAAAATCAGCGAAGCCGTTTTTGGATGATGAAGAAAAGGCTGAATGGAGTTTGGATGTTATTGGTGAATTCGATGTTCATGATAACGTATTCGTTATATTTGCACATGATAATACTTTGTTGAACGTTGTGGATCTGTATCCAAAAGAAGCTACGGAATGGAAAGAAAAGGGATGGAAACGAGAAGGTAGATGGAGATTTCTAGAAGATTTGAAAGGTCATAACTAAATTGAAGGACGCACTAGGCATTGATGTTGAATTTGACTAGATTATTCGGTTTATTTGGTACCTACCACCTACAAAGCCTGTAGTTCCCCAAGAAGTTGCTTATGTTGATCAATCAGGTGGAGCTTCGGCTATCTAAGTATGTGATGGTTGACGTATGTTGTATATTAACTACCGAGGTGGCTATGGTATGACACGACAGAGAATTTGGCTCCGAGAGGAATTGATCGTAGTTGGAGCACTCCAGATTGTCAAGAAAACGTATACATCAGCTCTAGATTTGAATTCAATTTCGTTTATTCGATTCAAGCTAATCATAAGCTTTAGAATGTACCCAATAGGTAATCACCCATCGCCAGCGACGAGTTATAAGATGTTGAGTCTAGCTGTCTAGTCTAGATCTAAGAATCAAACTGAATCAATGGTCCTACTCGTATCGCATTCTTTTCCACGTTTCGCTTTTCATCATAATCATATCCTTCGTATCTTGACGTATTTCACTTTCGAACTCCCTTGAAAGTTGTCAAACGACGTTCTGTGTTGGAACGAGAGTTGACGAAGTCGGGATTATTCACAGTAAGTTCTACACCACCGGAAATAACGTGGTCAACTGCCTCAACACCTTGCATGAAGCTTTTAACATGTTAGCCTACATCATTAAGCTAATAGAGGTCATCCGACTTACCTATGATCTTGATTTCCAACCTCGTACTTCCATGCTCCAAAACGACCTCTAGATAGGATATCTTGGTCTCGAAGATATGGAAGAGCTTCAGATAATACACCATTTCGTTCTAAACTAGGAGTAGGGTATCCGTGATCGAATCGTCGAACATATGTACTGACAATTTCTTCTTCGGGTTCCAATAAGTTGGTATTGACAAGTCCTTGGATGCAGTCATCAAGTAGCGTTTCGTGGTTGACGGGTTTATAGGATGATTCGGAAACTTCCAACATGATAGACCAATAAGGTCCAGGTTGTGGAGTTGATGATGTTGGTTTTTTACCATTGGCAAGTTGTTTGGTTGGAAGTTTGACATCTTTACTTGGTTGATTGAAAGGTGAGTAGTTGGAGAAGATGGTAGCTCGATAAAAGGGGCAATTGTCTTCGACAAAGTATAGCTATTTCTGGTTAGATATCCTGTTGAGATAAAGGTAAGGAGGTGGAGACAGTCGTAGAAACAGATACACAGGTATACAGGTATAGGACAGGATAATAAAGAGATAGATGTGAATGATTGAAGACATACCCAACATTTATCACCAATACGTCCAGGACGTTCTCCTCGAACACCAACACCAATTACATTGGTAGAAGAGTAGAATAGTGGTTTCAGTGTTTGCTGAAGTTTGACATCACCCATCGATTGAGCGAGATGATCAACAGCCATGGTAGAAATGAGTGAACCGTAGTTGACAACGGTACCTAGATTTCGAATGTCAGCGAATGAATCCAATGAGACCATAATGAACTGACCATCTTTCAAATGAACCTTCTTAGCCTTGGCATCAACTTTGGTAACAGTACCATGTTCACCAAATCGTGCTTTGGATTGATCCAAGGTTTTAGCTACGGCGATCCAAATACCACCTGTACCTCCATTGGCAGGAAAACGGAATGTAGCATTTGGTCCCCAATTTCCTGCAACTTTCTCGAGAACAACGTTACGAGTAAGTAACTTGACATTAGGAGCAGCGACACGTTCCCCGACCCAAGTAGCATTCATCTAGAATATATCGTTAATCAGAACTAAGTAGCTACAATACCTACGTGGGTAGGTGGGTGGGTAGGTAGGGATATGAGTAGGTAGTTGACTGGGTTTAGACATACCTTGGTAGTAGGAACAGCCCATACTCGAAAGTTATAAGGACGCACTTGAACTCAATGTTAGCTTCTTCACATAATAAAGTCATTGTCTTGGTCTTTTACGGGATGTGCAAAGAATAGTAGTCCCGATTAACAAGTAGCAACCCATAAATAGTTGCAACTTGCTTCAAGATCAAGATTGAATCTAGAAGAAATATCCCAGTTGTGATATTACTTACTGAAGATCTCATTCAAACGGTTTCCAACATTTCTTATATTCCATTCGTCAAAGTTCTTAGGTTTGTCGGTCGGGGATCGAACGCGAGACTCGAGAGCAGCATCGATAAGGTCTTCCAAACATTTCACCTTCTCTTCTTTATCTAACACGGCAATATTGTTTTGGAATGGGTAAGGAACCCAACCACCTCGGAATCGAACATACGAGACTCTCTATTTAATCATTCACCGTTAGTAATGATCTCATTTATTAAAATTGGGTTGTAGTGTTATGGAAAAGAACTAATTCGAATCCCAAGACATGACTTGGAACAACCACCAATGTCTCTTCCACTCGACTTGGATAGAATAGAAATGCATCTTGATGGAATAAATAACTAACCTGATGAGTATACCAATCGCTTTCCTTGGGAAGAGCTTCGTCAAGGCAATCGTCAAAGTATTTGTAATGCGAAAAGATGACATGACCGCCGACATCAAACAACTATCGTATTGCTCTCGTAAGTGGTGTATTCATCGACTGCTATCGGAACAATTACTCACGAATCCTTCAGGAGTAACGTCGGTAGAGGCAAGACCTCCAGGTGTTTCGTTCGAATCGACGATTAGCCACGACGCGAGGTTCTATAATCATGTATACGTTAACAATTAACTTCATAATTTAACGCGGGGCAATATTCGACAATTACCGTCTGTTGAAGTCTCTTAGCAGCACCTATTCCAGTAGGCCCAGCACCAATAACCAATACATCAACGTCGCTTTGGAAATAATAGTCCGTCAGCTTATGGTATCATTAGGATGAATTTGACTGTCGCATACATCTGTTTGGAGGCCATGATGAATTGTTTTTGTAGCGGGGAAAAGGACAGATTGAATTGGGTGGTCAATGCGATGCCGTACGAATGACCAGGATTTCAAGCTTTTCCAGGGCAATTTACTCTCCTTAAAACTTCAAGAAGAGTAATGGGAAAACATAGAAATGTTTGAGGTCGAATTGGAATTGAATTGACCATGGAAATGAAGAGGTCTACACACCGCTTCATCGCGACGATCATTCAAATCTGGGATGGTGTCACGTCAAGTTGCAATAAAAACATATCTGATGTATATGCATACCTAATTAACAGAAATGGAATTATGGATGTATGTATTTAAAGAATTACCCCTATTACCCCTATTTTAAGGAGGCGATTATGGGATGACAGTAAAATATTCGACGAGAAAGATGAACGGACTGGGGCAATTGATACGGTACGTGCGAAATTCAATGCCTTAGTGTGTGGTGAAGAGAGCTTACAAGGCTTGAGCAAGCCTCGAGCACCCCTTTCTCTTGGGTGCTCGAGCCCTCCCTACAACCATCGTGGATATCATACCTTGGCCTCCAACGTAAAGGCCTGAAACCATTTTTCCGCAGTTATTTTATGATGACCTGGCAATTTTGCACTTGGTGATATTGGTTTCGGTCTAGTCCATTATGGTATTTGAAGCTTGACTTTCGTTCTTCGCTATGATAATTTATTCTAGATCGGCACTAGAGGGCATAATAACTGGTTATTTGGAGTTCAAGAAGACATAGTTGTAGTGAGGAATAAAATTAGTTGAAAATGTGCTCAGAGGGCGGGGTAAGCGTGGTCTTGTAGGTGTAACGAATGAAAGGTGAGGGATCTGGGTGGCGGCGTGAGTTCTAAAAGGATTCCGGATTTGGATTTACCTACCTGGATAGAGATGTATACCTAGGTATGCAAGTACCCTCCAGAGTGATGATGTCGATGGATTGGAGGACTTCTGGGTGAATCTGTCCAATGGGTAGGTGCTGGAGTCCAGTGACTACCGTAAACCCGGGAGTTATCCACGCGAATATCTAGATGGAGAGCGCATTGGCTCGAAAAAATCCCATACGAGGCCTATAAAAGCCGGCAGATCCTCTACTTTCAACCCATCTCTCTCACCCAATCTCCACCTTCGATAACCAACTCCAGTTTACGATCTAGCATCTCCCCAAGCACCCTACATTAATATTACACATCCTACTCCCGAAAGCAATCCAATCTATCTATTTTAATCCATTCAATTTCATCATAGCACCAGCCAACGCAACTATGGCAGCAAGCTCATCATCATCATTAGCCGAATAGAAGCCGGTCTTAGACAATACCTCGGACATCGCTATAACCCAAAGCCTTACCTAGAGTTAGGGTTGATCATGGGCAAAGAGCCAGAGAAGTTCAAGCCCATCAAGCAATCCAATAGCCTTAAAGGAGAGAGGAGAGGTACCACGAGATGAATGGACTATGCGGGTTTTCATTCTCATTACCGAGAATATTGCCACGTAAGCTAAGTTCTACGTTGGTTGCAGGCCATTAGGTGGTCGATTCACACCACGACTGTTGAGTCTAAGGTCATCTTCTTCTACTCTGAACTCTGGGCCGGCATCGACACCCACCTACCCGTCAAAGAGCGAGAGACTGCGTTGAGAAATGCTTGCAAGCGACATGCCGCTACCGATAAGACGATAAAGAAGCCCATGACATCCACCGTTTCCAAGGAGAATGCGACATTTCAACTCAGGGCTAGTAATCCCTAAACTTAACCCACCTCCCCATATGTTGACGCTACGGTACCTAGGTATGAAGAATATCAGTCCGCTCGTATGGTGCACGGCATTTTCATCCAGAAATCGTATTTGATTTAGTTGCAAGGTTGACTTTGATCATGTCCACCCAAGTAATTGATGTTACTAACTCAATGCAGGTCGCTGTTATGTCGCTATAATCCGGGACGGAACCCAACGCTGGGTCCCTACCCTACCTACTCCCGTTCCTTTTTTTAATCACCACAATCACAATCACTACCACTATCGCAACTACTAGCGACCTATTTATCATCGTAAGTGAATAGGTACACCTATCAGTTGATTTTAAACATTAATTTAATTTTAATAAATACACGGCTGCCCAACACGCAATGTTCCGCCTCTGAGGCAGCTGACGCCGCTAGAAATCTCCCCCCTGCGGCTGTCACAGATACCACCGCGAATACAGATTCTAGGCACGACTCTGACCCACGAGATTCCGCTGTATGTGAGGCTGCTCCGTCTAGCTTCTTTGCGCACCTATCTACTACACAAGACTCCAGCGAGGAAACTAGTGAGGACGAGGACTACGCGGGTGTAACCGATCAACCTACCGCGTTAGAAATGTTGTAATCAACCATCCAAGATGATCGATATTCTGCCCCTTTGCCTATTGCCTTCCGATGAGTATCGGAGGAACCCCTTATCGCCTATGTGGAGGCAAGGGAGCCCTGAGAACAAAGACGGCATCCATGTATGTATACGATAGCTCCCGTTGCAGTTACTTACGACCTCCTCGCGCAACATCAGGGTTTCCAAGTCGTTTTTCAATTCTTTGAATTCAAGATTCGGCCAATCATAGCTCTTCTCCGCAATGATGGAGTTGATAAAATGGGGGTAGGGTGAGTGTAGGGAGTAATAGTGGTAAAGGTTTCGGTAGAATTTTGAAGGTGGGTTATAAAAGTATGAGTATCCGTGGATAGTTAGAAGTAGAGTAACTACTAGAAGTATTTTGATCAACCTGGCCTCTAGTCTACAGGGCGGTCGCGGTCGGAGTTAACTGTAGAGCCATCATTTTCTTTGAAATTGGCAATCTGTTCGGTGTATTAATCGGTTATTTCAAATTCCGCGCCTTATACCGTTAGTGTGTCAACCAATTATCGATTCTCAACAGTAGGACCCTCATCGGTAAATGGCGGCGGTGGTGGGGGTAAGCAGTGTTAGGTGGGGTGTTACCCCGCATGATTTTCGTAGGGGTATCGGGTACCTGCGTTAGCGTGCGCCACCAAAGGGGGTTCAGCCTCCCCACTTCCCCAACCCCTCAATTGCTGACATCAACTGAATTAAAACAACATAGACCAAGCAGGTTGATCTTCCTCATAAGTTAAAGGTAACCTATTGGGCTTCGATATCTGCGGTCCGGTTCTCTTGTACGGAAGATTACTGGTTACTCAGTTCGCCTTACTCATACGAAGGTATTTGCGTCGAGTTTATAATACCTAGGTACGTACGTCTCGTTCTCTGACTCTCCCAATCTAGCTCGCGTTGGCACTCCCGCATACGAAAACGTACATGGTAATCTCTGGCCTTCTAATAGGTGTATGATGTATTTCGCCGTTGGATCGTTGGATCGACTGGCGCCGCAAAGACTATCGCCCATCGCCATTACACGAATGATAGATCCTACAACTTGACTTTGATCTTTCTATGGTGGCCTTCTCGTCATCGCGCCAGGCTGCCGTCATCAGTTATGATACCTAGTTCAGCATAACTTGACACCAAGTTTATTACTATCATTCTTTAGCATCTAGGCAATGTTACATCAACGCAGCGTTATTGAATGATCCAAGCTAACAATCTTAATTTATACATACTTAACTGGACTTCCCGCAACGCCGACCGCGTAATTAAGTCTCATAAGAGCCGCACATACGTATCCGAATCATATCCTAATTATCGCGCCGCTACTCGTTTTGTCCGACTCATCCAATATACTTGCGACCATAACTCCAATGATTCCGAAGCCTCTAAGAATGTCTCCATAGGCACTCTGACGTTCTCCTTGTCTGCGCCTCCTAAGCACGATATTATCCTTGCTGGGAGTCATGGCGGATCCCGATCTATTTTAAGACATGCCGAGCACCATTATAACGCTGTTATACCACCGCCGACGTTGGAAGCCACTTCGATCGATGATGTAGTAATCCCCAAGTACGTTCTCTTGAAGGATATTTGCTGTGCCCTTAACGATAATAGATGGTATGATCGAAGTACTCGTGCTCTCTTACCTACCGTACTACCCTACGGATATCCAATGTAACGTGTGTCCCAACACAATTTGATTTGAACCCTACCGTTTTAACACCGTCTATACTTCGCCCGAAATACTCCTGACTTGAAGAACGAAGTCAATCCGAATCGCATCTGTAGGGCACCCTCAGCTAGTATAACCACCCGAAGATGTCCGAGGCGTTCGCAAACTCGTGATGATAACCGTATCACATAATACTCCTCCTGCCTAGACACCGTGTCAATACCGGTACCATTTCGCGACTTTCTAATAATACCGCCGTCCCCTAAGTAACTCACGCAAGGCCATACGAATCAAAGACAACCCACCTTTAGGCAACCTTATCACCTAGCGAGTATTCAAGGGAATGAGAAGCAACACACCCGATCGGACAACCGCCGAGCCCACTCAATCTACGGGTAAGACGAGGAACGGATCCGGCCAGAAATTCTATTAATATATTTGGATCCTTAAGGCCTCTCCCTCCCCTCCCCTGCCCTTCCCTCGCATGACGTATTTCCCGGAGTTCGAAGCCCTGTGCTTTGGAGATCATAAAACGCGAAGAGTTCGGAGCACAAGTCAAGGTATACCGGCTTCATCTAGCTGCCTTTTTCCACCTGGAGGTTAATCGATGGGGGTCTAAGGAATGAGTGCTGAGGCGGAAGGGATCTTCGACAAAGACGTCTATGAAGTGCCTCGATCCGCTCGATGGTGGTAACGCACATCGCCTCAATCGAGCAGCTTCAACTAACAAGAAAAACGTGTCAGTATTCATACATGGGCTCCTTGTATGTATACGATGGTTCCTGTAGTTTATGTTCTTAATGCGACCACTGGTCAATTCATGACAGTCTGACTTCCTCTAGTTGAAAGTCGAACGAATCAAGAGTTTGTGATATTTCGAAACTTATACTTCGCCTCGTGGGATAGATGGCAACGCGCCCCGTTTACCCAATTGTATGTGGGACGTAGTGACAGGATCCCGCCGCAATCACTAGCCAATGCTTTGAAATGTTAGCTCCGAGTCCGATCCTATACTAAGGGACTTCGGTTGCAACTTAGGCTACCAAAAGGCCGTATCTAGGGTAATGCTAGTACTCTTGTAGGATGGGTACATAATATATCTCCTAGTACAAGCCAAGATCTCAGGCATTGATAATCGCTATCATCACCGATGCGTAAGGACCATCATGCCGAATTCGAATAATAATAATTCACCCGACTACCCAATCAACATGACCAACCAATTCCCTTTCCTGCGCGAGAGAATAGAGGAAGAAAAGGAAGTGAAGGAAGAAGAGGTCGATGTTGCCGCCTTTGCTGTCGCCATCCTCACTACTACCCACCGATCTGGAACACATCAAGATACTCGAGTATTGTCGACTCCTACCAACGCCGCCAGAACCTCCCTGAGCAGGAAATAGTGACGCACGATTCGTACTGTTCCAGATAAGTAGACGTACATAGAGATAGTCGTATTCGTTCGCGCTCGGCATTGTGTTATAAGTGTTGGTCTCGTTATAGGAACATGGTCTTAGGCACTGTCGCACCTTGCATTTCATCGTAGATAGCCTTTTCATAGATGTTATTAGATACGAAGTTAACCATTCGCCGGATAGAGAAGACATGCTTCCTCCTCCTGAAAGTAGATACCTTCGCTTTTGGATCCTAGCTTTAGAATATGACGTGGTAACTTGGTAGTTACCCGCATACCGTCCCACAAATTCCTTAGTCACCGTTGGTCTTCGGCGCATCAATTGACAACCTTCCTACCTACCTAGGTATCTATTAACATAGGAGGAGGCTCTACCTACGTGTACCTACGTACTATATCACGATATACCTTCCAGATCCCCTGTTTGATGTCGAATTACATCAATAGAAAGAACATTCATAACAATAGGTTGCGATCATCCTTATCCGTGCCTACCTAGATATATGTATCCACAAGACACAGAACCAATTCAATTTCCCAAACCTTTTAGTTTTTCATTGTAATATCACGATAAAGTTAAGCCCAAGGTTACATTTCTGTTATTGAGTTTCAATGTGTCCTTCTGAGTACATCATGTAGGGTATGGGTATCTGGTGGGGTATGACTAACCCTGAAATAGGGGTAACTTCTACTACAATTGTATGTGATCGACTACTGAAGTTAATTCTAAACTTTGGTATCGTTACATTTACATACTTAGGTTTGTAGGTGGGCGTCACACAGAAACCTACTCAAGTTCTTCTATAAATTCTTCTAGTCTTCCTGTTCCTATCCCAACCTCATCTCATCCTGTTTTCCCATCTCATCTTCAATTCACCATCAAGACTACACTCCAATTGCACCAGACTACACCCACATCGAGAGCAATGATACTGCTCAGCTTACTCAAGCATCCCCATGTCATTTCTATTACCGTCTTCATTCTTCATTCTTCATTCACTGTTGTGATAGTATCCCTACTATATTTGAGAACCCTGTGGGAAGTGATATGACGCTGTTACAATTGTCAGGCTAAGCTTCGATACTACTTATCATAGGTATGTTCAACTCTCATACTCCATTCCGCATATCCTCCTCATCCTACCCTTGTCCCTCATCCCTCATTCCGCCCTCGTCCGCACGTTGCTCTCGTATCGCATGTTGCTTTCATTCCGCATATGTCGCCTACCGTTTTCATCAGGTTCCTCTTCTTGATCATTTGCTGATATGGTAAATTTAGTGCTTTTGCTTCTTGGCCGTGAAGGTAGTTTGGATCGCCTAAGGGATATGTCGCAAGAACACCGAGAGACCCTACTAAATCGCGACAACGCCATCCTACGCGCCGAGAATAGATCTCTCTTATCTCAAATCCAAGAGAAAGATGCTGAGATCGCTCGCCTTAAAGAAAAGAAGCGGTTTCTTGACCAAAACGAGGAGGCAGAGACAGGGACGAAAAAGCGTAGGAAGAATGGTAACGAATTGTCGTAAACCTGCGCCAATTGTGGCAAGGTAAACCATCAACTTGTACGATGCCTGGACTCGGATGGTGGTGTTTCAGGCTGCGATATACATAACACCAAAGCCCATAACCATGACGAATGTCCTTCGGTGCAGGATTGGGCTCAAGAGCCTGACTGAGAAGTTAGGTCAATTTATGCTTGAAAAATTATTTGCTCTAGTTCTAGGTCGCGAAGGGAATCTCGAACGCTTCAGGAATATTATTCCTGAATTCAAAATTGCCCTATTTACCTAATGCCGAAGTGGAATGTCCGAAGGAAGAAGTTATCTCTTTAAAGTCGCAAATTTCAGACCTACAAGGGCAGGTATCCAGTCATTCCAATATCCAACAAGAAGACTGAGGAAAGGTCCAAGGCCTACGAAGCGTCAGAGGCCTGAGGAGCCCGATAAGCCCAAGCCGAAGAGATGGTCGGATCGTTAAATCGATTGACGAGGGTGATGACTTCGGTTGTTTGGTTTCGTGATAGTGGTTACAACGAGTCGGACAAGGAATTGTACATGTATCAGGACTTCCCTTAGGTAGTACAGTAGTCAATACATCAGACATGCAACTCATATCAATTAGTGCCATGTCATGTAGAGAATCACCACAAGTACTGCTAAGCCTAGGAGTCCCCAATAATGCGATTGATGTTGTTGTTGTTCTCGTTGTATTAATTACGCCTGAACGGTATAGACGTGGACCTTTCGCTGTAACCTCACTGGGGGAATAATGCGATGGAAAATATCCAAGGTGATTGATATTGTTCGATAGTTACATTAGCGCGCGTAATTTGACTTGCTAATGCGTTAACTAGATCGTACTGTCGATAGGCGTAGTAGGTAGGTAGGGCGATTGAAAGGGATGGTCGCGGTCGCAGAGGTCAGAAGGTAAGCTTGAAAGGTGGAATTGGTATTTGCCTAGCCACATAAGTCAGACGATTGGCGGCGACATTAATAACAATACCAGAGATATAAGTTCATCATGGTATGAAACTTAGCCTGGAGACATGACAGCTCGACGACGATTGAGTACTTGTCTCTGTCTATGTTATCTGTTGACCCGAGACCGCGAGGTCATTTTTCAATTGATTGAATGGACATGGCAACTACATCCTCGATCATTCTCCAACTCTCCTGGCCAGTTCCATGCTCCTAATCCCACACGGGCATTTGAAAAACCCAAACATTAAAGAAATTCCCGCCGTACGGCCAGCTAAACGTACGAGTACCCCCAGCGTCAAGACTAGTAATTGAAGAGAACCTTAGAAATTCGGACACCAGAAATATTAGACGAAGACGCCCGTGTAAAGTCTTGGTCCTCTTGTCTGGCTCCTACAACCAGAAGGACACGTCCCGGTTCCTGATTTTTGGGATCAACTCGCCGTTAACCACCTGGGCACCCTTCCAACCCCGTCTTGCATGGCTGTGATGCTGAAATAATGGACAATATCAACAACAGACTTTTCACATTTGAGCTTCGAATCCTTGTAGATCAGTCCTTTACGTTCGAGGACGTCGCTTGACTTGAATAGAAGGACTGGGTGTAATAAGGACCAGAACAACGCGCAGTTCTCGACCTTGATCCGTTCGATGATGATGATACATGCCGACTCAACAAGCTTTCGCGATAATGACTAACCTCGTAGGAGCTCATCTGACCTGATTCGTCCCCTCCACCCCACCTATATCAATTTCGCAAGATCATCTAGTCTTCCTTGGTAGTATCCTAGCGAACGCCCACGTAATTCCCAGGTCTACGTATACGAACAGCAATCGTACCCTTATATTTGATCACGTAGCGTATAGCGTCTATTGTCTTCAAGGCGGTCCGAGAACGCGTCTAAGCTTCCGTATCTTAATCGGTATGTTGCTAACGTGTTAGAAGTACTGGAGGTTTCCCCACCACAAGAGAAGCTGGCAGAATCACCCGAGCGTTGTGGTCACGAAGGTAACTTAAGTTACCCAAGAAGCACGTCGCAGTAACACACAGATGTCGCGAAACCCCCCCACTCAAGAAACTGCAAGAACAAGAAGTCGAACCACATAAGTAGTGGTTCGTTCATCAAGCTGGAGGGAGAGGATAACGTTCTGTCATCAATCGCTGGAATGAATTGACGCGATGACAAAATATGTGACTCGATGGCGTCAGTTCGTTTGTCAGCAACATTACATAAGCCGGACGCGGGATTAAGTTAAAAGGCGACGACCATCTGTGCCGCGCCATCCATGGAATAAGATACTATATATACAAGACACAAGGTAACAAAGGTATTGACCATAGAGCGATAACATCATAAGTCTTTACCACCAATTGTTAATGACAATACAATGACGTCTCAAGTCCGAAAACCGATCCTTATCTCCGGTGCGGGGCCATCATCTCTTCTACTTGCCCGCTCCCTCCTCCGGTCTTCCATTCCGTTTCTAGTCTTTGAACGAGATAGTTCGCTATCATTTCGGGCTCAAGGCTACAGGTTGCGTCTATCCACACAAGGTCTTGACGCGATCGAGTCGGTTCTAAGTCCGGATGGCTTTCAAAAGTTCTGGGATACGTGTGGTAAGACGGGTGGGTCGAAAGGATTTGCTAGTATCAATGCCCTTACGGGAGAAGAGATCCCGGAGGTTACGCCTCAACCTGAAAGCCAGAAAGAGTCGCCGAAAGGTGTAGGAAAAGAAGTCCTGACATCACGCGATGGGAAAACCGTAGGGATCTCTCGGGGTGAGATGCGCTCGTTATTCTTGGAGGGTTGTGAACCTTTCATCAGGTTTGCCCACCACGTTACGGGCTATCGATTAACACCTACGGGAGTACACGCTATTTTCAAGGATGGTACCGAATCAATCGAGGGGGAGATGTTGATTGGTGGTGATGGTATCTATTCCAGGATAGCAAAACAACTTTCGCAAGGGAAATTGAAGACATACGATACGGGTGCAAGAGGAATCCATGGGAAAGCTCCATCAACGGCGTTTAAAGGTCTTGGCGAAGGTGTATGGCGTATTGTAGATGATTCCAAGCCAAATGGGAAGGTATTCGTCATTACAAACGTTCGTCCTGGTGATATGGATGATCCGAACATAGATTTTGGTTGGACAATGGGTGGTCAACCAGGAGTGATCAAACCACCTAACGACGACTTCGCTATCATTGGCCGGCCAGCAGCTGAAATAGCCAAAAGTCTTTCGTCGAATTGGCACGCTCGACTTAAACCTCTCTTTGATCATATGGACGAATCTGAAGCGGCTTTTTGGAAGATCACTTGTTCCACACCTTCAGGAGTACCGGAATGGAAGAACGAACCTCGTGTTACGGTAATCGGGGATGCCGCGCATTCTATGACGCCCGCTGGAGGTATTGGTGCCAATACAGGCGTTAGAGATTCCGACTTGTTGGGGAGATTGCTAGGTGAAGCAGGTGGTTATAAAGATGGTGTGACTTTGACTTACGAGAGAGAAATGAGAGTCTACGCAAGCGAGGCGGTTAGAGCGAGTTATGGAATGGCCACCAAGCAATTCGGAGTGTTTATTGATGAGTCTAGTCCAACAGTAGGAAGCTAAGTGTACGGCCTACATAACAATATAACCGCCCGCCCAACACCAAAGAGTAGAGACCCTATTTAGCATTTCCGTAACAACAAAGTTCCTTAACGCCTTACACATTTGGTCGTTCGACTCTTGGTTATGATTGTATGAAATATAGGAGAATAATGAATATATGATTAAGATAAGAGTCTTTAATAGTTAAAAACTAATTTCTTTAATTTAAGAAAATCAAAAAGAAGTTTTGTTACCAAGGGATTCTTTAAAATAAATATAGTTAAAAAACCTAGCTTTAAGAAATAAAAAATTCTTAAATCCTAAAACCAAGGTTATTACTTAATACCAAAAGATATAAGATAAATCTATATTTATTTAAATAAATAAAAAGTTATTAAATCAGGATAACTTTAAATTAATAATCAAATAAAAAATTAATTTAAAGAAAAATTATATAACACTTAAATTAATATAATTATAAAGATTAATTAATAAATAACATTAAAAATTAAGGTTAAGGTTTTGAATTTAAATCTTATCCATCTTAATTTTTATCTTAAAATCTTAATAAATATATTTAAAAAAAGATCATATTATCAAATCACCAATAAAAATATAATAAAAATAAGAAAATATTAGGTTAACATTTTATTATAATATTGTTATAAACTAACCATAAAGGATAGAATATGGGTAACTTATCATAACTAAACTCTAATTTAATATACTAAGATATAATATATTATAATAATTTTAAAATAAAAAAAGAAAAAAGAATAATTTATAATAAACCTCTACCTTAAAAAGATATAACCATTACTGAATTAACTAATCCAAGGTATCTTAATTTAAAGATAATAATAATAATAATAGGTTAAATAATTAAATAAATTCTATTTATTAAAAAGGTTTAAAATCTTTTCATTATATTTAAAAGAATAATCTTAAATTGATAACTAAAAAGCCATACAAAAATGATTAAATATATAAAAAATTCTAATAGTTTATATAATTTAATTAGGGTTAGGGTTAGGGTTAGGGTTAGGGTTAGGGTTAGGGTTAGGGTTAGGGTTAGGGTTAGGGTTAGGGTTAGGGTTAGGGTTAGGGTTAG